ATTGCTGCTTGTGTTTATGAATAAGAATATTGAGCAGCTGTCAGTCACTATGAGGCTGTCACTACCTCATGCAACAGGATTAACTCCAGACATACACAAAGACATCAGCCTGCCTAACAAAACATGTGGTGGGCAAGTGAACACAACAGAGTGAGAAAGTTGTCTTTAGCACAACACCTTGAACAGGCTACTGCAGTGAATTGTGTTTAACCCAAGGCTGGATGGTCTTAATGCAATTTATCAGAGTCCTGCATTCAGTCTTCTTTCCATATACGACAAACCTGTCATAAAATAGATTTCGCTTTAGGGGTAAACACAAACAAATGTACACATATCCTACAGAAGTTTTTAAGAAGATTTCTTTGGAAAGAGAACACAGGGGTTTCTACCTGCTGCCGGAGGGGGTCGAGATAAAGAGAGTAATAGTTAGACTGCGGTCACATTGGTATGCAGACAGCCATGAAAGCAGTACAGTACCTGTTGCATCTTGCAAATTCATTTGCTGAATATTGTGAAATTTCAACCACTTAAATTGGGAAGGCCCCTCTTTTATCACAACTCAAGTGATGTGAAGTACGGTTAGATAAACACAAATGTTTAGGCTACCTGATGATGAATGAATATGCAGCAGTCTGCTTTCTGTCAGTGAATAAAAATTTAGATAAGAACTATAATGCATGGATGTAAAGGACAATACAGTTTAAGCAATAAATAGTTCTATAAGGTTGATAAATTTGCACATATAACAATCTGCAAAAATCTTGTTTTTTGATTGTGTTATCATCTGCGCAAAATTTCTGGACTTCCCCAAATGAATTTAACCATGACTGGAAACCTGTGAATCAGCAACCGCACTGTTAAAAACAAAGTTAAACAAGCTATGTGGATACTAACAACAATATTTGAGGATGATCACGATGATGATGTTGGTGTCGGGATGCTGGAGCGATGAGGGGATGGAGTGTGGATGGCAGATTTTGGGATTTTGTTAAAAAAAAAGCCAACAAAGAAATTCATTTCACTGAGCATATAATTGAAATGCATGCAGCTGAAGTATGCTGCGGGCAAGATTATTCCCACACATGACTGTCAAGACAAATAATCAAACAACAATAACCGTAATCAGCTGATTAAGCAAACTAATTCGTTTTGATTGAATCCATTTAAGACCAAAACTTGTTCAGATATTTTCAATGGATGTTTAATCAAGCTAGCAATGAAGGAACCTACTAATCATCAACAAATATATAGTTGTAAAATGAATGATGATAAGTGTTATAAGGATTGCTCTGTCCACTTCTCTTGTTTGTTCCTGGCAGCAGATTATTACACATGAGCTCTTTGCTGTTACGACTAAGAAAATATCTTTTATTTATTGAGTTTGTGTTTGCATAAATCTTTCATATAACAGTTTACATTCCTCCACATGTAACCTTTATTTTGTTTTATGTAGGTATAACCCTTATTATTCTGTACAGTACATACAGAAGGTAAAACTACGCTTTGTGGTGTCAAAAGTCACACATGCCACAGATGTCTGGCATTACATCCTGTCAAAATGGCAGTTAACAAGGCAGCGTATCATCGAGGGATCCTCTCCCATTGGTCGGAGAACCTGTTGCCAATGTGTTGACTCCAGTAAATCTTCCCACCCAGGGAGCCTCGGAGGAGAGCTTCCCCTCGGGTCAAACCACTCCTGCAGGGATGAGCCTAGTTTCCCCCCTGGAGGAAAGTTTTCACACTGAAATGGACTTGAGCTGCTGACCTTCTCGCAGGTCAAACTTTAGGTTTAATGTCATGCAGTTTAACAGGCGTGCTTGGATCTCTCTGTGCATCGATGCAGTTAACACTGTGAGTTGGATTTATTATTGGAAATGTGGTGCAACGTCTGCTTGAGTTTGATAAGATGACACCTCGGCAGAGCTATCAGGCGCCTCAAAGTGACAGCAACCTTACATACCTTCCTTCATTCTCCTCTCAGGCAAATTCCTATCTCTCTCTTTCTGTCTGTGTTTCTCAACTCTTCTTCTCTATTTTTTCTTTTTCATTTGGAGTTGAGAAAAACAATAACTTTTAGGGGAGTTTGTGGCCTTTCATGTCCATTCCAGGCCTGAATGTTCGTGAATGGAAACCAAATTTGCTGCGACTTTTTTCCACCTTTTGATGAACGTATTTGTTTTACAGACTGATCTCTCATAGGCATCTGAAAATTATGAATCAAATATCAAGCCTTAATGTATATTTTCTAAAAAACTTTTGACTTATCCCATATTCTTAGTAAGAGATTTAACAGAGCCCCCATCTGTGCTGCTGTTTTTGAAAGACCCGGTCAGTCACAGAGCTAGGAACTGACCCAGTGCTCTCCACACTCTCCTAGCTACTGTATGAAGCTGGCCTGACTGCAGGTAGTTAGCCTCAGTCTAATCTAATGAAGCATACTTCCCCCTGTTTATGGCAGCCGGAGAAGAGGGAGCGCTAGCCTGTGCTTGTCTGCTGCTGAGAATGCCCATTAACGCTCTTTTCGCCCTCAGGTGATGACCACCTGAGCTATCAAAGACAAGCGTGTCTGTAACAGCACCCTCTCTCCTGCTCCTCCTCCCCTTCTCATCACACTCCATCCTCATTCACCCCGTCTCTGCGTCGGCCTCCTCTTAGACACATGCATGCTGCTGTACGTGTTTTTTTTTTCCCTCCAAAAGTGGCCTTTTAGGGTAAATTATATTCTGTAGCATCATTATAAACATAACAAGCATCATCATGATCATTACCTATAATCATCATTATTTCATGGATTTCCAGCGTGGGTAATTTGGTTACACCGTGTTCACTTACAGAGTGATAGCACTTGTTCAGACTCATGTCTATCACTGTTTTAAACCATTTATTCCTTTATTAAGAAGCTTGGGCAGAAATATGTGGGAAACAGAGGGATATATAGAGAGAAAGGGAATAACTCAACATAAAGGTCAAGGGTTGGACTTGTGTATGGCGGGAAAAAGTGGTCAAATGATTTAAAAAATATTTTGTGGTTGTCTGTCATTAAACTTTAAAAATAAATGCATTGTGGAATGATGTAAAATTGGCAATACAGTTAAATGTTTATAGGTTTAAAATAGTTAAAGTGCTTTTACTATAAAGAAAATAATGCCTATAAATTAGCAATGCCTAATGGGTGTCGACATGCCCTCTATCAGCCTTACTATTGGGCCGTCTCCAGGTTGACATATTATGTTTCCTAGATAGACGTTTTGTTTACTACCTGGCTTCCTAGCAACGCATCCATGCTATTCTAGCACAACTCAGAGTCTGGCGTGCGAACACTGGAGCATGCGCAAAATATTTGGGCCAGTTTCAGTTTGATTGAGTTTCATACATGACAAAGAAAATTAACAGCTTTATACCAGTCTTTTAGTCCAACTTTGGGATGATTGATCCAGTGCGATTTCAATCAGACTCACATTTATACATATTTTATTTTCAGTCCAGTTTCATTCAGACTAAGGCAATAAATCTTTTTTTTTTTCGACAGCGTGTAAACATTATCTAGATTTGGTTGCACTGAATCTAATTTTTGCATTGCTGCTACTTCTCCTTTTGTGCGTGAACTTTAGAGTTATTGCAGAACTCTTGCCTTGTTGCCAGTTCTTGTTGTGAATTTTATTAATAGAGTTATGGTCATATTTTGGTTATAAATTCCACCTACTCTACATTTTAGACTACGCCTGAAGAGAATGAATTTATAGATACTGTTTGAAATAAGTGTAAATGGCAAAAAAGTCATCATGGATATCTTAACAAACACCAAGTGGCCTTATTTATGTCAAAACATTTCTTCTAAATCAGCTTATTTTACAGAGTAGCTGTCAAACAGAGTCCACACAGCAGGTCTAATGATCCTCAGTGAATTTCTCCTGCAGTTTATCTTCTTTTTGTCCAGCAGATTTGGAAACTTCCTGTTTGTGTCTTTAAACCTGTAATAGATGTGCGCACCTTCCCCCTGTCTGACATGCGTGATTCACTGTCCCTGACTCTCAGCACCACCTAATTTTGAAGAGCAGATAAAGCTAATTAGGGGAAAGAGACATCAATCATAGCTTCGGGGCTCGTTATGTACTGTACATACCTCCAGTGGCATCTCAGTCACTGGGTGTGTTTGAAAGCTTGAGTCAGTCGCACACGCACAGCTATTATTATGAGTTATGTTAGGAGGGATGACTTCGACTCGGAGGGTGAGAGGTTTATTGAAGGCTTCCTTGAAACTGCAGGTACGACCCATTATTCTTAAAAAGCAAGGAGTATAAGTAGAATTGCATGTATGAGTCACTTCTGCTGCAGTGATCTTTGACATTTTAGTCTATCAGCTCTGTTGTGATGTGCAATGTGCATACAGCTGTCAGACACACTCACACACACCCTTTTCACTGATTAAAGCAGCTTCACTGAACTCTAAGCAGAAGATGTTACCTCACAGCTTTAATTCAAGCTGATAAAAAGATGATTGTTTTTGCAATTTTATACTCAGATTAGCTAAAATTCTTCTTATAGTGTAAGTAGGACTTTTCTGTTATGACACTCTTTTAGGTTGTTGTATTACTGTTTCCATCCTGTAGGTGGGAGTATATATCCACGCTTAAACCGGCAGCAGCTTGAAGTTGAAAAATGTATTTTCCTTCAAGATTATAAAGAATTTCAGAAACCAAACACTTCATGAATAGCTGCCATGAAAATGTGTGTGTGTTGATTGATGATGCACATGTTAACCTCTTCAGAAGGTGTGAACAGGTATGCAAATGCGCACGGATGTTTACTGTCAGGCATGCCCTGACAAGAATGACTTATATACCTAAACACCTATTCATGGGATTAATTTTCATCATTACGTTGAGTGAGAGAGAGTTTGAGCACGAAGTTAAAAAGACTGCTGAATGATCGAGAGACACAAAAACAGCACACACACACACCCAACCCTTATAATAAAGAAAATTCAATACTCACAAAACTTTGGTGTTTTTGAATATTTTACTAAAATATTTTAAAGACATAAGAATCTAGTATTAGAAATATGATACATCCATTCATAATGTGTCTGATACAAAAAAATACATCAGGTAGAGTTATATAAAATTATATAATATAAAATACTTCAAATAAGAAGAGCAGCACACAATAGAAAAAGAGGAAGTTATTTAGACACTGAATCTGAAGCTCCTACATGAGATTTTCTTCTGCTCTCACTTATGTGTTTTTAAATTACATGTCAGTGTCTGATAACTGGATGGTATGAGCAGAAAACTAAGATATAAAACAGGCAAAAGCTTCACCTACATTATTATTAGCAAAAATGACTAGAAACTGTTTCACTCTGGCAGTATAATAAATATCTTTGACTCTTTAATTAAACTCATCACTTCAGATTTAGATTTAAGTTTTTTTGTCTTAATATGAAACATATTTTTCAATCTGTTCTTTTGAGTGTTGCAAATTAATAATGCCAAAATGAGAATTTCAAGCACTAAATGAAAATTATTGTTTTACATGAGAGGGTTTTCATGCAACTGAGGTGAAAAAGAAGCTTTTATCTGTTTTAATTTTCCACCACTCTCATGGATTTAATGAATATAAACTAAAAATAAGCAAGATTAAGTACAGGCAGTGGTATACAATATGACAAAACTTTCTGACATTGTTAAATAGTGATGTAAAAAGTTCTCATCGACAAATTAAAAGTCCATCTCTGGCTGTTAGAGTGAGCTGGTTGTGATGAAGACATAGATCCTGGCGTGGAACGTGGTGAACGTCCCCTGTCTCCAAAGCTTCATCTCCACATTAATGAAGAAATCCCTCGGACCCTCGACCTGTCGATGCAGATACACGGCGCCCGTGTAGGCGTTAAGCTTCCGGGTGCTGAAGTAGTTTTCCTCGTTTCCCTGCGTGATGGTGACGATGACGTTGTCCCCTGAGTAAGCAGGGGACGGTCCGATGCGGAAGATCTGCGCGGGGATGACGATGTTGGACTGGAAGCTGAGGTAGTAGTAGGTGATTCTCAGAGGAGAGTTTTGACACTCTAGGTAGTCGGGACAGCTGATGCGCTCGCAGCGACTGCAGGGGGAGGTAAGAGAATATTTGGAAAACGGGTCTTATGAGAACAACTCATTTTCAAAAGAAAAAACACCCCAGAGATCCTTTTCTTCGCACAATTATCAGTTTCCAAACATAACAGCATGTCAGGCTTTCACCAGAGATCACTGAGGTATCATATTGTTAATAACGGTACATTGATTTCATGACTTACGTGTCAGACACTTTGCGGTAGTTTGGCGGACAGTTAAGTGAAAGGCAGCGGTATCCTCCTTGGATGTTGTAGCAGGTCTCAGCTAAGGAGCAGTTATGGGCCCCTGTGGTGCACTCATCAATATCTAAAACACACATTTATGCACAAGGGCTGGTTTACTGCCTGGAGCCTTGAGGAAAAAGTGTGTTATTCACAGGAGCAAATCTCATTGCTGAAACTCGTGACAGAAACGAGTCCTTATGGGGGGTAGAAACTGATCCAGTAAAAATTCAAATTAGTAAGACAAGATTTTTCGGCCAATAAAGTTTTATTGCCTTTGCTATTACTGAGCGGCTCTAAAAGGACCAATTACATTTATCTGAGCATAACCAGCACTGTGCACTTTATGAAGAGTTGAACGGACGCAGAAATGTTTTAAATCTAACACAGAGAAGAATTCAATTAGGGACATGTAGAGAATAAACTACAAGACAGTTAGTTCATGCGATTTGTTGTTGTTGTCCTCTTTTCACCTCTGCATGAGCGTCCGTTTGGAGACATGTTGTATCCATATTCAGGGCAGGCACACTGATAACTGCCAGGAACATTCACACACTTATAGGTGCAAAGATGGCCGATACTCTGGGTGCACTCGTCGATGTCTGGATGAAAAATGAGGATTCATATCATGTGAGACTCATCATAATTCGAACAAGTGCGGTTTAAATGTGCGTAACAGCGCCTCACCATCGCAGGTGTGCCCATCTTCTCTCAGGTAGTAGCCCTGCCTGCAGTAGCACTGGTACGATCCGTACATGTTGGCGCACTCCTGGCTGCATGGGCTGGCCAAACACTCATTCACGTCTGCAGATGAGCAGTTTGAGCTCATTACTGTCACTTTTCACTTGATCAAAGGATTCTCTATGTTTATATCCTAACATATAAACATGATGTTGTTATTAAGCCAATTATGTTTTTTACTGGTTTGGCTTGGAGGCATTGGATGATGTACAGCTATAATACCTCTAGCTGCAAATCCTCTTTTGCAACATGCTGCGCGGAGGATGTTTGATATTATAAGCTTTGTCTGGGAATCTGCACTTTTCATTCACACACAGAGGGATAATTTCACACGCAAATCCACAAAAACATACATCCACATGCACCAACATGTACACATAGATGCACACACACATACACTCACTCGCACACACTCGCACCTTCACAGTTCTTGCCGTCGCTGGATAAGCGGAAACCAGTGGTACAAGTGCATTCATATGACCCTGGGGTGTTCTCGCAGGTCTGGGCACACAGGCGGCCCGGGTACTGCCAGCACTCGTTTACATCTGCAAGGAAGACGAAGGAGAGGCAGTGTCATCATCATCTCTGTTTAGTGTGTGTTGCGTTTATGTGTTTGCATCCATGTGTGCAAGTGCGATCGACCGAGCGTGAGCTGGGTGGCATACGTGTGCATGCCTGTGCGTGTCTATGTGTGCATGTCAACGAGAGTGTGATGTGAGGGGACCAGCTGCCTGCTGATAGTCTAAACACTTGAGCGGAGTCCATTATCATGAGAGTCACAACACAGTGAATCACAAACAGAGGGAGCAGCAGCAGCAGTAGCAGGGGCAGAGCGGAGTCCTCTGCGGCAGGAGACGTGATCGGCCCAGTGGATATACTGCAAAGCAAAGTAAAGCCGGGGAGGCAGCAGCAGCAGCTCTCCCACTGCAGAATAATAAACAGGAGCAGCAGAGTAGTCAGGCGGAGAAGAGGGGTGGCTCTACGCTGGTGTGAAAGAGTAGAATGAAGCAATGAAGGAGAGGAAAGAATAAGAAGACGAGCAAAGCAGAGAGAGAAATGTACAAGAATCTCAACTTCTTCCACTTAAAAATAGTAGCAGATCTGATTATAAACAACATACCCACACACATCCTCCTGAAAGAGTCGTACTGATAGCCTGTTTGGCATTCACAGCGGTAGGAGCCGGGCAGATTGTGGCACAGCTGGCCCTCTCCACACCGATGTAGACTGCTCTGACACTCATCCACATCTGGACGACATGTTTGAAATGAGATGGAAAAAAAAATGCAAAATGAAAATGCCACTAAAGTGCAACCACTTCAATAACAAAACACATTTTATTTAGGGCCAAGCCTTCAGCACAAGAGCGTGTAATTAGCTAAATTAAAGGTACAGTGTGTGGTTTTTAGCAGAGTGGACTTGGGAGAATTGGATTAATAGTATTTATGTATATATTTAAATCAGTGTTTAATCTCCTTAATGAAGCTGTTTTGTTTACTTATAATGAACCTTTTGGAGAGGGTCCCCTACAAAAGAGGCGGCCATCTTGCACTTCCATGTTTTACCATAGCATAAAATCATCTTATTATCAATTCTTTAGCAAGTTTATCACCATAACAATTGTGTTTTATGTCTTCTTGAGCAACAATGCAAGATGGTTTTACATATTTGCTTCAAACTGACTATTTTAGCAGCATGTAAAGTTTGCAAAAATCAAAGAAAGCCAATTTAAATGCAAAAAATGTAAAAATAAATTGTGTATGCATTGGGAAAACATGAGATTATTCTTCATAACTCTAACTCGGCACACGTGTGACAGCTACAAATCATACCAATGCATCTGGACCCATCAGGACTGGCATGATAGCCTCGACTACATACGATCTTCCTCTGACACATGAATGATCCCACTGTGTTTATGCAGTTGAATCCCAGACTGCACGGCTGGGCCAAAGCGTTGCACTCGTCAATGTCTGCATCACAGAAAGACAGAAGACGATGAAGACAGAAGACCAATAAAGACACAAAGTCACCGGGTACAGAGACCTGAGGGCAGCTCTTTAGCCACACTGTGATTTCAAAGCAACCACACAGCGCACACTCGCATTCCCCTTGTATAACTCTGTGGTGCGTGTGTGTCTGACATTTTCTCAATCTTCTAATATCTCAGAGCAATTCTTTTACACTTCTTTTTACAGGGGCGTCGGCTGCCTCGACATGCCTCAGTTCCTGCCCCTGGGGGCTAATTCCACAGCATCAGTTTGTACTGGAGGAGGACAGAGGATTGGCTTTTATCCACCCCTTCTGCAGCCCCTAACAGCAACTTCTCTGATCTCCTGTCTGTGTGGCATTTAACCCCTCTGACACTGCAGCCGTGCCGATTCACCTGCACGGTGTACACCCTTGTATTTCCGTGGACCTCCATTCAACTGTGGGTAAATTGTGTGCTCGTTCTGGGTCACACACTTGGGGTTTGAAGAGATAATACATCTCTAATAATAAAATTAATGATTTCTGTAATACACAACGAGACAAGAGACGCTTTGCTTTTTTGAATATCTATGTCAAGTGGAACATATCTAAGAGGGATGTCCAAAAAAACACTCTTCAAGTTGTTTCTTTCACTCTGTAGCACAAAAAATACTGAAAAAATTAAACATGTGACTTTCAATAACCGTCCATCCATCCCTCTGAAGTGTAATTTTACTTACCCATGCATACACCCTGTGAGTCCCGGTTGTAACCCACAGAGCAATGAGGTCTGGGGTTGCACCTAAACGAGCCCTGTGTGTTCACGCACTCAAACCCAGATCCACAGTTATGACTCTGCTGCACGCACTCATTGATATCTGAAAAAAGAGTAACATTAGCTGAAAAGTAATGAATGAAAATTAAACACAAATTACATATTTATTTCAGTCTAATACTTCACTAAAAACATCCAGGTTATAAAATATACCCATGCAATGCCACATTCTACCACCAGATGGCACTGTGGTTAAGTGGCTGAGTGTACAGCGACTCAATTTGACTGCTGTTCATCTATTATACAGCATCCCTAATCAATCCTCTCCAGAGGTTAATCAGGAGTGAAACAATTGTTTCACAGCAAAGGAGCATTATCTAAACTCATTCCTCTTTCTACAATGAGAGCGGTCTGAATGAGGTTATTATTTCACCTAGGTAAATACGTCTAATCAATGGAGTCAAACTGAGAGGAGCCACATGCAGTAGTTCCCTTTTGCAGTGTGAGAATTTACATTTCCATATATATATATCCACAGAGTCCTCTGAAACCGGTCTACTCGAGATTCTCTTTCTGCCAATCAAGCTCGCACATCTGTTGTGTAGCATTAACCAACGCTGGAGGGAAATCATAACCTCAAAAGAACCAAAACGAGGTGCGTAAGTTTAACACCCGTGTATGTGCATGATGTGTATGTATGAGTGACGGATGAGAGACTTAAGTGTAGCTGCAGTAATTGCTGTATGGAGGCCTAAAGGCAGTACAGGAGAGCTGCCTGCTGTTATAAGACAGGACTCCAAACAGTAAAAAGGGTGACTGAGCTTCTTCCTCCTGACACAAGCCTGGCAACATAGACAGGAGCAGAGTGAGAGAGAGAGAGAGAGCGAGAGAGAAGAGAAGAGCCAGGAAGGAGGGGAAGATATTCATATTGCATTACAAACTACACCTTTAAAACCACTATGCTCACCTCACTTCTTATAGCACTCTGTCAACATTACTTTAAGCTGTTATGAATACCTATAAACACTTATAGAGGTTGTTATAAATGTTCTTATGATGCATTATGGGAGGTAGTAACTGCAGATACATTATCTCTGATCATGGCACTGCTTTTAATGTTTTTATATATTTTGCTGTAAGATGTCTTCTGTATACTATCTGTAAAATTAATAAATAGAAATGCCATCAGAATAGTGTTTATTATTTGGGTGTGTTAGCTTTAGCTCTGTTTCCCACCACTTATTCCTCAGATACAAATTGCTCAACAGCTGCTTTGAAGCTACAAGTATTTATTTATTTTTAACATACCAGGCGATTAATAATTTTGACTATCCTCTTAATTTTTCCTCTCTAGCACCACCATGAGGTGAAATGCTGTATTTTTCAGTGAAGCCAAACTCGACAGCTAATTTCTCACTTTCATTCCAAATGAATTGGTTGAAAGATTTAAATTCACCCTCAGGACTCAGTACAAAAACTAAAAAAAACTCCAACCTTTAATCTAGTACCATCATCATATAAAATGTATAATTTGGCTAATATTGGCGAAAGTATTGTGATAGATGATGTTTATCTTTTAGCACTCTGACCCAAAAGACAACCCCACAAGCTAGCAGCTAGCATGGCTACAGAATGAGGACTGTGTTTGCTTCTATTTGATTTTTCTGTATGCTTTTATACAGTATCTTATCTGTATCTGAGAAAATGACCTGCAGAAGCATAAAAGAAGTCCACCACTGTATATCTATTACTCTTGTTTTCATTATATCCATTGATATAATGAATAGTTCTCTCTCTATGCTAGGCTACATCGAATGGTGTCATCTGAGCTTCACTAAGATGAGATTTCTACACTAAGACTGCTTAACGCTTATGGTTTCAGAGACAGTAGATACTGATGCAGGGTGGTAGATGGTAATTTATGGTAGTAATGGATTCATTTCGCTCAGAGAAGTGGAAAAAGATGCAGTTTCTTTTCGTTTAGTGACTTGGCTTCATTTGAGAGAAGAGAAAAAAAAAACATTTAATTATGGTCTCTTTGTAAGTCATGACTAGGGAGTAGGTTGTGCAGTAGGATGCTAAGCAGCAGCAGCTGTTAGGCGTCTTACTGTTAAACATACATTCTTGTTAAATTCTCATTTAGCCTGATTAAACATTCCTTAAGTTCAGGAGTAGCTGCACATTAGCCGGGTCTCCTTAAGTGAGCCCAGAGAAAACCATCTGCAGAGGCAAACAGCACATCAGGCTAAAAGTCATCTGAGGGGTCCTTTCTGCCTGAGCACTGCTGCTGCTTTATGAATGAGCCCTCTGCACCGACCAAATTTATGGTGCATGAAAATAATGAGACGTATTGGGAGGTTTACTACTGCGCCTAAAAGTTGGACACCACCCACTCATGAGGCCAGGCAGCTCTTTATACTGAGAGTTAACAGCAAGCAAACACAAGCAAAATAGCTCTCTGCACAAGGATTCCTCCTGACTACTCCATTTATGAGGACTTGGATGTGACTTTGCATGATCTCTGGATGAGGAGAGCCGCAGAAAAAAATCATTTTGAATGCTCCTTCTGCAGGAGGGTGAAGGCGATTGTTTGCCTGAACAATGTGCCTTCCTTAGATTGTGAACATGCTGTAAAACAAATGCTCGGCTGGTATCTACAACATATTTACTGCGAAGGAAGTGAGTCGTTTGGCGCTGATAAGGCGCTGTGTACCTTCACAGATGTCATTGTTGATCTGGTGTCCTGGGGGACAGGTGATCAGTCTCTGACAGATGTAACTCCCAGCCGTATTCATGCAGCGCTCATTCAGCTGGCAGGCATGCGCGGACAAACACTCATTTATATCTGGAGGTTTAAAAAAAAAAAGAAGAATACAAGACAAATGTGTCAGAGCGCATAAAGAGAATAAATGATGAAAAGTGCAGAGAAGAAGCTCGTGGATGAATATCTTTTGGAGAGAGGAGGCAGGGCCTGTGGTCGGTTTGAAACAGACGCAGATTAAAGAGACAGGTCAGACCATCCTCTAGGGGGTGGAGGATTATGGACAAGGCCAGAGGGTATAACATCCAAACGATGAGAAATTTGTCACCACGAGGAGTCTCTCTTTATGACACTGCCACAGTTTGTTGCTGTCAAACTGGAAACAAACCAATGGTTACGACCTTACTAATAGAAACATCCCCAAAGACGCAGCGTGGACGCTCAGGGCAGCAGCTGATCTGCCTCATGATACAACAATTAGTCCGACAGCGTTCTGAGCGAAAGTAGGAGAAATATCTAGGATGATTTCGCTCAGATATTCTGCGATGATGCATTTTGTCAGCACCACAGTGTGCAGCTGAGAATGAAGGGGATTAGGGCTGTATCTCCTCGAAAAATCTATGGGCGCTGATCAGAGAAAACTCAGTGCCAAGAAATTCTCCTCGACTGAAACGCAACTCCTCTCACTCAGAAAGAAAAATGAAAAATTGGCTCGAATTTCAAGACGTTTCTTGCTCGACTTTGGTTGCGATGCAGGTTTCTTACCCTCACAGGAGCGTCCGTCAACCATTAGGGAGAATCCGGGGAAACAAGAGCACTGCGGCCTTCCCCCAGCTGAGGTACAGTGTTGCTCACATGGGCTGTTCCCTGGAAAATAATACTTTACAGTGAGGTCAAATGAAATATAATTAAGTGCTTCACATGAAAGTGTTCAGATTGAAACAGGAGAGGGAGAATTTGGGGCTCTGGATGAAATACAAAGACATTATTTACTGCATTTGTCTTGACTCATTTCCCGTTTCCAGATTGATCCCTGACCTTGTTATATTGTATTTCCTACTTTTTGGCCCACGATGTAGTAGACCTCCACCCTGCTGTCATGGAAACCAAACAAGAGGAACAAAAGTGTGACCCTGAGCAGATTATGACATCGGGAACTGGTGAGAATGAGTGGCTGATGCTGAAAACAAAACTAACCTTTGATAACATCTCGCTGTTTGTGTTTGACATTTAAAGCGCGATTCGATTACGAGCAAAAGAAGAAATGGGAATAATAGTTTATCAGCACTTAACAGACTGTGCTGGCCTGGACTACATTTAGATGCGTGTTCCAGTGTTTGATAATGACACAAGGATGAATGAAAGTGCTCATTGAAGCTCCCCTCATTACAAGGTATGTTTCTAACCTTCGCAGGGGTTGAGTAGGACAGATTGCTGGGTGGGAGGTGGAAGCGTTGAAGTGGGCTCCTCCGCCACTCTGCCGTCCTCTTTCAGCCTGTTCTCCTCATCCGTCGACTCTGCAGGAACATGAATAATCACATCACAGAGGCGATGAATTACACTGTAATCAAGAATCTCTCCTCTCCATCTACAGCCTGCTTTAGTTAGAGGCTTTAACCTTGTGGAGTTTCTCCATTTCCATGCTGCAAACTAGGAACTGCGGCGAAAGATGAAAGCTGTTATAGTTGTGAAGGTGAGGCAGGAAAAAACACACTGCCCGCAGACAAACATTTGGTTTTATTAGTCAGCCCCATCCTTCACTGTAATTTGCAGGGAGCTCTGGCATTAGAATCCTGTTGGGACAGGCTCATGTAGGCGAAAGCAACTGTTGATTAAAGTCTGGTGCACTGCAGAAATGTCACACAGCATCACATGAGAAATATTTCCAAACTGATCATCCGAGCAGACGTTGAATCACTTCATACGAAGCAGAGAAAATGTTTTCTTCTGCTGTAAAAGCCTTCTGACAACAGGAGGGATGAGATTAGCTTAGCATTGCTGTCAGTCCAGGAAAGGGATGTTGGTGTGTGATTAGAACAACTATTATTAGGCAGTATCAGACCCAGCAGACAGGAAGGAACCCACACAGAGCAGGAAAATAATACACCGTGGATGTGTAGACAAATTATATCAAATGGGGTCTTCCTGACGGGAGAGCAGACTATAAATCTTAAATCAAAGAGCAAATGACACACAGAGAGAGTCTCTTTCCTGTGCTCAGGCATCACAAGTGGAAATGTCTGTTCACGCTGTGAGACAAAACAACAACTTTGGTGGTCTTCTCTTTACCTAGGGCACAAGTGAAAGCGTCCTCCTGCAGCACGTAGCCAGGGAAGCACTCGCACCGGAAGGAGCCTGGAGTGTTGATACATCTGTGGTGGCAGATGTTGCCCTCGTATATCAGGCATTCGTCCATGTCCTCCACCTCCACTGTGTTTTCCCCATCCCGCTCCTCCCCGATGGAGAAGGCTTCTTTAGGGTATGGACTGTCAGACACTGCGGCACATGGAGGGAGAGAGGGGCTGTTGTTCTCTCAGGGCGACAAAACTGTGCGATGATTTGAAAACGCAAAAAAAGTTCATTTCCTCAATGGAAAGGAAAACACATCGGGAGGATTTCCTCTCTCATTTGTTTAAGTGTAGTATTTATTTGTGCAAGGACAAACATGCAGCAATATGCCAAATTGTTCACATTGTGCACAAGTTCGGAATGCTCCTGCATACAAAGGCTGTTGAAAAACCACAACATAACAAGATGCACAGAGATATTTTCTGTCAGTTTCTCGAAAAGAGGATTTTTTCTGTCTTGTTGATGCACCAGTAGATAAGGAAATATACAAAAATTAAATGTGCATAAAGATGGAAAACATCCTGATCAAATTCTGGTGCAGAATCAGTCGGACTTAGAATATCACCAGCTGCATCCTGGACGTCGAAAAGGATTTACCACAGTGCTGTGCAGAGTCACACAGGCTCTAGAGACTCGCAGTACAGAGGTGACTTGGTCCATTATACTTTGTTCTGGGAGGCCAATGAGGCGAGCCATTTCTCAGCAAGGTTGGAGGATCTTGCTACCATGCTCCTCTAACAGCTAGTATAAAGAAAATTGATTGTCTTAGGTTTCAGTCTGGACTTTTCCCTGGCAGAGGACTTGTGTGTGTGTGTGTAAGAGTGTGTGAGTGTGTGTGTGTGTGCAGCATGCTCCAACCCGACAAAAGCCCTTTTCCTGCACAGTTTTTGACTTGTGTGGATAATTGCAGCCTGTACCTTTTTTTGGAGGTGTAGTAATGTTGACAGCAGGCTTTACTCTAACAGGGTGCCGGCCATCCTGACCACCAGCTCCGGTCCCTTCACCCTCGCAGCAGGTTAGGAAGACGTGTCTGCAGTGGAAGCCCAGGTACTGGTGGGCTTCACAGTGAAGCCCCTCTCTGCGGAACTGCAGTCCCAGAGAGCAGCAGTCACAGCACTCCTGCAAGGTCACAACACGAGCACTCATGTTTCATGTGCGTAGCAGCTGTAGTTGGTAAACATTTATAAATACTTGCATGCACAGATTAGCATATTTATCCAATTAAATAGAAAAGATAACACTGTTCTAGATGCTGCAGGTAATGTTTTATTCTAGTCATGCTACTGGAGACCGCACACAGAAATACTGCGATAACCATCAGATAGATTGCCATTATTTATTGCCATATTATTTAGCAATCCCAAGGTCCACAGATGTTTGCTTACTTTGCTGTTTCACCCACTTTTTTTCTGCAGCAATAAGCGATTTATAGTAAAATGTCTCAGAACTGAATGATTTGCTATAAATTGAGTACCTCTAGTCATTTTGTCTAGTAAGTGAATTTAAATGACTCTGATCATTCTCACAGATGCAGCAAGTATTTTCTTCAAATAAGCAATACTCTTTGTATCAAAATGCTGCCAAAAGCACCAGAAGTAAAAGTATGAATAAGAAACAACAAGTCATGACGGGTTCACTCTGTTTAGTTTTGTCTTTGTTTTGTATTTTCCTGTATTTCTTTCTGTGCTCCTGTATTCATTATACTTACAGTATGTTCCTGTTGTCCTTGTGTTTTCCATATTTTACTCCCCACCTCAGTTTCCAATGTTCCTGATTTATTTTTTCTTGTGTGTAGGTCAAAATTTTACTACCTTGGTTTTCCCCCTTTTTTGATTAATCATCAGTTTCACCTGTTTCTCGTCTTTCTCACCTGTTGCTCATTTCCCTATGTGTATATAGTCTCTGTATTTCCCCTTTTTGCTGGACATTTGAAAGTTTTTGTTTGCCTTTTATTTTGAAATTTGAAGTTAGGTCTATATTTTGTGTTCTTTTACTTTTGTTGAACTCTTTCACATGAGATTATGACCCCTGCAGAGTCTTGAATGTATCAATAAGTGTGAACATCTCAGTAATAATGTGGATAGTTAAGGTTGGACCTATTTTCAGTACTTTATATACTGCTGTGCTCCTTTGACTGTCTGTCTCTGTTTCTAAAATGTCATTTTCTCATGAAATATATTGACAGTTTTTCTGTTATTAATCTTAAAGCCCATAGTAACTCAAGTTATCAATAAATGTAGAGGAAAAACTGATTTATACTCCAGTAAAAGTATAAAATCTCCCGCCAGATTAAATAATATTCAAGCTGTAAAATACTTAAAGCTCCTGTATTAAGTTTTTAACTCTATGAAACAGCCTGAAATCCAACCTGATACCTGCTCATGAACTACAAGTGCAAACAACACCATCAGCATAAAATAAGGAAGTCCCATTAACTGTGTCTATTTTTACTTTTATTTTTAAAGTCAGAGACCACGAGCAGGGAGCAGGTACCAGTCATACTGACCAGCATCCTGCTGAAACACCCTTTTTTTTATTACATTTTCCATGGCACAGATTAGGTCATGTGTTTGACTACTAAAACAAAGCAGGGTGAGGTTATTTGCTGAAAACACTTAAGTCAAAATCAGCTCCAAGAGAGGAGGTACAACTTTGAATTCCCACAGCGAGCTCTGATTATAGTCTTAAAGTAAATGTAGTTGTTAATTTTCATGGTTAATAAATCTTTGAATCTTGCCCTTGTACCGCGGTTAAATTAGTACTTCAAATTTTAATTCATTTTCTGCTTGACTGTACAATTTTTCAAGGTTTTAAATCTAACATATTACTTTTAAAAGGTAACAACATTCAATTTTAATTACCGGATATCAGCGTTAACCCAAGCTGCAGGTTTACTGAGCTTAATTGTCAAAGCCACCGGTGCAGCTGAACTCTAAATTTGATGAATCCAACTTCGGTGGTTAAACAGCCTCTCACTCTGTTTACCTCCACAGCTCTCAGCAAGATCAGCACTTGGAGTGCAGGGGGTCAGGGCGAAACATAAAACTGAGGTAATGACCACTGTGATGTGCAGTGGCTGTAGATGGCCTAATATCACTAAATCTGCAGGGGTGCTACAGAAAGGTGGTGAAAGGCGATATTTAACAGCTGAACTGCTGCACAGAGTCAATAACGGCCCCTTGCTGCTCAGGGGGCCTCAGGGCAAGTAAGTGTGTATCCCTCCACTTTGAGGTCGGATGGCAAACGGGTGGCTTTGAGAAACTGTATGACTTTACCCTCATTAGTGTCCATATTAGCCTTGTGTCTACAGATACTGGAGTTTAACGACATCAATTATCAGTCTGTGGCTCCATAATTTCAGAGGGGGACTGATGTTCAAGTCTGCTTTGGAGATGGAAAAGTAGAGCTAAAGGACTGTGGGAATTTTCACTTGTAATTAGCGCTTAATCATTTAGTCTTAACAGAATAAGCTAATTAAATAACAGGGAATTGGCCCCAGAGTAGTAACACTCAGAGGAGATATCTTGAGAAAAGTTGCTGCAGAGAGAATTTTCTGGCTACAAACAGGTAGCAGCTACACGTGTTTTCAATTCTGCTGACTAACTCATTTATCAGAGACTAATTCGTCCTGTATCAGGCTTAATTTGAAGTTTACAATGCGGTTAAGTTTGTGAACCCAGTGAACTGTTTCTGCCCTTTGCTGTCTGGTCACAAATACTTGCCTCGTAGGAATTGATCTCGCATTTATCACTGGCATCGCCGCACATATTACCAGCTTTGGCGGCATTCATCCCGGCCAAGCACTGATTTTCTCTCAGGGAACCAAGGCAGCACTGTTGTTGGGCAGTCCTGGCAGAGAAAAGCACACAAGAGAGAGGTCTGCACAAGTGTTTTGGACTGCAACTGCGGCCCTACAGCGACAAGGAGTGTCTGGCTGTTAAATTGAATTAGGGGAGAGACTGAAACCAAAGTAATTTACCAGTCATGGTTTCTATGAATAAGGGGTTATCATGTGACAGATCATTTGAGATAACACCTCATAATAACGGCAATTATTAGTCATGATGTCATTCTAATCACCCATCCTCAAATCATCTTGTTGGTATGTCTAATGATGCAGATAAACGGCTTACCTATTCACATAAATAAGATGATTGACTGTCTGCAGAGCCAAATGGCATGAATGGGCGTTTAATTATGACCTTACCAGCAGATGGAGTGCCTATCTCTTGTGGGTGGCTCCATGTCGTTGCAGTGACCATTAGCCGAAGCCCATTTCTCTCCTGTCTCGCAGCAGGTCACCACCAGCTCCTTGGCAGACACTATATAATGAAACGCAAACACACGGTTGCAGAGTTAACCCACTCAGCGGTCAGCACAGACAGTGTTTCATAATTCATATTTCACAATGTAAATCCAGGTGGGAGATATTTAGCGACTTCATATATGATGCTGTAAAATCCAGTTATTATACTAGTCACAGAGGTAGATTTAGAGCTGCTTGCATGTTAAGGGTAAAATCTGTGTTCCTTGACTCTGCTCTCATTTTTCATTGGCAGGAACAAATATAAAACCCTAATCCTCTTTAAAATTACCTTCAGAGTAAAACAGTCACATCCTAGCAAAGAAAAAGCAGGGTCAGAGTGAGCAAGTAAAAATTAGCACTTCATTCTAAACTGGGTCAGGGAGCAGACGGGGCAAAAAAACACATTATCCAGTTTACAGGAGAAATGTACATGTGTTACTTCAATAACAGGGCAGTGCATTCCTGCTTTGATTTGTGGCCCCTGTACGACTGTAGAAGAGGGGAAACTCATGACAACCATGTCTTCACCTTCATCAGGAACACCAGACAGGTTACAATGTTGGATGTACACACAGTAAAATACATATTTTTGAAATAGTTGACTGAGGGATGGATGTTTCAACTTTAGCAAACCATGACTGATCTACTGATATGATATAATAACATACTTTTAGACTTTTATCACTGCTTTACATTGAAAGTTGAACTAAACAGAGTATTCAGTTACTGTTTCATATGGCAAATGCTGTCTTTCAAGCTGCAGCTTCAGGGCAATACCAGCGCAGAACAGAGAGCATATTATGACCTTGACCTGAAGCCATGCTTGCAGTTACTTTGAGGTAAATGCTTATGTGAGCACGCTAACTTCTCCTTGAGCACAGTTGGGGCAGGGGAGTGACTTATTACTTTTACATTCACTCAAGTTACAGTATTTAAGAAGCTTTTTTAAGGTTTTTAAAATCTGACCTTCTGTTTTATTCATAAGATTGATTGAATAACATCTACACTAAAAACTTCTAATCTTTCAAAGTCTAATTTCCTTTACCTGACAGCTTCGAATATGAGTTTTACAACAGTTTTTATCAAGCCAACATTATCTTGATAAGTTCCTTAAAATACAGATGACTAGTTGAAGTGCTGACCTGCTGCACTGGCAAATATTTACACTCATTACTATCGATTAATATCTTAATTTGGGTGAAAATGACAAGCCTCTACGCACAGCTAGCCAAGGGACCGTCTACAAAGTGCAATTAGGACAAAAAAAGCGATAAACATGTTTATTAACTTCACTCTGGATCAGTGCAGAATCAAAGCAGTTGGTTAAATCACAACAACTTATTATTTTTTTACATAACTTGGGGGGATATCTTCACCTCAGTCAAATCAGTCATGTCCAATTCTGGTCCTAATATACTTAGCTCTGTTTTATATGAGCTTGAAAAAGTATTCGCTCTCTGTAGAGTTGTAATGAAAAAAGAAATGAGACATAGGGAGAAAAAGCAGTGTTTTATATATATATATATACTGGGCTGATTAAACATGATTCTAATGGCTGCAAAAAAGGTCAATTTATAAGCTCTCATGGGGTTTTCTTTGCTTATCAAGAGAGCATTTAAGGGACTGCAGGTTTTTGCACCTCTGCATCGGCTTTATGTATTCAAACCAGAGGCTGCTGTTTGTATTAACTCAGCTTAGCATACCAGACTATTATAGAAAACGTGAATCTACTGGTGGTACTAGAGGGAAATCTAGGGGATCCCATAAGTCATTAGGGTTCATCCCTTGTGGCTTTGAACGTTTCTCAAAATGTCATTGATGATCACTCGAATTTCAGTCTGGAAAAAATTGACCAGATAATTGTCAGACAGAATGACATTGCGGCTAAAAACCACACAAATAACCTCTTAAAATTGATTAGCCTCTCGAACTGATTGGTCTCACATAGCATGGTTTGTTCCAGCGTGTTACAAGCTTTTAATGTGTGTGCAGGTCACACAGACAAAAGGCCGAACAGACACCTCACTGCATTTCTAAGCAGATGAAGTCCAACACAGACGGCGAAGACTTTCGCAAGGTCATTCTTGTCTTAACTTCCAGATCCACTTTATTTCTGTCTAAATACCTCTCCTTGACTTCTCAATACATAAGAAGACCAAAGCAATTACTCTGAGGATAGAGCCGACTGCTGCTGCTGCTGCTGCGGCGTGCATGATTTAAAGGTTTAGAAAAGAGAGGATCTAAACCTTGCAGGCACAATGACTCTTTGAAACATAACTACAGAATCTGTGCCAGCCATGCAGTTAAACAAGAAGTCCCTTTGAACCTGAGTGAATGTATATTAAAAAGACAGAGTTATAATTATTCACTCCTTTCATTTTCTTCAGGTTGAATCAGTTCATTCTCCCATAACATTATACTAATTTCTACAGAAAGTGAGATGCATGCAGAGTTAACACATACATGCAGCTCTTCATCAGAGGATTGAGCGGATTTCTTTTTCTCACACCGAAGACAAACCGCAGGATGTAACAATGACAAACTACCGTAGCTGAGCTGTATCATAGTCGAACCAGATCTCTTCCTGTCTCTTTGACAGACCTTCTAATTAAGCCAAGATCACAACCTGTTCCACTCCGAGCTGTGCAATAATTAGCTCGGCTGATTTACTGCACTTGCAAAAATGGAGATGTTGAAAAAACACACTTGAAAGGTGGAGCATCTTTCTGTTCCAGGCCTGTCATTATATTTGGTCGTGAGGGGCACTGACACCAGACGCTTTGCTCTTGTCTAAATCCAAAACTGGTGACATCACTCCCTCCGCAAATACGGCGCAGGGATAACAACCGAAAAGGGGGGGAACAGCTCTGAACATGTCCGGAGGTGTCATAAAGCGGTGAGCTGCCACTAATCAAAGCGCATGTGTCTTTACTTTTGTGGACTTGGCAGTGATTTACAATACAGAGGGGCTGGAGAGAACAGGACCAACCATGTGAATAACAGTGCACACCGAAGGTCCATGACATACAAACATGAACATGTCAGATGATTGATGATGAAAGCTTAAAGCATCATCCGCGTGTGTGTGTGTACGAGTGTGTGCAGGCATGTGTGGAGCTAAGGAGGGGGTGACATCGTTCCTCTCACCTCCAGCACGGGTACTTGAAAAGATATCGTGTCTGTCGAAACACATAATCACTGTCCAAGAACAGCTGGCTGTGACATAACAGGGAGGGCTCCCCTGCTGTCACTATGACTTCATCTTCAAAAAAGGCCAAATCAGGTTTCAATTATTGACAACATAATCCCCCCCCCAGGCTGTAAGCCAGAAGTCATGTGATGCATATTTTTGTGGTGTTAATCAAGGTTAAAGTTAGTCAATGTGAGCTCATCGAACTCAATCTTTGATGGTTCATGTGGAAACTTCCAAACAAATGACACGTCTTTGTGGTTAGATAAGATGATGAAACACCTAGGTACAAGGACGCCAGGACTTCCCAATGTTGATCCTTGGAATTAAAACAGCGTCTAGCCGGTCTTTCCAAAAGATGTTTCCACAGTCATGAGAATCTTAACAATCTAAACAACCTCACATCAGTTTTTAGGACCATTTTTTGCATATTAAACTAGTTAAATACATCCTTTGGCACAAGTCTGACCAAAATATCAGCCAAAGTCCTGTAATCTGAACCTGTTTTCTACCTTGTTATGTCTTATGTATTCCTAGTATGTTAAAAAAAAAAACAGGAAATCTGATTTGTGTTTTTGCCAAAGGAAATCCGCCCAAATCCCAATTTCTGGACAAATGGATAAAAATAACACTGAGGCCTATTATTATCTAATCAGCTGGTTTTAGAGCTCCGCAAATCCAATTAAAAGCAACTTATTTCTGCATTACAAATAATTATATCCATGAGGCATTCATATTTATTTAACAATTCTCATTTTACTCTATTTAAATGGGGCTCCATCACATACTTGTCTACTACCTGCAGGGGATGATAGCCAGCTTAACCCCAATGTTGAGAAACAAGCTGAATACTGGGTCAGCTCTACCAAACAACAGGGATAAATCTTGAGAAAACACTATTTCCTCTCATTACGAAGGCATAGAAAGGGAAAGAGGGAAAAACCAAGAGCAAGGGGGATCTCAAGCAACATATTGATACAGGTGTCTAAACCAGGAGCCCAGGACCACAAGACGAGAGATGCTGCTGTCACAAGAGGGACGACAACAAGACTTTCTGGATAAGAGGATACCAGAGGATTACCTACAACTACAGTCTCCATCACTCACCAGTCTCTCTAAACGCTGCTATTTTCCCCACTTTGTTTCATTTTCTTAAGTTAAATCAGAAAACCAAACATGCCAAACAAAAGTGCGGTTGCATTGAATCTTTTTAAATTGGCAAAACCCATGATCCACCTGTTAAAAATATACTGTGTTTGCTGTTCAAGATGGAGGCTGAGCTGAAATAACAGTCTACAGCTGTTACTGTCAGACAGATAATGATGTTCAGCATTTTTGCTTTAATTATGTCAAGCTGAGACGCAAAAATATCAAAGTTAACAACATTTAACGCAACATTCACAAATGAGTAAATAGTCTAAGTGATGCAGTGTGTTTGTATAAGAAACTGTTTGCTTTGTCAGCTGTCAACATCTGTTTACAGCCGCAGCAGATCTGTTATTTGGTTCTAATTTATTACCATGCAGTGGGTTTCTTTTATGAGTGGTTTCCTGCATTTGGAGCAGATGTTTATTTTAATTTGTAAGCACAGGCAACAAGTGGATCTGGTGGTTTTTCAGTAGGGCTGTGTTTGTGAGTAGGAGATACGCCAAATTCCTGGAAATGACCTGAAAGGCACCCCAGATTAACCGAGATGAGCTTTCTTCTTCACACTGTTTTTAACACTGGTGGTGGTGGTACAGGAGGAAGAAGAAAAAAAAAAGCTCTCACATGGCCAGCTCTGGAATTCACCCTCCCTCTCATCCTGAGGAAAATTATACATCTGATCAGCCCACTCCCATATGCAGCATGCTGTGACGGTGCTGTAGATTAGAAAACAAGCACTCTTCCAATTCAAGTCAATATTGTAGTTCGAGTTTGATGAAGTAGGAAGAGGAGTAACTGCAAGGAGAACACGTGGAGGTGTGCTTCAGATGAAGTGATTACTGGGAAGATTGGGAAACCAGCAGCCTCACGGGAGACGGGTAATCACAGCGGCTCATGTGGGAGCGGTGAGTAGCGTCTGGCAATCAAGCCACAACAGTGCTCTCATTCATCACATGGGTATTATGCTGCTCACAGGTACAACCCCCCAAAGAAATCCTATACCAGGTCCAGCCCGGCATCAAAAAAGCCCAAACAATCCCATCCCCCTTCCGAGCACAAGCTATGTCTGGTTGGAAAGTGAGAGAGAGGGCAAACAAGCAGGAGCTATTGACTGAAAAGAGAACATTTCAGGCTCTGTTCCACTACAAACGGAAGCTTGTTTATGTTGAGAGAAAAATGGTTTTATTCTTGTTGTGCTTACTTTCTCCCTTTTTTTCCCCTCTTTGAATATCTCTGGTATTCTCAGCTAATGGCATCAATAACAGGCATTAGTCAAGCTCCTTATCAGCTGGGTTTTTTCCTGTATGTGCTTGAACATGTCACCGCTCTGGAAATCTTCCCCCAGTCTAGTGACCTCCACCAGTGAACCCTTACAGCAAGACCAGTTAGTTCTAGCTCCTCATACCAGGACAAAAATACTTCTATTTTCAACTCAGAAGAACTTCTTCTGTGAAGCTGTAACTCCCAACTAAAAGAGCTGGACTTCATCCTAATGCACTTATGAGCTGTTTGGAAAAACCTTGGAGAAAGTTAGTCAGAGAAAACTCAAGTTTTTTTCCTCTTGTTCTGGTGCTCACACACAGTTTCACATTTTACCCAGACTTGACCTCGCCGCGTAGCTCTCCTCAACAGAATGGGGCACAGTGATCAGCGACAGAAAGTCTATTACTTTATGCCACTCAGTGTACCTGACAGGTACCTCTAGAGTTCACTCCGACAGAAGCACCTCACACATGGGCTCAGCTTAAACGATACATACCTATGAGGGCCAGGTGCTGAAAGGAAAGAAAAGCCCTGACAGGTCTGGACAAAAATCATAGTGTTGTAAAGTAGGTTAACCACACGCCTACAGACTGCAGTTTGCCGGACAAAACACCTCATACGAGATCTCAGAGTCCTCGCCGAATCCGCTTTTGCAAAAGATTCACTGACGCGGTAATAGGAATGAAACGACCTAATACATTTAACTCATTCATATTTTAGAATAATAGGGAACATGGGATACTGTGGGACTACCCTGAGCAATAAAGTCATACTGTAAGGGAGGTGATGATCTAATTAGGTTTCCTCGGCTGCAGTTTATTAATCATTCACAGTTATGGGGCTGTGTAAAATCACATTATTCCTTTAAGCTACAGCATCACACATTTTGAGGATTTTACGGCGCCAGATTTGATTATGGGTATATTAATTTTTAATTTAATGTAACCTTACTTTACATTTTGGAATAAGACATGGTGTTTTATTTCTTATTCTTCACACAGCAGTGTTTCTCATTTTCTAGACAGTCTTGTTATCACTTCATCATCTGCTCTCTCCTCTGCGGTAGACTGGCCCGTTTGCCCTAAAGGGGAGATGACCTGTTTGAGCGCATATTGAGAATCACAATAAGGATATAGGCGGGGAGAGAGTGCTCACAGGAGGATAAATACGATAAATTGCAATTTTCAGCAGCACTTGCAGGGTTTATCGGATATATGAGGAGGCATGATAATGTAAATATGCTGCCTGGCTGTGTGCTACATACTATTTAAAACCCTCAAGAGGAATAAATGCAGGATTCTTTCAACCTGAATGTATGAAAATAAGTACACACTTAGTGTGGTAGTCTCGTGGCTCGGGTGGATAAATGCTATCGAGGGAAAACAGACTCTTCATGAACGATTGTTTCTTCTGGACCACTGCCAGCTAGAAAAGAGCGATTAAGAATTCCACCTCAAAAGGCAGGATGTGAGAAAAGGAAACGATCTCCTGAAAGAGCAATGGGCTAACATTGTAATAAAGCAAACTGGAACGGTGGCCTTTTCCCCCTTGATGTTATGATCAGGGTGGGAGGCTTAAGTTTGGTCTAAATGTCAAGGTAACCCATTAACTACCATCAGGAAACACCTAAGATCACCATTCAACCACTTTGCAGCTAACATTACTACAGGTGAGGACTTTACACCCTGCAAATTAAACAATCATATCACACCATTAAATGATAATGTTAACATTTTTGTCCATTAACCAGGAATTTATGAAGCCCCATTAAAGTTATTTCACACCACTGAAGAATGATGTGAAATTTAAGACAGTTTCTAAAAACTTGGAAGATATTCTGACTTAGCCAGTTTTGCCAAGCAGCTGACTTATACGCTTCATGTACTGAGGCTATAGACCCTAAAGCGGGCAGCCTGGCCTCACATCCCTTTGCTGAATGTCATACCTTGCTCTCTCATCTCGGTTTCCTGCTCTGCCCGCTGCTCCACTCCCCTCACAAAGGCATGAAAAACTCACCCCATTAAAAAAAGAAAATTCTGACTTACTCTCAGCATCCTCCTCTGCATCCTGAGTGTGGTAGTTGAGGAGGGTCTGGGGTTGTCTTTGAGGCTGCTCTCCATCCTCTTTCATCCTGACTGGAGCTCTGTTGGTGGGGCTGAACTGTATTGTAGGGTAGGATCCCTGCTCCTCTCTACTGGGGTGCTGTCTGCGCTCAGAAGTCACTTTCTCTCGCTCTTTATGGCCTACAGTACGGGAGCCACCATGGTTCCCAATGCGACTGCCTTGACTGTGTTTGTGATGGCCAGAGTGCCTGGCCCCCTTGTTTGCACGGGTCGAGTGTACTGTGTCTTTCAAAGTGTTTCCTTCACCGTTATGCCTTTCAACCCTTTCAGCAGCCTGCTGTTGGTTCTCCATGGTCGCCGTGGCTGTTGTAGTTAATGTTGTCGATGTTTCGCTCTGAGCACCTGTAGTGGTGGGATCGGTGTGATGTGAGTCCTCAGCCTGACTGCTCCTCTCTGGAAGAGGGCTTCTCTGTGTTTCCCTCAACTCCTGTCTCCTGTAATCACCGGAGCTGGAGGAAGTGGAGCTTGACTTTGAGGAAGGTGCCGGTGCTGTAGTAGATTCCGGCGGCTGAGCCAAATCTTGGATGGTGGAAGATGTTGGCCCTGCCTGCGTGTAGTCATAATTCCCTCTGCCAAAACTGGGTGGGTCCGGCTTGTACAGTGGTAAAGTGTTTCCCAGTGCCAGCTTGGAAAGTGGTCCGACAGAAGTCGTTTGTTGCCTGTCATGACGGTTGTTAATGTCTCTCAAAGGGTTGTTGTTCTCAGTAGTTGTAACCCTTGAGGGCTTATTAGAACTGCGGAGGCTACAGCCGGGGATAGGTGAGCACATTAACCTTCCACCTTCATTTGGACAGTGGCAAACTTGGCATTTATTTAACTGGAAGGAGTGTCCCGCCTCATACTTCTTGTTGCCATGGGTACAACCAATTTGTCTACATTGAGGACATCCATCAGCAGGCTGGGAAATATCAATGCAGTTGGGGGAAATTTCAGGGCAGGGGATAAAATGGCAGCCTATCTTCCCTCCTCCCTGCGGACAGGAGCATTCAGTGCTTCCAAAATCCACAAAGTAAGACTTTCCCTCTGGGACTTTCCCCCTCCGGAAGCCTGCCTGGATACAGTCGTAGTACTGGTAACCCTCACAGGTGCAGCCCTTTTGTGTACAGGTGGGACAGCAGGCACCCTTCTCTAAAACAGTCTCAATGCAGTTGTCCTGGGAAGGACAGTCCACACCTGTGCAGTCTCTTTGGCTTGTACAGGAGTCCATAAACAGAACCATCCAACATAAAAATAATAATGCCCTGTGATTATCCATCTTGCTTTCAAAAGTACTTTAAAAAATTTAAATCTCAGCGCAGGTCTTCAGGATGAAAGCCACTTCAGGCTCGATTTCACTCCAGATGAGAAAAATATTTCTTGTCTTTCAGCCTGTGAAAGTTATCAAAGGTTTATTTCATGTTTCATTTGTACAATCAAAATCACTTTCCATATTCAAACCTGTCTGCTTCAATTTAACCACCTGCTGATTGTACATTTTTTCCATCTGCGGTCTTTTTGCACCACAGGAAAGCTGGAGGCTGCGGTTTGTATTTGATTGCACATGGAAAATTTTGCCAAAGGGTGGGTTGACTTTGGAAATGAGTGCATTACTAATGAACAAAAGTTATCAGCTGATGAAAAATAAACACTGAAATAACAAACCCTCCCTTTTGAAACCGTTTGCTGCAAAAATATTTTCTTAATTCTTATCTGAATCGTCATGAAACATAAGACTGATGAATGGTGCAAATTTTGTGCAAATACAGTCATCTGAGCCGATAATTCATTTCTGCTTGTGGAGCATGAACTGTACCGGCAACCCGCACTCTTACAGGGTTGACAAATATCTATTATCATGCAAACCAACAGCAGATATTTATAACCCATCTACAGTCTTGTATGTAAAGTGCAGAAGAGAGCTTAATATTCTTTGAAGACAGCGTGGCACCGTGAAATCAGACTATGACTGACTTGATCCTGTGAGTAAGTGATGTGACTCCAAATCAGAGAACCAGGTGTTTTCTATTTCACTTTTCCTGTTATTCCTCCCCTCTTGCACTTGTGCCAAGCCTGAAAGACTTAAGCGACATTTTATGCTAAAAAAGGACTCAATATGAGAGAGGGAATGAAAAAAAAAACTCTTTATGATAAACTTGTTTTCCTGCTAAAAATGTTTGTGGTTGCGGTGCTCTTTCACAACCTATTTTCTTATCACATTTTTCCCAAACTACATGCCCTTGGAGTAAATTCCCACCATAAGAGAGGCAGCAAAGGTTAGCAAACATTGACAGATTACTTTTTTCCTCCGCAGAAACAGACAAGGCATGAGCTGTAATACTGGATTGGATGAGAAAATAATGAGACATGGGAACTTGCTTATTTGAAGTGTGGCTGCCTGAATGCCTGTGCACTCATGAATAAAAATCTTTTTCTAGCTTGAGCACCTGGCCACACATGTAGAACATAAATAAATACATATTTGATGCCCTCTGAATTATCATTGACTCCATAAAATGAACAAAACATGAGTAGCTCTGTCTCCATGTAAAAAAGAATTCTCACTAAACATTCAGAGCACACTCACAAAACCCAATTCCGTATGATTGCCTGCAATGTAACGCAGACAACAGACCACCTGCAAAGAAAATTTGATGGACTGGGCATGAAACTCAGCTTATTGTCCCTCTGAAGACCCCGGTAGAGCTGCTCTCTGTGGATCTACCGAGTTATTTGTTCTGCTATCAGTCCAACAAAGAATCTCAAACAGGGACTGTGTGCCTTGCCATCCCAGTAGCCAAAAACTGACCTTTATCCCTCTGCGTACTGTGACCTGCAAGTGCGCGCACACGTTACGCACAATCAATACTCAACATACTCAAACACTACTCATTCAAAATTGCCAATGAGTAAGAAAAACAATGCAAATAATGATAAAGTGAACACTTTCCTGTAAGAGTGAGGGCGTATAGGTGTTATCTGTGGTGATAAAGCGACATTTATTTCTATTATTTGCAGATTGAACAGGTTAAAACTGAAGGAAATGGTCACTTTTGAAGCCTTAAAGCGTTAACTTCAATGAATAAGATATCCTCTCAAATCAAACAGGCTCAAAACATGACAGTATTGATCTGACTTCACACACTAACTTCTGCACACACTTGTAGCTCACTGGAAACCTGAATGTCCGCTTCATCAACTCGTGACAACATCGACTAATTCGCACCCACAAAAGTCTCATCGCCTACCTTGCGTCTCTGACCTCGCAGTGCTGGTCTGCTCCTGAAGAGGACTAGTGAGTGAAGTTTGTGCCCTCACCCCGGCTCAGGAGGCTGGAATTCAGCGCCCTCGCTCCCCTTGTTTTGGGAGGGCGGGACGAAACTTCCATAGAATTATTTCTTTCGAAACGAGCGTGTTCCCCTTTTTTCTGCTGTTTTAAGCTCTAATGACTCAAAATACGAGAAATGACTGAGTGTGAGGCGACTTCAGTGGAAATGTGTCGTCCGTGTCGAAAAAGAAAACCTTTGAAGTGATTGTGATTAGTCTAATTTGATTCATCCTTGTACTGTAAGATATTACAATTACGTTTACACTTATTTCTGTAGTCGTATTTTGCATATTTGTGCATGTTTTAGTTCTTTACTATTTCACCAAACTGTTAACTACCCAGCTCTAAATTAGAAGCGAGGTGACTGATATTTTGGTCACAAATCAAGCTCATACAAGCACCATTACGCATCACATGATATCCAGTGTTTTAAAGAGGTTAATTAACTCTGTTAAAGTAGTAATTGTGGCACAAGGATCAGCTGAACACAGACTTTATCATTTCAAATCCAGTTCCTACTTTATGTTTTAATCATTAGGGTCAAAAGTGAAAAAAAAAAAAAGTATAGTCAAAGCCTGCCTCGGCGGGTGAATAGGCTGATCAGATGGGGACACGGGGCAAACAGGGCCACTGGTCACTTTGTTTCAAGAGTCTCCCTTGACTAATCAATGACAGAGATGAATCAATAGCCCCATTATTAGTTTTCTGTGGTCATAATGATCAAATGTATGCATGCATGGCTGCACAACTTGAGGACAATAGACATTCTCCAAACACTTTAAAAAATTAAACTTTTTAAAACTAATCATTTTACATGTTACTCAGCTTAAAATATACTCTCTATATTAATGTGTGCCTCGCATGCAGTAGACATAAATATAAAAGTGCATGCAGACCATATGGACTCTCCACGCACTTAAGGGCAGACCAATTATTCTTTTAGCATGTCTTCATCCATCATTAAGGAAATATAATTTAATTCTTATAGCTGCACTGATTTTCCTGGTCTATGCTGTATAATTGCCCTTATAGGAGACACAATCAAGATGCAGGTCCATGCATGTTGCAAGTGCATCTCACAATTCATCCACTCAAATGACCATTAAAACCTGTACACATGAGTTAAGAGCGTCTGGAGCTGGGTAACCCCACAGGGAGACTGATGGACCTCTGCTAAGCAGCCCTGCCCTGCTGCGGCGGAGCCAAAAAAACACAACCCAGCAACGACAAAACACCTCTGACCCTCAGAATAGCAAGCGAGCAAAAAGAGAAGGAAAAACATAAAAGGAAATTGAATTAAATGTGCCCTTCATCCACAGATGTTTTACAAATTACTCACATTGCATTACATAACACACATCATGACTACACAGGGTGACACGTCTGTCGAAATATGGAGCATTTAATTATAAAGCTGCAATTTCAGCAGCGTGATATGACCTAATTTTATCTGGATTTACGCTTTCAACACCCTCCGAGTAAAAATTAGTCATCCCTCCAATAAAAAACTTTGATGCATTGAAGTTTTAGGACATTACTGCCCTCTGGCTCCAAAGAGATGTCCTTATGTCATATAACGAGACCACATGGTCCGTTCCCCCCACAGTAGTTGACCTCTCCTCACTCTGCTGGGGCCAGAAACCCCTCAGTTCAGTAATGGCCCTCCGCCTGCCAGATAATGTCATCTGACACGCACTGATTTGGGAGAGGTAATTGCACCCCACACTGTTGTAATTTCTCATTCATGCATGTTTGAGTGGTGACTTTACGCCACTACTAATTGCCAAAGCCCACTGACTGCAACCCTGCCTCGGAACAACATACCTAATGGGCACTTTCTCTTCTTCACACCAAGAATATTGAATTAAAGTTTAAAGTTGAATGCACTGTGTTTGTTATTTGTTCTCCTTGCTGGATGAAGTCATTCTTGCCTCAGCTTGTTTCATGATAGCATAGCCTTGATATTTTTCAGGCTTTTCATTAAAACTGATGCCAGTGAAGGTGACATCATTGTCTATTTGGTCCTCCTTTGTGCAGCAGCCGTTAATCTTATCTCTACATTGTGTGATACATTGTCTTGATCCTCTTTTGTTTAAACAGGTGGAGTGAGCCTCATAGTCTTTGTTACGACAGAAAGGTTGATTGTAGGGTGGTCCAAATTGAGCTATTATACACTACGGTCCATTAGCTGCTCATTTTAAAATAACACGAATGTGAAATCATCCTAAAGCATTAATACACTTAATAATCTGTTAAGATTATTTAGGAATATCTTTGATTAGTGCAAATCAAAGCCATATGATCATTAAAGAAAAACACACATGCAAAAAAATTCCACTTAAGGTGCTCTGTTGTAAATGAGCTAAAACTTTTGTAGTTTTCTATCAACACGTTGCTGCCAGTCTGAAAGGTGAGGTATAGAGAGGAAGTCTTTAAAGCAAACCAGCAAAGACAGGCTGCCGTGGCTCTGCATGGGGGCTACACCAGGGGAAATTAAGGCCCAAATGTAGAGCGGTGAAAGTGACTCCCCACCTGTGTCTTGTAAAGACTTTCCAGGGTGTAGTAAAAAGCAGGTCTGCTCTGGGGCTGAGCTGTAAAATGGAGAAATGTTAAAATCTGCTTCACTACTCTATTGAATATTTAAAACATCTGAATGTGGTGCGGTGTTAACTCGATGCTCAAGGGTTGTTAGACGCAAGTTCAAAATAAGTTGTTAAATAATTTGACAGGGAGTTAATTTAAAAGAGAAATAAATGAGCTTGTGAAGACAATATTGTATTCTTTAAATGTGGTGCACCTGGTGGCAAGATTACACCTCCGTTGTCCATGACCATGGATGCACAGAGCTGATAATACAAACCCTTTATCAACCACACCAGTATACCAAGAAATTGGCAAGGTAATGTGGAGTTTTGAAGATAATATTCATGCTTTGAAGACAGCTTGCTCCTTTTTTTTTGGCAGGAGAGCCAAGTTGGAAAGAGATGCAGCAAATGATCACAAGTCAGGTCTAGAAGTCAAACCAGCAACTGCTGCAACGAGGGCGATAGCCAGTGTTCGCCGGGCACAGTGCTCTGTTTTGAGCAGATTAATTTCAAAGTGAAAAGGTATATTATCTCTCAAGGGGATTATGGATTTTTAATTCTTTATACCTTGCATTACAAATATTAAAAACATCACCCAAGAAAGTTCACCAGGTTGCAAAGAAAACTGCAGAGTCAAGACCCTCAGGACATTAGTAGTCTGGATCACACACACACTTATACACAGAGAGAGAGAGTTGTACTGTGGTAATCATTTGAGCTAAACCCACCACCTTGTCCTTTTCTACCTTACTTGAAGCACTTAACGTAGCTCCCAGAGGCAAAGGCTGATTTCACTGGATAGTAACACTTTTTATTATGCCTACCTACAGCATTTTTACTGAGCTTCACACCCAAGGGACCTTTAAGCAGTGTTCTTGCCAAACTATTTGAAGCAGGGACCCCTCCGAAAGCCTGTTAGATCTCAGGGGAACGCTAAGCTGTAGTTTGAGAGCATTGCCATTGAGTAAGCGTTTAAAGTAAGTGCTATGGCCTTCTGCACCCACTTGTTTGCACCAAGCCAAGCACGGTGGCCAAGAAAAGTTCCCGACTTCACACCAGGAAGGATGTGACTGCTGATGCATGCCAGATGAGGAGACACCAGACTAGAATTGCAGAGCAGCTGCAACCATGTGTGATATAGGAGCCTATTTTATGTGGAACATCTGTGCAGTGCTGCACCGTCTGAGCCGACTTGCACGAGTAAAATACTTTGATTATTTAATGTGTTGTCTCATGCAGCAAGATTTTTGCATTAAAAAGTGTTGCAATCGAACATTAGAATCTGCAAAACCAAACTTTAGGGAAATGATAGTTGTTTTTATTCTGCAGACAGAAGCTTTAGAAGTTTATGATCATTTAAATCACTTAAGCCCACAGAGTGTGACACTCAGATATTATTTTCCACGTTATCAGACATAACCTCATCCACAGCTAACATCAATTAAACATACAGTACACTGACCTTACAGAGTATAAAGAGGGAATCTAAAGAGGAACCTGCAGCAGAAGCAGAATTCAAATATTCTTTGAGTTTAAGATGTTCTTGAGTTTGCTGCAGTGTTTTACTTTCAAACGTGTTGCCATGGAGCTCCCTTTCAGCCATAGTCCTTTCAACCACTCTGCCTTTGATGACTATTGAATTAGCTGGAGGGTAATGATCTCCCGTATTCCCTTTCCCTTATCCAATGATAAACTTAACCTTCAATAGTTAATGCCATTCATGCCTGGGTGAGAATAATAGACAGATGGCAGTCAGTGACACCTAGAGGTGAGAAGTGGAGCACTGCATATTTTTTTTGGCTGAATCCTCAGAATCAAGTTAGACAAACTCAGAATTCATCTAACAGATATAAAGCGAAATGCCTGGCAAGCAGATATACCTCTGCTTTTGACTTTCAGATTATTTTATAGATTTTATTTAAAAACAAAAAAATCAAAATATTACATATAAAGTATTCAAATACCCATTTCAAACAAAATCTCAACACTATGGCCAGTTATTTCTTCAGTATGATGACAGGCAGACTATTACTACTCTATTTTTTATCTTAAATAGCCAGGATCCACATAGTAGAGTTGGCTCTGAGATTAATGATCAGAGGCTATATCACTCAGATTTATAACAAAGCGTACACTACTATAAGGTAGCTGTCCAGCCATTAGCCAGACAATGTTTGGAGTGCCATGCTGACTGGCACTAAGACACCCTAAGATTTGTGTGCTGCCTGGTGAACTAACTAAAATACCAATCCTGGGATTGATTTTCATCTCTCTGACACGGTGCCAAAAAAGCTGCACACAGACCTTCACTCTAATAGGATGAAGATGAATAAACAATTCAAAAAGGTTTTAAATATTAAGGCAATTATAATAGCACACAGTTCAATAACATTCAGCCCACTGCTTAGTGGAAAAGATAACAATAGCGAACTGTACCTTTAAGAAATAGCGTCATCCTCCTGCCGCCCACCGTCGTCTGTGACGTTTCCTCACTCCCGGCATGCACACTGGAAGTCCAATTATTGCTAATGGCGGGTATTTGTACAAAATATGCAAATTTAAAGCTGTAGTTTCCCCCCCGTATTTGTAAGTATTAACCGAGGATTTGAAATAAGCAGCCTCTGAATATTTCGAAGAATTTTCGTGGAATATAAACCCCAAGGACGTGAATAACAGGACTACTGGACATGTAACTGTTATCATGTTGCGGCTGCTACCCGTTAACCACTGAGTCAAAGAGAAACTGAGCAGGAAGAGAGCGTGTGTGTGTGACAGAGAAAACTCCTTCACTTGAAATATTAGCTCGCCTTAATGCTTGCCTCACAGCCGCTCGATGTCAGAACTGCTGCACTAAAAGCTAACTTAATGAGACGGAGGAAGTTGAGGTAGTACTCCTCTAACTCAGCGTTCATTCATTCAGCCGTTGGTTTCTCTGCCGGTAGATCTCATGAAGCGGAAATGGTTCCCTTCAGATTTATAGTGTTCGGATTGTTATTATTGTTAACCGTTATTCAAGTTAACGGGACCGCGAAACTCAACATCCCCAAAGTGTTGCTACCGCTTGCCAGAACTACTAAAATTTCCTACACTTTGGAGATAAACAACGGGGGTTGCTACAGATGGTGAGTAAAATAGCACGAGAGTGTCACATTGCACGGGGGGCATATGAGGCCACATGGTCGGGATCACTGTATGCACTGTAGTCAGGTCATGCTGGTATATGCAGGAACCAGACTACTACACTGTGAAGTTTATAATAATAATAATAATAACTTTATTTGTATAGCACTTTTAAAAAAAAACACAAGTTGTTTTCACACGGAAAAGGACAGATATAAACAAAAAGCTTATTAAAAACAGAATTGAAGGCCATTTTCATTTTTCATAAGGAACCCATACAATACAAAAACTAGGGCCCAACCGATATGGATTTATGCCGATACCGATTATTGGGGGGGGGATTACCGATTAATCGGCCGATTTTAATTTTTTTAATTAAGTTATAAAAAATATATTTTTATACTGTAGATATTTACAGTATACTTCATACTACAGTATATAGTATACTGTAGTAAAGTATACTGTAGCGTTTACTCAGCGTGACCGAGACCAGCACAGTGGGGAACATCGTGTAGTGGGTTGAACTTAAACTTGTTGACTTCTTGTGTATTTCACAAACTGGTTTATTTACTCTCCCCCGTGCGTCCCTAAGCTGCCTGCTTCAGATCCGTCACTCGGTGGAACATTTTCGAAGTGAAACCGGATCCTGTTCTCCGCATTTTATTTCTGAAAATATCGGCGATTACCGATTAGTCTTAAACGAACCAAAATTGGCAGATTTAATCGGCTCGCCGATAAATGGTCGGGCCCTAACAAAAACCATGCAGCATAAAATGGGACCATGAGGACAAAAATAAAAACATAAAATAGTAAAGAAAAATGCAAGTAATAGAGGAGACTAAGGCGGGAACAGGGTAGTAAATATAAAAGGCAATGTCAACAATGATAATGAAATAAAACAGGTAATCCTGATAATAATAGTAATGATATAATAGAGCAACAAAAATGAGCAAGAGATAAAACAATAAAAGGCCTAAAAGTTTAATTAAGAAAAGAGTACAAGTAAAACAAAAGCTAAAAAGTCAGTAAAGCTGAAATAAGATAGAGGTTGTAGAGTGTTTCCACTGAGACTATACAACTGAGTACCAATGGGTGAAGAGCTAGAATTCATTCTGACACGTGATGTGACAATAAAAAAAAAAAAACAACATGTATGGTGACCCATTTATTTTCATTCAACACAAAGAGAAAGTTCACCTGCTGCCACGCTGACACAGTCAAAAATCTGTATAGCTCTGCCCTCCACACCTGGCTCACTACCTGGGCTTACTTAAATGCCCTTTTGTGGTGCAAAGAACCAAGGAATAGAAACAAGAAATGAGAAAAGCAAAAGAAACTAAATAATGTCTCCAACAGAGGTAAAAGAGATAAGAGATGACAGATAAAAGATAGAGGTAAAAGATAAAAAGTTAAAGTTTAGATGGATTTCTAATTCATCTTTTATTATTTATTGACTAAATTAGTCAGTCATGAATATTTTTGGTCTGGTTTGTTCTTACTGTTGACTTTTTATTGATTCAAGAGTTTATCTAGATCATTCAAACCAGAATAAACAGAGAAAATAAGCATTCATTGTTGTTTTGTGAGCAGTAATAATTGATTATATTTCAGTCTTTTACTCGTTTTCTAGATAAGTCGCACCACAAATGAAAAAAGTTTGAAATTTTTGTTTTTTTTTCATTATTAATGTCAAGAAAAGCAGCTAATTCTTACTTCTCAAATGTTGATCCACAAACTTGACATACACATTACTGCAATGATCAATCAATGTCCAAAATAGCTGATAATTTAAACTATATTTTAGATTGATTTATGTACTCTACGTTCATGACTTTATCTTTTCTGAACTTTTACTCTCCCAGGTCCTCTTCCAGACCCGAGGTTGCAAGCATCCAGGCTGTTGAAGAAGAAACCGGTTCAGGCTGCTCCACGAGAGCTGTGCTCCAGGCTCTCTCCACCCAGGCCTCCAGGCTGACTAGCATCATTCTGGCTGAAGATACTGGTAATCACATGGTTACAGTACACAATACAGCAACCGCCATGAAATGAATGTAAAGATCTTATTCAAGAACTGCTTCTACAGTGACTCTAAAACAACAAATATGTGGATTAAAAAAAAAGAGAAAAACTGTTCTTAATTTCTGTGATAGTGTAAGTTTGAGTTGGTTGACAAATGAACAGGGGAAGCATATTTGAAGGAGGGTATTATATGCAAAAGACACAGTTCAAAAGTGTCAACACATGAGTATTTTGTGGCTTGGTGTAAGTGTGCAGGGTTAACCGTTGCTTGGTTATTGTTTGTCAACGAATTATGTTTAGTGCAGAGTGTGTTTAGTTGATTTTTCACATTGTTGTTTATGAAAGGACATAATTATGAATCACATTGTTCCAAGTCATATAAAAGAGAATAAGAATAACTGTATTTTTGTTCAGTACATTTTAACTATGACTAAAGCAGGCTTGTAGTGGAGCAGATCAACTTGCTCTCATTGGTTTGCTTTATGATGTTTTTATGGGCTGTGTTGAAACTGCCACTATCAAGTTTGATTTTGTTTATTGTTATGCGGTCTACTGTTTTACATATAAAGTAATGGCAAATCTTGCTGTACTGCTGCTGCAATAAGTTTCAGTTTCAGATTTCCACAGCTGTTACAGTCATGTTTATCATGTTGTATTGAACATATATGATATACTCCTTAATTTCAAAATTAGACATGATGATACGTGGTGTTGAATTTGCGTTTTGCTCTTATTTATTCATGAGTCTTCTTTTTATTTTTGCTGCTGGGGTGGGGGGAAGCGGCGAGCTATACAAATGGTCTCATTTCAAAATCCCATTGATATGAGACAGTCAGCTAATGGACATGCTGTGTTGCATAACACATGTTTTTCGTAATCTTCCATCTCAGCTATTGTGAAATGCTGTTAGTCGTCTCTTGCCTGTAGCACTGCTGGTCAGTCATGTATGGCGGTTTGAAACATTTGCTTTGTCATCATAAAAATCCGATTCTTTTGCCCTCACTTGAAGGTTTAAAATCTAAACAGTCTTGGACTTTCTGTGCAGATCACAGGCAGTGAGTTCAAAAGTTTTCTCTCTGGCTGGAGCAGAAAAAAAAAAGTGATTTAATCTAATGCCCGTGTAACAGCTTACTTAGCAGACCAGAAAACCACAACATTTACCTTGATAGATAACCGTGAAGCATTTTCCTGGTGCAGAGGATGCTGTAAATCCTTAACTCTTGCATAGTACCAATAAGTTTTGGAATCAGGAGTTAAATTTCTTTGCTTTCACTTAAACAAGAATCACTTTTCCCTCTTAACATAAAATCACCAGGTTGTTGAGGTTTTAATTTGAAGTACCGCACATTATGAACCGTTTGGATGATGATTTGCCCCCTTTTTTCATTTTCAGTGACAGGACATGTGCTGCGCTGTGATGCTATCGTGGACGTCGTTAATGAGATCCAGATTGTGTCAACCACTAGAGAGCTTCATCTGGAGGACTCCCCGCTGGAGCTCAAAATTAATGCACTGGACTCTGAAGGTAACACACCAAGTTTTCACACAAGCTGATACTTAAAATGCTGATGCTGTTTTTGAGAATGGAATACAGAGGATCTTAACATCCATTGACAGTGTTGAATACTTTAGAATTGCTACCTCATCTGATTGTAAGGCCACCGTGCGACATGGTTTTGCGTTGCTGTTCAAAAGTCTCCTCAAAGTAATGACTGTGCTGGCTGTAGGCAGCGCTTTCTCTCCCCTCGGGCTGCAACTGTGAGGTGGCTGTTTGTTCTGTTCGACTGGCTCCATTTAGGGCAGACACACTTAGTTTAATGAGCTGTAGCTACAGCCTGATTCTTTCTGATGATGGCTCTGGGGCTTGCTACTTTGTTTGTGTTTGCTCTGGTCCGAAAGTGCATTTTAGATTCTTCAGATGGAGTGGATAGCAAGACGACATGGAGTATCCTTTGATGATAACTCTTGTCCTTTTTTTGTGCATCAGGAAACACCTTCACCACCCTTTCAGGTCTCGTTTTTGAATGGACCTTAGTGAAAGATGTCGATGCGAATGGATTCTCCGATTCCTACAATGCATTACGGTAGGCCTCTCCTGTAAACAAGATGAAATGAGCCTCACTAAGTTTGATAAACAATATATTTTCTTTTCCTAACATGGTACTTCTCTTTTCAAGGGTACTTAAATTCTCTGAATCCACATACACGCCGCTTGCGTACATATCTGAAATGGAGCGTGTTGGGAAACAAGGTGATGTGATACTGGTGTCAGGACTGAAAACAGGACATGCAAAGCTGAAAGCCAAAATTCAAGAGCCGCTGTATAAGGTAAGCTGTTATCAGTTGCTTTAGAAAAATCAGATTGCATTAATCTGATGTTTGCATTAAGGTAATTAAAGTATATCAAGTATGAAAGTAGTTTAATATTGAGTAAAGGGAGTTTAAATGATGGTGGTTGACAGTTAAGTTTTCATTTTTTATTATCAAATTATTTTGTGACAATTTTTTTGTGATTTTATAATTTATGTGTAATCTCTAATCATTTTTGCTCAAAAATCTAATATAGTTAAAAAAAACTGTTGGTTCTTTCAAATTGTTCCAACCTGAAACCTGATCATGCTGGTGTCTTCTGGCGGGAAAGTGAAGTTGTGTTTTTTCTGTTACTATGGTGTCTGTGCCACAGGATGTAGGTGCAGCGGAGGTGAAACTTCTGATTTTAGAGAACATCCTGCTGAGCCCTGAACATGACATCTACTTGATGGCAGGAACTTCCATCCGGTACAAAGTCCTGAAGATCAGACAGGGCATGATCACAGGTCTGCTTTGTTTACTCGCTCTTATGTTTTGCTTCGACTCGTGACTAGAGCAGCTGTGCCTTTTATTTAGGGTCAGATTTATGAAGTATGGAAACAACACCTCTTATGCTAATTTGTGCTTGCGGTTCTTCCCCTAGAGCTCCCTATGCCCTCTGAAAACTATGAACTGCATCTTCAAAACAGCGTGGTCGGCCAGAATGGAAACCCAGACGTAGCTGTGGCCAGTTTGGATCAGAGCACCTCTACAGCTACAGCTTATCAGCTGGGACACATCAACGTCGTGCTCGATCATAAGAGTATCCTTCAGACAAATCATTCTTTCAAAGTCTTAAGTTATTACTAAATCAGTAACAGTCTTTGATTATATTTCAGATGGAATAATGAAGTTTGTTGTTAGTTTGTGTTATTGTTTTTCATGTGGGCAGAGTGATTGATTGATTAAATTACAAACAGAACTGTAGAATATTGAGCAACAATAAAGCAGGAAAATCTGGAGTCATCATAGTCTGGTTTCATTTTCCTGAACATGATCTACTCAGGCCCTCAAATGCAAGGAGTGTCTCACCTTCCCAACAACACTCTCTATGTGGTCGAACCAGGATACCTAGGTGTGTTTCTTGTTCTCAATACCAAATCCTAAAGTGTGTGGAAATACTTGAAAATGCATTATAATCACTGGTTTCTATTTTTTTTTTAAGGTTTTAAAATTCAACCTGGAGACAACTGGGTTCTTGAAACCGGCAGAGTGTATGATATCTCCATTGAAGTGTTTGATAAAGGCGGACATAAGATTTTCCTCTCAGATGTAAGTATGTGTCAAGGATGCATTTCACATTGTAGTGTATAAGTGATAGACAAGCACCATACTAAAACTCTTTACCATCACACTCTGTGATTAGTCTAGTGTACTTCCTCAGCTGTTAAAATCACATATTTTAAAAGACTCGCGATTATAAACTATCACATATATTTACCTGGAGCTTTTTACGTGCTTGATTCATACGTAACTGAATTATCTGGTGGTTATGTGAAAAAGTCAACCTTCATCCTTATGATTTTAATTAGAGGTAATCTAAATGACTATTTTTCAGCTTTGCATTAAAGACTGTGGCTTCATAAACAGCCTGAAAATGAGTTCTTTACTGCTCTGAAATACTAGTTTTCAGGTTGCAGCCATATATGTGACAGCAACCCAGCACAGCTACTTCTTGAGGGCAGCCAAGAAGGATTGATGACTGGTGTAACAAGTTTCATTTACATTAGATTGACGCATAGAGTGAAGTACATGCCAATTTGATTATTTGAGGCTGTGTCTGCAGAATATCAGAACAACTATAATTTGATCAGACTTTGCTAGTTCACAAGTTATTTCATCTTTACAGAACAAGAGCCATCAGAGAAATGCCTGTTTTGAGCTACTGTGCTATTTTGAGCTATTGACTCTTTTTAATTTAGGGATAGGTGAGATAAAACAGGATCTACTGTGAAACTGACATGATGTTTTTGTTTCCTCAGAATGTCCGTATCAGCGCCGTTTTCCCCGCGGAGTATTTTGAGCTGCAGCATTCGTCTCTGAACGGATCATATCACCGAGTCAAAGCACTGAAGGAGGGCCTCACCGTCATTGATGCAACCTTGAACGCAGTTGTGGATGCAGTATGTAGAATTGCAAATTGACCCTCGTCAGCCTGCTTTAACTGAAGCATCGTCATGCATTAAACTATTCCTGGGGCCTCTGTTTGGTTTCAGAGCGGAGTTACGCATCCTCTCGCCAACCCCGTCCACAATGAACAGGATGTTGAAATCTACAACCCTATAGTTCTGAGTCCCAGTATTCTGACGTTTCCATGGCAGCCCAAGGTTGGAGCGTATCAGTACACAATAAAGGTAGTTATTTCTTTTCAGACACATTTACTCTGCGTTTGAAAGGCTTTTCATCCTTCATAGAGCGGAGCTGCAGAAAATAATATATGACACCATTTTATTTGTTACTCTATTGTCAAAACTTGTAATGAAACTCATAAATGTGAAACTGTTCTCGGATGCTTGTGACAGGCAACAGGAGGGAGTGGAAATTTCAGCTGGTCTGCCTCGAATACAGCTGTTGCCACGGTGACTGTGAAAGGAGTGATGACAACAGTCAGTGACATCGGTCTCAGTGTAGTTAAGGCTCATGATCTACGCAATCGGCTGCACTTTGGCCAGATGAAGGTGGGTGGATGATCTTAAAATATTCATATTAAGGAAAAAATTACACAAGGTTAATTATTGATTTCATGAGTTTTATCATTGCTCTGATTGTCACTGAAACCACTTATTCAAGGTGTTTCAGGACCATGTTTAAGTATTAGGTCCACGCCATCGAAGATAAGGATGTGTGACTTTCAGAGCAGTATGAAAGGGCTCTTTAACATGCTTCTCTTTTTGGAAAGAGCTCCTGATCAAAGCTCCTGCAAGAAAAATACCAGTGATGCCTCTTTATGACCTTTAAAAGCAAATGAGACCATCAGCAACAGGACTGGGAATTTTTGGGGTTGTAATATTCAGTGCCCATAACCACTGTTAGAGGATAGGTGCCAGAGGAGAACGTTTGCAGCGCTCTGAAAAAGAGCCGTTATTACTTTTTCTAAAGCAAATATTTGCACGGGTGATTTTCTTTTGAGCGTGATTAGATCTTTGGTTTGAAATAATAGTAAAGCAGATTAAACATGAATAAGACAAGATCACCAAAGATGTAAGAGGTGAGCTTTGTCCACAGGGATAGAGTTTACACAAGTAGAAAGTTCCTCCTCCTCTTAACAAAAGCTGCATGGAGTTCAGAGATGCTGATTTTATGTGACGTGTAACCCACTGAGCATTTTTTTGTCTTAAAGAATTCTAATAGGAGTCTAAATGTCGCCTAGACGACTGGTCTAAAATCAGGCTACCACAGGTCTGTAAATGCAAGTCTTAATCTGGGCTATATCTATACTTCACTGTATATTGCTCAATAGCTATCATAATTATTTTGGTTAAGAACTTGGAGATGAGTAATGCAGCTCACAGTTGCTTTTTGAAATAAATAGTTATCGAATAATGGGTTAAAGTGCAACGTCTAAATTCTGTCTAAAAATATACTGAATCTAAACGGTTGAAATTAGGTGTAAAGAAAACTAGACGTCTAATAGCCGTCTATTGCTCAGTGGGAAACGATTGGTAAGGGCTGAGCATTTCACAGAAATTATGTCTCTGCCCTCTTTTACAAGCTTAAAAGCTTCTTTGTGACTTTAAAACATCAAATTCAGTTTTGTTCCCCTTGAGATTACACAACAAGCTTATTTTCTTAATGTGCCCCAGCTATAAGGCTGACTTTGATACCCTTTTCTGCTCTGTAAATCCTCAGGTATATGTCATTGAACCTGTGGCTATGGACTTTGCGCCGTGCCCAGTCGAAGCCAGGGTGGGCCTAATCCTGGATCTGCCCCTCAGGATTTTTGGCCTCTTGGATGATGTGGAGAAAGAGCGTGCCATGCTGAGTGACTGCTCACAGTTTGACCTGCAGGTTGAGGAGGATAATCACGGTGTCTTCCAGCTGTTGGACGGTGAGTGTTTCTGATTCGACTGGGTCAAATGGGTTGTAGGACATTTCCAAGGAAGTAAAAGAACACAGTTCCCTTAATGTATAGTTTACTGGTTTGTGTGCGTGGGGTCCTTATTTAAAGTAAGTTATTGTTTCGCCTCCTTTTTTAATGGGAATAAGTTTATCACTTTAATTCAGCTGTGCTCAGTCCAGTGTGTCTGGTAGAAGGGACTACACTCGGGTTCATTATGACTGAAGTCGTAAAAAAAAAAAAAAGCGATGAAACTAAAATTATTACTCACTTTCCAATTTGTACAATTTGCCATTAAAGCAGTGGTGCAGGAAACATTTTAATCAATACACAATTTCTACAGCGGTTTCAGTCTGTGGGAGCAAGAATCCAAGAGTTTCTGAAACGTCTTTTTTTTTTTCAGTACACCCGAATCTGTACTAGTCCGCCACCCAAACAGATAAGAAGTGAAAGAACGGTAGTAGCCTGTGCATGACAAACTGTGAGGGTGCAGTCCTTTGTACCAGTGAAGCATTTTTTATGTTTTATGGCTTTTCGATTGTCATTACAACATTTGTCTCTTTGAAAGTTCCTCTGTTTGCAGTATCTGCACTTTTTCATTCCGGGGCCGTGTATTATTAATCACAATGGTGGGCTGGGACAAATAATAAGACCTCTCTGTACTCCGGTGTGGTTTTCCTCAGGAAGATAAATGAGTACCTGTGAAAACAATTGTGGTTATTTGTACATTGTCATATAGCATCCTCCCTCTCTCACTCTTTGGCTTCCTCCCACCCTCTTCGTCCTTGTCCAGAGAGGATGGCTCCAGGCCAGGACCACTGCAGTGGGGTGAGAGCCCAAGCCCTGGCTTCTGGCTACACCATGCTTACTGTCAGTTACACCCACGGCAACATTCACCTCAGTGCCAAGATCACCATCGCTGCGTATCTGCCTCTCAGGGTGAGTTGAAAAGTTTCCTCCTCCCAGCTCCCTGCTCAACATGAACCCAGAGAAGTTCACGTTTGCACCTTCATAGGATATTATCAGAGTTGATTTTAAACTGCTGATTTCCTTTGGGGTTAGGTTGTTAATTTAAGGCACACCTCATAAATCTATTTTGAATACGTTGTGGGCTCGACGTTTTTAACCTACACCCAAATCTTGTTTTGATTAGCTGTAATGCTCACCTCAGGTTTTGTCTTCTAAGAAAACAAACTGACTCATGCACACTCACACTCACACACACACACACACACACAGTCTGTGTACAATCAAAGCAGAGTTGTGATGATCAGCTCGTGTAAAAGTGTGCTCCTCCCGGGTTCTCTCTCTACGCCCTGTGCATTTTAATTATGCATTATACACTTGCTACACTGATTTGTTTTCCATGTCTGGGCACTGGTTCAGCACAGGAATAAATTTGACTTCGCTGCTGTGGAGGAGTACTTAATAAAACAGTATGACATCTCATCTGATGAGGGACCAAATCTCTAGTCATGAAGCGTTTTGTCACCGTTGAACCAGCCATAGCTGTGGTTCTCTTTGTAATCACTCTCAGCTCACCAGTACAGTAACATGCTGTTTGATGCAGCACTTTTGGGGTCATGTATTTTTGAACAGACTGGTTGAGCTGTATTCTTCAAAATGTTGCACACATTTTTGTGATGTTTCTTCACTTGTTGTGCCCTGGCAGCTAAAGGTTGACCCAATTTAGCTTTTTTTTTTTTTCGCTGTGAATCTCCACACCGATGAGCCCCTCGCCGCTGCGAAGAGTTGACGTTTGCGAAGGTGTTCCTTTACTGAAAGTGTCCAGCTGGAACCGTGTGATTTGTGGTTTCATAACATAATGTTTTGGCAGGCTGTTGACCCTGCATCTGTGGCTGTGGTGACTCTGGGATCCTCAAAAGACATGTTGTTTGAGGGCGGACCGCGGCCTTGGGTTTTAGAGCCTTCGAAGTTCTTCTGCAATTTACGAGCCGAGGATGAGTCCAGCGTGAGCCTCAGTCTGACCAGTCCCTCGTCTCACAACTACAACCAGCACTGGATCAGAGCAACGTGCAAAGCCCTGGGAGAACAGGTTCGGTCTCCTGAAGTCATTTTTTACTATTGACACTTTAAAGTTTACTGTATAAACACTCGGTCTACCAAAATTCTGCAACTACTAGAATTACCATAAGCAGTCATTTTGACTGCTCAGTCTTTATTTGCACATAATTTGGATAGTCAACAATAAGAACTAATAATAAATTGGTGGAATAGATAAAAAACACATCAGTACACAAAATGAAAATCAATTAAATTAGATTTTTAAGAACCTTCCTCAAAATACCAAGACACATCATTCCCTAAACTTGCTTATCCATTGGATTCTTCCCCATCAAGGCTCTGAAGCAAGGCTCAAGCCTCCACACTTGTCATTTTTCTTCTAGTTGTCATTTAAGTTTTGAGTAAAGTTATAGCAAGATTTTAACTTCACAGAGCTTAAAGTACAAAACAATCAACAGAGCAGGAGAAAGAGTGGGAAAATGTAGCAAACAGTGAAATATAATACCCTTCGTAAAAAGTATGCAGTCAATTTGACTGCTCTGGTAGTTGTAGGTACTTTTACTCAGGTCTCTTTTGTGTTTTGAAATTTTAATGAAAAAACAATGTTAGAATAAAATATACACACATTTAGGAAAAGTCAGGGTGCGACTGGTGTATGGGTTTTATTTTGAAAAAGTTATGCCATTGTAAATTTTGAAAGCAGTCAAAATGACTGCCTCGGTAGTTCCAGTGTTAAAGGATTTGGTTGGTTGTATTTCATAGTTTTCAAATACATTTCTTCTCATTAAAGTTTATATCCCTTCATCCTGGATGTAATGTTTTAGTGCTTAGCCTTCCTAACTGTGTCGTTCTTCAGGTGCTGGAGGTAATGGTAGGAAATGAAGCCAGTGTGACCAACCCCTTCCCTGCCGTGGAGCCAGCTGTGGTCAAGTTTGTTTGTGCTCCTCCCTCTCGCTTCACTCTGGTTCCTGTGTACACCAGCCCACAGCTCGACCTTACCTGTCCACTGCTGCAGCAGAACAAACAAGTGGTATGTACAGTGTCCCTCCATCAGGGTGAAAACGCGTTAGCTTTGACATTTACTGCTAATGCCGTGGTTTGTTTTACATTGATCACACACCTTTGTAAACACTAAAATCACAGCTGACATAACATTTTATGTTTTTATGAAGAGAAATAGCTTATTCATAAATGCAATTCAGATATACTAACACATTACACCTCCTGCTTATTTTCCTCTCCATAAGTGTTACTGTAAAAACTCAAATGCCAAGTGACACCTATTTCCAGGTCCCAGTTTCCAATTACCGTAACCCCATCTTGGACTTGGCTGCCTTTGACCAACAAGGAAGAAAATTCGACAACTTCTCCTCTCTGAGTGTGATGTGGGAATCGACCATGGTGTCGGTGGCCAGTATTGAACCCACAATGCCCATGGAGCTACTGCAGTTGGAGGACGGCAACAAACAGATGAAACTTCACGGTAAAACCTCGCAGCTCGTCCTGAGTCTTTCCTGTTTGTGTTTTGTTGCGTGGGTTCACTGCTTAACTTTCCTCTTTTGTTGAGACATTTTGAAAGTAATGAGGGAGAAGCAGAAAAGAAAGAGCTCTGGCAGGATTTAGTTCCAAGACAGCGGAGGCAGAGGAGGAATTGTGCATTCGCTTTTCAGCGAGAATCCATTTTTCATTGTGTTCTTGCTGTCTGCTTCTATAGATTAGTGATGACAAATAGTTTGGGGTTGGTGTTTTTCGTAATTACTTTTTTGTCTCTCGTCTTTTTTGTTTTCGTCATCTTTGGCAGGGCGGCGAACAGTTCTTGTCCATCATCAGACAGGCAATGCTGCCATCACAGTGACTGCTAATGGTTACCAAGTTTCCCATCTGACAGCAGCTAATGTTCCCAGTACAGTAAGTGAATGTGATGGATCAACAGCATGTCGACAGGCTTTAACTGAATGACATCAATTTATCAGGATAATGTAGGTCTTGTCTTAGTCCTCTGTAATGGAGATGTTGTTTATATAAATGCATCTGTTGTGTCTAACTAAATCAGAATGTGCTTTTGACTTTGTTTTCATATCATGACACGAGTTATTTTTTTTTTAACCTTTCACCTTTTTCCTAACAGTATGACCCCCTAACTCCTGTCTCAGCCACTCTGGAGCTCCTGTTGGTTGAAGATGTGAAGGTTTCCCCCAGCACAGTCACCGTCTATAATCACCCAGATGTGCGGGTAAGTGACAAATTCATTGCTGCTGTGGCCTCAGATACCTATCACGAGAAGGTAGGGGTGGGAATCACTAGTGGCCCCATGATACGATATAATCATGATACTTGGGCCGTGATACGATATTATCCTAATACTTGGGCCACGAAACGATATTATCAAAGTACTTGGGCCACGATACTTGGGTCATGATACTATATTATCATGACACTCTAGCCACGATACGATATTATCACAATACTTGAGCCAGGCTAGATATTATCACAATACTTGAGCCACGATACAATATTATCACAATACTTTAGCCACGATACAATATTATCACAATACTTTAGCCACGATACGATATTATCACGTTACTTTAGCCACAGTATGATATTATCACGATACTTGGGCCACAATACGATATTATCACGATACTTGGGCCACGATACGATATTATCGCGATACTTGGGCCACAATACGGTGTTATTTGTGATACACTGAGTATTGCGATACAATATATTGCGATTTATACATTTTTTTCATTTGTTTCGCTAATTTAGCATTTGGCTTTCCTTTATCTCTGTCTTATTTACGCTGTATTTTATTTTCATGTAGCACATCTTGCAAACCTCATATATTTATATTTGTTGTGCTCACTTTCTATTGCTCTATGATGTCACCTCTGCCAACCTCACTGTACAAACAGTGGATTTTATTTTTCCATTATCATAGATTTGACTTCATTTTAGCAATTAATTTAAAAAATCAATACGTGACGGTATATATTACCAGAAAAAATATCAGGATACCATGCTGTATCGATTTTTTCTCCTACCCCTACTTGAAGGGGAAGGCTGGCAGACACTGGCTTTTCATGATTTGCTGTCTTAGAAGTCCAACTGTGTTTGATATCCTATTCTTATTAATTTTACTCAGTCTTTTCTTCTTCTTCAACTCGCAGGACGAGTTGAAATGAATTAAGTCAAACAGAAAGAATTCAGACGATAACAATAATTGCTCTAGGCACAGTGGAAACTTATATCCCTTACCGGGCCCCCCTCTCCTAATCCTGTGTGATATAAGAGCAGTGTTTGGCAGGTGTGGAGGTTAAATAACATCTAGTGACCTGTGTAAGAGGATTTTAGAGAGCGAATGTGGTCAGAGGTCACCCTTGGGGTCTCATGCAAGGCCAGCATGCTGTCAGAAAAACACGCCTGTGAGCTGGCCCAGTTTTTGGATGAATTCCACAAACTAGTCCCTTCAGCCGTGTAATCGTCTTCATTTACAGTAACAAGCGTTTGTCTTTTGTGTCGCAGGCAAACTTGGCTCTGCAAGAGGGCTCGGGGTATTTCTTTGTCAACACCAGTGTGAAAGGGATAGTGGATGTTGTGTTCCAGGAGGCCCAGAGAACAGCTCAGGTAAGAGAAACACTGGGGTCAGATCAGGTCATACACAATTTCTAATTCTGGACAACATACAGTAACCAGCAGTTTTTACACTGACAGTATTTCTTTGACTCGCTGTGTGCCCAGGTGTCTCCCGTCCAATCAGGGGAGGTGAAGGTGATGGTTCATGACCTCTGTTTGGCATTCCCAGCCCCAGCCAAGGCCACGGTGCACGTCTCTGGCATCCTGGAGGTTTATGTGAGAGTGGTGGATAAGGTCAGTTATCATCCTTCAAATTCCTCCTCCTGGAGGGTCTGTACGCCGCTCAAATAGATGATCCCTGTTATCAGTTTTACACATTCCCAAAATTCCTCAGTGATGTGGAGTTCTCCATGTGGTTGTCTTTTCCTCAAACCTTTTTCTCATTTAAGTTTTCATGTGCTGAAATAATTAACATATTAAAGTTTGTCCTGCCTGCGAAGCTAAATCATTATTTCACTGATGATATATGTCTTTAATCTGCGTTACAGGTGGAAATCGGGAAATCTGTGACAGCTTATGTCAGAGTCTTGGACGATAACAAGAAGCCTTTTCCAGCCAGCTATTTCACTTTTATGAATCTGAAACTCAAAGCGGCTTCAGCAATCGTCTCTCTAAAGTAAGTATTTCAACACTTGTGTGTCTCAGTGTAATAATTTGCATGGCCTCATGTTTGTTTCTGCGTAATTCTTTGCAGACCACTAGCTGAGTCCATGGAGAAGGATACAGCTGTTTTCCAAGTGAGAGGAATTTCCATCGGTCAGACCACTGTGACAGCTTTTGTCGTTGATAAAAATGGGAAAAAAATTGCATCCACACCTCAGGAAATTGAGGTAAGATGTTGCATGAATCATTTAACTGTTCGTTTAAATCAAATTCCCTGCATATTTTATACGTATTGTTTTTTTTTTTTACACTCCTAGGTATTTCCACCGTTTAAGCTCATCCCGAGGAAAGTGACTCTGTTAATCGGGGCGATGATGCAGGTTTGTGTTGAGACATGCCGACAACAGCTGGCCTCAGCTTTTCACGCCAAAAAAGATCATCTGGTCCTCGGTTTATTTTCCAAGCGAGCCCTCTGCCAGGACTCTTCTGGAAGACGCCCTTAGCCTAATTGCTCTTAGTTTGAGCATCCAGCTCGCCTTTCATTTGCCTCTGCTCAAGCTTTAATTAGGAAACCTTTGCCATCCATTCAAGAGGCCTCCTAATTGCCGAGCATTAAACTCAGTAATACACACGCGCTGCACATTATTTTTGTTTGAGCTCAATTTTTCTAGACTGGAGTAGATTCACACACAGAGGCATAATGGCTTTCTGCGAATAATTATCAGAGCATGCATTGATCAGAGCTATTGATTAAACTGTCAGTGTTGTCAAGATCACTCATATGTGTTTTCATCTTCCCCCTTTTAAACTCTTCCCCTCTTTTTTCATCCCCCGCTGTCATTCACAGATCACATCTGAAGGCGGCCCTCAGCCTCAGTCCAATATCCTCTTCTCCATTTCCAATGAGGAGATAGCATCTGTTAATGGCATGGGACATGTCAGGGGTGTAGCGATTGGTAATGTCACGGTGACAGGACTGGTCCAAGCTGTTGATGCCGAAACTGGGAAGCTAGTCGTTGTGTCTCAGGTAGATATATATGTGTGTGTGTGGACAGTGTGTGGGCATATTTATGTTTTCTAAGACCCGGCAGATGGAGAGCTTATTCCCTTGTGTCCTCAGGATCAAGTAGGAGTTGAGGTTGTGCAGTTGGCTGCCATTCGAATCAGGGCGCCTATCACAAGAATGAAGACAGGAGCACAGGTATACACACAGACATGTTTACATCATAGGCTGACTATATCTGAGTTTGTAAAGATTATGTATTGTCAGATATTATCTTGACCTTTGTACCGGGAGCTCTACGGTATATTGTTTATTGTTTGCACTCCTGTGAGAAATACTGTGAGTCTGTATTGTGTTTTTTTTGCATTGTCAGATTGAAACCATAGTAAAGCTCCTATGACGCTGAAGCTAATGGGGGTTCCAGCAAAGACACAAAGTGCTTACTTTAACTGGAAAATGTAATTATCTCTCGTCTGTTTTTAGATGCCAGTATATGTGATGGGTTTGACCAATAGTCAAACACCCTTCTCCTTCGGCAACGCTCTCCCCAGCCTCACCTTCCACTGGTCCACAACCAAAAGAGACATCCTGGACGTCAAGCCAAGACACATCGAGGTACCCTAAACCTATGTCAAGGGTTTTTGTGTGTGCGTTTGCTGCCACAACGTCCAACACTGTACAATCCTATTTCTGTCTCTTGCTGTCCCTCCACTCTCTTTATCAGATTGACTTTTTGATGTGCTGTCTCTGTGTTACAGACTGAATTGAAGAAGTGCATCTGCCTGCTCTCTGCTTCCTTGTCAGCCTCTGCCTTGTCCCTGCTTCCTCATCACTGTTGCCCTTTTATTTGATTTGTTGCTTCTATTTTTTGCCCGTCGTATAACGCTGTCTGCCTCCCCCCCAGGCTAACGTGGAGCTTCAGTCCCAGCACAACTTCGGCATGAGGGTGACTGGAAGAACAAGAGGGCGGACAGGGCTGAAGGTGGTGCTCCGGGTCTCAGACCCCCAGGCTGGGCAGCTCGTGGGTGGTGTGCTGGAGCTCACAGATGAGATTCAGATTCAGGTACAGAACTATGGCGAGAAAAAAGCCTGATTATAAACTTATCACGGCCCAGTCCCCCTCTGCTCCTTTTATAATAGAGAGGCTGGCATTCAGGGCAGCAGTGCACTGAAACTGCTGAGCTTGTGAAAATCAGAGTCTTTGTGATGTGATACGACTACAGATAAGTTTGAGCAGAGTGCATTCAGCCGCAAACTGTATTAAACTATGACTTGTCACTTGAGCAGGAACATCGAAGAATAATTAAAGCCCTCAAATAATAATTAGAGTTTGAATATTTTGCTTTGATCAAGGTTTATGACAAGCTGCACATGCTAAATCCTGAAGTAGAGAGCGGGGAGTTACTGATGGCTCCAAACTCAGCCCTTAAACTCCAAACTAACAGGTGAGTAAATAGATTCACAATGCCTAAAAAAAAAAAAGAACAGATGTGTGTATGAAAGTTAGATAAACCTGCAAGTGTTTCCGTTTCTGTTTGTCTCACAGGGACGGTGTGGGCGCAGTCTCTTACCGAATGCTGGATTGCCCCGACCAGGTTGTTATCGCTCAAGTGGATGATAAGGGTTTCCTCTCTTCTGGCTCGCTCACCGGTATCTCCTCTTTGCTGATCTCCTCGCATGAGACGTTCGGTGTCAATCAAACTCTCATCCTGGCTGTGAAGGTCAGTTTTAGAGCCAGTGCATAAAAAAGTGTCTCAGATATTTTGGTTTTCAAAAGCAGTATCCACAGGGAATTAACAGTGAAATCAACCACAGTGGCCCCTTATGAAGTTATGATAAGCTGTATTTGCCACTCTGCTGAAACTTGTACTTGTTTTAAATCCAAATTGTACTGTTGAATGAATAACCAGCTGTTTTTGATTTAAATTATATCAGGACAAGCCAGTCATTCTCGTTCTGCATGCTAGATCCAGACACTGCTAGATTGAGGAGCTGGAGCAGAGTCTAGAATGGACTGCTTGTATCGGAGTGCTGATATCAGAGATTTTAGATGCAGGCCGATATTATCCGATATTTGTCTGTTTGCTGATATCGGACCAATATCCAATATCAATATCGTATTTGGACAACTCTATTGAGTGCACAATCATACTTTAGCAAAGTGTGGGACAACTGGTGACCCTCTGATCCAAAACAGCAACACAGAATACTAATATGATATTTTGCATTCTTCCTGTATCCCACTATAACTGATGGCTGCACTGCTTTTCCCTCCATATTTCAGGTGGTGCCTGTGTCCTATGTGCGGTTCAGTACCAGTCCACCTCTCTACACACAGACCAAAGACAGCCTGAAGGCTTTGCCCCTGGGCATCGTGCTTACCTTCACCGTCCACTTCCACGCCAGCACCGGAGAGACCCTGCACAGCTCCAACACACAGCTTACGTTCGCCACAAACAGGTCAATGAGCGCACCACCTATAGGTTCTTCACGTCGGAGTTATTGCTGTCATTTGCTGTAATAATTCATAAGTCTGTAAGCCGCATGACTCTGAGTGAAACATGACTTTTAGACAAGCAGAGGAAGAAGTGAGGTATGTTTTGCAGTTCTCTGAGCGCCCCAAGGTTGAAAAGCTATTATGCTGCTGTCCAAGGCTATATATAGAGGAGGAGAGCCAAGGCCGTTTTTGAGTGGTCTGTTGTGCAACCTTATCCATCCCTGTGTGGCTTATGTCCTCTCATTTTTCAAATTCTGCCAGACATGTCATGTCAGCTCACAAGCTACTCAGCTAGCATAACCGAATAAAAAAATATAAAATATGTCAAACACGGTTACTTAGATTGAAATGTAATGGACTTAATGTTTTATGAAATTCAGCCAAACAAGATCTTAACTAAAGCGATGATTCCCCAAAGCGTTTCTCCTCGCTCAGACTGTCTGCGTTTATATCTACGGTACAGCCGGGGTCATGGCAGGGTTCAGCGGCAGGCTCGGTGCGAAGTTCACAGCATTAATTTACTTCGCTGTAGCCCTCAGCCTCATTTTAGATGGAGTTGTTTTCACCTGAGTGAGTGAGCGAGTGAGCTAAATTAATGGGAAGGGTTGAGCTCGGAGAAGGGGAGCTGCTCTCCCAACGAGGGACTCCCTCATCTGTCTGCACAATAAATTGATTCTATTACCTTTTCCTCCAGGTGCTGACAGACAATTTTAGGGGAAACGTATCAAAACCAGGGAGGCAAAGGGCTTTTAGTCCGGGGAGTATCGCTGGACTGTGATAAGATCCCATTTCATCTCCAAGGAAACCATCTGAATCTTATTTTATTTGTATGTTTGTGGTAAAAAGAGAAGAAAAAGTTCAGTCGTATTTGTCCAGGACATATGCTTTTGGGACGTAAGCAAATGGAAGACATTTTTCAGGGGAATAAAAATAAATCAGGCGTGATGCTTATCTTTTGTAGAGGGACATAAAAACCAAAGAGAACAGTCTGTCCTCTTTAAAGCTCGTGTTTCGAAGCCTGTCTAAAATTAAAAGTTAAAAGTCTTTTTATTGCCGATAAAATTACTTAATTAAAATTACAGATAATAAATATTTAATTGAATTAGGCTTCGTCTTGGCTCCTGCGACACAAAACTTCACCTGATAAATTACCCTGAACAAAAGGTTCTCAGTTTTTCAACCTTTGCATTTTTTACTTTGTTGTAGATGAACGAGTCCTCCCTGTTCTCATGTATAAAATATGAATGTATCGAAAAAACAAACACCAAAAATCTGAATTGTATCCATGAGCAGCATCTTAAAACCGGATCTGTTGATGATATACTCACCCCGCGTCTGTGCTCTGTCCTGCAGAGATGACCTGGTGCAGGTGGGGAAGGGACCTGGTAACAACACCCTGACAGTGAGAACCATCAACGTGGGCCTCACTCTTCTCGCAGTGTGGGACAGTGGAAACGTGGGCATGGCGGACTACATCCCAATACCTGTCCAGTATGCCATCCACCCTAATGGGGCTGATGAGATCCAAGCACTGGTGGTTGGGGACGTGGTCTGCTTTACTGCTCCTCTAAGTGGTCCAGATGGTGAGAGATGCTTTCGCTCTTTAAACTGTAGTATAAGTTGATTACAGCTTTCATCAACATTTCCTCCCCACAGAAAAACACATAGAAGTTATAAATTACTGCATATTGTCACCCTGAGTCATTTTTTATAGGCTTAGTGCATTTACATGACAACGCAAAATCCACGCAAAATCCTGTAGTAGACACGCCCGGCCTAAAGGTTCGGGTTGCCCGTCTGGTCCTGCTCCGAGGTGGATTCCACGATAACAAGTTGTGCACGCATAACATGCTGCGTCTCTGCATGCGCACTTGTTGCTGTTGCTGTTGTTGCCGTAGCTGGTGTTGTTGCTGTTCTAAATGTTGGTATAAAAGTCGTAGGAGTATTTGTAGTTGCTGGAACAAGAACAAAATCACCCCAGCTACCGCTATTGTTGTTGTTGTTGCTGTGTGTGTGACAATGTGGGTTGGGGGGCGGGGAGGAGGAGGGGTGCTATGAGGTCACCTATTTATACCAACTACGGCATGAAGACGAATACCCAGATTTCCACCTGCAGACCTGTTTTCAAAAAAGATGCAGAGTCATGGACAAATACGCGTCTCCGTGTGTCAATATCAACAGATCAATAGTTTATTTTACCGGTGTCTTACTAATTCGTACTCGTGTAAAGACCACCTAAAGGGATGTTAAATTGATTAATTATGAATGACAGATTTTACCTTGTATTTATGTGTGTGCAAATCTTTCCAAGCCAATAATTTTCTTGTTTCATCTCTCACAGCTGCTGATGGTACTTGGAGCTCCTCCACTGACAGTGTCCTTCAGATGGACACTAAAACTGGCGCTGCTGTAGCCAGAGGCCCCGGATCGGCCACCGTGTACTACGAGATCGCTGGATTTTTCAAAACATACATCGAAGTATGTTATCTTCAGGCTCATACTAGTGCTTCAGCTGCAATGCTTCACCGGCAGAGTGATAAATCATTAAGCGTACGCCGGTGTATATTATCTGCCTTCAAGTGGTTGTTGTTCTGGATGTTATCATTATGCAAACAGCACACCTCTCTGGTGTCTTCATTTCTTCTCTTGACATCCCGATTCCCCGGGGAATTCGATTGTCTCCTCAAGTGCATCGCAGTGTATCAGTCCTTAAGCAAAACATCATAATGAGGATAAAGTTAAGACGTGTTTAGTTCTCCAACAACACCTTTAAGTCTCCCCCCCTAAAACGAGTGTATGACATTTTAACTCTGTTGAGCTCCTCATACATGGTGGAGTGTGGGGAGGATTAATTAGCCTTCCTGATTGTCCCTGCACTCTATCCAGTCTTGCTCCTACAAGGCTCGTGAGCTGAATACAACCCGCAGTTTTGAATGCATATTTCCTTTTAGCAGAGCAGGACCTGATGAGAATTGGTGAGAGACAGTTTTTATCTCGAACAGAGAGAGAGAGGTGCTCACAGGCATTCAAACCAAATGAACTCAATGAAGATGTGTGGGCAGACACTTGAGAAGAGGTAGCAGTAATGGCATATTAAAGACTCAGTTTTGTTATAATTAGTGTTGTTCCACTGACAGACCGGCGTGATTGATGTAAACAATTAGCTGTGGATGTTGATCGTACTGTAATTAATCTATGCAAACACCTGAATCGCAGCAGGATTTATCGGCTGTTTATATGTTCCTCCTTGTTCTGTAGGTTGTGGTAAAAACGCCCACACGGACTGCAGCGACGGCGCAATCCGCACCTGTCAGGATCGGCAAAGAGACAAAGGTCATGCTAACTACCAAAGAGAGAGGAACTCACCTCATTGGTATGTATTCAGCATAAGCTGGAAGAACAGGGGGGTGGATTAAGTTCACTTGTTTGGCCTTAAGAAAATAAGATGTTACCACTCTCATGACAGGAAGCTAGAGCCAGCAGCCTGTTAGCTTAGAGTTAAAGTGAAGAAGCTGAATCTTTGGTCTCACCTGACAGCAACAAATCCATCCTCTATTACAGCTAATGCTTGTAGTCTCTCATCCTATTTATGAAATGGGCTGACATTCATAGTTAAAAGAAGACAGGACCATCAGCAACAAGAGTAAGGATTTTATATCCTCGTTTTTTTAATGGCTGAGCAGGTGTGAGGGGGTAGGTGTCAGCCTAGCAGCTGAAGAACCAGCCCTGTTTTTATGATGTCTATAAATATATGCACAAGAAATGATACTTATGACTTTCAAAAGTCAGCAGGATGAGATTATTTTTGTCGAGAATCACTAGTTGAGCATGTAAAGGACAAGATAAGCAGAGACTGTGCTAATGACAGTCTCCTCGCTTGTTTGATTCTTAACCAGCCTTCTGAAAGGGCTTATAAATCATCAGTCTCATTGTTCTCGAGTCAACAACAAAACTTGTAATGAAGCGCCGAGCCTTTGTATCCAATGCCAGTGTGCTCTGCCCTGCAGGAAGCTGTTCCTCTGCCCAGACTGAAGCTATTTCTCAGCTGCAGCCAGAAACCTCCGTCAGCTGTCAGCTCGGCTTTACCAGTGACGCTGTAGACTTCCCCGCTAATGATGTCTTCACGAAGCATACCAGCTTTGACACCAGCAGTGGTAAGGCTGCTCTGTGCTCCCAACAGATATTGTGATTTTTGGTTGGAAATGCATTGTGTTAGTATATTAACTGTGAGTATTTTGGTCATATAGGATGGTTTCTGTTATTACAAACATGATTTTAACAGGATTTTCCAGCGTAAAATTGATTTAGGGTCAAACACACCAGAACAGTGAGTTGGCCGCACGATAGTAATACACAGCAGTCTGAGAAACCATAAACAACCACCAACCAAAACGCCACAAATAATGCTCAGAACAGCACCTAACTTCATCAACAGTACATATAGGGTCCTAGTCATAGTACGAGCCACCAAACATCTTTTTAACTTTGATTAATTTCTTAAGCGAAGAGTCTAAACACAACTCAACTACTGTCTTCCAGCAGCCGCTTGTTTGTAGCGAGACCCCGGGCCAATCTGTCAGGACTGCTGCGGGGTGACGCAGCATTTATGATCATAAATGTTCTTTCTTGAGCTGCGTCACCCTGCTGCAGTCTGTAATGAACTGGCCTGAGGTCTCGCACAAACAAGCGACTGCTGGAAGGGAGTAGGTGAGTTGTTTTTAGACTCTTTGCGAAAGAAATCAGGCAAAGTTAAAAAGATGTTTGATGGCTAGTGCTATGGCTGGGACCCTATATGTACTGTTGATGAAGTTAGGTGCTGTTCTGAGCATTATTTGTGGTAATAGAGCAGCTTTTTGGTTGAGGTTTGTTTATGGCTCCTCAGATCGCTGTGTATTGCTATCGTGCGGTCGTTACTAAAGTTGGTGTAACTAGAGAACAAGCGGTCGGCGAAATTCATCTCTCGAGGGGGTGTCTAACTCGGTGTTATGGCGTGTTTGACTCTAAATTAATGTTACGCCAGAATATCCCTTTAACTTGATTTTTCATACCTAGTATTTAAGTTTGGTGTTGTTTGACTATCCTTTCTTTTCCTTTAAAATCACAGACTGTACCTTTTTTGTTGAGTATACCTGTGCGCATCTTTTTACAAGCGTTGATATTTTTTCATTGGTTTTGTATCTCTTTAGGAGCACCCACTTTCCCCACATTAAAACTGCTTTTAAATCCGACTCGAGCCAAATGTTTATGCCCATGTTCTGCGTGACTGTCAGGAAAATACTGTTCACGATGGCATAATCAATACTGGCAATGCTCTCAGAATGAATTTAGCAGGGACTATAAAAGGTGTCTGGGTGATATATTGAACTGAGGAAAGTCTGGGTTACTTCAAAGCTCTGGTCTAATTATGTTTGGGGTTTGAGACTCCGATGTGAGGACACGATGTGAATGACCCTCCCTCGCAAAACTCTGGGATTAAAACGAGTAAAACTTTCTGTATCTTCTATGTTTTTGCACACTTTGACATTTGGACACCCGAACTCCTCACTCTTTCCTCTGTGACTTCTCGCCCCAGGCCTCTACGTATGTTCCATAACCCTGCAGCCGGTGACAGAGCAGCAGACCCGTGTGCACAGCATGTCCATGAGCAACCTGCAGGTTAAAGCCAGCCTGGAGGGCAGCGCTTTCTCAGGGGAGCAAGTCAGCGCCCTCCTGCCCATCGATCTAGGCCTCTATTCAGACCAAGCTGAGCTGCTTCTCTCAGGTCTGCACCCATCAGCTGAGCTCACCATCTACGGGTCCACTGCCGCCCTGTCCAGCATGGAGGTCAGGCAAAAATCATCCAATTAAGTGTGCCATCATAGTTAGGATTAACCTCGACTTTGTTTGAACAAATCAATATCCTCTTGACCTCGTTTTTAGGTGGTGTCTACATCTCCAAACGTTGTCGTCCAGGAGAAGGAGATGCACCGTGACTTCCCAAGTTACTCAAAGTACACCGTCACCGCAGTGGACCCTCAGGCAGCCGTCTCTGCTTTTGTCTCCGTCAGCAGCGCATCCTACGGCCAGAGTCTTTCCATCCCGGTCACTTTGACTCCTGCAGCTGAAGCTTATTTTGCCAAAGAAGGTCAGATATCCTTTGGGCGCAAACGACCAGTCGCAAGGTCATGTTGCTTAACGTGTAACTTTTTTTCGAGGGACAAGAAGCTAGCAGGGCTGTCACTTTAAACCAACATGTTTAGTGTAATTTGAATGCATCCCCTTTAGCCTGTTTCTAAAATAGCTGGTAAAATAACACAGTCGGTGTCGCCTCCTCTGCTGACAAGGTAGGTCAGTGTTGGGCAATTAAAACAATTTAGCTGAAATTTGTTATACTTGATTAAATACCTATCTCCTACAGTGTCAACTCAGGGTTAGTTTAAAAATGTCTCTGTATATCATGTCCTAGATAGTTGAGTTTTCAGTTGCTAAAAATAGTTATAAGATCTGTAAAAAAGACACTTTTTGGGATATCCAGACCCAGATTTTTCAGGAACAGTGTAGCACCTTTCACCACTGTTTTGTGGATAATATTCATGGGTGGTCTCAGCACTTGGAGGGGGATTCTAACAGCCTGTTGTCTTATCAACTCTGCCTCAGCAGCACCTCCTCCAGGGGGGAACCATCCAGGGGGCCACCCCCTGCAGAACCTGATCGATAGCTACCAGATGATATTCTTCTCCCTGTTCTCTCTGCTGGCTGGCACAGCTATCATCATCATCGGTGGGTCACACAGTAGAAAATGGAAAACCAAGAGAAGTCTAGATGCTGCAGTTTTAGATATTTGGAGTACTCTGTTTAGCCGAATGTTGTTTGTTTAGTCATTTTTGTGCAGCTTAAGTTTCACTTCCACGTGTTATTTTCATACTCTATACTCGTAATAATAGATAAGCAAATATCTACATTTTTAAATTGAAAAATGACCTCTGCCAGCGTTCAAGCTTGTCTTTGATAAGAAAAATAATGTATGAAGTGACAATCTGCATTTGTCAATGACTTCCACAATCTTAAGCACTCAAAGTTGTGAGGAAATTTCATGACTCCCAGGAGCTGTTTTGATACAGAGCTCCCCAAACACTGTAATGGTTGTGTTTTTAAATTTGTTTTATTCCCCGCAGTCCTCCACACGGTGTTCTCTCCGAGGGAGCGAGCCTATCATCCTGTTTTCATCGCCAGGACGCCACCAGCAGACTCAGGTAGGACTCTGTGACACACCCCCGAGGGATGAACCTTTAAATGTCAGCCCATCTCTTTCAGGCCCCGAATGTTGCTGTAGTTTCGAAATGAGAAGTTTGTTCAGTGTCTATGTGCAGCCAACCACTGAAGAAAGCCCCACAGAGTATTAATTAAATCCACTCTGCCAGCATCCAGGACAATTTTCTCGTGTCAGATTAGATTTTTAAGACGAGTCACATCGCTGATTGTAAATTAAAGCCTATTTGGACACAGACCAACAAGAAGAGAAGCATTGTGTTTATCCAGAAGTTTCCATCGTATCGTGACTGAAGCTTCGGCAGTGCTGTATATCAAAACTTCTCCTCTGTGTTCTGGCTGCTGAGATATGTTTGGAGAGATGAATGTGTTTCCACTACAAATAAGGCTGCTCATTTCTGCCTCGAAGCCAAATCGTATTTTCTTTTAAATTCCACTGCATTTTTGTTCAACTTTTAAGTCTGCAAACCATCTTCACTAATTTCTCATTTCGAGTATTTTTCTCCACAGCTATTCTTCTCGAGCTGCTGTATTTACTTAATGCTGTATTTGGCTTTTACTCCAGGTATATGCACCCCAGACGGGAACACTTTAAACCGCAGAATACCGAGAATGGACCCAAACAGCAGCCCCAGGTCACGTCTCTACTCTCCAGACTACAGGACCTGATAAAGCTCCCTGTCTGCTCCCCCTTACTCTTTATTTTGAAAGAACACCACAGGCCATTAATGCATATTGAATGTGCCTCCTTCCCTTAGTACGAATGCTGTGAGGTGTGACTGCAAACTCAGCTACATTCAGTTATCCTCCTCGTATGTTTGTACAGATGCTCAATGAAACTTGTTTCTTTCATAACAGCAGATCAGATGATAACAACAGGGCTATTTTCTATATATGTGTGTGTGTGCGTGTGTGTTTTCTGTGTGGATACAACAAGTTATACGCAATATATATATATATATACTTGTCTTTTTGTGGTTTGCAATGGAAGATAATTTTAAACAAACAAAAACCACTTAGTTATTTACTGACGTCCTTTGAGGAGTTTGCAGTGTTTAAAAACCAAATATCAAGTTTGCGTTTCAATATGTTAGTCTCATGTTTGTTTGCGCTGTATTATATTAATGACGTGGCAACTAATATCTCAGGATGAACCTCGTTCTTGTACGACTGAAAGGAAATGTTAATTTAATAATATTTTGACAGTAAGGCACATTTCCTTTGTTATGTTGTAGCGTACTTATACATTGTGTGAATTTGCCGTCCACTGAGACCATCCTCGGGCGAGGAACCCCTTCAAATGTGCAAAGTCCTCACTGACATCATGCAGCTTTGTTTCTGTTTTGGGGCATTTTCTGGGAGATGTGACTTTCCTGTTATTGAACATTTTCTGAGTTCAGAGCCTCGGTGCATGTAGCTCCTCCTCATTTCATGAATGTGAAACAGTCAAGGAATGTGAACATATTTAATTTCTGGCCAGTTTTTCCTCCAGTTCAAAATCAATCAAATGTGACCTTACTGTAGCGCCACTGTTCAGATCGGAGGATAGTGACTTTCTTTTAAAGGAGATATTTTTGTATTTGAGAATAAAATGTTGAGAAGAATTTGTATTTATGTTAGCTAGTGAAATTCAATTGAACTGTGAAGTCACACGGCTTCAGCGCTGTTTTTTGTTTGTGTGTTTAAGATTCATGTCCTGCCTTACAATCATACCTGAACAGCTTTCAGCACGTAGTACAGACACGAGTTTGTGAATATGCTCATGCTTTTGCTAATAAAAGTTTTTACTTTTCACGTTCAGCATCAGTCTTGTCATCATTCATCAGTTAATTTTATTCTGAGAAATCCAGTCTGAACCTCATCGCCTTTTCTCAAGATTACCTTTCAGAAATATTGCCGTTGTTCTTAATCCCCATCTCTCCCAGATCCATTAGACTCATGGCAATCCTGAACCAGACTGTCTTTGTCTCACATCGCTGATCACCTATCTCACATCCGTCAGCGACACTGCTCTGGACTCCTGTGGTGGGTCCCCGTCACCTAGCTCATTTGTACGCCGTCAGCAGCCACCTGCATGTCAGCAAACACGACACAATCTCAAGTGGAGGAGCCGGCTGGAGCGTGCGCCACAGAATTAATCCTCATGCAGGAGGAGATCAGCTGTTGGAAACACCAAAGCTGCAATTGTCTGACTGAACCCTCATTTACTGTAGTTTAAAGTGCACACTTTAGTGTAAATGTGGGGTTATTTAAGGCTATAGCTTGATATGATTTTCAATGTACTATATTGTCTATTTTCAAACAAATTGATCTTATTAATCTATTAGATTTCCCATTAACCTGGTATGTGCACCCTAAAGTGTCACAGGGTCCCTAGAAGTTTCTGTCATTCACAGATTAGAACAAAAGTCTAAAATTTAAATATGTTCAACAAAAAAGCAAAAATGTTGATGAGAAAGTGAGAAAATCGGTACACAACAGAGGCTACAACTAGAGAAACTTTACACCCTCTGTTTGGAAAAAATACACTTTTTTCTAATCTAATTCTATCTATTCTAATTTTTTTTGTTTATTTGACCAGGTTAGATTCGAAATGTCTGTTTCAATTCAGAACTAGACAAAGCAGTCAGAGGCCAAAAACGCCAGAGTTGTAGACGAATGCACAGGGATCCAATCGACAAGCACTAAAATTAGCAATAGAAACTATCCAAGAGTCGGAAGTGTAACTAGGTGAACTAAGGTTTCAGTGTCAAGGCTGCATGGTGGTGCCTCACAGCAAGAAGGTTCCTAGTTCAAATTCCCGCAGGGGCTTTCTGTGCAGTTTGTATGTGCACGTGCGTGTGCATGTTCGTGCTCTCTCCTGCTTCCTCCCTCAGGTCTAAAACATGCTCATCAGGTTAACTGGTCACTCTAAACTGCCTGTAGGTGTGAGTGTGAGGCTGTCTGTCTTTGTATGTCAGCTCTGTGACAGACTAGCAACCTGTCCAGAGTGAACCCTGCCTGTCGGCCAATGACAGCTGGGATAGGCTCCAGCCCCCCCCACCCTATGACCCTGAAAAGGAGAAAAGCAGTCAAGATAATGGATGTTTCACTGTCTTTTATATTAGATTGAAAAACATTTAATGACGCCAGCGCCTGAAGTTTCAAGCCATTGTGCTATAAATTCCAAACTGAGGGTGCAGCATACCCGAAAGCCCTTTTCCCAATTTCTGTCCAAGTTTGTGGGACAGAGAGTATAAAGAAGTTTCGGATGTGCAATAAATACCATCCAGGATATCTCTGAGTGATAAAAACATAGTGCAGCAGGCCAAGAGCTGTGCAATAAATGAGGGCGTAGCTATGTGTTAGCCTGAGATGGCCATCCAACTCACTCATGTTTAAAATTAAGGAAGTCTTTAATCCAAATACTCAAGTATGTGCAAGAGTTAATCGATTCTGTCACTCAGCGTTAAAATAAAACATTAAATTCAGCTCCAGTGCAGATCCGTCTGAAGGTAAACACAATGTTCTGTTGGAATTATAGTTATAGACACATAAAACCAACATCCATGCGCTGCTGCATATGGAAAATAATTCATAGTGGGACATATAGAGCACCAGCTCGGTCTTCGGATAACTTCCCACATGCTCTTTATTTCTCCGAGGGGTGTTTGGTAGACAGAGCCTCAACTCAGCCTGAGAGGTGTTTATGAGCAGGAGCAGCTGTGAAGCTCAGACTAGGATCAGAACAGAGGCTCAGGGGTATTCTTAAGATGTTGGTTTGGTGAGGAAGAGGAAACATGGTAACTGGTGTACTGTACTGTTGTGTTGTGTGAGGAAACAAAGCAGCTGATTGACTCTCTCAGACTAGTTTTGCTTCACTGTCCGCTTTAGTTAAAAAGTGATGAAATTCAAAAAAGAGGAAATGACCGTTTTTAAATTACTGCCATCAAATGCCAGCTCGGCGTGGGTTGTTGAATGTGACTGTACAGTATATCTATAGCTCATTAAGGCAGTCATCCGTGCTGAGCCAAGATGACACTCAATTTATTCTTTCCATTAAGTCACACGAGTTGCATAAACCCCACCTGTCAGCCTGTCGAGCTGAGAGCCATCTCCCCGCGACCTGGGTGAAGGGAAAGCGCCGTTGTTCCAGATGGCTTACTGTGCTGTCAGTGGAGGGGATCAATGAGGTGGGCACTGTGTGAGACCTGACAGGAATGGTAAAGGAAGGGGGGGGCCTCTCTCCCAGGATGGTGTGAGAAGGTTTCTGTGAGAAATCAGTGTCCTAGCTGGGGAAGAGTCAGAGGTCGCTGTCTGAACCTGGTGAGGTTTTTTAGATTTAGAAATAGATGTGCGAGTGTTTCCTCTTGTTGGTGATAAAAAAGTTGCAGTATGATGATGCGGATTTCATATAAATGACACAAATATCTCTACTGTAATTGTGCTGTTTTGATTTCTTGCAGCAGCCACCCTCAAGAAACCCCCCTAACATATTTGCTTTTGATGTCTATAATTTTAATTATGTATTATGTAAATATCACAGCATGTAAATTACTATATTAGCGACAGAATAAGCTCTTAGCGCCAGTTCAAATCCATCATACAAATGCACGTCTATATATGCAGTTTGGCTCAGCGCAGCCTATTTGGCATTCTCTGAAAGTTTAGAAACTGAAAAAAAAAAAACCTTTTTCCACTCCGCTGGTTAAATGATTGGGGTCTTTCTTCCATCACAGCTGGCAAATGTTTTGTTGGGCTATACTCGGAGTGTTTCCGAGTGGTTTTGCCTCAGTGCAAATATATGAGCGATTTCACTAAATAAATCTCTCTGACTGTTTGGCACCCACACTGGCACCGGTGTGTGACTGGTCAGCCAAAGGAAGACGAGAGAGAGAGAGCCCAAGAGTGTAATAAAGACAGGCAGTATGTTTTCAAGTGGCTGATATCCCGTGGTAGCTGGCAGTCGTGGGTCCTTGTAATTTAAGAAGGTGCTATAAGTATGAGGTATATGCAGCCGCGTGATTTGATAATGTTGGCATATGTTTTTATAAGGTCAAGTAAGGGAACAGCAGCATCTCCTCTCATTGGTCCACACTCCTGCACCAGAGGACACTAGCATCACAATTAAAGCTGCAAGCTGGATTCAACCCCCCTCCCTGTGAAGCTGCAGGGCTAACGACCACACTAATGAGCCACCTTGCAGAACTTAACATGTGAGAGTTTATTTACTGTTTAGGTGACTCCAGCACTTAAACATTCATGGTCCATATGCTCCAGTGGGAGAGAGCTGCAACACACTGACTCCACAAGAGAAAGGCCCTAAGCTCTCCTGTTGTGGGGCACTGATGCCATCCAATGTTGCCTTGTCATGCTGACTTGTTTTGTTTATTCATGATGAAGATCAAACCACTATTTCAAATTTAGTGGTCTATAATTCAGAGGTAGTCTGAACACGTTGGCTCTAAATCCACAATAAGGCCAAAGTTTGAATTTGAACCCTGAAGGACACTGATGCGAGACGGCTGTGATAACCACTATGTTAGTGAGCCTCCTTAAGTTAAATCTTTTTAAGAAGTTTTACCTTCTTTCCAGTGCATGATGGTTATAGAAGCATGTTTTGCTCATGCAAGAGGAAGTTCATACACCCAATGGATCTAAGCTAGGACAATGGATAATTTTTCTTTATCTAAATTGTTGATATTGTAACGTAGAGGTTCGATGTAAGGTTGTTGGATAACTCTAATGATGAGAAACAGCAGGATAGAGATGGATAACTTTCTTAACAGCACTTTTACTGTTCAGCCATCTTGTCATAACCACAACATAACCCTAAATGTAACATCCTGGACAACCCTGATCACATGTCCCAGCACTCACCAATCGGAGGCTAGAAACATAGACTGTATATACAATGGACAACTTGGTTCCGCCCACTGCTAGTATACGGATTTGAAGCGTTTTTTTCTTTACTTCCTGAAACTGAGCTGTACAGAAAAAAGAGGACTTGAGCACAAACCAGTCTTACAGTCACTGCATGTCAACATCACAACCAGGGGGGAGAAAAATAAATGTTCTGTGTAATAAATTTCTAGAGTTTGTCCACAGCTCCATAAGCTTTGCTGGAGGAGGCGGGTTTTATGACTTTTACTGCAGCCCGTCACCAGAGGGTGCTGTTCTCAGGGTGGCTTCACCAAAGGAGGAGGCAGACGGCGTCCATTCTATATACAGTCTACAGCTAGAAACTCAAAGTAAACATGAATGAACCTCAGAAACACATTATGCATGATCTGCTCACCCTCACAAGCAGCTGTAGAGAACAGCATTTCAACTTGTAAATATGTAAATATGAACATGTCAATACTTTGTGAATAGTTCTCTGTATGAATTCTATAAACACAATTTTTTTTAGCTTAATTTAAAGACAGTTAACCGTAATAGTTAAGAGAAATATATCTGTTGTCCAAGTTGTGATCAACTTTCTATCTTCAAAATCTTTCCCTCCAGCATAAGTCAGTAAGCTCTCCATTGCAGCCAGATAAATCCTAATGTTTGGTAGACTAAACCATTTCTTTGCCTTCAGGAAAGGTGAAAGGGTCCTCAAAGACAGACTCTTTGTTTTATAAGATAAAAGGTTATGAGCCGTGTTCATTTATTCAAGTTGACTGCGCTTTACTCCAGGGAAGTTATAACCGAAGAAAAACTCAAATATTATTTTTTTCTTTTTTTTTGAACATGTGCGTGCAAAACAACAATAACAATAATCAAAGCGAAAAAATAAATAAAAAAAATACAAAAATAAAAATAAAAATACTACTAATAATAATGCGAACACAACATGTCCGAAAAAGGAGAAGGATGATGCATTATGCTTCTTTTTACAAACCTACCCCCTATCCTCTACTCAATAAATAGTCAGTCTCCAACATATTTACATTATATTAACAAAAAATAGAACATAAATAGAGTAAATAAGTACATAAATCATTTACGAAAACACCCCGATGGTTAGAGCCCTTCTTCCTCCCTGCACCTGGTGAGAACCATGTTTTTGTAATATGAACTAAGTTTGAACTTCAGGTTCAGACTGATGCGAATGTTTGATTTTAAGTCAAAGTAAGGGAGATAGGTGCATTTACAAGAGCGTGCAGACTGCTTTTATTCAGTATTAAGTCCCTTTGATGACTCTTCAACATCATATTCTTGGTATCACAGTGCAGCTTGCTATAAAAGACACTGCTCTTTAAAATGTGCATCACCAATCCAGGATACATATGAGTCATTTTGGGTTTGATGTTGTTGCTCTTATCTGTCATGAACATTTCACTAGAGGGAGTAACAGAGGATTGCAGATGAAGAGGCAACACACACAGGCAGCATAGTAAACAACTCCTGTAGGTAAGAGGCATGTGCTTTTAACACAGATAAGGGAACTCTAACATTATCCAAATGTGTAATGCTCTGAGTGCAGTGTTGTCTGACAGAAGAGGGTGCAGCAGAGCAAGCACACACACACACGCACACACACACTGGAAGTAGTGAATCAACACATTCCCAGTTAATATGAGAAAAGACAGAGAGCATGCACCGACAAACTCCATATCCACCTCCTCCTCTTTTCCTCCAGCAGCTGCACAGAAAGCCATTACTGCGCTCGATGCGACCTGCAGATTCATAAAACTTGAAAGCCCCGCCCACCTGACAGCCAGCGTCTGTTTACGAAAAGTCACGGGAACAGCATGGAGAGAAAGGTGCACAGCAGAAAATGTCATTCCTTGCTGCCAACTGGGGGAACAACTAGACTTCCCGGAGAGTCGACCACGACCGTCACAATGTAGTCGGTCACATTTGTTTGACCGATATTTGGATGCTTTCTGACATCTGCACCGTAACGTGAAGCTCCCCGTGCAGAGGAACTACTTAAATGCGCGTACCGGGAGTGTTTCACATTTTTAATTTCCACACACACCGACTTAAAACAATGGCGAGGCGCAAAAGGCGCAACCTACAGATTTGTTGCGCCTAAACCTTTGCCGGGACTAGAGAGAACCATCTCCAGGGGCTTCTGCGTTACAACAAGGGGGGGAAAAGGGGGTAAAAAAGGTACTCGGGCGACATGGAAAGCCCGACCGAGAATCCTACCAGGGCTGTGGAATATTTGACGGAGCTTAACAAGATCATCGAGACCCAGCAGGAGTTGCTGGAGAGGCAGAGGGGAAGGATAGAGGAGCTGGAGCAGCAAGTGTCCGACTTGTGCACGGAGAACGCCTGTCTGAAGGAGGAGTATCAGCGGCACCTGGCAACCTGCAGGCTGCTGCAGGGGAGCAACAGCCTGGTCACTCTTGGAGCTATAAAGGAGCACATTGCAAATGAAAAGTAAGACTATAATCATTCTAATTCACCCACCACAGTCTCTCATTCTACTGCAATGTTCCCCTAATTGTGATATCTGAAGTTACAATTTGCACTTAATTTGAGTATTCATGAGGAAATCAGTTCAATACTGCCACACAGTGATCCGCAGTTGCAACAAAACTACATTGCTTTCCTTTTACAGTGCTGATGTTTGCTGATGGAAAATGAGTCCTTGAATTACGCAAGGAACGAGTTTTTCTGACCATATCTGGAAATATGAGAGAAAAGATTTGCCCACAGCACTCTGGGTCTCCACATTGTTGATGGATAAATTATTAGTTTCCTCTAAGATATTAATTTCCAATCCAGTTGTTTCTATTTTTCCCCTTTAAGAGCCTAAACTTCTAGTCAGGTTTCCATAGTTTGATGGATCCTGCATCTGATTGCACACTCTCAAACTGATTATTCTGCTTTGTCATCAAGGTTGGTGTCAGTCTGTAGTTTCCCTAGACTGTAGCCCTCAGTTCTGCATTGACAAGCATGTAAATCCATGCTCTGGAGTGCAACAGCCGCTAGGTATTAAAAGCCAGCTCTTGGTATAGAAGCATTATGCAATTATATTTCCAGGCAGTGGGTTAAGCCTCAGAGAGGAAAGCAGGTATAGGGCAGATGTAGTGTAGCATTATATCAGGAGGGCTGCTAAGACCCCGATAGTCAGACCTGCTGTCAGGATTACTCTCCCTGCTGCAGCTCTGTGCTAAAGTTCAAGCTCTGTTAGGTTGTATCTCCAAAATGCCTCAGTGTGCAGACGTTTAACTCAGCGTCTGACAGGCAACAGGATCATGTGATCATACTTGACCTTTATGTCTCGGCTGGTGTTGGTGTCACAGAGATCAGTGACAGAAAATCGATACCGATGACTTATGGACTGTATGTCTTTGCTGGCTGATAAAACCAGACTCTTGAGATAAGGGCGTACTGTAACACTGACCTTTAGTGCACAACCTGGATAAATCTCACTCTAGCTTCATCAGGGAGTATCTGCTCTGATTTCCCTGGAAAATCACTCTGTCTCCATATCTCATTTTGTGCTGTCACAGTGTCTGCACACTATTTCAGTCCAGTCGTGGTCGGCCGACACTGAGTTAAGTACAGAGCCTGTGATTACGCTGGTGAACCTGATGGAAGATGACAGCTGTTAATGATGTGTAGTGTGGTTTATGGAGGATACAGGATTTACAATGTCATTGGATGACAAAAAAAACGCTCAAAGAGAGCATCAGCTGTAAGCAAGACTGATTCAATGATTTACCAAATGGCAGTGTTAATACAGAGAAAATGGCACTTTAATAGTGTGTACTAGGAAATTAAGCCTCCCATGATCAGGGACCACAGAGCCATCCACAGCAGCTTAGATACCCTCATTTGGATTTCTAGCTTGACTCCTGGATTTCTTGAGGAATTTCAAAGGATTCCCAGGCTGGAGATTTTCTCAAGAGCTACTTTTAAATCAAGACTTCCCAAGAGAGGAAAATCTGCCCAAACGGGTAAATGCAGTCCTACATAGCAGCAACTCTTTCATCTCAAGAAATTAAGCTAATGGAGGACTACTTAAACTGCAGTACCTCAAATGTCCACTTGAGGCTGGCTGCAAAAGCACTGTGAGCCACATACACACCCATTCAAAATAGCCAGTCTTTACAGCAAAAATAAACATGTTTACAGCTGAGTTGACAGTTTTGGTTTTAAAACTTATTTGGGGGGTTCAAGTTTTCTATGACTGACACCTGATACAGCCTATGGGCGTACAAGGATTGTGTAGCTCACTCGGGGGATACGCTGTTTGAGCTGAGGGTCATCACAGCAACTCTCGGTGACTCTGTCAAATGCGTACAATGCTACTGCGCAATGTTGGTTTCAGGAAATTGAGAGAAAATGCGGAATTACCGAGAGCTTTTTGGCTCCAAATCCGTATAATGACGGAGGGCGGGACCAAGTTGTCCATAGTATCTACAGTTTATGGGTGGCCCACCATAAACCTAATCTTTGCCTGCTGTTAGGTCAATCAAAAGCTAAGTTGTGTCAAATTTCCCAACATAGTTAACACCATCAATGTGCTTCAAGTCTTTGCTTTATGAACTAATCAGTGATATCATAGATGCTACTTGTCCTTGGACCATTTGAAGCCATGTTAGCAGCAGGGCTCTCTGCCTGGTAGTACATGTTAGTCGGTCACATTTTCCATCATGTTTGTTAAAAATTTAAGGTTTCCAAGAAGTCTTTATCGGTAAACAACTTTGGTTTCATATACTGACAGTCCTACCTGTCAAACAAGTTGTTTGAGTTGGTGCAAATGAACATACTGGTATGCCATCAAGCTACCACACTATGATAGTGGATGAACATCGTCTACCAGTAGTGGGGATTCGGCACATCCTGCTTCCAGTGACATGATAATCAAATATTTATCATGATAACTTCGTTTGACAGTATGCCAAGAATGTGGACACTGTCTTTGAGCTGTCAGGCCTGTCCTCCTGTCTCTCACCATGATGGTTGTCATGTGGTTATGTGACCACAATCTGACCTGCACCTTGTATGAGAAAGCAGGTGGAGGAAGTTATAAGAGAAAATTTTCTTTACTAGCTCGCAGGATGTGATATTGCTTAGAATATTTATGCACTGTCAAGTCTTCAGGTTTACCAAAGTCCCTGAAGTACCCTGTTATATATTGGAGTGTAAAGTCAGACTTGAACTTTGATATTTTGGAAAATATGTGTATTTTCTCACACAGTTGCCATTGTTATGTGTATGTGCACTGAATATGTAACCCCAGCCAGGAGACCTAACTCAGTGTAGCATGGCATAAAAACTAGAAACAGCTAGCATAGCTTTCCATCTCACTATGCTGATTTTAGGGACAGATTAAACTTTGCTGAACCTCGTGGCAGCATGTAGTCATGATGAGCTCCATGCTTGAGGTATCCAGTCATGTTAGAACAAGATCAGTTTGCTGTTCGGGAGCTAAGGGTTGAACTCAGGCTGGATATTAAGCTTTTATGAAGATGGAAAATAAACACGGGTGCATGGGGAGAGGACACACTAAAACCAAATTCTGCTTGTTTTTCTTTGTGTCCTATTCGCAGCCTCCTGTGACCCTGCTTTATAACTAAGCAAAGTCATTTTCCTGCTTTTAAAAGTTTTTGTGTCACTATTTTCCCTTTTGGATTAAATAACCTGTTTCTTTAAACCAGGAAAGTGGCTGTGATGTTATTAAGGCATTTATATTCATTTTGCACTTCACTTTTAGTCTCAAGAGTAGAATCCCTCATCAGTCACAGATTTTATCTCTTGCCTTTTTTCATGCTTCAGCAAATAGTTATTAGCTGTCCTGTCAGTTCTTAGACGGTTTAAGATGTCATCATTAAGCGATTTTCTAATAGAAAGAAAAGAAATGAGGGGAAAGACAAATGGAGCCTGTGATTTCCTGTTCCCAAACAACTGAGAGATAAAAAATATCCTCTACTGAATAAAACATGAAACTGTTTTCTGTTATCTTGGGGTCACCGTAGATTAAAGGCTCCTTTCCCCTCACCCTCCTCTCTAAAACAAAAACACAAGAGAGCAGGAAATGTGATGCGCCACTGATAGTGGGACCTGTGGTGCCAAGTCAACAGATTTCTCTTTGAGTTTCAGCTGAGCTTGCTCCTGGATAACATTGTCGGTCAGATTCCCAGGATGCGTGGCTTTTGCTCTGGTGTTTAAGATCGTCTCTGTGGGCACTGACCCCACTGTCGATCTGTAAACTCACCCACTCGGGCGAGTGTGTCCTCAAGGAGTCAGAGGAGTTTCCCAGTCTGTTCACAGTTTCTAAGTACAAGTTCAAAGCCTGTGAAAACACACGGCTGGAGTAGCACCCGGGTAAGAATTAGCAATCGCACACAGATCAGGTTTCTCTTGTTCATGCTTACTGAGATGCCTGCTGAGTCAGCCCCTTCAGTCCAGCAGTATTTATGCTGACCACATGCAGTTCTCCAACCTAATAGTGTGTTTTAAAAGGCAGTCCACTGTTACTGCTATCCCTTGTGCTCACTTAGGAATTAAATGACAAGCAAGACGAGATTGGGTGGCAAGCTTTAGCAACACATGCCGCTGATAAATGACATTTCATGGGCCGTTAAGTCTGACTTTAATAAACTCCGATTTTTATGCGCACACCTGGTCTGTCTGCTTGTTAACAGCGAATACAAAAACGAGTTTTTAAGAACATTTCCTCGTGTTATCATACTTTCAACTTTACTGCACCTTAGAGGTAAATGTTACACTTTTTCATCGCAGTTTCTCTGACAGCTTCTGCAGCACCAAACATCTCCAAATTTGTCAAAAAGTCAGCTTGAATGAGGAATTCAGTTTTCCTCTAAATTCAAAGATTTTTCCCAGGTTGAAAGTTATTGAAAGTGACTTGTTTCAAAGTTTAAATTGAGCTTTTTTTTTCTTGTGGAGGCTTATAAAAAGGGCACTTTTTTAAGAGACACATAGAGGACAGGGAAGCGCCAACCACATTATGAATACAGAGGATAAATGCATGGTTGAAAGCAACAACTGGGCCAATCTTAAACGTCTCAAACACTTTGAATAAAAAACCTTGAGTTGGCTTTAACCACTTTGAGTGATAGTGATTAATTTCGCCCTTGCTCCGTGCAGAATAATAAACATGTTGATGGTTTTATCAGAGGAGATCCACTGCGATTCTGTTAGTCCGTCTTCTCCTCTCAGGCTTGAAATGTGATTGTGTGTTTCCCGCTTTGTCATATCTTTATTTCCACTCTACATATATTTACTCTCCCGCGTTTAATATTCAAACATTGTACCACGCTCAGATAGTCAACCAAGTGTAAACATTATTAAGGATGCTGCCATAACAGGAGAGATAACTCTTGTCATTTTCTGCACAGCCATGTTTTATGTTTTCTTGAAAGTGTTTTCAAACTTACTGTATCTCCAGGCTCAAAGCACTCCAGGAATTTGCTACCTATTACACTATAAAAGACAGCCGGATATCCATTGCTTGCTCGAACAACTCAGGCATTACCACAGAAAATTGCATTCAGAGAAGCATTATATCTCGAATAGGCACTAGATTTGAGTATGATAGCTGTGGCGGCGGCGGTGGCGGCAGTGTTTGTGAAGGCAGATACTTTTTCAGGCAGTCATTTAAATTCTCTATGATTCCCGGTGGGTGAGGAAGCATAAGTAATTCTCTGAGATCAAATATTGATGAATTACGTGACAAATCAATGCAAACTCAAAGTCTCTCCCTGTTAATGCTCTAATAGAGCTAATATGACTCTTTGAACGGTGACGGATGAAAACCTCTCAAGTTGTTGTGACTGTGCCAGATCTGAGCCAGGATGTCTGCCAAAAAAACAAAAGACACAGTTAAACTCGCTCTGCGGTCTTTTTGTAAGGTAACATTCACATTTTGAGACGCGACTTAAGAGTTAGAACCTTGATGCTGGAGACTCATAGTTTTAAGGTTTTATTTTACAGGTCAAAGCATGTGCAGGATTACGAGTGTAGTAAATTTTGATGATTGTGAAAGCCAAAGATAATCAAAAGCAACATTTTCCTGCCATCTTTGTTGCTGATTAAGCATCTTATGCGATGGACAAAGTAGGCCTGGGTGATTATATGATCGTGATAAATTTCAGTTTGATCACGGTGATCAGCTGTGAGCTTATTTACTCGATCAAACATGGCGAAAATGTGCATCACAACAGACAATCAGAGTCGAGCTTTTCCTGCTCACTTCTGTAAGTTGCTGGACATGTAAACAAAGTAACCGAACGTGGAGCTGAGGGCAGTAAAATAGATGTCAGCCATGACTTTGAGTCATCCTCCAAAGATGTTATTGTTGAGAAGAGAATTTATTTAAAGTCTTATGTATTATTTATCTATTACTTTTTAGTTTTAAGTACAGATGCTTTAAAACTGGCAGTTTAAAAAAATCGGACAATATGACAAAGTTTATCGTGATCATCTTTTTGGCCAAATCGCCCAGGCCTAGGACAAAGTAAAACATCTGCAGCAAGGTATCAGGAAAGATTTATGTGACAGTGATGGTCTGCAGAGTCAATGCTGCAGACTGAATACACAAGCTTACAGGTCAGTATTTAAAACATCACACTTCAAGATAATCATGCTGATTTGGGGCAAAGGCCTAATTATCAGATGGTTATGAAGATTATCCTGTTGTATGAAGTGTGTTAAGAGTGATTTTTCTTTCCTCCAAATTGCGTGGAAGACGATCGGAGCCTCCCTGACATAGGATCAGAAATCTTTATGTGTTGGGGGAACCCTGAGGACAGCTGATCATGCATGTTTATGCAACTCGATAGCCACTCAGGAAGTGAGCTGTCTAAAGAAGGAAGCACAACCATGGCAACGATCGTAAACACGAAGCATAAACTGAGACGGATGTCCGAAATATAGAATCTGCTCGTTGATACATGGCAACAACATGTTACATAACATGTTCGGTAAAAGACACCAGTTACACACCAATGATATCTGTAGAATTGATTTCAAGTTACCAAACTGGACAAGTGCAAGTTATGTTTGTAATAATTTCCTGATGCTCAATTCAAAGTATATTTTGATACATTTATTCTATTTCTTTTCTTTTTTTTTTTTTGGATGATTCACAGATATGGGTCCAAAATAGAGTCTAAGTATAAAACCAAAGTCTAAAGACTCAAAAGTAATGTGTTTATCCAAAGTAGTTACTACTTTAAGTCCTGAGAAAATCAAATTTGTCACATTGAATTACGGAGAAAACTACCAGCAGCCTGTTGCAACACAGCCTAAGTAGTTCATTTTCACACAAGCCCCACCTCTGAGAAGACGAATAGGCAGTAAGAGTTTCAGATTTTGGGCTGGTCTGGGAAATCTAAGGCTACCCCTGACCCTTTCTTTGACGCGCCCCTGGTGAAGGACCATGAATTGAGTCTTATGTTGGATTTCATTGTTACATAAACCTCTCTTTTAGTTTTTCAAGGATCAAGTTTCAAATTTGAGTTAATTTGTAAAGCGAAATTAAAATACATCTTTGTAAAATATGTTAATCCTGTTTGTCTAATGAACCAGATTGAATAATTGATGTGGCCATTTACAGCACTTTAAGTCCATCTAGGACAAGTATGGACTCCAGCCAGAGGAGTTCATTCTCAAAAGAGTGAATCAATACTGATACAGCGTGTCTGTATTTGATAAAGGGTCATTTAAGTTTCTGAGTTTGTCCTAAACTGAAGTATCTCCTGAAACTCACAGTAGGTTTTTTAAATTGCCTTTTGTTTTGGTGGCAGAGATGGTGTCTTGGCTTCTTTTACTGTAATTTGTGGCCTCAGAAAACCTCAGCTGCCCTAACTAATTCCCCTGGATGGAGCCTGAAGCCTGCAGATTGGCAAGTTCATAAATAGGTCATCCCAAGCCAGCGTAACAGCTTTAGCATGTGTTTTGGGACCCTGTGGCGGCAAATAATAGCATGATGGGGAAAGCTTTTTCTTGTGGCTGCCGGCGTCCACTCATTTACCCATGGATCTGCTGAACAATCAGAGTGCCAAACTGAATTTACGAGCACATGAACTCCATCTCTCCGGCTAAGCCCCCTCTAATGAAATACCCCGGCTAGATTAATGTCTACGCAGGGATGATTTGCATTCAGACCCACTCATAAATCTCCAGCAATGGTCAGACACTGTTTTTAACTCACTGTCAAAACCAAGAGCGGACTTCCTCCTCTGAAATGGACGGTCCCTCTTTGTATTTCAGCGTGGCAGTCATGCTGGGAGGAAGCCAGGTGCTGCTGACCTTAGTCTCCCTCAATCAGGCTTATTGAGTAAAGGCTGCTGTGTGTCCTTTGATGTAGCTGCTTGTCCTGCAAGAAAGGCCAATGATGGTTTAGTGCAAACTGTTACTTTTATTTTGAAAGGGGAAAAGCAGCACTAAGGGAGGGGGCACAAAAAAAAGGAAAAGAAGGCAAAGGAATTTTCTACGGTTAAATCTATGCAGGTTTTGGATATGATATTTACTATGCAAGTGATTTAGGATTCACTGCTCTACAGATAGTTGTAACACGCAACAATATGGGGAAAAACTTTCTGTGAGATGGATAGAAAAATGTCTGGAAAAGAATTTGGCTTTGTAAGTATTTCATCAGAAAAAAAAGAAAATACGTGTTTGTTGGACCTCAGGGATACAGCGTACATTTTTTGTGAATTACACTGAAATTTCATGATTTTGCACAGCTCTGAAGAATCAGTTTTTCACCAGAAAGATAGTCCATGTACTCTGAGAGATGTATTTTTTATTTAAAATATACTCAAACAACACAAACCTTACAAAAATATTAAAGAAAAGGCAGCTTTTTTTTTCAATTGAATCATAGATGACAGTATCATCAACAAACATTTGAAGAAACAGCAGGGCAACTCTCAGGCAGGTTGTTAATATACAAAGTAAATAGCAAAGGACCTACAAATGAGCCCTGGGGAATTCCTGTGTAGTTGGTACAGAGGATGGACTTTTCCCCATTAATTCTGACACATTGCAGTCTACCACAAAGTTCCAATCCAGGTTTATGTATAAAGCACGTTTAAAAAACGTACAGTAAACAGTAAAAACAATACAAACAGACAATGAAAACGAACAATAAAACAAAAACACAGGAAGGACATATATGGTTCACTAAAAACATGGTTAAAAGGCCAAGTTCTCAAGAGTTAAAAGCCAGGTAGTAAAAGTACGTTTTCAAATTTTGATTTAAAAACAGGCAGTGAGGGGGACAGTCGGACATGAAGAGGAAGATCATTCCAGAGCTAAATCCGGTCACCCCTGAACTTTAATCTTGACCTAGGGACAGTCAGAAGGCACTGGCCAGAGGATCTGAGAGTCCGAGATGAAACGTAGGGTTTTAAAAAGTCAGAGAGATAAAAATGAGTAAGCCTGTTCAAAGATTTATAAGTTAATAACAATATTTTAAAATCAATCCAAAGCGCACAGGAAGCCAGTGAAGAGAGGCTAAAATAGGGGAAATGTGGTCATATAAAGTTATAATTATAAATATAATATATAATGAAAAATCTGCCCTTTATCTTGAAGTTGACCGACCATTTTGTTTTAGATGTGATAAGTTTTGTTTACGTTAAGCTCATTACTCCTGAATACTGAGTCACATGATGCCCGTCATATTAAGTTTTTTCCCTTTACTTCAAACAAGCCCACTATGCATATCTCTTTCCGCTCCCCCCTGTCTTCACAGACTGTGATCAACACTAAAGCAGGCACTCTCACACAGGCCAAAGTACAGTCTCTTGTTCATTCTTTATTTTCTTCACAGTTGAACCAATTATCCGTCTTGCAGCTGTCAAAACCAGCTGATGCAGCAGCTGAATCGAAGGCAATTTGTAGCATAGTACCTGTGGAGAGCTGTTTGAAAGGCTGCCACTGGTTTTCTGCCAAGAGGGAGTGCAGCGTGTATGTGTGTGTGCGTGAGAGTGTTTGTGTGTGTCGTTGACAAGGTGGAGGCTGAGTCAACAGCTAAACATATGAGGAGGCACTGCTAACACATCTTTTAAGTTATCAGCTAGATGTCAAACACGGACTTTCCTACAGATTGCAGAGCTTTTAACAACATAGTGGGCTGAAAGTTTGGTTTGAAGTAGTCGTGAAAGTAATTCGCAGTAGTCGCTCACATCACCACCGCTGTAGTTTTTGAGAGTGTAAGTACTTTCCATTGCGTCTGCTCATAGGTGTTGGAGTATAATCTGCTTGTTTCCACCCCTGACTGCTGGTGCCTGTGTTTTTGTGTAACCCAGGAGATTCAGGAGGCTGATCTGAATCCATGCAATATGTTCAGGAATGCAGCCAGGGTGAAAGTGAGATTTACCTTTTTCATCCAGCTCCCTCTCTTTGCTCGGTCAGGTGCTTAGGGGGATCAGGGTTGGAGGTGAGGGAAGTTTACCTTTTGAGCAGATGCCTGTCAAATATCTGAAGTATTAAAGTCAGATGTTATTAAAGTTAGACTTGAGATTTGAAACACTAAGACTGAACGCCAAAAAGACACATTAATCTTTTTGTACAGAAATAACAATAATTGTGATATATGGTGGTGTAAGCCTTTACTTTATAACTAGATTTCAGATCTATAAACTCAAAGACAGATGAAATGTCCTGCAAGGCTCATCAATAATGTCCCTGCTCCTGGCTTGACAACAATACTGATGAGTGACAGAGACAGTAAATCAAGTGTTGACAGATCCAACACCTCTGCTCCTGGACTTTTTTTTTTTGTCATTTCGTCTGAATAATACACTGACAAATTAGAGCAACACCCGATAGATAGATGGTGAAAAATGAAAGTGCGAGAAGGAAGCAGGTGTACCGTTTTTGTGCAAGTGTGTAAACATGTGTGTTCAGTCCTGTAAACCCTCCTTTTATGCAGGGGCAGACAGCCTGTGGGGGTCACACACCACTAGCTCCTTGGAGGAACATAATTTGACACCAGCTGGAGAAGCAAACCACCACAGAGGACTGGACTGACTCATTAGATCTGCTTAGCCAGACACATTTCAGCCTGTAATTAGTTGCTGATTAATACAGATCATTTAGGTCTCGGTAATAGGAATGCCACAAGTATGTAGCACACGAGGGAGCCGAACACATGATGAATGTCTTTCATTTATGCACTGGGCTGAGAAAAAGGCCAAAATCATGCATCCATGCATGCGCCTCACGGTACCAGCAAGAGCAGAATCTACATAAAATGGTGAAACGCTGCAGCATGCTTTACCCCGAAGGGAAGTAGTCATGAAATAGAAACTATAACTATGAAACAACATTACAAGAGTGACAGGCTTCACATTTGTCTCTGTGGAACCTGTCGGTGTGATTGAACAGCTCCAGCCGACCACAGGTACAAACCATTGATCACTTTACGACAATGGTGTGATTGAACGCCTCAAAATTGCACCAGCCTCTGTGGCGTTTTTCAGCTGAAAGTTCTGTAAATTCAATGTTGCTTCAGATGTGATTTATTCTTTTTCATCACAGCTTGAAGGGGTGTTTGTTTGTGAAAGCTTGAAGCATTTCATGGCTGTCACGCTTTCCCCCCTGGATGACACAGTATATTCAGTATAAAGCCAATAACTGTTGGGGTAACTTTGGAAATAACTCCGGTCTAAGCGGTTCAGCTAAGGACTCTCTGAAGTTCATAATAGAATTCCTGCTGTTAGCCTCCTCAAGCATAGGAGAGGATGAAGTTAGGGCTGCATGCTCTGATTTTTAGAGGGAAAAATGGGAGAATAGAAGGGAAAATAAAAGGAGAAGCAAAGTACCCAGTTAAGTTTTGCAGGCGGTGTAATCTCAAGTATGCACCTTTAAAACCTTGTAAAAAATGACATCCATCACACACCTTGGACACTCTTGTAATTACCCCTGAATTTCTTCTGAATTCAGGAAAAAGGAAATAGCCGTTTCCTTTATTGCCTCAGCGTTCTGCTTCTTCTCTCATTGCGCTTATAAAGGGTGGTAATGTGATGAAGTGCTAGAAGCTATTTCTTCAAGGCTTAACCCCACTCAATATTTTACAGCAAAGAAAAACAAATAATGGGTTTATAATTACATTGGGGCACAGCTTTTTGGAAAGAGGCGAGGAAAGTAAAACAGCTTTAGGGGGAAATGCCCAAGACTTTATGATGCATGGTGGGGCTGTATTTAAAAGTACAGATATTAAAAAAGGATATAAACATTTTAAAAAGAGGAAAAGTGGATTTTTGGATGGTTGGAGCTGTGTGATGTTCCAATTTTATTTTTTAATCCAGGCAGGGAGCTAGGATTAAATGAGCACACTCGAGCTTTTCTGCAGTCGTGTCCAGTTGCACTTACTCTTGCAGAAAGCTAGATTGATAAACCGAGTCAGCATTTTTTTTTTTTTTCTGCTGGGTGTGCCCTCTGTCTGTTTCCTCTCTCACAACAGGAAACAGACTGTCCTCCTCATTACAACACCCCCGAGCCAAGAAGGGCACGCGTATTACAAATAGCACACGCAGGCATTGTTGCGGTGAGTTAAAGGGCAGGTTAGAGACAATGACACAACAGCAGAGACGACAAAGAGAGATTTAGTTTTAGTCTCAGCTGGCTCGATGTTTTAATTCTCCCACCAGAGATTTCTCTTCTCTCCGGGCCACCGTGGGAGAAACCAATCTTCCAGCCTGTGAAGGCCTTCCTTTGGAATGATACCTCCCGTGGGATTTGGCGTTTCATGCATTATTGAAAAGTCTTTGGGAATGCACCTGAATTAACCTCTGTAGCCGGGGTTCGTGTGCAGTGCAGTAGAGAAACTGTTGAAGTTGCTTTCTAAATGAGAACTTTCACTCCGACAAGGACGTATAAAGTGGAATTCATTCACTTCATGAACCATACCGCCCAAAATTAGTCTGTAAATGTTGTTGTCGAGATGGCAGGAGTGTCTAAATAATTCCTAATGAGCTTACTTACTTATTTACCCATACATAATGTAAAAGAAGTTTCACTCTTTCTTTTTTGTATTCTTACCACAACTCATGCAGATTTCAGCATAAAGGCTTTACAATTTCATGACAAGGCGGAGATAAATAAAAGTTAAGTGTGCCTCTGTTGCAGCTTCGACTTAATAAGCCGGTGACTCCAGGATTGAGGTCATAAAACGTTGAATATCATCTTGAATAACAATGACTGATAACTCCTCACACCCTGGAAGATTCACCACAAGTATGACAGAACATAATTCGGTTTGAAGCTTTAAGGATTGGCGTTGTTTGATGATAGTTGTTGGAGTAAAGATGTAGAAGATGGAGTAGTACTCTAATAGTCATTGCTATCATCAGCAACAGTAGTAGGTAGAGACTGACTTGTTGTAATTAATTGGCCAGGCTGATTAATCGGACTGATTAATAGCGTTTGGAATTGATCAGCATTTGCCGATATCTGGGCCGATGAGCCCGTTAAATTAAAAATGGAAATAAGTTAAATAATGTCTGCAGATGCTGCAGGAAGCCTCATCAATGTAGCTGCAGTCGAGCAACGTCGACACCCCTTTAAATGATAAAACCTTAAATGACAGCAGATCAAATTTAACACCTACTGACAAGTGTTTGATGAGTCTTCTGTTATGATGTATCGTGTTATAGAGTTTGATATCACCTCTGGCATAAATATGTCATGTTCTGACATTTATACCAGAGCTCACTGTAGCTTTCTTTTATTTATCTATTTATTCAAAATCTTCCTTATGCATGTTTCTAGATAATAAAGCCATGCTGCCAGATTTATTATGTGCGTTGAATTGTTTTGTTTTATAAAATGCAAAAAATAATACTTTAATATTGGACCCCAGATGATGTATGGCGGCTTACAGCACAGTGCAGTTTGGCAATATCTTGATCCAGAAAGTGGAGATAAATTAGCATGACTGGGGCGATGCATAACCAGCACAGATAATGCAAAAGTTAACCTGGATGGAGGATTGAATGCTGGTGCTAGCTCTGGTATTGTTTACCACAAACCAACTCAACTTTGTGTCCTTGTAGTCTGCGATCCTGTGCCCAGATGTGTAGAGAGGATTGTTCTCATCTTTGTCTGGTTATATTTCAGACAATGGAGATGTCTCTAACGTTGGTCTATTGCTAATTGGGAAAGTAGAAGTAGTAGCATGAGAAATACTGGGAGAAGAAGTAGTTAGAGTGTTGGTAGTCATGGTAGTCTTGGTTAGAAGATATCATACTAACACTTATGGTATAAAAAGCACAAAAATAGTGGTAGAAGTAGGAAAGAAGCATTAGTAAAATAAGAAGTGGTTGAAATTGCAGAAGTGGAAGTGGGAAGAGTGGTAACAGAAGAAGTTTGGGTGGTAGTAATGGTTGTAGAAGTTGGTGGAACCAAGACGGCACTCAGAAGTATCAGGAAGAGCAGTTGCTGGAGTCGGAGTTTAAGTTGGGGTAAATCAGTAGGAGAAGTATTTGAAGTAGAAATGGTAGAAGCAAAAGTACCAATACTCATGTAAGGTTGAAGTAAAGGAGTATAAGAAGTAGAAATAACAGTTGTAGATGGGAATAGGAGGAGTATCAGGAGTTGTAGTTGTAGGAAAGGGACTAGGAGTTGTGTTATGTTAGGGGTAGAAGTAGGAGTTTTAGGGCCTGCGGTTAGAAAGTGGTAGTAGTTGTCAGAGTCAGAGTTGTAGAAGTGATTTCTAGAAATGGGAGAAGTACAGAGTACAAATAAGGGGGATCTTCAAGCAGCAAAAGCATTGGTAGTTAAGTAGGGGAGTTGCAGCAGTAACAGTAGTTGGAGAAGATATAAAAGGTGTAGTAAGAACCAGAAGGGGCAGTAATAGTAAAAGTAGCAGCAGATTGGTTACAAGAAGGATTTATAGGTAGAGGGGGAAGAGGTGGTAACATTTAAAGCTGTACAAGTAGTGGTTTGTTGTGACCTTTCTGCAGGACCGAGGAGCTGTCCAGGGTACTGACCACTTCTTCCTCATGGTGTTGTGTTTGCATGGCTCAGTGCGGCGGCTTATACAACAGCAGAATATTTGTGAAGTATAGTCCTGCTCTTACAATTTTTTTTCAGTGATGCATGATAAACACGGCAATCGATAGCTTCGGTAATTGCCACTGAATCTGGACCGCGGCATGTGTGTCAATGAATCTCATCCTTTCTCTGCTTTATATTGACAGGCGCAGTTTTCGGTTTTATCCCACAGTCATAATGGGCTTTGCTTTAATGAAACCACCAGTGGTATCAAGCTTGCTCTGTGCATTACGGAATAATTAAAGGATGCCAGGATGTCTTTGCCAATAAACCCAGCTATCTGAAGCAGATGTTTAAGTAATGGAAGAGATTCAGCAGGAAGGACAAAGGAGCGCAGCTATTAAGGTAGAAATTAAACCAGTTGAAGGAAGTGAAAGTTGTGATAAAGAGGAAAACAAATCAGTCATCAGAGCATCATTATTTTTTCTAGTAAATATGACAAAAAGTGAGCATAACACCATTTTCCGAGAATAAACTCCACAGCTCCTAAAGGTATTTCAATGCCAGTCACTGCCTCGTTGTTTTCTGCATGTAAAAAGCGAAAAACAAGGCAACAAGGGGGCTCATAAATCTGCCCCAATGCCGCCCAGCGCTGACTTTATTGTCCCCTCAGTGCTAGAGTTCACCGACAAGGCTACATTTTACTCCTGCAGTATGAAATCTACCTTCTTTGCTGTTGGAGTGCAGTTTACTGCACTGTATTTCTTACAGTCCCAATGAAATGTCATGACTGAAAATGGAGAGCTCAGGGTGGAGGAGAGAGAGGACAGGAAAATGCAAATGGGGTTAGAAAAAGTAAGGTAACCCACCAGGAGGACGGAAGAGTTGTTTTAAAATAGGTGTGCAGAATAATCATTTAGATATAAGCATTTGGACTTGACATTGTAGCAAAGGCGCAGGTGTTTGTGATAACGAGCGTTTATTGAAAACAGCTGTGTCCTTGCCTGCATGTACCAAGAACTTTAAAAGTATCAGAGCTGCTGCAGATTTTTCAGTATTTTTGGTGATTTTGATTCTGAAAGTGATTTTATTAATCCAAATCAGCACTTTTAGAGAGTTTCCTATTTTCTTATTTGGTACACAAGCTTTTACTTAAAGGGATATTCTATTAAGTTAGGATCAAACACACTAACACCGAGTTAGACACCCTGTTGAGAGATGAATGTTTACTTTAGTAACAACAGCAGGATAGCAATACACAGCGGTCTCAAAAGCCATGCGCTCAACCAAAAAACCACTCTATCGCCACAAATAATGCTCAGAACAGCACCTAACTTAATCAACAGTACCAGCCATAGCACATCTGAAAATATTCAATATAATCTGGAATCCATAGACAGAAATACTTCTACATGGTTAAAATCTACTCATTGCATTATCTTTACGCTGTATGTAAGTATTTTTTAGGTTGCTGCTCTTTACCAGAAATATGCTTAAAAAAGCTTAAAGGGATAGCTGGTGTAAATTTAAGTTATGGTCAAAAACTGTAACATACAGTTAGACACCCCCTCGTCTCGTGCAAACTTCTACCAAAACGCCACTCTACAGCCACAAATAAAACTCAGAACAGCACCTAACTTCATTAACAGTACAGGGTCCAAGCTGTAGTATGAGCCACCAAACATCTTTTCAGCTTTGCCTGATTTCTTTAGCAAAGAGACTAAACACAACTCACCTACTCTCTTCCAGCAGCTGCTTGTTTGTAGTGAGACCTCAGGCCAGTCAATTATGGACTGCTGCGGGGTGATGCAGCTCAAGGAAGAACATTTATGATCATTACTTTATCATTTCCTTTAAGTAATAATAATCATATTAATCCTTTTTCACTGCAGACGTAGTAGTTCTTCTGTCTTAGCGTCTCAGTCTGATTGCATTTCCATGAAGAAATTATCATAGATGTTCTTCCTTGAGCTGTGTCACCCCGCTACAAACAAGCGGCTGTCTAACTCGGTGTTACTGTGTGTTTGACCCTAACTTAATTTTACTCCGAAATATCCCTTTAAGTCATGTTGTGTTCCAGTTATTGAGCTAATGGAGTTAACAAGCTCTGAAATACTCTAACTCAACTACGACTCACCTGAAATTCTAGGAGCTACACAGACTTTTAACCTCCGGAACAGGAATAGATTGCAAATAACTCCCCTAATCTTACAGCTTTACTCCTGAACTCTGAAAATTATGGAAAACAAGTGTGTTCAATAAAGATCGGAGCACATTATTAGTGCTTTGTTATCTGCAAAAGAAGATGCTTTCTCTTTAATTGGCACTGCAGATGCATAGGTTACACTATTGATGCCCTCGCTGGTGTGTGACGTGCACGCTGCACCCAGCATTGGAAGTGTGACCAGCTGTTTAAATGCCAGATCAATCTATTCAGAGGTGTTGCACCACCGGGTCTGCCTGCTGGATATCTAAAGCAGGCTGCTGTAATGCAGTTGCTGAATCAAGTGATGGTGGTCAGCGAGGCGTTTTGTGACTCTGCATGTCATTATCTGCTTTACTTACATACTGCAGTGCTCTTGATTCCACTTCCTCCACAAAATTAATCAACCGGTGTTATTTTCTTTTGTCTTCCAGGTCTGAGTTGGACCCTGCCAGGATGGTTAGGTATGTCTAGATGTACAACTTTTGAATAATGAACTCCATCTCTGTTGTTTGTCCGCCTGTACTTTGTGACCATACTCTCAACTGCAGGCCTTTCAATCCTGTTTCGTTTGAGGGAAAGCTCTTTGACAAAGACATGTTGTATTGCTGTGCAGAAATATATACCGTAGCATCATCCAGCTAGCCAGTGTAAGTGGTTTTCTCCTGTTTGAAGCATTGAAGCGGCCTGGTATGGTGCTTTATTGCTGTTTGTAGATATTACAGTGTGCAGAAAATGATGAAATCTTATGTCAAGTGCGGCACAAAGTCGCTTTTCCTGTTGTTAGCTTGTTCGCTGGTTGAACTCGAGTGGCTGGAGATTTGTAGGGGTGTCTGCTGAGTTAAGATGTGGGCTGATTTAAATTGTAATGTGAATCCATCACTGATGTGAGCACAGTTCAGAAATATGGCCCACATGTAGAGAGAAAATGGGCTTCTCTGACCAGCAAACACTCTCCTTATCTCGTTGCCATTCCTCTCTTTAGGGATGCTTCACTGTGGGGTCCAAACAGCCTCTTCCTCTGCCTTTGTAAATTAAAGATCAGGCTGTGTCTTGCTGTGGTGGAGGCTGTCCTGTGCTTTTTTTTATTCTCAGGCCATGTTTGTTTCTTTTCCTTTAGCACTGGACTGGCTGGATTCCTCAAGCTGCTTTTCTTCTCATTTAAATGTCCCATTAGAAATTTAAAGTGAATCAGGAGAGCCACAGCCTGCAGATGTGTGCCAGTCTTTGTCTTCGGACTGTGTGTGTGAGAGTACGACATGCTTGTAAAGTGCGTCTGCTGCGACTCCAAAGTAAGGCCCAATTAGAAAGTAGGTTATACATAATACCGCATTAAAAAAAACAGCTAAATGAAAATGTTGTATAAATGTTTAACATTTGTTTAGCGTTCAAAGTAAGTCTCCAAATATTTGCTCACTTAAAACACAAGTACAATGTGCTTTAATGAATTTTTATGTGAAGGTTTAGTTGTTGGAGAGCGTTTCCAGTTACAAATCTTTGCCTCAGGTTAGAAATGTTCACGGAAAAAAGAGGAATTTATCGAAATAATAAGCCGCTGTTCTGTAATAAAGCTCGCAAGGAGCGTTTTTATCTTTCTTTAAAAACGCTGCTCTGTAAACTGTCAGATTGCAGAGTCAGATAGATGCCCTTTTAGACTTTGAACTAAATCTACCTGTCAGTAAGATTGAAGCACACAACTCTCACTTTCACTGTCAGCATTGATATCTGTCTTACTCTGCAGCTTTTAGGCTTGATGGTTGCAAATTTGCCTCAAAGTGACCTGAAGAAGCATGACTAAAGACAAAAGTTTGCTTTTCTTTACAGGCATTAAAGAGTAGCCAATACAGATATATAGCGTGCACATACATTGTTGTTTTCATAAATAGAAAAAGTCCTTTGGTTTCCGGGTTAAAATCTTAATTCCTTCACATCTAACGGCTGCATCTCTTGCCAATGGTTGAATCCAAAAACATAGCAGCTGAAATGGAGGAAAAAGCTCCAGAGGAAAACAATCCCATCTCACCAAATCGATGCTTTGATGTGGTTGGAAACCTCCCAAATTGCAGCAGCCTTCTGCATGCCATTCCTGGTTGTGAATTTGGCCTCAGTTTCAAGAATCTGCCCTTCATTAATACGAAACAGGCGCGCCAAGACTGTTATTCTGCTGCTACTGTATCGAGGAGGCGAACGTTCAATCTTCACATGGACGTTTCTCGCGGCACATTTTACATCATGTGACTTGTTGGCAGCTGCATACATGTGTTGGATGCAAAAGCGACTCTTGCTCGGCTCGGAGGAAAAGGACATTATGGCACTGATCCCTCAAATCAATGAAGAGCTTGAAGAGCGGCTCGGCTCTCACTCTGTCAGGTGCAGTTTGTAATTCTGTAGTAATAATAAGCTGCTGTGACACATTTACATCAAATTAATGAGGCTGGACATTTAGATTAGACCAAATGTGCCATGTGGTTTATGCTGGACTGACGGGGATGTGATGAAATTGAATTACATTATAAAGAGGGAATGATACAAGAATTTGCAGGCCGGTGAAGAAATTAATCGCTGGACTTGATTTTAAAGCAGTTCAGCAAAACAGGAAGAAACTGAGCTGACTAAATTATGGTAAAGAATGGATAATGTGTTGAAAACATGGAGGTAAATCTTAATATATACATAAAACCAAAGCAAACATGTCACTTTTCACCTCATATTTAAAGAGTTCTCGCCTCTGTGCGGACCAGAAAAGTGGTTCAGCCTCAAATCTGTGTTCATTTACAACATACTACAGAAAACCAGCTCATTTAAATTCAACATATACTATACCGCCATCCTATAAGTCTATGTTGTCCTACATACTGTACATAAATATGTTTTGCTCCCACTCAAACTCTGCGTTTCTGAGTTAATTACTGAAGCAAAAATAGTCGTAGGCGTAGCACTATTATAAGCTATTGTCTTCTTAATTAGGGACAAGGCTCATGATGTGGTGTGAGGTCCCTACTGGAATGCAAGCCGTTATGATTTTGTCTTCTGACAAACGAATTGCTTGTTCTGCTGCTTTAATGAGTTCTAAGTTTAACCAAACTTGGTGGGTAATCATAAGTGGTGGAAATGGACCTGCGATGGTGCTTTTGTGCATGGATGGGGAAGAATAGCTCCATGGCGCCACAGTTAAATATCTATCTATTCCTGGAGGAGGTTTCACTCAGCCTTACGTCAATCATTTGGTTTAAAAGGGCCACCATAGTGGATTCATCTGACAATCCAGTGGCGGAATCTGCCATAATAATGATATATATCGAGAATTAATTTCCCTTGATATCAATGTAAGTCATGGTCGATATGTTTTTTCGATAGTTGGCGTTAAAAGGAAAAAAAAGACGTTCTCCAGGATTTAGCTAGGTTCAGAGCAGTAAGGTGTATGGTGTGTGTCCCCGTTAAAAGACACGGATACAGATGTCCAGTTTAGTGGTGGATTTATTTGACTGTGGTTCTGCAGATAAAGATAAGAAGCAACTATCAGTACAGCTCACACCATACATAACAGGAACATCGAGTAGCATATTCACGGTAAACAATACATTCACACAATATAGCATCCAACTTGGACAGTGAAACATCATAAAACTAACTTCCGGCATTTACACACAATAAACCTGGGATGTGAAGGTGGCGATTGGGTAAAAAGAGGTAAGAGGAAATTTACGAACTGCTGCTTGAGGAGGAAACAGTGCGTTGAATCACGTCGGAACGCCTATAGTGCGTTCACAAGCGTAGGACAAATGAAAACACAATGTAACTGAATGGTATTTACTTGAAAACACCTAAACAACGTGGGCTTTCTAACAGGCATTCTGCCGTGTCTCTAGCGCAACGCCTTATAACAAAACGTCAAAGAGACACAAAGACCTCACAGATGCAGTTGGTTATTGTATTGCAAAAAACATGCCACCAATAAGCACTGTTAAATTTCATTTTTATATTGTGATATATATTGAAATTGACTGATATGAAAATATATATCGTGATAAACTTTTTCCCATATCGCTCAGCCCTATCATGAAATATAAGTGTGTGATTGATCTGGTTTATCTGACACCAAGGGAGATATTAAGACTGGTCCCAGACCCACATGCCAGTGAAAATTAAAACACTAGAGTATCAGGGTAGGTATCAGCCACATGCATGAAATTTGGTCGTCCAATTACCAGGGTACCAAGCCAGTACTAATTAAAGACTCGTCATCTCAGTGTAATTATTCACTCGGGTCTTTTTTGATGCCAGTTTCATGCTGCTGTGACTGTTGCTTGGACTTCCTCCATCACTCACATGTTTTATTTTGGCTCCCAGCTCCCTGTTTACAGCAACTGAGTTCAAGACAATCACCACAAGTGCCAGCGCACACTCAGCTGACAGCTTACAGCCTACTTACAGTCACTTTACGTTTTCTCACCCTGTAAATGTGCCACGCCACGACACAAGTGAGCCTGGCCGTTAAAATTTTGTGTGTTACATGGTCTTGTAGGTTTCATTATCATTAATAATAGAGAAGCCTCTGAACTTGGCTCAGGCTATAAATAAATAAGCCTCGCTCCCGCAGGATTGCGTAGCACTGGTTTAAAAGGGGTTTGAGTGTGTGTTTCGAGTGTGTGTGTGTGTGTGGTGAGTGAAGGAGATTGGCCCCGTCTTTGATTTAGGGGGATTATACTGGTACATACTTTGTAGCTAATGAGAAAGGAATAACAACATGGCGGTGTTTAATTGGTCTGTAGGTCTGTAATCACAATGGACGGTTTCATTCAGATGTGATAAGAGTCGCGCTCAGATAGGCAGGCAGGCTGATGCTCAGCAGCCTCAGTGACCCGCTTTTATTGGCTTGTTCCTCACTGAACGTTTGATGATAAGATATTCTCGCGCTGTACAACGGTCATTCATAAACCTTGACTAACACATGAGAGAGCTCATACAGCTGAAGAGCAGTCTGACACTCCATCACAGCCGTAGTACAATAAGAGAGCAGGGTAAGTGCTCGGCTGCTGACAATGTGGGAAAATCCATTTACAGTACGCTCTCGTTGTTCATGCATGTTTATTTGTGCATGGTGAGCTTCTGTACTGTGTTGCTTTAAGATTCATGATGACTCCATCTCTACAAAAGTGAAGCCAAAATGTGCAGTGATAGTGACTGTATTATGGGCTTGAATCTGCACAGTAGGTATAATTGGTGAAGCTGTTAACATAACCACACATATGATTGACTAACAAAACGGCAAAGGCGGACAAATTGGACTTCTGGTTTTGGACATGGCGTGGTAGGTCGCGTGGCATCAGAGCTCCCTAGTCAAGTGACAAAAAACCCTGAAAATTCGAAAACCGTATTTTTCGCACTATAAGGTGCAGTTAAAATCCTTTTGGCTTGTCGGAGCACTGCAGCTACCATAGCCTCGTGGAGTTATTGAATGAGTTAAATAAAGTTTGACTTATGTGACTGTTTTGTTTGGCTTAATGCGAATAGATGCGTTCATTGATGGTGCGCCTTATAATCAGGTGCGCCTTATAGTGCGAAAAATATGGTAATTACAGCGTTAATTCATATTGACTGTAATGTGACTGGGGTAAAAACGAAATAGGAAGGAAAACTCGACTCACTCAGAATAAAAAACACGACGACAGATGAATTGAGGAATAGCTAGCTAACTGTGTAATGGCTGAGGACGGCGGCCATGAAACGGCACACCTCATTGGAAGTAAGGCAGGAATGGGCTCAGATCTTGAAATTATTAGCAAGGAGATAAGGGATTGAAAATACAGAGATAGAAACAAAACGGCAAAGATACTTCAGGTTGGAGAAGTTTTGGAAAGTTAATGACTCTTTTGTTGGCGTTTGTCATGTCTCTCCTCGACATTTCTCCTTTACTCTCCTGCGTACAGGAGCTGCATTTTTAACAGAGCGATCAATCATCACTTTATACTTGTGTATAGCATCCAATAACTCGTCAAAAATGATGCCAAATATAGTGATTATGACATCAGGTATGTGTACTGCAATTTTAGAGCCTGGGGCGCTGACACAGTATCTACTCTGTGCCGGTTGTTTTGGCTTTACTTTTGAGAAGCTGTCGTGACGTCCATCATTCATTTCATTTTTAGTCCTGATTGACAGATAGAGGACAGCAGAGAGTAGAAGACAAGGAAGAGAGCAGGGAATGACATGTAGGAAAGAGGCTGCAGGGTGGAGTTGAACCCGCTCCACCTGCATTTTTAGACCTAAACTGCCGGGCTATCTGCACCCCCTGACTGAGTATGTAGTTATTTTGTTTTGGATGTAGATTTATTGTCAGTACAGTTTTTTTTCTGATGCTTTATGCTGTCAAACTACACTGATAAAAGAAAATGCTCTGCCGTTCACTCTCTAAGAAAAACAAAAGATTGCCATATCACATCCAGGACACTCGGCTGTCTTTAACAAAGTCTGGACTGATATTGGCAGTTGAAGAAACTCTGGCATTGAAAAGTGGAAAATAGTCTCATAACATGATAGTTGTGGACATTTACTCCATGACTGTAAAACTGCTAAGCAATGCAGTTTCTCAATTCTTTATGAGCATGTTTGAGAGCAGCTTGTCAGAGAATTTAGTCAGCTGAGGTATTCTGGAAAGCCCAGGCTTGGTCTGCGGCTTTTATTCCCCTGTAATTCTCCTCGGAGGATTGGAGAAACAGAGAGGCAGGGATTATCAAACCTCCTCTTTTCTGTAGAGAAGACAATGAGGGGGGAAAAAAAAAAGCTTTGATTGGCTTTTGTTGTGGAGGTCAAAACGCCGTACACCAGCGGTAAACAAAGCGTTTCAAATGAACTTAAATATTAATTAAAGCAAAGTTGGTGTTGTTGTGTTCGGTGTAAAACAAGCATTTTGAAGTGGGAGCGGAGAGACTTCTTTTTTCCACTTACAACAAGCTTTTCCTGACATAGCGATGAAACTGCAGTTTTCTATCTGGGGGCAGGACATTACTTTCAGGCAGCACAATGTGTGGACAGAGCCGTGCTTAATTCACTCTCAAATCTAACCTAAAAAAAGAGCCGGATAGTTGAAGGGAGGAACATGTCAGTGACGGCTGATCTGATATTTATCTCCAGAGCTGTGTTTCTGCTGCTGTCTCACTGTCAACCAGCTCTCCCTCTCTCTGCAGGGAGCACACAAACGCATCGTCTTCCTTCGTCTCTCGTGCTGTCCCTTGTTGCCATGGAGAAACGATGCTCTACTTGGATAACTGGTGTAGGATGCGGAGCCTGCTCCGTGTCCTTGTGCGAGTCCCTTTCAGTGTGCAAAGTGGATTTCAGCTCAGTCAGGCATTGTTTTGAAAAATGTCCTCCACAGGAATTTAAAGAAAAATAACACCATAAAGAGAGCTGCTTTAACTCTTTGAACTTTTTTTTCTTTTTCAACCGTTTATCATGAGCTGCAGGTATTTTCACATCAGCCGTCACTCTGACAGGACTAGAAAAGGATCTGCGTGTTCGGATCTGCAGGAACTAACTCGTGAAAACACAGGAAGAGAACTCAGACTAACTCAAGGTTCACAGCGCTCAACTCAGCCAGAGCAAGGACATTAGCATTTTTGAAATTAATAATTCATCATGCCGAAACAGCAGCAAATGGCAGCAGCCGTGACACAATTAACCACTGAGATTACTGAGGGCAGGATTTTCACACTGAATCTGAGCGCCAGCTGTGCTAAAGAATAAAGATACAATGAAATGAGAGCTGGTAAAGAGGGAGTTTGATTAGCTTTGGATGTTTTTCAATATTGGTTTTATTTGACTGGACTTTTGATGGCTTTCTCTGCTGATCCAGATGTCATTTTGGGTTTGGATGACGACCTCCCCCCCTGTTCGAGAGAGACGAGCAGGCAGGAGGTGTCTGACTGTTACTTGACAGCTTGAGAAATGTGCCCGGCCCGTTGAGCCCAAAGGTGGCACCGCTCTGCGAGAGCCTTAACAAACAAAAGATGAGAGAGAAATGTCTCCGTGGAAATGGCTACCAGTGGAAACAGATGAGAGAAGTCTGAGCTGTGATCAGTGGAGGGCAGAGCTGCAAGCGCACAAAAGAGGCGATGAAGACTCACAGACACCATAAGAAAGAGAAACCTTGTTTTCCTTTAATTAACCAGGTTCGGCTCTTCCCCGAAAATGTCCCATTTTCATTTTCATGAGATAATTTTATTGAAGCTTTAGTCCTCTGTATGGCCTACCCGACTGTTATGCATGAAATTTTTATTTCCACTGAGTTTTTCTCTTTTTCAGTGAAATAAAAACCCAAAGAAGACCCGGTTACAGCCCACATAATCAAAAATATCTGCTCCGATTTTGGCAAAATAAAGCAGATCTAGATAATGAATGCCAGTCTGTTTGATGTGTGGTGGGTTGTCTGAGCAGATATCCAAACCACAAACTTTAAAGCATTCTTACAGGATCCAGACCGGTGTTTCACTTCAAAGAGTGACCCTGTAAACTGGTGACTTTCAGCTAAGTGTGTTTGTGGTTAACTGTATTCAGTTGTGACAGCAATTAAATCATCTGTTGAAATCATGCACAGAGTTACCATGATGTGTGATTAATGTAAACATTTGTGTCTAGCCCTGTTATAGACGTAACCCCCTCCAATTGTTCGAAAACAGCTTCTAAGAGACGATCAGTCATTTTAAAAAGTGATGTTCAAGATTTATGATGAATCAAAAACACTATTAGAGCTTTATGTCTTCAAGTTACTGTTTGACATTTATTATTTTTAACTATTCTCTTGACTGTTTTCTTTCATTTTTGTAAAGTAAAGATTGATTGGTAGACTTAAAAATAGAAGCACAGTTTGACAATACAGGATTTAAAGCACTGTAAAACCAAGATAGAAAAAAATATCAAAACAAAAGTTTGACAAACAATCATTTAATGAGGATATGTCTTCTCCAAATACGTTTCCAGAGATGGACAGAGTACTTGACTCCAGTACTTGAGTAAGAGTACACATACTCCTGGTCAAAATTTACTCTGCTACAAGTAAGAGAAGCCCAGTCAATACGTTACTCGAGTAAGAGTAAAAAAGTACTTGCTTTTAAATGTACTTAAGTATTCAAGAGTAAGTAAAAGTAAGAGTAAGAGTAAATTCCAATTTTTTCACATTAATTACTGTGATTTTACAATTTCATTTATAGCACCTTGTAACTCTTGTTTCAGAGAATGAACTCTTTGAAACCACCTGCGCTAATGTTCTTGCCTGTAGAACCATGATGTTATTCTGTACCAAGCCTGCACAAACATCTATAAAAATGGAAATAAAATGAATGGGATCATCAAAGAGGGCACACACACATTGTACTTTTTTCTGTCTGTGTCCACGTTTCTCTTATTTACTCCTGCAAACTCGAACATAGCCTTCAGATAAGGCCATGGGTTTTCTTCAGGTCCCTCCGCCTCATTCAACTCCGGCTAATCATATTCAGACTCTGAGCCTGAGGATTCATCGTAGCGTTCTTCTCCTGCCGCCATTGCCACTGCGGTCTTGTTTCAAGCTGATAAACAAGAGAGCGCATATTTCCGCTTTTATGTACATCCCAGTGGAGAACGTGTACTAACACTGCGTGTGGCCAATTATGTTTTAGGGAAAGAAAAAAAAAAAGGCGAACCTAAAAGTAACGAGTACTCTTAGCCTTCTCAGAAATTTACGCGAGTAAGAGTAAAAATCTTTAGCTTGGAAATGTATTCTAGTAAGAGTTATAAGTATCAAAGAATACTAGTATTTGAGTAAAGTACAAATCCTTAGAATCTGTGCAGTACAGTACTCAAGTAAATTTACTTCGTTACTGTCCACCACTGTACGTTTCAGTCACAGGGCTGGTAATAAAACGCTAGTTAAGTCTGTAAAAGATGAGACAATTTCGTCCACAGAGGGCGCCAAAAATGACACAAACCTGCAAGTTCCCCCCCTGGAGCTTTAGGAAAAAAGTCAAAACCATGCTTCATTTTATTTTAGTAATTCTTCAAAAACACAGTCAGAAACCAAAATCATAGCTATCATGAATATAAATGTCTTTAAAAGTTTGATAAAAGACCACTAAAATGCGGGCTGACAGGCTGCTGTGAACAATTTAGGAATCAACTGCTACAAAAATGGCCAAAAATTTCTCACAGTTGAAAACAAAAACAAAAAACTGAATTAATTTTGTGCTTGGAAACCGGTGAGTTTGAGATGAAATGGTTTCAGCAAATACTGAGCTGTTACCAAAACAAAGATTGAAGAGTTTGAATAGTTTTGAGGAGCCGGTTGCGTGAGTCAAGATCACAAAGGCTTTTAATAATACTGGTTCGTCTGCTGGCATCATATCACTACTGCATCTACTTCTACATTTCTGATCTCTTCTTTAGCTGTCCTGTCTAATAAAAACAAAAACACCCCAAGTTTGAATGCTGGATTTTATTTTCCGAGTATTTTCTGCTTTGCTTTATTTGTAATACACAAGAAATATGATGCAGCACCGCACAAGGAACATCCACTCTACAACCCTCCAGAGGGAAACCTCTGAGGGTTTGTTGACAGTGGCTTCACCACAGAGCAGTCTCTCACATAAAACTGTTTCTTTTACGTCTACCTCTCTATGCTAACAGTCAAAAAAATGTATTTATTTTCACATGGTTTGTCCCTTTGCAGGAGACATGCTTCCCTACCTGTGGAAGTCACCGAGAATCCTGGGAGGCTGGTGTCTGCGGGTCATAGACGAGTCGTCCCCTGTCGTAAATGGAAGTCTGCATCCTTTGGGTACAGTAAGATGTTATTTTATGATTACCTGCTCAGTGTTTGTCCCATGAGTGCCGCTGTGTTTCCAGCGTGGTGGCAAAACACTCATTTTCTTGTCTTTCTCTTGCTTGTATATGTGTAACTGTTGTCAGAGTGGATAAGGACGCTCTGGTTATTAGGCTGTCTGTTGCAGATATATCGGCCGTGACAGCTTGACGGCTGAAAACTTTGCCGTAATTTAATATTTGAGTCCTTGCAGCCGAGCGCCATTCATCAGATTTTATGACACAGCACTTTCAGAGTTGCAATATTGTTTACCTGATGTGAACAACGAACTCCTGTGGCCAGCTGCACTGCAGGGGGAGGTCATTAAGATTAGATTTAATGAAATATCATCTGTGCGTGTAATCTGCTCACCTATTAGCCTGCGCCGAGCTCGGAGATGGAGACAGCTTCTTAAAAAAAAGAAAGACACAAAGAGACGAGTGCAGAGACAGTCGCATCGGTGGGACAGACTTAGGGGGCTTCAAAAGGCTGCAGAGAGTTTCAAAGACGCCTCCTACTGTAGCGCTGTGTGCTTCATCATCAAAAAAGCAGAGTGAGCCTAATCCATAGCCCACTTTTGGCTCATGTGCAGCCCAAAAATAAATCCCAGAGCATGATGGTTATGTTCTATTTTTAAAGAGCAGTGTTCAGAAGTTTCTGATGAGTTGGAACATCTGCGGGTTGTTTTTAGACTTTGCTAAAGCTGCAGTTAAAAAAAAAAAGAGGAATTAGCGATTTCTCTCTGATTAATACCTCACCGGTGTGCGTTCTCTCTGATTGTCCCCGGTGTGATCGTTGCTCTGTTTGTAATTCTGGAGAGCACAGCTGAAAGCTAATAGGTTAAATGGATCATGACTGTAAACAAGATGATGGCTGTGATTGGAGGTTGATTGTTTGCCTCTCAGGCTCAGCAGCATTGTTTGCTTCTGTTCGGGCTCAGCCATCTCTCACAGTCACGCTGTAGTCGACCTCTAATTAATAAATGATGACTGTGCAAAGGAGACACAACCCCATTCAAATTTAGGGTAATTTGCTCATTTATTTCTGTTGTTTTCTTAATTACCTTTCACAGAGCTCCTCAGTCTGTATTCAGATCATCAACTTCATTTGTATAACCTTCATTTAAAGCTAAATATTGCTACCTGTGTCGGCCAATTCTGTCATCCTTGCCACTTCCCTCTGTTTATGCTTTCCTTGCACTTTGTGTGTGGAGAGCAAAAGCAGGCAGAACACCACCTGCTGCAAAGAAATCCCTATGCTATCTAACAAGTTTATTCATATTTTTAAACAGTTTACTGAATCCAAGTGCAGCTAAGAAGTAAGATTTAACTGCAGTTTTTTTATGCTCAGGAAAGCTGTGAACGAGTAGATTTTTTTGACATCCTTGAAAGCTTTAAAAAATGAAGTGACCTGGCAAATGACATTTTACAAATCTGCACAATGATGTTTCCACTTCGGTGAACTCAGAACCATCTAACTGGAAATAAGTCTCAAGATCATCAGTTTCATTTTCAGATTTATACCACTGAAGTTAGTTTCACCACTGAAGTTGGAGTTTCTGTGTGACTTGATATTCACAGTGAAACTGAAACTCTTATATAAGCTGTTTTCAGGGCTTTTTAATATTTTCAAGTAGTGCCTGACTGATACAGATATTTTGGGGCAGATACCAGTTATTAGGGGGGAAAATAATCTGATTACTGATTAATCGGCCGATTATTTATTTTGTTAATTCAAGTAATATATCTACATATTTACTTATTTTTTAACAACTGGCTGCTTTTGAGCCTTTCAAACACTTCTCAATAACATTAATGTCAGTAATATTCCCTGTATTTATCATGAATTTATCATGAATCAAACTCGCGTCTTAACTCACGTTACTCATTTCTGGTCTGGTCTCATCTGGAGACGTGCAGCTGCCTCAGTAAGAGAAGTAGCTGGATAACTCAATGTGTACTTTTGTTTATTCTACCGTTACTGGCACGGCTAACAGTGGAGCAAGGCTAATAGCTAGTGGCTAATCACATGGTGCTTCACCATTAACTTGGTATGACCGAGACCAGCACAGCGGGGAACATCGTGAGGTGGGTTGAACTTGTTGACTTATTGTGTATTTCACAAACTGGTTTATTTACCGTTGAGGCGGACCATTCTCTGATCCGTCACTCTGCTGTGCTGTGAGGTAGTTAGTGGATGAAGATTGTCATGAGGTCGCTGCGCCATCTACAGGACAAGTCGGGGGATCTTTTTTAAATGGGGGAACATTTTCGAAGTGAAACCGAATCTTATTCTACGCATTTTTTTTCTGGTAATATCGGTGACAACCAGCGAGTTTTGGCCGATTACCGATTGGTCTCAAACGGGCGAAAATTGGTTGATTGATAAATCGGTTGGACCCTAGTTTCAAGCATTTTTAAGTGAGCAGGCAAAGACATTTCAGCTTATTGTGTCAAAGGTCCCCATGTCTGAGACAGTTCCTCTACAGGAGACCACTTTGGCCCTAAAACAACTTTTTTTCACTCTTTTTGTTTGAGAAGAACGGTGAAAAACTTTAGGTTAACCGTTCTCTGTATTTTAACTCTTGGTGTGTGACTGATCTGTGTGACTGTGTTCGACGAAAAGATGGAAGTGAAATATTAATTATTGTGCTATTTGTGAGTGGCTTTACCATGCCCTGCAGTCTGTTAAATCCCTTTTTTAAGACGTTTTTGACTGTGCATGTTAAAGAAAACTTCCATTACAGGAAGTGTTTCTATTCGGCAGAAATGTCTGCTCTGAAATATGAAAAGTGAAGTTATCGCAGCCCAGTTAATTGAAGTCTGTGTTACTTTCAGCTGTCTGTCAGAGACTGTCGTTCTCTTAAAGTTTCCTTAATCCTCGCAAACTTTGGAGAGTGAGTTTAGGAGTGTTAAAAGAATTAATAGGGCAACTTTGGTGTGAGTGACTCGCTAGACGTGCTTAATGGCGGTGTTTGGACGATCTCTTGAGACGAGCGTTCAGAGCGAGCAAAGAGGCTGCCAGAGCGTAATAGCAGAAACAAACCCCAGAGACTTTCTTAGATTGTTGCCTCTGCTCCACATTTTTTTCTTTGCATTCCTCTTGTATTACTTCACTGATGTCCTTCCTCACTGTCTAACCCTGATTTCTCCTCTTCTTTCCCTTAAAAACAAAGCACCAACATGCAGAGAATCTATTTGATCCGACTTGTGCAGGATGTTGTATAGTTCAGACATGATAGTCTATTTCTATGCCTGAGTGTGCATATTCGAGTCAATGCTGTTAACAAATGATGTAGCTGTTTGAGTATTGGTTATGATTATTTTGTTGCTAACCATATGAGGATGATCAACTGAGTGAAAGTAGAGTAAATAAGCACAGAAGTACAAAATTAAGACCAAAAAAACATTGCTGGGTCCAGCAGGTGGGTCCATGTATTATCTCTATTCTCTACCACTCTGGCCTGGAGTTTTTGGTCCACGTTGTTGGCTACTTTGTTGTGCAATGCGCATGTGCGCACAGTAGAAAGGCACCGTGGTAAATGGGGACATCAATAATCTGAAAAAAAGTAGATTTATTATTTTGTTTTCATTTCCATCTCTTCTATATATTCTGTTTTGAGCTGAAAATACGAAAACAAACACTAATCTTTTATTTTTTGGTTATATAGAAAAACAAATAAACAAAATATTGACTTGTTTTTTCGTTTTACTAGATTGAATGGAATAATTGAATGGACGGATAATACACGGACCCAGGTGCACAACAGTACAAAAGAGGATTAGGGCAACACAAAGAGAAAAAAAAAAATTACAGGACGGAGATTAAAGTTGAAATTTTGACCTTAAAAAAAATCAAAATTCTATCAATTAAGTTGAAATTTTGGAATTAAAAATTAAAATTTTGAGCTTAAAGTTGAAATTTCAAGATTACAAAATGTCGAAATGTGGTGAATGATGTCAAAATTTCAAGATTAAAGTCATGAAGTCGAAATTTCGACTTAAATCTTGAAATTTCGACTCTAATCCCAAAAATTGACATTTAAAAAAATCTCCCTTCTGTAACAATTTTTCGCTCTTCTTGTGGCCCTAATTCTCTTTCACACAACAGGACTCACAGCTGAGGATGCAGTGAATAGTCTTGTTCTCTGACAGTAATTTTGAGTCCATGCGGGAACTTCCACTTCAGAGTCAAGCCTATTTTTAGCGCAGTGCTGCTTGAGAGCCACTTTTCGTCTTTGGCCCCGCCCCTGTTGCCGATAATTTTATGCTGAGGAAGTTGTTTGTTAAGTTTTTGATCCATTTACTCACACAGTCTCTCACAGAGTGGTAAACCTTGTCCCATCTTTACATCAGAGTACCTCAGCTTCCCTCAAAGACTCTTTATGTTTAGTGATGTTTCTCACTTGTGCTTTTTCTTGGTATGATAAAACTATTTTAGTGTTTTGTTGTCCCCGCACTAACTTTTAGGATATCTTTTAAACAGATTCATATTTTTATAACAAAAGAAAATGTTTCTGCTCCAACATTTCATGGGTTGTCTTAGCACGATTTTCAATCAGTGAGGGATATCAATGATTTGAAAACTGTTATGTAACAATTGTCTGTGGGATCTTGGGAAAATATCACAGCTTTCACACATGAGCAGCTATTTTCATCAGCCAGCAAAATTACCATACGTGTGTCTGCACCTTTGTATATGTATGTACGCATCTGTGTGTGATGAAGATGCCTGCAGTGCAATGAATACCTGAACCGGAACAGAGGTGCTGGATTACCTGACCTCTATCAGAATCACATGCATCAACATGAACACAGTTCCCAGCGGGTGTTCAGTGCCTTCCCATTCTTGATGTGCCGGCTCTGCTGCGAGCTCGATCAATTGACAGCTGCTATAAACATGAACATGGTATAGAGCCTGAAGCGGAGGAGGCAAATTGCAGGAAATGCGAAGCATAAAAGAGCTCAATGTAAAAACACTGAAAGAGGAAGTCATGAAATGAAAGAAGGGGGGAAATTTCTTTGAGAGATGAATAATAAATCGGATACTTAAATAGTTGCTATTGGCCGTGAAAATGGCTGAACCGCCAATAAAAGTAAGAGGTAAAAATGGCTTCTTGATCTGCTCCAGTCTGAATCAGCTTCATTAAACTTAACATGAACTCGGCAGCTGAAATTCGGCATTAAAGAGAAGTTGGTGGGAACAGACTGTGATCATAAAAAGGGGAAAAATTCACATTCTCAGTCATTCTCGACGGTAAATGACAATCTTGATTTTTTTATTGAACGTTTTCCTTGATCATTTCAGCACCTTAGTATAAAAATATCACTCTGCTTGTCTAAAAAGAAGCTCACAGATGTACGCAGTGTTTTATTTGGAGTACACAGTCACAGTGAGAAAGTATTTGTTTGCAGCTGGATGTGTATCTTGTTTTAGCATAAGAAGGAGTTTCGTCAGTGAGGGGGAACCCTGTTTGAAAATGTGTGCTACTTATTCCGCTTTGCATTTTGTCTTTGATACTTGAAAGCTTTGGAAATCAGCCGAGAAAGTAAAACAAGCAGTATGAAACAGTTTGATTCATCCTGATTTTATTCTTTTGATATCTTTAAGGGATAGATGATAGAAAAACAAATTTACCTCCTGGACTTTTGGAGAAACCAATTATCAGGGGATATTCATGCTGCCAAATATGGCGCTCATTTGGACAAAGGAAGAAGAAAGAAAGACAGAAAACCCACCGTGTTTCAGAGTTACCCACCCGCCTCACACAACAAAACTGACAGTCTTTTTTTACTTTTGCCACAATTATTTCTTCATGCATGCAGTGTAGGTGTGGTTTTATGAAAGAAAAAACCCACTGAGAAAAATATTCACATTGTTGTGTCTTCACTTTCTGTTGTAATGTGTTGTGTTGGCTGCTCCTGCTGCCTCAGTTTATCTGTTTTCTGCTTTGAATTATCTCCCCGTGACTGTTGTGTGCGCACGTCTCTGCAGCCTTGAGAGTTAAAAGCAGGAAGTGCATTTCTATGTGGGGTTAAGAAAGTGAAAGTGGAGCAGCCAGCCCGGCCAATGAGGATACAGGATTACAGCTTATTGTGTGATGGGATAATTGCTCTGTATGGTTTAGTGAGGAGAAAAGAATCGGAATTTTTCTTAAGGCCAGACCGCGACTTGAAAAGTGACGGCACAAAAGCAGCAGAATTAAATTTTAGGTGATCAGATGTGAGGTAGGAAAGGAGGCTTTCTTCTACTTTAGCAGGATGAAACACACGTAAAAAATAAAGTATGTGTAATTTGCTTTTTTTGTGCGTTTCTAGTAGCTGCTGTGTTCATCCCTCGCAGCTGCCTTCTTGTTTATAACTGTCCAGAGCTGGGATCTCTGAGCACCCATCAAACCCAGCTCAAGGCTGAATGAAGGCTTTTAAATACCCAAGATGCACTCCTGTTCCTTTTTGCCTCTCTTTTCTTTTCTTTTCCTTTTATTAAAAAAAAAAGATTTTTTTTTTTCATCCATTTATTTAAGATACATCTCCCTGCTTTCACCCTCTCTTTCTCTTTCTCTCTTTCTGCTGCTGTAATAAATTACATCTGGTTTGACGGACAGATTAAGAGAGGGTCTTTACGGAGGTAAATGTAAGGCTGCCGGTCAGTCATGTTGGAGGGTTAATCTTCCTGCAAACATTAACATCCCTCCCTTAAAGCTCCCATGGTATTACCTAAAGGTCATAAAGCTGCTAATATCCAGCAGCTCTGTTTATTTGTGATCTCGGTTTTGATTTTGCAAAGAGCGGATCTGAACCTGGAGCTCCATTTCACGTCTAAATAATTCAGATGCTTAATGGTGTTCATTATGGGGAACAACTATTTCCGAACAGAACCTGTGATTATCTGCAGGGCCCTCTAATAATACCACTGCAGAGCCTATTGATCCTTGGGAATGGCCTGATCACATACCCCCCCCCCCCTTCCTCAGCTTGCCTGCCTGCTGTAAACAGCTGGGGAGTTATTTGCAGACGGTTAGAGGCTGTGATGTAGCCGCAGGGGCGAATGTGGTGACAAGCAGTGGAAATAGAGAATTATTACCAAATGCAGCTTCGTGACCCCTGCATTTTTGTGTGTTTTTGTTTGTTTTCCACGCTGTAACCCCCTTTCCTCTGAGGCCCTGACAGCATCTGAGTTCAGCTGCAGAAAAGCTTAACGACACAGTAAACATTTATCGTACGTGGCAGCTAACAGTCCCAGCTAAATGAAGGAGCCGTCTTTGTGTGCCAGAGTCTGTGTCAGTTTCAAGAAGGCGGTAATGAAAGTGCCTTCCGCCTCCTATAAAATCCACCCAGTTGCATGAATTCCTTCTTTATTGTGGCCTTTTTTATTTACTGCTGTTTGTATTGTAAAGTTTGATTCCAGCATATGGGAAATCACAACCACACAATGATTTAACGGCCCCCATGAAACAGAGTGCCCACTTCTATACCGTGTTTGGACCCCTGAGAAGAAAGCTGCATTTTTTTTTCTTTCTTTGAAGTTTACAGCTTCCGTTTCGTCATCACATTCTCTAAGAGTTCATTACAGACTCTGGGCTGCACTGTGGATCCCCCACTTTTGATAAGTTTCTTTGACTTTCAAGTTAAATAAGGAGGAAGGTGACACTTTTTCACCACGTCTTTTACTTTTCACTCTGGTCTGCTGTTGATCCTTTAGGCTGAGGGACAAGAAGTGTGTGGTGCCTTGTTAGCTTTCAGTACTGAGTGTTGGCTATGTTTAAATGTATTTAGAGTCCATTTAGAGTTATTTGTATACTCTAATATATTTCTAGTGATGCTTAAACAGACTGCTAATACAATATTTGTATATTTACTTATATTCCTGTTAATATTTTACACTAACATCAACAATAATACTGCAAATTTAACATTTTCCCTCATGAAATTCTATGAGTAATTCTTGCTTACTGTTTTAATTTTGCAGTTTGTCTGCTCTCGGTAATTGCAAAACTTTTTTTTAAATCATAATGGCTGAAAATCTTCAGTAGTGCAGACGTACCTCATGGACCAACAAACAAGTTGAGTTTTAGATGATGAATTGTAGAAATTTGTTGCATAATATTCAGGAGAAAAAAAACACCAAATGTGCTCAGCTCAGGCTTTGACTTTGACTAATGTTTTAGTGCTTAGTGGCAATGTTTGGGAAAAATATGGTAATTTTAAAAGCCTTTTGAAAACTGTGGTGTGTATCATGTGGGTTTTTATCTATCTATCTATCTATCTATCTATCTATCTATCTATCTATCTATCTATCTATCTATCTATCTATCTATCTATCTATCTATCTATCTATCTATCTATCTATCTATCTATCTATCTATCTATCTATCTATCTATCTATCTATCTATCTATCTATCTATCTATCTACCATTACATATCAATAAAAATAAATAATCAGTTAAAACACAACAACAAATACTTCCCATAAAGCAAACATACCAAAAGATTCCCTGTCAAAAACTTGTGCTTTGTTCCAGTTGTACTCGGAAGTCGGGATTTCCGAGTTTCGACTTGTAAATTCATCTGGAACGCCCCCAGATGAAGTCCGATTTCCAACTCGGAAAGTCGGACGATCCTCGCCAACCCCGACTTGATGACAACATCAAAACTCAAGATGGCAGCGCAGTGCATTTACAGTAAAGAGTGACAATGAAACCACTCGTAATGTACTGTTTATTAGCACTTCTTTTTTTGTTTTGTTTTTGTGAAATTAAGTAAGTGGTATATGTTGTGCTGCCCAATGTCCAACTGTGAACACGGTGCTATGGTGTTTGTAAGAGTAAAATACTGTGTTGTGCGTTGTTTACAACTGGTATAGCTAACAACAACTAACAACAGCTGACAACAGCTAACAACAACTGACAATTGTAAACAACAGCTAACAATGGCTAACAGTAGGCATCCATCTTGGTTTTCTGACTTGTTAACTGGAACGCCGTCAACTCGGGTGTTGCGTCATTCCTAGTTCCGACTTCCGAGGTAACTTGAACGCAGCATTACAACTAACAACAAACAGACTGCCAGTATCACCGAGCAACAATAAGTCAAACAACTGCAGAAAGACAATCAACAATAACAAGAACCAGTATCAGTAAATCCAAAACAAAACAAAAGGGACCTAAAACAACAAAAGACCTCCATAGACATTAGTCATCTGACATTACCACGACACTCTGTATCAACAAAAAGACAACCAGCAAATAACAAAATCTCATCGAGTGAAACAAAAACAGGAACAACAAAGAGAATCCAGCTATAGAAAAACACCCACAACAAGGAGACTCCTATTTTTCTATTCGACCTGACAATGATCCTTTTCCACTTTGCTTTTTGCTTGCCCATAAGCAGGACCTCTGATTTACTGCAGAGGTATTAGATCTTAGTGACCATGATGGTCTTTGACACTAGCACTGGTTTCACTGCAACACACACTTACCCAGCTTCCAGCCACAACCTCAAACCTTTGAATCACACGTCAGGCTGCAGGCACTGGCAGTAATTAGCTGTGACATTATCTGAGATGTGGTCATGGCTAAAGACACGGGTGCACTTGTGAAATATTAATTTCTTTTTCTCCAGCAGGTGAACATAAGCTATCTGCTGCAGAGCCTAATAGAAGAAAACAGGTTTTTGCGTTTCAGGAGGGTTCAGGTGTAATGCACAGTGCCTCTGGAATAATGCTGAAGCAAAAATGATAAATGGACTGTACTTATACTGCGCTCTCCTGACAGCTCACAGTGCTTTTACATTTCATGTCACATTCACCCGTTCACACCACATTCACTCAGTATGGCAGAGGCTGCTGCTATGTATGTGCTGCAGCCATCTATCCACCACTTTGTCACCTGGACAGTGGAGTATGGGATCGAACCCAAATCTTTAGGTTTAATGAAAAGACTCCAAAGGGTGAATTGTGAGCAAAGCATGTTTGATTTTGAAGCTTTAAGGTGATGCAAAAGCAACCAATGCATCCTTGAGCCTAGTGAAAACACATCAGCGCATCCTCAGTGTTAACACCCATTGTCACTTTTCCTGCTAAAGTAGATATAGGCAGAGATTGGTGATTCTCGCTCACAAGGCTTATCCTTTCATCAGCTCCATGCCAAAGCAATATCAAGCAAAGGGCCACAAAGCGCTTCAGATCCATCTCCCAGTCTGATAGAAAGCATTTGCAATTCCAACGCCGCGTTTTCGTCGCTCGCATCGAGCAGAGGGGGGGAGGCTCCTGGGGAGGAGGTGAGGGAGGAAGGAGTCACACTCAATTCCTACAGAAAATAAGAGCAGGGAGCTGCATGATCACTTGATCTCATCTGCTTTTTTCAGGGATTCATCTGTGTATATGCGAGGAGATATTAACTCGGTGTGTGATCTGTTTGTGTGCGAGGTGAGATCTCCGGCAAATGAAGAGCAAAAAGTGGACATGATAGAGGGATTACACTGTGAGGGTGGAAAGAGCAGAAAGCAAGACATGAAAAAACTGATCAAGGAGCTCAGGACCAGCATCTCTGACTGCCTTTGAATGTGTGATGCTTTATAGTAATGGCATAATAATGGATCTCTGTGGCTATTGATGTCACATTTACATGGAATATTCCAGATGATTTGTGACAACCCTTCAACAAAGCTGTCACTTAAAGAGAAAAAGGGGTTTTCCATTATTCCTAACAGCATACAAATGATGAGGGCATGAGTGGTTGTCAGGTTATGGCATGGGAGGATAAACCTTGTTATGAGGAAAGACAAATACACGGAGGTTTGAATTGAATTAGTTGATGTAAAAGCAGACATTGTGATTAAAGAAGGTGAACCTGATGCTGATCTGTTCGTCCTCAAACATTCAAATGTATCTCAGTTAACTTCATCCCAGTGCTTAAAAACAAGGGATTTGGAGGTATAGTGTAGTATAATTAAGAGTAGACTTTATTTTATGGATAATAGTTCAATAGTAGAGACTGTTGACGTTTTTAAGAAGAGGCTCAAAACTCACCTTTTTCACCAGCCTTTTCAATAATTGCCTTTTTAATATTTCTCTTATTGCAAACGTTCATTTTAATAATTATCTCTGTTCTTAGTCTTCGTCTTAATTCCCGTCTTAGAGGTTTTAAATTCTTTTACCCCTTTTACATAGTAAAGAGCTCTTATCTGTTCATTTAATATTATTTTTTTCTTTTTCTTTTTCTTGTTTTAGTCCATCAGGTTTTAGTCTTTCTTTAGTCTTTCTACCATTTTATTTTATTTTTTATCTTTCATCTTTATCTCCAGTGTTTCCCAGAGGTAGCTCTTTCCTCACGTAATGTCTCAGTGTCAGGCCATGTCTCTTGAACAATATATCTTAAATTCCCACACTGTGTGTGCTTGTGTGTGTATGTGTGGGTGAGTGAGGGTGGGTGTGTGTGTGGGTCCATGGGTGGGTGTGTGGGTGGGAGGTTTGGGTTTTAGCCTCTGTGAGGCACTTTGAACTGCATTTTTGTCTGAAAAGTGCCATAAAAATTTGTTGAAGTTGAATTTTAGTAGATAACATAATCAAGCACTATACTAAAGAACTTTTTTTTGTATGGAAGAATTAGGAAGATGCAAGATTTTTTTGCTGTGACATTATAATTAAGCTTAAGGTTTTATTGGCAAGCATACAGCATGCTAGTTTCTGTTGTATACTGGTATAGCTCACGTTTGGAGTCAAAAACAAAAATAACAAGCTTGACATAAAAGATGATGCCATTGTCGTTAAGGTCAAAGATGACTAGATATGCAATAGATCAGCTGTGTGTTGTGTACCTGCCAAGGGGCTTCTGCTATCTACACGTGTGTCCGAGGGTCCTGCTTATTAGCGTCAGGCTCAACAAAGGCTGTGTCCAAAATGAATCACTCAATCCCTAGTCCCTAACCCCCCATATGGGATTTCACTATATAGCTGACTATGTAGTGAGCTCAATCACTGGAGGTTTCGGACACTACATGGCAAGACGCAATGCATGAAGGGATGCCCACCACCGGTGAGTGACCATCGGATGGTCACTACATTTTGCAATGCTCTATGGGAAATTTTGAGTCGCCCATATGGGGCATTGCAATTGATCACTCAGGTTTCGGACACCCCTCAAAATGGCGCTAACCCCCATATAGTCTCCTATATAGGGGTTAGGGATCTATTTCGGACACAGCCAAAGTTTTGCTGTCCTGTTTTGGGATCTTTGCTTTTTTTGGTTTCAGTTATGAGGAGAATAAATGTCCAATCGATGTCGGTGCTATCAAAATCCTACACTCACCTGACTCATCATCAACTTCATGAGACATTGGTGCTACAACAAAGCAACAAAAACTTTTCTCATTTGTTAAAAACTTTGTAAATTTCGTAAAAAAAGAAAAGGCGGACACTACAGTTGGAGGCGCTTTTGAGGCTTTCAGGAGTCAGAGGCCCCTGGGCTCCCGCCTACATGGCCTTGTGGTTAATCAGTTCTTGAATGAAGTTGCCGATCACCTGAAGTCCTTCTTTCTTCATAATGATACATTTGGTTTTACTGAGACTATTGAGTTAACCCTAAGTCTTTCACATCATTAAGAGTGATTGTGCAATAAGTGCTCTCACTGTACCACAGGGCTGGAGTTTCAACCTCGATGAACATCAGGTGTGTCTCTGAGGAGTAGATTTATAGCTCTACATCAGTATGACTGGCACCAGCCTACCTGGTAGTTTAGCCTTGAGAAGAAGCCTGTGGGGTCAAGAAACGTCTCAGTCTGAACGGAGGCAGAGAAAGAGAGACAGCTCTTTGTTTGGCCCGCAATGAAAAGCTCGTCTGTCTTCCTCCTCTGAAGTTCTCAGGCTGCAGGCCAAGTCAGTGACAGGAGGAGCCTTTGCACAGCGCTGTGTCCTCTGCCAGAGAGCTGCAGAGTTTGTGCTGTTCTCTTTTTTTTTTGGAAAAGCTGCGAGAAAACATAAACCTATCATCTGTGGCAATGGGTGGAGAGGTCAGCATCCCAGGGGAGTTCAGTTTTTCCAGCTGTTAAAACTAATTTGAGCGGTTAGCATAATGTTTTTGTTTAATTAGCGAGGAAAGCGGAACATAACAGTGCTGAAAAAACATGAGATAACACGGTATGTGATGTTCCACTGAGAGTGCACGTATTTACAGACTTTTTCGAGGGTTTAGTCCTCTGCCACCCTTACTGTTTCTTAATCATTCATCAAACCCACATATGTTTGATTAATGTGGCTGAATTGAGCAGTCAGTAGGTGCATGTATTATTTGGTTTCGGCGCTATCAATAACCCTCCTGAGGAAAATGTTTCTCCATCATCAGTAATGGTATTGATCTCATCAGGCTGCTGTTATTCGTGGAGAAGAGGTGAAGCACTGCCATCTTGTGGTCGGCAGATCTCAGCGCTTCCCTCCTCCCTCTGAGTGATGTGTTTGAAGTGGGCTGAGGTCTCATGAGAGGAGACGGGACTCTGCCAGGCTGCACTATTGGGGGTTAACAAAATACTTCCCACTGCTCAGCACACACGGTTCCACCAGTGCTTCTCCGATCTATTGTCCAGACACATTAAAAACAGCCCAAGGAACATACAGTTTCTCTTAGTAAAGCTGAGAGGCAGAGGAAAAAAGACTCACTTTAATGGGGGTAAAGTGGTGCATCAGTTCAGAGAAGTCTGACCGAACAGAACGTGCTGTTTTGTGACCCGTGGCTGTTGTTTATCGCAGTTATCCATCTTTATATGGGCTGGGACAACTCAGCAGAGAATGACAGCCCATTCAGCCAGAAACCAGCCATGTCAGGAGAGACTTTGATTTTCAATTTCAGCCGAGCTGCTTTTGAGGATTTCTTTTTTCTCTCTCTTTCTCTCCAGTGTTACCATAGCAATCATGCTGCCTTTTAGTGTTATTTTCAACAATTCTAAAGCTGCATCTTGAGGTGAGGACAAATCCATTGGTAGCTGACCTAAAAAAAGAAGTGTCAGTTAATGCAGAATATGTTCGTCAACATGAATTCTAGGTGTGAGACTGCGAACCATTAAATAATTTTTTTCGTGAAACAAGCTGCAGTTGCTGAAAATGAAGGCAAAATTATTAACATGTCAGCATCATGGTTCTCACAAGGGGTTTTGGACTTTCTAGCCGTTTTATTTATACTGGGGGATAAATAAAGGTTTCCCTGATACACATTAAAGTGATGAATGATATTATGATGCAACCATCCTACAATAACCAGCAATAATACACACTCCTAAAATCACTCTCTTGATATAATCACACTCATGTGTCAAGACATGCAGGGTTATGGAGCTGTCTCAACATTTCACTGTATGTTTTATTTGTTGTCATTGTGTAAATGGATACAGTATAATATCTCATGATAAATAAAGAAAAGACATTTGTTTTTGATCCCAGCTCTTTAACTCTCAGCATCTCCTGCAAAGATCTCCTTTTAAATGGCATTGTTTTCCTTTTCCACTCCAGCCTCCACCTTCCTTTTTTGTAATTTCAACAATTCACACTATTTTATTGAAAGAGGATTCATCATTCATCATATTCATAAATAATTAATAATAATAAAAAAGGAAAATCTTATTCAGTACCGATCTGTCACTCTCTTTGTGAAGTATAGTGCCCTGTTAACCTTGCCGAAAGCATTTCTTTTATAAGTAAACATCAAAATAATCAGTTGAAAAATAGTCAGATACCACAACCTTGATTGGTTTCCTTTTGTAGAGAACCAAAAACATTGTATTTTTGTCTTAAAGATGTAGAAAATCCTGAAATTGTAAAATGTTTAATGTTCCTTTAAAATGCATCTATCATTTATTGAGTTATAGCTGATTATCCTTTTTTTAAACAGGCTGCTTTTCTGTGTAAAGAAATGAGTCAATATCAGTCAGCTGAAGCTTTGGAAGTTGATTTATTCGGCTGTTCAAAATCTAATGAAGATGCCCACTCATCCTCCTCCATACTGTGACTTTTGGTCTCTCCACTTTTCCTATTGTAGTATTTTTCAAAGGCTGTTTGAAAACCTTTTTTTAATCATTAAATAGTTTGCTGGGTCTACTTTAATTTCAATCTTTTACTTGGTTATTCAGATGTTGTGAAAACTGCTGTAGTCAGGTCTTGGTTTGTGCACTCCTTGCTTCAGTAAACAAGGAGGACTATCTTCAAAAGGACAGACATGAAGCAATTAGGTCACAGCTCATCAGCATACATTTTCCCTCTGACTGTAAAGCCGTCTATAGTGTGGGTCATGTCTTATCTTTGTATTTGCATGTAATTTATTTAAGTGTAACTTCCTTTCTGTGTGCTTTGAGACAGTATAGGAAACCTTCTGCAGACACTCCTGCAAAATCCTACTGCTGCTATGGTCCAGCAGCGCACATCAAACACAAAGGCCAGCTGGATTCAAAGGGGCCATATGGTGACAGAGCCAAGCAAGGGAGGGGTGCACAAGAGGGCCAATGTGTGCAAATATTTTTACATCTGAAGGGCCACGCGGTAGAACGTCTTGATGTGAGCAGGGCCATGCTGTGCGAGGAAATAAAAACAGCACTTAATGCGTCAACTTCAGCCCTCATAATTGTGTTTGTTTTTTGCTTTTATACATGTCGAGTGTGGGGGTGTTGAAGTTTTTGTGTCGAAATACGTTCTGCTTCTCAAACCATGAATTTAAGGTTATTTGTCAATTTGATAGAGTGTATTGCTTACAGCTCTGCCCCTCCTGTCTGTGTGTGTTTGTGTGTGTGTGTGTGTGCCCTGACTATTAATAAATGCTTGGGATGTTCAGCGATTCCCACTCGCTTACCTCTACCTGTGTCAGACTCCCTCCCCTGATAGCTTCTCACCACACACACACATGTTTACAGATACAGAAACACAGAGAATCGAGCACATAGAGTGGTCAAGAGGTAACATCCCATCAGGTTCTGCTGGAATAATGTGCAGACAGCAGAGCCCCTCGGGGGGAAAAAAGTGTTTTTCATTATAACAGGAAGTCTAACTGAATTGACTGGATTTCAGAGGAATAAAGAGTTCACAAAGTGCTGAAGTTTGGAGGCCAGACTTTTAAAGAGACTAAAATGGTCCTGACAGGAGGTCATAAAAAATGTATTGTTAACAAAAGATCAACTTTTTATGCTTTAACTTATGAGGGAAACTGTAGATCAAGCAGCCAAATACAGGGCATGAATTACAACAGCTGAAAATATGGGAGTGAAAGTGAGTTTTAGGAATCCATCAAAGACGAGGATGTTGACAATATGTATATGCGTGCGCAGCCATGGGGCAGAAAGCGGGACATTTCTTATTTTTTTGCTAGCAGAGTCAATGGAGAAAGAAAATGACAAGGAGCTGTTGCGCTGTAAACTGTACGAATCGGCAAAACAAACAATCGGCAAACATTACGACCCTGCTCCTGATATTAGATAAACATCTAAAAGAACGTCGCACCTGGTAAATTGAGTGAAATTGATGGACATTTCAGTAAGTGTTTTTCTGATTTTGATGCAATGAAAGACAAAGCGATTTTTTGATGAAATGACATTATGTTGCAATTGTGTCAGGGAGAACTTGCAAACAATACGGCATCTTCATTGATATCAGTTCACTCCGAAGTGATCTTTTGCCCCATGGTTGCGCACGCACCTAGTTTTGTTTGTACACAAGAAACCTGTTTATTAGCTTGAAAGAATTGGAGAAACAGCTACATTAACCAAATATTACCTTGTGTAGTGCTTAACCACTGGTTTTGTTTATCTCAAAGAACGACAGAAAAAAACAGAACAGAAAATAGTGTTTTATTTTCCAGCTGATTAGGCTCTAGCTCTTTAACTCTCAGCTCCTCCTGCAAAGATCTGACTGGATCCAGTCTGTGAGCACATGTGGAGGTCTAGTACACATCTCAACTTTAGGATTAAACTGTAATTTGTCAAATCTAATTATATATCCAGTGCTTGAAATTGTTCTAGATATTTTTTGTTCAGTGTTTTTCTCTTTTAACTCACTGGTACACACAAACAAGAGTGCAGAAATACACAAACAAACACACTTGTACAAGCACACGTGTGGCCTTGTGAAGACAGACACATAAAGAGAGCAGGAGAGATCAACACATGTGCTTTCTAATTAGAAGGTACATCGGCAGTGTAATTACCATCAGATGACGCGCGTATAGACAATCAGCCACAACACAAGTTCATTAATGAAAAGACAAAGGTCTGACAGAGGTAGTCACCTTGGTGCGACACACTCGATACATCGACATGCTGTGTGCCATCGAGTCTCCACGAGGATGAAACATATCCTCCCCTGGTGACTACAAGCCATGGCTTAGGGTTCGTGTCTACAGCCTACAGAATGTGTGTGTGCGTGCATGTGTGTGTGTGTGTAGCTTTATTAAGTCCTGATGAGAGCTTGTCTCCAGAGACGCTCTGCTACCTGCCTACCATGAACACCCTCGATGCTGTTACCTGGTGGACGAATCGACATGGGTGCTGTATATTTCCCCCTTTTTTTTAAAAGCACAGCACATTTTGGCTGTAAGAAGCCAAATAATTCATTTTGACACATTTATCAGCCAAACCTTCAATTTCTGTTTCAGAATTGAGGTTTAAAGTTCAATAATTTTCTCTATTTCAGCGGAATATTTCACGTTAACTGTCCGATTTTGTAGCGCTTGTACATGATGCAACATCGGTGCAATCTGCTTCTCTTTCCCCTGACTTTGTGTTTCTTAAAGTACAAAGTCCAGAACTGTACTACATAAACGCTAATTTATTTATCCAATATCCTCCTTTTCTTCTTATCCATTATTCGACTTCATCCTCCGATTTGGAGTGTTTTTTTTCCCTCTTTGTCTGCGGACAAAATGAACCAGAAATACAGCAGCACCTGTACCTGTTTGCACCTTCCCTTATTAGACAGGAAAGGCCCATCTGTTTTGAAAGACACTCCAGAGAAATGTGCATTGATTCCAGAAGAGAGCGAAAGATGAAATGAAGAGAAGAGGAGGAGGAGGAGGAGGAGGGGGGTGAGTATGTGAGAAGAAGAGAAATTGGAAAAGAGAGAAGGAGAGAGGGAGTGAAAACAAAATGGGAGGGAGGAGTGAAGAGAAGGCATGATAATGAGCCCTACCTCTGACACATCCTCCTGTTTCTATGGAGACCAAGGAGCCAATCGTGTGGCCAAGCTGAGGACTGTACTACTCAGAGTAGATAAGAGGGTGGAGAGAGGGGCTTGTAGATGCTTCTCGGTGTTCAGGAGAGGCATTCAGATCTCGTTGTAGCTTCTCTTCAGGATGCTTTTTTTTCTGAAGGTGCGTTCTCCAAATCATGGACTCCTGCAAAGAATTACCCATCATGCTTTAATACAGAGGCTTCTCATCAGCTGTTTTAGCCTCAGAGCCCTATGACCCCCTTCCAGCTGTCATTCTCTTCCATCTGCATCTCCCGCTCCCCCATGACCGGCCCCCCTAACAGCCGCCAGCCTCTTGGACGCTCCTCGTTACATCATTCACGCAGCTCTGTGGCAGCCTGTGTTTGTGACTGGGAGGGGAAGAGAGAGAGAGAGGGAGAGAGAGGGAGAGAGAGAGAGGGAGGGAGAGTGAATGTGAGTGAGCCCCGTGTGCACACGCCATCCCCACCACCATCGAGTCCCCATTGACCAGCAAACAGGATGGACAAGCCGAGCGTGTGGCGCGCCGTGGTGAGCAGCACGGACGCCAGGAGGACACGAGACCCTGGGTCCCACTCTGGCAGCAGACCAGGCTCGGCCATGGGGTACAGGCTCTACGACATGTGAGTAGCATGTTTGGCGTGGTTTATCATCCCGCTGGAGGCGGCTCCGGTGTGGCTCCCATTCATAGAGACAGCGGTTGAGTGGGTGGAGGTAGAAAACACGGTGTCTACCTCTCCGGTGTCTCTGCTGAGTCACTTATGGCATCCAGACCTTTCCGTGTCCTCTCGTGTTCCCTCTCAGTGCTCTTAGTAAACAACATCTCTCCCGGGGAGGGGCGGCGAGCTGGAACATGCGTTCGTTTCTGCGTGAATGAGACGCTCAAATGTCACCTGGATTGATTAAAAACCATGTGTCTCCTCCGCACAATGAGAGCGGACCTGAGCGTTACTCTGCGGCGAGCGACAACAACACGACTTCAATCACAACAGAGACATGTGAGGGTTAGTTTCAGACCCCGGGGACGCTCGGAGAAATGAGTCATTTCTGAGAGATGCTGAGGCACACGAGTTCCTTGCAGCTTCTTGTCGTACATTTGTGGGTGTGAGTGTGTTCTTGTGTGTGACTGGTACGATGTATATGTGTGTGTGTGGGGGGCATCGCCTCAGTGTGTGTGTGTGTGTAGAGAATGCGGATGGGTCCGAGCTGTTATTTTTGGGATCGCTTTGAGTCTTACGGTCTGTTTGTGGAGTCACGTGTCTGATCTGCTGAAGGTGGACAGTATCAAAAAAGTGTCTTTACCTGAAGACAAGACGAGGGGGTTATAATTTTAGTGTCCCGCTTCTACCCTCCCCTGATACTCTATTAAGCTGAATAAGCACTGTGCTGTCTTATTTCTCTGCAGAGCCACGTTAAAGTTTGTGTGCGTATACCCTGCATCCCCACTCGTTCTCCCAAAGCCTTGTAAGAGTAACCACTTGAATTTTTCATACATGTAGTTACCAGCTGGTGCACACAGCGTTGAGCTGAATTACCCCGCCGTGTCCTGATCTAATACCATACACGAGGATCAGTCATCTTAATGAATACGAGACCTTCACGGGTCCCCACTGAGCCCTTCACAGGCTATCTGGCTCTGCTCTTCACGGCTTAAATCTCTGTCTCATTTTCATGCATGCAACACATAGCCCGTAGGTTCTCATGTTCCTTCAGCGTACATGTAGATTTAATTTTATTACATGCTTCTGTACGTTATAGTTGCATAACAGTCGATTTGACATCTGTGATTCAGAGATAGCAGCTGATTCCTTTCCTCCAAAGAGAGGTTTAACCACAGAGTCACATGACTGAGCCTCCTGAAAGGTGAGGATGTGCTGCATATCAATGACTTGGTTGTTGTCAGGACACTAGAGTAGTATCTCTTCAGATTGCCGCTAATGTGTCGGTTTGTCTGCTTGTCACACAAAGTCCAATGCTCTTTTAATGAGAGGCTGGAGCGGGATGAGTCTGTGCTGTTATAAATGTCATCTCATCATGGCTGGCGGGCCTCATTTCCACTGGAATTTAAAATGCTGTGCCTTAAACACTCAGAGCCCAAGAGGAGAGGATATCCTGAGCTCAGCCGACCGCTCTCTTAGCCTTCAAGGATACTATACACTTCAATACCCTGGCCTGTAGGGAGGCAGAGGCTGCCCTGGGTGGAGAAAACTCCTTTAATAGGACATGATAGTACATTTTTCTCTTCAGTCATTTCAGTTTGGGACGGGTAAAGAAAGTGTTTCTCTGTGAAACTCTGCTCAGGAGAAAGGCGATCAGTGCATACAAGAAATAATCCGCCATGTGTGAAGCCATTTGGCAAGGAATTTACTGTTCGAAACTGGTTGTCAAAGTGTTTACTGGTGCAAGGAATGTACAGCTGGACCCTACAGGCGGAAACACTTCATGTTCAACATAGAGATAACAGCTGATCTGTAGTTTTTCTGTGTATTTTACTATCTTGATTAGTTGTCCTGAACCTTGCATGTACAAAAATATTAAGATTTCATGTAGTCGCTGAAATCTGAAAAGCTTGATAGTCCTGTTTTTGAGACATTGCCATCCAGCAGGTTTGATCTTTGTGCCTCTAGATTATTCCTGCTTCAGCTCTCTGATTGTATACCACTGTACAGACAGCCTAGGTAATAAACATCAGAGGGCTTTACCCTTCAATAAGATAATGTCACGCATCCTCAGAGGGCATTCGTGCCATAAAGCCACCACAGCAGAAATGCCCACTTCCTATTACCATGAGAGATTGTTAGTGTGATGCCCCCGTACGAGTGACGCCAGCGCTGATGAAAAATTGAGTGCGTCACTGGAGCTGAAAAGCTCTGACGGCACATTCCTTCAGTTGGAGCCTTTGACATCAGAGTGTGCTGGGTCTGCAGACTAAGAGAGAGAGAGAGAGAGAGAGAGAGAGAGAGAGAGAGAGAGAGAGAGAGAGCATACAGATAACTGTCAGCATAGCTCTGAATGTGCCTCAGCCGGAGACAGCAGATGTTTGAGGCACGCTGCTATTGCACGAGACAACAACTGCATAGAGTGTGTTGTACAGAGCAGGCTGTCGGTTCTTATAGCGTCAGGACTGGCAGTGAGATATAGCCACATACTGCATGTACCAGCCTGTCTTTGTAACACTCATAATGATTTTTCACTTATCTGATAGTGACAGTGACTGTTCACTGCCTTTATTGACTGCAGTTATTCTGTGAAGTGGTCACGATTACATCCATTAGAGCGCCGCCATTACTATTTTACTCATTATGCTGACGACTGTATGGTTTATTTATCGATTAAATGGTCTTTTCTTGATAAATTTGACAGATACAAGAAAATCCAAACCGCAAGATTTACTCAGTTATCTTACAACCATGGTTATGCATGTGAGCGTTATCGTAGTAGCTCGTGAACAGCTGGGAGCTCCTTACGAAGGTCGAGAACTGCTGTGCTGAGGTGTTATGAAAGCCCCAACTCTTCATCATTATGTCAAGAGTACACCATCAGCCTGCTGGACCCTACTGTACTGAATGCTGGAGCAGCAAATTTAGCTTATGCCAAAAAAAAAAAAAATCTCAAACTTGGCTCAGAACTGGCTCAGTCATCTGCACGCGAGACATCAGCAGCTGGACATCTGCAAGGGCTGGCGCAGAGTTTTCATCGGCTGAATCTGCAGCCCGAGCTGAGCGAGGATTATCAAACCGACGGGAGCTGTTTGGGCTCTCAGGGGCACATCTCAGTAAGCCAAAGTTTCCTCGAGGGAGTTGTCAGTGGTTTAAAACAGCCCATAATAAGCCCCTTGCCTTTGCCAATAGCAACGTCAGAGGCGACAGCACCGTGCAGAGAAGGGTGCAAGAGAAAAAAAAAAGGATGCATCTCCAGAACATTTTGTTCCTCTGGCAAAAATAAAAGCAGATATGAGGATATGTTTATCAGCAACAATATTATATAAGGAGCATGGCACAGAGATAACACTGAGCATTTCCTCTTGCATATTGATTTCTTCTTCTATGGTGTTTGTTTTCTGTTTGCTGCATGCTGCATCCATGCATTAAGTTGTTTCTGCACAGACTGACTCATGCTTAAACAGTATGCTCTTTACTTGTATGTTTCCCACTCTCATGACTCAGAGGTTTTTGATGTGTCCTATATTCATTCACTTCATACTAGAGATGCTAATCCTATCAGGGTGTTTTATTTGTCAAACCCACATCATGGTGACTCAGTTATAAGTAAGCTATAAATATCGTTCAACAAACAATGTCCATTTAAGAGGGATGAAAAAGTCTGCAGAATTTCAGGAGCCGTCCTTTTTTTTCTCTTGGTGTTTACAGCCTGCTGGGTTGGACATGTGTGCTCTGCTGGTAGTCCTGCATGTTTACGTGTAGCCTCAGCGCTCTTCATCAGTCATGTTGCCTTTCCTCGGCGTATGAAAAGCCTTACAGAAAGCCGGTGGAAACTGAGGGCGTTGGGACCACCTCCAACCAGCCAAAGAAGATTTCCTTCAAATTTTTCCTCTTTTTTTTTCTTCACTTTCCTGTGCCTTTGCTTTCTGCTTAAACTCCGAGCCAAAGCTGGAGGAGTGAGTCTGCTGTAATTATGGATTTCTTCCTTCCATATCCCTCTCCACCACAATCTCCTTTTCATACCCTCAAGTTCTGTCCTCCCCCCCCTCTTCTATCTTTTGCACAAGTGCTTTAAAGCTGCAGGCTGAACATCTGTACTGAACAGTCTGTGTGATGCAAGAGCATGTGCTCGTGCAAACTGTGCAACATGGATGTAAAATGATATCATCTGCTGCAGATAAACTAACAGGCCCTCCGTCCTTGGCTCTTTTCCACGACCGATGTGTTTGTATCCATATGAGACAACTTAAATGTACACTTTTAACATCCGTTGTGTGTTGGAGCTACATGAATAAAATTGATTGATGACATTTTAGGCCAAAAAACACAAAAGCCTCAAAGGAAAGATACACATGGAACACGAAAAATAAGGATTTTAACATTGCAAATTATCCAAACGTCTCTACAAATGTCATAAACCGAGGTCAGTGATCTGTAACCGCATGACATTTTGGTGTCAAGTTTCCTCGCTACAAGAGGTCTGAGTGTCAGCGTTTTATGATTGCTTCCCAGATGTGGAATGAATAAGAAATACATTAATTCCCGTGTTGCGTTGAGTTTATGTTCTTTTAGTGAATCAGCATGCCTGTCAGGCTCCTCAGTCTCCCAATCACAGCAGCTCAGTGGCCCATAACCTTTTTCAGCATGGAAGCTATCAAAACCCACCACCAGGGGGCAAACTTTTCTAACACAAGTGTGTAGACAGGCTGTCCTTCACACAGATATTCACAGGCTCTGATTTTCCTATGTGCTAAAAATCCTAGAGGTTATACTGTCTTTATCCTGGATCTAATGAATCATTTTTTTTATTCACTTAAGAATTAAGAAGTCTTTTTAAGCTGAAACATTTTAGGTGTAGGAATTTAAAAAATATATAAAAACTAGATCAGGGCAAATACCATGTCTGTCTTCTCAGTATCTAGTATTATGGTGTTTTATCCACTTGTAATGTATTTATCAGAAGTGGAACCTCTTCTAGGCTGCACCGGGGTTGAACATGTTTTATCTTGTTCTGGTGTCACTCAAGCTTTGCAACCTGCTTCTCAGCTGTCTGCCTCTGGGAGCCTCCCTCAAGAGGGCTGATGCATGAAAACAAGGTGTACCACAGTGCAGATACAAACCAGTGGGCTGGGGTGCTGACTTGTTTTCTTATATTTAAAGGCACAGTGAGAAGTTTTCGACTGATTAAGAAAAAGACTGAAACTGATACTTGTGCGTCTTTATTACCTGTAAACACAAACTAGATTATTTACAACATGACTGATTAGTTGTTGTTATTTTCAATGCCTTTGATTTTACATATTCAGACCCAGGTCGAGCCACACCCACCCCAGGCTCCACCCACCAAAGGCCAGTCTTATTATCTAAGGAGGTACATGCAGGGATCGCCTGCTTCCCCTGGACAGACAAAATGTGGGCACCTACCAGTAATTTCAGATAAGGACACAAAGCTTACTTCAGGCCATGGGAACCCATATTGAAAATCAAATCTCAAAACACTGTTTATTGTCCCTTTTCACCACCAATATATAAAGATATTTACTATGATTAACTCCAACTCACACTAGACCCATGTGTGGACTTGCTCTAAGTGCTTCAAATTCTCCCTCAGATAAATTTAATTACCCAATAACTTATTATAATTAAAGACAAATATAAATAAATACAGATGATTCAAAACTTTGAAAAGGTTTAATGTTATTTACTGTTTTTACTGAGGTCTGTTTGTGTGTGCTCCACGTATTAAGAGATGTCACTTTTCCACCGATTCAAGCTTCCTTAGCCAAACAACAGAGTCAAACATCCTTGACAAAGATGGGAGTTAATAAGCAAAATATCTGGTTATATCGAGGTATGTTTAATAACTTAAAGATAGCATTTAATACTATAGACAATAAGATATAAATTTCAAAATTAAAATCATACAGTATAAGGGGAGTTGCTTCGAACTGGCTAAGTAGTTATTTAGGTAATAGATCGCAGTATGCGTTATTTTCTGGGAATAAATCTGAGTATTTGGATATTGTCTGTGGGGTCCAACAAGGCTCGGTTTTGGGGCCTAAACTTTTGAAGTTGTACATTAACATAGATGGATTATTAGACCAATTAGACTTTGAGTGAGGGGCAGGTAATATAGGATGTTTCTTCTCCCTGCTCCGTGAAAGAAAGAAAGAAAGATAGAAAGAAAGAAAGAAAGAAAGAAAGAAAGGTGAGGACTAATATAGGCGCCCCCTGTTGATGAAGTAGTTTTTCCTTGTAGTAGTGACCTTCGTTAAAAGAACACATCGTTCTAACTTTTAACAGTCAAATTGATCATTTATTGTGAATATTTAAAGTGGAAAATGTAAAAGCATGGCCTTTCCTGTAGCTGCTGGGTTGACTCTTGTCTCCCTGTGCTCCACTTTTCATTCAGCTCTCTATTCTATCCCTTCTCACATCGCACCAATCAGAGGATTTTCTCCAGCAGGGTCGTTCTCCCATTGTATTACTTATTGACCGCACATCTCTCGCTCAGAGCCGGTCATGGTGAAATCCTCGGGGCAGTTTAGTGATGATTGACTGGGCCGGTCACAGGAAGGAGCGGGGTCTCTGCGCTGGAAGTGCACTGCGCTATCAGCATGTATCTGTGCATGACTGAATGATGCTCCAGCAGCGGTGAGGAGACGATGACAGCTTGTCACAGGGCTTTTCACGTGAGGACAGACTGAATTCAGATTGATGGCTAAGTAGAAAAATGTCTCTCTTTATAGTCTTTTGACCCTTAACACTGGATGAAGTCATATCGATCGTATATCAGTGAAACTGGGTTCACAGCTGATTTTTCCAATCTTTCCATTTACCTGCTAAATAAGCCACTGACATTCTTGTGTACAAAGTTGTTTAGCTTTTTATTCAGCTAAGAAAAATCCAAGTCTGCCATGAGCTGGAATGAAAACCATGTGTGTTGTTGTTGTATTGTAGTCAGAACTGCAGTAATTGCACGTCTTTGCCTCTGACAGACTCTGGCATGCTCCGCTAACAGAAACAGCGGGGGTCCCACCCACATTCACCACTGAGGGCAACTTCACATGCATCAAAAATAAGAAACTGAAAGGGTTTTCCATCTGACATGACCCACAAGAGTAAATCATCAGGATGAACTGCGTGCTTATTTTTTTTTCTGTTTTAAATGCAGTCACGAAGCTTTTTAAACGCAGCTACAGATCCACATTATGGGATTTTTTTTTCTTATTTTAGTGAGCTGGTGTCAAAATACACATGTATTTTTTCCACCTGCTTCCATGGATACACTTCTACTTATGTCAGCGTAAATGTACATCCTGTTGACTAAACGTTCCGTTTATTACTTTGCTGTTGGAGAGCTGGTTTATTTATTCACTATTTCCAGACTCACCAGATATAATCTGCTCTTCCTCCTTTGAGAGAACAGTCTGTACTGTAGAGGCACTTGAACAAAGTTGCATTTAATTCCATGGATTACAATCCTTTTTGAAATTAGATAACATTTAAATATGCAATAATGATTTTTACTTTATCTCAATAACCTTCAGCGTGTTATTGATAAAGCACTTTTATTCATTTTTACTTTTTTTTTTTTTTTTTGATATAACAGTCTGTTTATTGGGAATTTATATAATACAAAAAACATTAGTGTTTCAATTACAGATTTTATATAGGTTCAACATAACCCAGACAAGAACAGATACCCACCCCTCACCCCCGTCCCGCTGGCACCCAACCCGAGATAAACATACATAGAAAAAAAAAGGAAGAAGAAGCAAAAAAGAAGCACTTTTAAGCATTTGGCAACATTTGACAGCTCAGCATAGTGCAGTTTTGTCTATAAATCAATTCTCATCCAGTCCAAGTTAGTGTACTCAGACAAAGACGATACTTTAATGAAATTACCTAATCGAGGACCTAACTGTGCATGCAAATGAACTAACGTGGAAACAGAAACTTTCTGTAAAGAAGCAGACATTATGAAAAACCAGGAAAAAGAGAGATAGAGAGAGTCAGAGAGAGCGTAAGTGTCTGTACTATTACTAGTTACAGCATAGTGATGATAATTTAAGATTGACTTGTAACAGCGTAAAGTCAGCAGGTCTCATATTAGCATTGAGAATTGTAATAATACAAAGATAAAGACGACTGTATGATGATTATAGCAGTCAGAGCTGTGCAGGTCTAAGATTAGCATTAACAACCACAGTATAATTATCATAATCACACTTTGCTTTGTGGAAAGAATGTGAAATATCCACCTACTGGAAGTTGTTTTGTTATATGAACTAATTGCGATAAAGAGCGCAGATTAAGGACTCAGTGTGTGGTCATTTTCTGTGACGTGTGTGTAAATGAGGAGGCCTGAGTTCGTTGTGTGGTGAGTGGTGTGTAGATGGATTCATTCCCTCAGTGTGTCTCTCTGCTCCTCTCACAGCCTTTCACTGCAGCTATTGTGCCTCTCTATATGTTGGCTTGGGAAGCAGAGCGAGCCCATATTGTGCCAGGGAGTGTTTGTGTGTACGTGAGGAGATCATTTGACAGACAGATCAGATGTTATTACAGCAGTTAGCGTGTTCAAAATACACTCTCGCATAGATAAACTGAATTAGCTGTGCGTCTGTGTTTACATTTGCCTGTATTTGCGTGTTTGGATATGAGGTATCTCCTGTGTTTGTGTGTGGACGCAAACAGTGGTTGAATATTGATGAGAGGCCCCTCCACACCCCTTTCCCATGACTGCTGGGACCGGGTGGCACTGCAGCGTGGCACTGCATCTCAGATAGAGAAAAAAAGAGCAGCGCTGTGTTTGTGTTCAGATGCAAAGAGAGAAAAAAAAAAAAACCCTCTGGCAAGAAAAAGAGAGCAACATTTTAAGTGTTGGAAGTCTTATTATAGCCCCTCTGAGCTGTGCAGCACATTCAAACATGCAGCTAATGAAGCCACAGATGTATTTGATCCACATTTAACACACTGCCTTCCACAGAAGTTGAGTTTCACCACATTTGTTCTGCTCTTGCACCACTCACGCTCTCTCAGGCTTGCTATTTAATTCACTTCATGAATCACTCCATTGACCATAACTGAGCATTTGCTCAAGCAATCTAGCAGCAAATGTGTTTTCTGTTTGCTTCTTTCACCCTGATGAGTCAACTTATAAGAGCACTTGAAGCTCATATTTATTTAAACAAAGCTTGTGTGTAAACTCATGTGGTCATACAACATTGCAGCAGCCCCTCCTTTGCTGGAAGTGCGGCCAATCACAGGCCGCTCTGCAGGGCTCCCATTTGAAGCTTCAGTAGTACGGTAGTGTTGCCCAGCAACCGGAATCGGCACATTTCTGGGAGGTCCTGTGTGGATGGCAGCAGCTGTAAGAAGGAGAGGGAGACTGAGGGTAAGACAGAAGAGAGGGGGACAGAGATAGGAGGGGAAGAAGAGGAGAAAAAGGAGGCGAGGGATGGCTGAGGAGGGAGCCACGCTGTCTCTGCGTCTGTTGCCTCAGTCTAAAGTTTGTTCCTGCAGCAGAGGAGGAGACAGCGGAGGAGGAGGCAGCAGAAGAGGAGGCCGTTGATGATCCTTGTTGAGGGAGTTTTGGAGGATTCCCCCTCCTATCCGAGCTCCCACTCATTCCTGTACCTGTGCCTGCTGGAGCGGTGCAGAGCTCCGGCTGTAGCCATGATGCCTCAGAGGAACCTCGGCTGACGCACTGTGTTCAGGGACCAGCTCAGAGGACAGACGAACTGACCTGGATAGGAGCTAAAACAGAGCGAAAGCAGCCAAAATCCAGCTTATTCCTGGAGTTGGATCCTTGAAAAGCAATACTGGGCTCACGTCAGGCCAACAGAGGGTTGGAAGTCTAGCTGGTGCTGACGGAGCTTGTTCTGGACAGATCCCACATCCCTGTCTGGGTTACAGAAGTAAGGAGGATTCGGTGCGTTTGGTGTCATGGTGCCTTTTGAAGTTGTGGAGTCCTACAGAGCCAATCCACCTTGTTGATTATCTGAAGGAAAGATGTGGAAGTTCAAAGCGTTTTGCCTGGATTACTGGCACGTGCTGTGTTTGCACCCGCATAACAACTTTTATAAGAGGTAGGTTTTAAAAATGGCTGCTTCTGCAAAAACGCTCGGCTTTGATTATTCCCTTCGCTGTGTGCTTTTTAGACAACAATTAAAAATATAGCGCTCCTAGCTTGTTGATGTTGCTTTTCTCTTAATGGTCCTGACATTAGACGAATCAATATGTAATTTAAAAGAGCCTGGAAGTATTTGATCAAGCCTGTCTGTCTGATGGAGAAACTGTTGCTCTGCACGCTGACACACAGGCTGACTAAGGGAGACATTACTCAAGCTGAACTGCTATCGATTTCTCCGGGCGAACCAGGTTATACGGCTGCTGTTTTTTTAGAAACACTTGGTTAAGTAACTTGGCACTCGGAGTGATTTTGTTTGTGTCTATTGTCTGTTGATCGTTGGCGCTGCAAGCGGAGAACGAGTGGAGCTGGCTGGAGCTGGATTCATTCATGGCTGTGTCCCACTGGGACCTTTCCTCATTCACCTTTCACCCACTGCATCATCCGAGCACTGGGGCTGCTCACCTCATTATGAAGGTTGCAGTGGAATTCATTTTCAATGACCTTATAATGGAGATATGATTTCTTTCACCACAGCATACAGATCATACTGTTATTTTTACTTCTTGTCTTTAACTGGACTCATAAATCACAGCATCTAATGAAACAGGAGCTTTCTGGTCGTGCTGTTTTAGCTTTCCAGGCAGCATATCAGAGGTTTCAACACCAGCTTATGTTTTTTATCACAGCTTTCAGGTATGTTAAATAGGTGCACACTCCTCTCCCACACTGTGTGAATAACTCACCCCATCCCCCTGCTGCTCTGTAGAGACCATTATAAAAAGAGAACCTCTCGTGTTTTCATCACGACACAGATTTCTGTCAGATGCTCCACATTTCGTACTTTTAAACGCCTCAAAGCGGGGATGCACAGTGATCCTGTTTGCACGAAACAAAAACAAACACGGATGGATTGCGAGTGATCCATCTTTCAAATGTCAGGTGCTCTTTCATCCCACGTATTCTTGTCTGAATATTTCCCGATCATTTGGTCCACTTTCCTCTTGCTGCGCTCAATATATGCAGAGGTTTTCTTCACATGCTGTCATGCAGCTGTTTGATGTCTGAATCAGAGTCTCACCGCAGCGTGAGGACACTGAAATTCTAAGGCACCTGTTTTTCTGTCATACGTCCCTGTATATGCTGTTCACACCTTTATAAACAGACATTTTTCTATTAATATTCTGAAGGTGAGGACGCGATATGTTCATGATTCATTAATAATGCATCACCGATTTAGGCTGGCAACTCTGCTTTGAACGTAGGCTGCAGGGAACCCCCTTGCTCTATCTGACAGCTCAATACTGATGCCTGCAGCACGAAAATCATCTTTCTATCAGATATTTTTAGTGATATTTAGACAACTTAGAACCAAATCCAAAACAGGTTTGTGCTAAATATTGAACTAAGTCTTTCCATAATCGAGAGCTGAGAGCTGTTTTCAGTCGAAAGCGTAAAATGATTCAAAAAAGATGTTGATTTTTTTCCACACTTACTGAATAACTCAATCTGAGTCCAGTCCTGCAGAGTCACTGGAACATCCCGGTCATCGGGCGTAACTCATTACATCCCTCAGCCTTCATTTGAACATAGTCAGATTGTATCCCAGGGCTGAGAGCATGTTGTTAAAGCGAGGTCAGTCAGTGTCGTAACTCAAAACAGCCTCTCCCAGCTGCTGAACTGGGGTTCACCCTCCCTCCTGCGTGGCCTCCCCATTGAGACCAGTGTGATTGTTGGACACGAGCCCAACTATTACCATACACACTGAGAGCTTTCTCATGCTCTTTTCTATCTCCCCATCCATCTCTCTGCCTCTCTCTCTCTCTCTCTTACTTCCACATAAACACACATCAAAAACACAAAAACACAGGCCCTGCCCATCACCATTGGGGAGCAGCAGAAAAGTGAAAGATCGCAATAGACAAAGGAAGAGGGTTGTCTGCCGAGAGGAGAAAGAGAAATGTGGGTGGAGAGCTTTTGTTAAGAAGAGGGATGATTTTCTTCTGCTATATGTACACGGCCTTTACCTTACTTGGTCATCAGGCAGCTTTGCTTGAGCAGCAACTCTGAGCCCAACATAAACCAGCAGCTGGGAGAGCTTCGGAAAAGGGCACAGACGGAGTAACTTTAGCAGTGAGAGAATGAACTTTTCCGTGGCTTTTCTGTGGAAAGTGAAGGATGTGGGGTGTAATTTGTGGTCGAGCAGGGAGTAAGCACAGACTGTACTTTTTGTGGCTCTTTTTAAGGGAGTTGTTGCTTCTTTTTTTTCTCTTCTTCTTCTCAAAAGAGACTCCGTTGAAACTTCCTCTTAGTGCCATGTGCATTTTTTTCAAACATGTCCGATGCCTCGAGTGATGTCACTGGCGTGTGGAATGCGATGTGGAAGTACTGCATATCCAGCCGGACTATAAGGTAGGAGAGCATCTGGCACTTTAGCAGTGTGGCCTGCAGTGTAAGTAGTGGTTGTCTTTCAGACTGACCACAGCAGATATTTCTGACGTCGGACTGATGGAATAACATTCCTGCCTATATGCTCCAGCCTGGTGGTTTCCTTTTTGCAAAACCATGGAAATATATTATCACAGCTGAAAAAGGGCAGAAAGTGAAACGCAAAGACGTTTCCAAGGTCTTTCTAAGCAGTCTTTGCTTTATCCAGAACGTGTCTCTGATAATAAAGACTTAAGAATAATCTGACACTTAAGCCGTGTTATCACGTAACTTTGTTCAACCACAGAGGTGTACAGGAAGAAAGTCCTCTGACATGTGCGATTTAAATCAGCCTCTGAATGAGCACAGAAACCTACAGATTAGCATTATTCATAAAGCAGATTTTCTTCTTTCCTCTTATTATTCTCGAGCGATGGAGCCGTTCTATTTATGCAGCAGTTTTGTATTATCTATTGCACTTTGTGCTACATTCAACCTGTGGTTATAATTATGTAGCCTGCAGGGTAAAGTACTTATCTCAAAACATAGCAGGCTCTGCAAAGAGTCTCATGTATGTTTGCTGTGTTATTATTCTTGCAGTTGTTGTTTTGTTAGTTGTTTGTCATTTATCTGATTTTGGGGGTGGTAGCAGCTCAAACCAAGGGAGCTCAGGAAATGAAGAGTCACCAGTTCAAGTCCCAGTAGGACTGAGCGATAAACAGAAAATTTACTGAAACCAAAATTTACGACAATAACCAATGTCATTTTGCCCATATTGGTATATCCGGTGCCAAAAAACTAAATAAATAAAAGTTTGTTTTGGATGTTTGTAGGCAGGCTATGGTCTCATGTCCCTTTAAAACACTGTCCTATGTCAGAGACGTAACTCCACCCCATCCAGAAGTAGACAAAGTTAATGTGGGAGGGGATGAGTAGTTATCGTCCATTTATCGTTATCGAGGTGAACTGCTAACTGTATCGTGATATTGATTTGTGGCCATATTGCCCAGCCCAAATGCTGCGTTCGAGTTACCTCGGAAGTCAGATGTCTGAGCTGGGAATGACGTCACACCCGAGTTACCAGCGTTTCAGTTACCAAGTCAGAAAAAGCAAAATTGGAGGCGGAAACAAGATGGCTACATCTACGAAAGTTATTTTAGTGCTTGCCTTGTCGTTGCTTATACTCAGACAAGGCAAGTGCAAAAACAATTTTTGTAGCCATCTTGTTTCCACCTCCAATTATACTTTCTTACGACTTGGTAACTGAAATGCTGGTAACTCGGGCGTGACGTTATTCCCAGCTTGGACTTCTGACTTCTGAGGTCACTCGAACGCAGCATAAGTCCCAGTATAGGTGTAAAAGTTTGGAGTGATTACTTGGGAGTGAGTTTTCTGTCTGTATACTGTTGTTTAGGTGCCCTTGAGAAAAGCAAAGAACCCCCACTTACTCAGGACATTGTCTGCATTTGGTTCCCTGCGCCGTCTCATCACTTTTCTTAAAAGTCATGCAGCTTTGTGTAAGCTGTGATCGATTTCGCTGTCTTGTACCATCTTTGCTTTAACTACAGACAAAAAAAAAAGTAGAACTACATTAAAAAGATTGTCGCCTCCTCTTATTCCATTACTATGATTGATACCAGAGATGATGAAGTCCGACAGGTCTCTGAGATCAATGGGCTCGACTCAACCTGCTATGACAGATAATTGATGACCCATAAAATCAAGTCATTTAAGTTCATAACAGCTACCAATTATTTTCCTGTCAGAGGTCTGTGATATAAAAGCTTTTGCTTTAATAGTCACAACTATGAGTGTTTAAAGCATCTTGACGCAAGAAATATCTCGGTAGTTTCATTAAAGTGATTTTACATCGTAAGAGTTGTGTTAGATTTGAGATTAAAGAGTGATTTTTAATCTGAAAAATTAAGTAGAACCAGCTCAGTTACCTTAAGCAAGGCGATTCACAGCTGAGAGAGGGATCCTGTAGCAAAGACACAGTAGACATCAGCGTACATCTGATCTGTGTTGGAGAGGACGACGAGAGCATTACTTATTTAATGAGAGTGGATATGGAGCTTGTCACTCGTTCCTGGTCCCACAGTGGATTTCCATGTGATGGAGTAAAGAAGGGAAGTTCTTGGATGCTCAACTTTTGACTGAACTGCTTCATAAGAGGTAAAAGGCTTATGTGGGCCCCCTGCTTTGCGCCAGCTTTATGACGTGATTTATTTATTCATTTTTTTTTTCTTTTTTGGGAAGAGGGGGTTTGAGGGGAACTATTTGTAATGGAAAATGGAAAAGGAACATCCTGCCAAAGCGAGCTTGCATTTCCACTGTGGTGAGAGAAAAAATACTCTCTAGGGTGGAAAAGCTTAGACGTGTCTCGGATGGAAGGCGTTTTCTGGTCAGAAATGTCAGGATGGAGGAAATATAGAAAGGCCGTGATGGTTTGTTCTCATGATGTTGTTAGCTGGAGGGAGAGTGCATCGTTTTTCTCTTGTTTGCAGATTTGCCCCTGTGTTGATTTAATTTGTGGTAATGTTAATTTTATGACTGGAATCACTCAAATCAGAATAAAGGTGTTCATGCACATTCAGGTTGTTTTTGCACACCTGCTTGGAGACTGTATTCCTGCACTCACCCTTGTCCAATTGCTCATCCAGTGGAAAATAGGTTTACAGTTGCAGCAACTTGTGTCCTCTGCTTGCTGACACGCTCTGGCCTCCACAGTGGGGTGCTTCATTATGGATGTTCTTTTTTTAATAGTGTCCATGACCAGAAGACAAGCTGAAAAACTCATTTGCGTGTCTTTTAACTCGGCTTTCAAGCTCTCTTTATGCACTGGCTTTTTCTGATCTGTGCTAAGGTTGCAGCCGGTGTCCACGCCGCTGAATAATTTACATCTGCGTCTCTCTCCCAGAGGGACATCAGCATTGTGTGGGCAGATAGGCTTTTTCTCCTTTTTTTGAATTAGCTTTGAGAAAACAGTTTGTTATAATAGCTTTGTGTGCTGGAAAGGGCATTTGATTCTGACAGTAACAAATGGGCTAATGTGACGTGGCCGTAAGGGGAAAGCTTGAGAATAGTCTCACAGGTTTCTCACTTCTTATTGCTGGAGGGCCAGAGCATTGAAGAAGAATGTGTCGGAGAACATCGCTCCTGCTGCCGTGTGTGAACTGCTCCTGTTTAGCAGTACAGCTTTTGAAATGCTAATCAGAAGAAGAAGAAGAAGAAGAAGAAGGCGGTTTACCATGATGCTGGAGACTGCTATGCTCCAGTGAGGACGCTTTTCATGTTCAAGGAGTTTGCTGATGAGAAATGTGCACTGACGGTAACTTCAGTGTTGTCACGTTCTCGTCATATTGTCTTATTTCGTTGAAGCTGACTTTGAGATCATTGCAGGGCCATCACATGTCTTGCCTCGGCCTCTGCCCTGCTTTGTAAGCAGACATGAACTCCAGCTCAAAGGGAAACACAGACTGTGTCTCTTTCTGTCTCTGTTTCACTTTTATTCTACTTTTGTTGACATGTACCCTTTGCATCCCTTCACAGTGCCTGCCAGGAGAAGAATGAGGGTGTGTGCTGCATTAACTTATGTAATGGTGAGCCAGAGGAGAAGAGAGGAGGGGAGGAATGAAGAGGGGGGGATGTTGAAGGAGGAGGAGGGGGGGGGGAAGAGTGATGAGCTCATGCTGCTGCACTGCAGCTCTGCACCTTGTGGACTTCATGCCATGTGCACCCTACATATGCACGCTTGCAAATGCATGCTCATGTTTCATGTGCAGTGATTGGTTAATCATAAAAAAATAGAAATGCTGCAAAATCGCTCTTAAATATAAGCTGATAGCTGCAAAGTGACAACAAATGTACAGTCCGTGTCTTTCTGCTCATGAATGGGAGTTAGCGTGTACACTCTGTCCTTTTCACTGTACCTCTGCAGACCCAGAGAGCCGATGTTCAGGTGTGAACAAGCTAATCCACCACAGCTTATGATGGTATAAGTGCAGCTAATCCACCAACTCTTTCCTGTGACAAATCAAAGCCTCATTATCTCTACTGTGTTTGATTCCTGTCACAAATGAGCGAGGTGGGGAAGGGTCAGGGAAAAAGGAGGGAGTAGATAATGGTACAACGGTGAATCTACTCTATAAAACAGAGCGGTCCCTTTGGGGCCTTTCGGCTCCGCCACAGCCTGGCATGAATATGTGAATAAATGGATGAAATACTGCTCTGGGCAAAGGACTAAACAGGATCGTCCAAGACTCTTAATGCTGATTTCACAAGAGCAGGATCATTTGTAACACAGCTGGGAGAGGGGATGTAAATTGCTGGCATGCTCCGACGCTACATTAATAGCGCTTGATTAAAGGCAGAATAAAAAGAAAACACATAAACTAATATTTGATCATGATCAGAATGATTTTACATTCCTTGTGTGGGCTGTGACTTGATAAACCGGCACATCCCTGCATGAGGGTGAAATAACGATGCTGGCAGGGAGGCTGGGACTGTAAACAGTCATTAAAGTTAAATGTTTATCCCAATTTGACTAATTGCCCTGAGCTGTGTGTAACTGCATGCCTCCACACGCACACATAATAAACACACACAGACACATCTTCAAACGATTCGTCGGACACTGATTTTTTTTTTTTTCATTAGCCTTTGCTGTTGCCTTGACAACTGGCCTTAGAGATCGGTGCACGTGCAATGCAATTGTGATAAATCCTTCTTTCAATCTATGAGGCGGTGTCCGCAGAGACACAGCTAATGTGTATCACTCAGGTTCCTGCAGTCACATGACCAAGCTTCATCATTCACAGATATACAATCGTCTGTATTGATTTTGTTTTTATTTTGACTGCATTTAATTTGACATGAATGAGTGGTGCATGGGAGTTGAATTATTGATATATCACAGTTATTATTAGCATGATTACAGTCAGTGGGGATGTGTGGGTTTTCTAACTAGTGTAGGTGTCAGGGCTTGCAACACAGACTGGCACTTCCTCTCAAATTAATGGCCACTCAAGCCTGGAAATGAAGAGTCATTTCTGACAAATGAGACAAAGAGATCAAATCCGTCTCCTCATACAGATCCTCGAATGTCCTCCCGCAGCCCAAATGAGCTCCCATGGGAACCGCAGAGCAAAGTTTTTCTCCATATCTATCTGCAGTCCTTCTCTGCTTCCTTTTCCCTTGCACATTTTGACAGAAACCCTCCCACTGCTGCTCCACTTTACATTAAACTCTCTTTCTTACCCCCTTTTGATAAAACCGAGAGAGAGTCTTTTGATCATTCATACATCCCTGACCCCTTCATGAGGCTGAGCGGCGTCCACTGTGCACCAGCTCCATCTGTTGGTGGAGGGACGTCAGAGCAGCTGACAGCCTCAAGGTCTCAGAAAATCTCCTGTGACTACTTGATATTGGTCTTGTGTTAATCTCCCCTCCCACTGTGTGGATAGTCTGACTGCTTTTATCAGGAAGAAACAGACAAAGTAACTCTGCAAAGTTGTGACCGCTCATTCAAATGATTCAGGATTTCTGCTGCGAGGAAGTCAAGGGCAGAGAGCTAAGTAATTAAACAATGGGAGATATTTTGAAGTTGAATAAATGAGCAGGCCTTAATGCGAGCTGTGAGCCGCCGGTGAGTGGAGTGAAGACAAATGGAGGCAGATGGGGGCTCTTGCCTCGTCTGGAGTCCCACAGAGGATGCTGCAGCCTTCTAGCCTGTTTCCCTGGCTGCTCTCCCAGATAGATGCTGCTAGATTTACTGCCAAGGTTTACTTAACAGGTCTGATATAATAATGAAAATACCAGGGAGGAAAGTAGTATTTTATTTGTGGTGGAATGACTCACAAATTTGTAATTTCTGCTCTGAATTATTCACTTAAAATACTAATGGGATAAAGAGATAGTTTTATTTGTATCTCAGTGTTTGGAGGAATCTGCAATTTCTCTGAGGTTTTGACTCCCAGAGGAAACAGGAAATAGCTGAGGTAGATGATTCCTGAAGTTTGACCAAATGAGATTTGAAATCAGCTTTTTCTTTGGCTACGATGACGTGACCTGTTACCTAACCACATTTTGGGATTTTTGCTCCGCCTGTCTGAGGATGTGTTCTGGATGAGAGCTCAGATTCTCCCTTCGGCACCGCCATGTGTCCTAAAGAGAGAGTGAGAACGAGGAAACAATCCCACTCACCATTCGGTGACCTTGCAGAGCCGCAACATGCAGACATGTCCCCACTAAACCCCAGACATCAACACAGCAGCTGAGTAAATGAACACAGACTGGGGTAGAGGCATGTTTGGGGGTGTGTGTGAGGAGAGGACAGCTGATGCTGGAAAAAGACACAGAGAGAGGGAGGGAGACAGACGGATGAAAGAAAAGGAAAAGATTCAAAGAAAGAGTGCGGCTGTGAGGCATGCAGCAGAGGGAGGTGGAGAGGGTGGGGGCGCTCTGCGTGAGGAGATCCTCCTCTTTTCATTGACGTTTAGGGGAATGTGCTGATTAGAGGAGAGTAAATCAGTCAGGGGTTGGAGGTTCCCGGTCTGAGCTGCCTGTTAGAGTTAGCGTAGCTTTCTGCTAAGATCGGTCACCTTCTCTGCGTGAGGAGACCCAGAGATTTGTCATCCCAGCCCAGCGCTCTTTTTTTTTTTTTATATATAGTGTAAAAGACGGCAGGAGACAAATGTGTGGAGGTAGGTGGGTTTGTGGTATGTGGTATATATAAGTGTGTGAACATGTGTGTGTGCTGTCTCTGGCTGTGAAGTGCAGGTGCATATAGATTTTGTAGCAGGAATAGCGACTGTTTGTATTGTCTGCAGTTCCTTGCAATGATAATTCACTTTAAAGTAGCCATTTAATTGATTACCTATGATTTAAATGATTGTTTTTGTCATTTATCAAGCTTGAATTTGTCTGTTTTCAGTATTGTATATTTAAAGATTTGAAGTCAGTAAAAATTTTACACCTATTGATTTTCAGACTCAGAAAATGTCACTTTTTTGCTAATTGAAATGCAGATGAATGATTCTTACTCTGTTTCCTGACATCTTTTAGCCTGAGGAAATACTTCATTTCTCCATCCAATAAGCCAAAATTAAAGAACTAGTAATTTGCTGCTATTTTTAAAAGATAAATAAAATAAAAGACATGAATGTGTGAGCGTGTTTGTATGGAAAGTGTGTATTGTTGAGCTGTTACTGCTCGTACTCAGGGGTGCCAATGCCTGATGTCACTGTCATGCTGCTGCACAGTCCAGGAGGGGGGAGAGAGTTGTTTGTGTAAATTTTCTCCTATTTATATTCAAAATGCAACTTAGTGAAGATACAAGCACATTGATGTGATGCACTAGCTATAATATAAACCTCAGAACATTTGTTTTTTAGGCCTTTTGATCCAGTGTCGCTTGCCTTTGATCTGGTCAAGTCCTCCCCCATTTCCATCCAATCATCTTTCAGCCTCACATTCCTCCTTATTGTTCTGCTCACGTCAAGCATCCTGTTGACATCTCTCCAGTGAGACCTATAGCAGGACCTCTGCCGATCTGTTTTCTCTCCGGTTCTCCATGAACAGAGCTTCCCATCCAGACCTGCTCTCATTAGACCTGTTAACAGAAGAGATGGCTTAGTGAGGACATCATTAAAGCCTATTAGATGCACAGAGCGTGAGACGGCTTCTCCCTCCTCATCAACCATGCAATACATGAGAATACAGAGCTGCACTGTCCTCAATGCATTGCACTGTTTTTTTGTGTTCATCACGTGCAATGTACCCCTTCATCTCTGTCCATTTGTACCACCACCGCCCCATCTCCTCTTCCTCTACTCTCTGTTTACTCTCCATCCTCTCACATCTACTGTTATCTTGTTGTCCTTGTGCTAAATTGTTTGCAGTTCAGCAAATAAAAGGCAGAATTCCCCTCTGGGATCATTAGGGCAAATGTGCAGCAGCTTTGAACCTCAATAGGTTTTTCATTACAGAGAAATCCTCGGTGTTTCATCATTAGATGCAAAGTAAACGTTAAAAAAAAAAAAACGGTGAACCAGCTTCTTTTGCTGCGCTCATTATTTTCTGAAAGCGGAGGAAAAGTCGAAGAGAATCATCAGATTACACGAGGACGAGGATCTCATCCTGTTATCAGGGCTGGTTTGAGGATGTCCAAGTGTTGCTGACTCACCATGTCCCTATCAGTTAAACTGCTCCTCCCAGCTGTCACTCCAAATACTTTAAAGTAAGCTCTACAATTTAGTGTTTAAGAGTTTAAGTCTGGCCTAATTTACCTTATTGACAGAGTAGACTTGTTGGACAGCTTGGATAAGGATGCATTTGGATGGCTGACAAATGCTGACTGGCTCGTGACTGTTTAATATATGAACTGTACATCAGAAAACCTTACAGAGTCTGCTTTTATAGAGCGATTCTAGCTAAGTAACTCCTGCTGCCAGGAAGGAGGGCAGCAGCTTTCCATGAATCACAGACCCAAAACTGCACATGCTTATATTTAGTGTGCAATTTTTTTATATTTTGATGGCAACAAAAGTTGGAGGCAACTATTTACATTATGCAAAGAGTGGGCTACAAAAAGATGTAGATTATACTTCCTAAAATTTCATGGAATGCTATCATTTAATAGGCTCTATGCACAGCTCCACTACTTTCTGAACGTATGGCAGCTCCTTCATTTTCTGTGTTACATTAATGGACAAACAGATTAACCCAGGTGTGACTGGTCATCGCGGCTAATCAGACACACCTAGGTTAATCAAACTGATTAACCCAGGTGTGACTGGTCATCGCGACTAATCAGACACACCTGGGTTAATCAGTTTGATTAACCCAGGTGTCTCTGATCATCAGTTTGTCCAATAATGTAAGACAGGAAATAAAGGTGCTGCCTTAAGTTCAGGGAGTAGTGGATTAGTGCATAGAGCCCATTAGGATGCTGCTTTAGTATTTTCCATATACTGTTGGGTGACTGGGGTACCTGATCGTTTTCTTAAAAACTAGAAATATGAGATTTTTTTGATAAACTTTGGCGTTTGACTCCAAAATGGAAGTAGCGACTGCAGTCAAGTGAATGGATCAAATCACATGTAAGTTATGCCACCAGGTTTCTTAAGCTGCCTTTTGTATCTAATTTCAGACTTGGTCATCAAATTCAAAACTGCAGGTGTGGGAAAAACTTAATGATCTGAAGTCGACTAGATGTGTATCGTAAAAATATGTCAGACTTTTTTCCCCCAAAGACAAATATTCCTATTCTGCCAAACTGTTATAAAAAAAATATAAAAAAATTGAACCCAAGTGAACTTCTGAATTCGAGAAGTGTGCATATACTGTGGAAACAGCTCCAGGAAATAGACCCCACCAAAAGAGAAAACATTCCCATCCAGGGATGTTGATTTAAATGTCAGTCATAGATTAACACAAGGGTGTGAGAATATTTCTCTGCTGATACAGCCCACTGCTTTTGATAGGGACCTGAGGCTGTTAGGAAGTCCAGTTGATTAAAGTGAGTGTCCATTTTTAATCAAGAGCGCCTCAAACCGGCGAGGAAAAACTACTTCAGTCTCCTTCTTTCCTGCCTTGATTTTACAGGCTAATTTGAAGGATTCCAGGAAATATGAGACAGAAAAACATCCCTTGCCCTTTAAGATTTCCTCATGTGAGTCATAGAAAACCAAGAATCTGTCAGGCTCTAGTGGAAAACCAGAGCAGGCAGAAGTATTAGAAACCTTTGTCATTTCCTCTGCTAACTTCTGTAAAACCTGACATATTCCTACAAAAGGTTATACTACATATGATCTGCATAAAAGGCCGGTTTTTGAACCTGCTCCTCCAGGCTAGGACAGAGGCCTCTTATAAGTAATTGAGGGTGTTCATATCGATTTCACCCTGCAGCCTGCAGAGACCTCAGCCGTGCTCTCAGTCAATAAAACTGTAAGCTTTATGGAGCGTACATCAAACCTCCAAGGATACAGCCAAGGCAGCAGACTGATTTACTTTACATTTGAAACCCATTCCTCTGTAATGACAGGAATTTGTCTTTATTTCTTATTCCCAGAATCCCCTATATAGGCTGAGTGTCCTGCAAAGCTTTGTGTTAATGTTGATGTATGGCATAGGTTCATCGCTGTTGAGATTTTGTCGTTATAGAGTCGCCATGTGTGCTAGAAAGCATCCAATAAGCTCTTTGGTTGTGTACGAAACAACATTAGCCGCTGTCAGGTAGTTTGTCATGGAGATGGTGGATTAATCTACATGGGCCTCTTTACTTGTAAACATCTTGGCGCTGTTTCAAGTAGAGGTCACGAGAGGCACTGAGAGAATTGAAACAATAAAGCTGCTGCCGTGTAAGCATCCTCCAGGGGTTGTTATGATGTATTTGGGCCCTGCTTGTTATTCCCTGACTGTCTCTGTCACTCTGTAAAAGCCGGGCTTCACGTCGCAGTCAGGCCCGCATGAATGTGGAAACGTAAGATCTGCTGACTCGCACACACCAGGTCTTGTGGAAACGTGGTATGAATGGAACTTGCACACTCAGGATATCTTGTTCCACTGGAATATGTCAACATGAATCCATTCCTCAGCACAAAAGGTTTCCTCAGCTTCCTTTTTTTTTACACTCCCTAGCAGAAAGGAACGCAGATCGAGGACGGCTGTTTTATCTCAGAGCTTTTGTTCCAGGATTGATTGCTTCCTGGTTGTAGAAGAAGAAAAACTGACCAATTACTAATTGCTTCTCTCCTTTTTTTAAATATTTCTTTGCACAGCTTTTGGCTCACTTTCCAGCCTGTCATCACCCTGACATGCATGTCAATTAAAGACATAATCAAGAGGGACAAACTCATTAATTATTTGTATTTTAATTCAGCTCTCATTGTTGATGCTCTTTCAACTCTGGCTTCAGATGAATATTTAAAACTCCTGATCAGGTGTTCATTGCGGTCAGGCTAAGCCCTTATCACCTGTAAATGGATCCGTTGAGTTTTGTCATGTTCGTTCTTTGAAGAAGAGGTTGTTTTCTGCTTGGATGTGCAGAGTTTTTGAAAAAGATAAGAGAAAAGAAAGTCAGGATTTCCTTTGACAAACAGGATCCTGACGCAGCACTTTCACATTTTTACTGACTTGCCATTTAAACCTCTTTGTCCTCAAGAGGCTTAATTAAAACAAGAAGTTATAAACATGTGGGCGTCCATCAACTTCCAGTGTTGAAAAATGAAACTAATGTGTATGTGTGATTATCCGCAGTTCCTCAGTTGTCCACTTGGGCTCCAAAAGCAACAATAATCCCATTAAGCCCCATATAAAAACGCCTGTCTTTATCATTAAATTAATCATGTTTACAGCATGGCACAAAAACTTATGTTAGTCTCTGAGCTTTTAAGTAGGTATTTCAGTATTTAAATTAAAGATAATGAACCTTAAAGGGATATTCAGGCGTAAAATCCATTTAGGGTCAAACACACCGTAACACCGAATTAGACTCCCCGACAAGATATGAATGTTGCTGACTGCTTGCTTCTCTAGTTATACCAACTTCAGTAACGACCGCAGAATAGCAATACACAGTGGTCTAAGAAGCCAAGCACAAACATCAACCAAAACGCCACTCTATAGCCACAAATAATGCTCAGAACAGCACCTTACTTTATCAACAGTACATATAGGGTCCCAGCCATAGCACTAGCCACCAAACATCTTTTTAGCTTTGCCTAATTTCTTTAGCAAAGAGACTAAACACAACTTACCCACTGAGGGGTGACGCAGCTAAAGGAAGAACATTTATGATCATTAATTTATCATTTCCTTGAAGTAATAATCACCATATTAATCATTTTGCACTAGTTCTTCTGCCTTAGTGTCTTGGTCTGATTGCATTTCCATGAGGAAATGATCATAAATGTTCTTCCTTGAGCTGCGTCACCCCGCTGCAGTTGGTAATGGACTTGTCCAAGGTCTCCATAAAAACAAGCGGCGAGTGGGTGAGTGGTGTTTAGTCTCTTTGCTTAAGAAATCAGGCAAAGGTAATAAGATGTTTGGTGGCTAGTACTATGGCTGGGACCCTATTTATTGCTATCTTTGGTCGTTACTAAAGTTGGTATAACTAGAGAAGCAAGCGGTCGGCAACATTCATCTCTCAACGGGGTGTCTAACTCTGTGTTATGGTGTGTTTGACCCTAACTTAATTTTACATTTGAATATCCCTTTAAGGTGATTGGTACAGCTAATCATGACACTCAAAGCTGTATTTCCTCATCCACATCTGTATTCAGTCCTTCATTTTCAGGCACTTTCTCCAAAAAACATTGTTTTCATGAATGATTCTATGCCTGTCAGCCTAATGAGGGCCATCAAGATGAAATATGTTTTTTACGCGCAGCTCCAAGCAAAGCAGAATCTGAAAGAAAAATGTTTATGAGCTTTGGGTTACGACTTTGGTTTGCGGGTCTCAACAAGAAAACAACAAATATATTCTGGCCGAGTCTGACATATTAACGCACCATGGGCCACTAAAGGCTGCCTCTGTTGTTTGGCGACTATGTTTCCCCTCAATCAAAGGCTGGAAAAGTGCGATGGAACAGATTTGAGAAAGGCCGTCTTTATGAGAAGAGCACACACAAACAATAGGCTGTGCCAGCGTAGACAGCCAGTCAGGGAGGAGCTCCTTCAGGCTCAATAGTCGTAGTGTCTGTGCCGTGGGACGGTTCTGCCAGCGAAGGGCAGCAGAGCAAGGTAGAAGGTAGGTGAGGTACTGACTGTAGAGTTAAGAGCATGAGAGCATGATAAAGTCTGCTAAAGCGATCAGACAGCTGCATGTGGAGAGGTGAGTAGTGCTGAAATATAAGCCATCAGAGTCTGAGTATTACAGGAATGTAGACGTTTTCATCTGTAATTTTATTTTCAGTCTTAATCCTGTATCTGTGTTACAAATTAAGTACCAGGATGCACTTCTATTGTACCTTTAAGTATGCATCAACAGTTTATTCCCAATCACAAAGTTAATGAGCAAACATCAATTCAAAACCCTCTTGGCATGTCAATTTGTGAACCACCACAGGCGCCTTTGTGCCACAATCAGCCCTTGAAAGCAGAACATTATTTCATGCTCGACTGCTAATGAAATCTTGTGACTGACTTAAATGATGAAGCAACACAACACGAGCATCAGCTGTTTATCTGATCACCGATGCAGGCAGCGATGAATGGGATCTGATTGAAACAGCAGTTATTAACATTGTGAGCCTTGCACTCAATTTACCCAGTTCAGTGATGTCATTGAGCTCACGGCTCCAGATTGATTGCTTTGCCAGGCGCATACACACGTGCAAACACACACACACACCACAAACGCATATAATCACTTTAAGGAACATGTCTGGATTTATAAAAAGGCAAAGAGAAATCCTCTAGGTTTATGCTCCTGGATGGTTCCTGGAAATAAGTTCTGGAAACGGGACAACAAGAGAGACGTGATTTGAAGAGTTTTTGGCCTCGGAGTCAGTATGATGATTGATTAGCCACAGTGGTGCTGTTAGACTGGGAGACAGATGCTTTATGAGAGTTGTTGGTTTATAAATGAATGAAAATTTTGGAAACATTTGTACCACCTACGTGTTTTAACATTTAAAAGTTTATTTTTTCTGTTTAGTGGTTTGGAAAAATAGTTTACTGAAAATTAAACGTCTAATTGTGTACTTACTGCATCACATTTCCATCCCTAGGGCTGCTAAATAAATTATGTGCATATTTTGCCAGGTGGATGTGTACCTTTATATTATGTTCTTTACACCATTTTGATGCTGTCAGAAGGAGCCAAAAATAGATTTTAGTCATGCCAAGAACAGTTTAAGGGTGAAAATTTAGGAGGAGCATGTTGTGAACAAAGATATCATGCCGGTTTTTAGGTTCATGCCGGTTTAGGAAATCTCTCTGCATTAACTTTCTGCCAGTCTGGCTGCTTTGTTTCCAATGATGGTGTAATGTCTTGGTAAAAAGCTCTCAACCTTTGTGTGTGTAGTGGTAGCTTGTGGCAGTTGTGTATTGTTTCCTCCAAAAGAGAGCTTGCAGAGACCTGGGGCATGGCCGCAGGCTTGGCTGAGAGTCTCTCAGCTGGGTACTTAAAAACCTTTTGTCTGTTCGTTCACACTGAAACATGTTTTAAACGTAAAATGCCACCCTGATAGCCTAATTTAATACAAATCCAAGTGTTGTTTGTCTTTAACTGTCACTTTTACCCTACTGTAGTTAAAAAACAGCAGCATCTCGTCTCATAAATTGTGAGAAACCTGTGGATAAAAGCGCATTTTGATTGAAAGTATATTTCACTGTAATTGTTTGATTCCCAGATTGAGATACTGAGAAGAGTTGCATTACACTGTAGATGGGTCCTTAAAGCTCCCGTGAGGAAGCTTTAAGCTTTAAGCCTTTTAAGTGTGGCCAGTCTAAGGCACAGGTGTGCATCCACCTCACAGGTGTGGCATATCAAGATGCTGATTAGACAGCATCTTGATATGCCACACCTGTGCAATAATCATGCTGTCTAATCAGCATCTTGATATGCCACACCTGTGAGGTGGATGGATCATCTCAGCAAAGGAGAAGTGTTCACTAACACAGATTTAGACAAATTTATCAACAATATTTGAGAGAAATAGGTCTTTTGTGTACACAGAAAAAGTCTTAGATCTTTGAGTTAGCTCATGAGAAATGGGAGCAAAAAAAAAGTGTTGCGTTTATATTTTATGTTCTGTATCGTCCTCTTTTACCTGGACATGTCCTCTTTTTGGGGTACTGTCCAGGCTGTCCAGACTTGTCCAGCTTTGTCTGGGGAAGTTTATAAAATCCTTCAAATGTCTGCGGTTTTGTACAAGAGTTTCAATTTTTTGTTGCGTGGACTTACTGATTAGAAGCGCATAAAAGACACTCGATCCAACCCGAAAACCCCTCAAAATTAACTTAATGCGACTCTGTTACTCCAACCCTGCATAGCCGTGTCCTCTTTTTGGGAAGTCAGAATATGATCACCCTACTGTATGTTATTTTTAGTGAATATTTTACCAAGTTTTTTCTTCAGCTACTAAGCTGACACCTACCCTATTTAGTCTATTTCATAAACACTGAAAAACTCCCTACAGTAGCTTTAAAAGGCTGTTTGAAATGTGAAATGGGAGGAATTTCAAACATGCAACTAAAAAATGCAGTCAATGTTGATTAGCTATAGAAAAATTTATCATTTGACTGCTAGATTCTTGTGAAATTATCATACAGTGGAATTTTATTGGTTGCTAACAGTATGCTAGTTTTGATTAATATACTGTCAGCTAACGTCACACTAAGCTCACATCACAAAAGGAAAATGTAGAATAAAATGTACATTATATAGCATGAAAAATGCAGCTTTTTCGAGCGTTTGGATAAATTTTGCATATGTAGATGATTGATGTGACAGATGCAGAAAATATTCATGTCTTACCCCCAGGACTTACTCTGTTAGACTTGAGACAGGTGCGAGGCTGCCACTGCCTTAAATAGATTGTTGCACCAGCCCCTCTTACGAGCCCCATCATCATCTCTCAACCAGAATAGGCTGGTCTTTTTTCACCCCCTGTGCCTCAGCTACCCTCCTGACTGACAGCCATGAAAAACACGTCTGACCTCAGCCGTCCCGGTGACATCACTGCCACATGTCCTCCTCGAGGCTTGCTTTACTTGTTCATGTGAGCTTGTCGTGTCATGTGTAACCAGTGGGTGGCACTGTCACTCTTAATGCCTGCTGTTAAGTCAGTCTCAGGCCTGTTTATTGGCTCGTGACCACCATGAGTATTTATATTTGCAGTGGCCTTTGTCACATTTACAGTCTTGGTTGCGCTGACCCTAAAAGTTCACAGTCATTAAAAAAAACCACACATACATCGATCTGCAACAAAGGAGCAGAAAATTAGAAGAAATCAACCGAGCATTTAGTGGCTGCTCCTTTGTGTTTCTTCCTCTTGTTCTCTGCAGCATTGTTCATCTCCCTCGCACAGTGTTTACCAGAGTGTGTCACCTCACATGGGTCTATTTTTAGCAGGGGGAGAATTGTGCTGTACAGTGTTTCTGCGCTGGGTGGGGCGACAGCAAAGAGCTTCAAAGAAAGAGGCTCCTCCGATATGGAGTTTCTCTGAAAGGAAAATGCTGTATGTGGACAAGCAGAGCCAGCTTCTAATAACAGCACGCAGAATATGACCTCTGTCTACCTTTTAATAGTGAAAGAAGACTGGAGTGAAAGAGAGCTTGCACATGCTTTCAATCAGCTTGAAAGGTCTGTATTTACCTTGGTTGCATCAAATGTATATGTTTTGCTTAACTGCCTACACACAGAGAGAAGTGCACAAACATGTGGTTGAGTAGTAAAGCAAAGGTTAGCTTGATTTCAATAGCAAGGGGACCATTTTATCCATGTATTTGTCTGCCTACTCAGTCATTGCCAAGGACAGGTCACCTGAGCCCACATTCAAATCTCAGGGCAATTTTAAGGCTCCTCCCCGCCTGATTTGTGTATGTCTACGAGAAGAAACCAGAGTAAACCCACGTAAACAGAGAGAGAGTGAGAGAACATACAAGAAGGAAGGAGCTACCTCTAACGTCTACTTTGAGCCGGTTTGAAAGAATTTAACATTGAACAAAACAACAAAAGCAGTCATATATTCAAGCTTATGTACCTTAAAGCCACTGTGAGGAGGTCATGAAATAGATAAAAATGAATACTGATGATGCTGAATGACGTGGAAAAGCAAACAGGAATATCAACAACATGATTGATTTTTTTAATATTGTGACTTTTATTCCTGTTACTTCTGTTAGAGGGTACAAGTCAGACCAGGTGATCGACAGAAGTCTAAACAGACAGCTTTAAAGAAATTCACTTTCACAGTGAGTGATATGTTTGACTGTCAGCAACTTAGCTGATTAATTGGCTGTTTTCATACATCAGCATCATATCCGCATCAACCCCCACAAGTTTAACATCAGATTAGTTTTTGCTTAGCTTTGTCCAAAAAGTGACAAAAGCATTTCCAGTGACTCAACTTTTGATATAAGATTGTATAATATAGTTGTGGTGGTTTCCAGAGGAAGTTCTATGTTTCATACCTCTACTCAGACTGTTTAGGACAGCGACCTTTTGTCTTAGTTTGAGATAAGATATTCCTTTATTCGTCCCACAAGGGGAAATTCCAATTTCATCTGAACATTAGCTGAACCCTGTCTTATACTCAGAACACTTCTAGATTTCTGGGGCGCAAGCATGTGTAAAAAACATTTAGCAACTTTGAAATGAAGAGATCTCCTGCAGTTGTAGTCTGTGCTCTGACTCACAGATTGTTTCCATCCAGATTACTAAATGATGTTTGAACAGGAGAAAAGAGAAAAAGCCTATCAGGCATCACTCGCCACTGATGATCTTTGATCGTTCCCTCTGGGTCCCACAGGCAACACATCTGCTGCAGCTTTGCTGCCAGGATGTGATGAGCACAGGCAGCATATCCTTTAATTACTCTCCTTTCAGCTCTATTTATATATTTGCTTCCAGATCCTTCTTATGCACAGAAATTCTTTGTTCCTGAGAAATGTGTTTCTTTTTGTCTCCGGCTTTTTTCCCCCTATACAGAGTCCTTTGTGTTCACAAAGCTAACCCAGGCCACTACATCTCATTTAGTATGCTGTTGTATCAAACTATGACATCAGCCCTTTCTAATTGTTTCCAGACCAGGCAGGGGCCGAGTTTTCTTTTTTATTTTCCATTTCTTCGCGCGGGTCTCAGACGCTCAACATCCAACAAATGCAGATAATGAAAACGGGTGCATGATGTCATGTCGACAGAACATGCAGCACCAAAATCTTGTGACCAAGTTTCCAGGAGGATATCGCTTTCCCCTGTCGTTTCCTTTGCTTTCTTTTCCTCTGCTCTGTCTTTTTTCATCTTCTTTTTTTTTGGTCTTCTGATTGTATTCAGGTACCACATCTGTGGGAATCCACCTGATAAAGGAGTTTGTGTTTATCTGACCTCTGGATGCCTCTTTGGCCTTGGCCCATATGTAAGATATCTTGCTGTTCTTACGCTGAAACAAAAAGGAAGAGGCATGAGAAGGGAGGGTGGAAATATTGAAAAGGGGGGCTGATGGAGTAGGAGCTGAAATGCAGAGAAACCATATGTATTGAGTTGAAGAAATGGCGTTTTATGAGCGGAGAGTGGGCCTCTTGCTTGGAATTCTCAATGACATCATTCTGGAGCAGAGCGCCGTGCAGCCAGGACTCCAGAGATGGAGTGGGCCTTCTCCAGACACAAGACCAGACTGGTTCAGAACAGTAAAGGAGGAGGAGAGATGCAGAGGCAGGCGGACTCGGAGAAATACACTGAATTACTTAGCGTTCGAAAGTTTGTGCGAACTTTTACAGCCCAGTTTATCGGGGATTTCTGTTATTGGATAGTTTCGACACACACTGATAAACCTCCCGTGCCTGGGTTTAAAACAATCGTATCACGCTTGGGCCTCACAAACATCACATGCCTGCCTTCAAAATGAGTCCATGATATTGCTTCATATCTCATTTCCAAACAAATAAACTCTACTTAGCCACTCCCTGTGGTCTGCCAGCAAAACAAAGCCTGCTGTGGGACTAATATCTGATATCATGCACGCATTTCGAAATCTAAATACCTGCCTCTGTCTGAGCCTCTTGGGGGATGAAGAAAAACAAAATAACCAGATAATTGGATGCCACTTTAATTACGGGAACATTTTATTGACCTCTGCTCTTTTTTGTTTGTTTTGTTTGCTGGAACAAACTAATTTCAGTGATTGTGACTTAGCGTGATCAGTCAAATCTGTAAGTTGAGTCAAGTATCTTGGGCTCCAACAGGCAGCTGTAGTCACCAGAGCACAGAGCCAAGGTCCCACACTGAAATAGACCAGTCAGCCGGTTACTGTCAGTCCGCCTTTCTGCACATAATCACTCTGTCTGAGTCAAACGCTCGCAAGTGAGTCAGCACGTATCCCCTGCTGCGATCCAGGACACATGTTCAAATATTCATGCTTTTGCTTCTCGAACTTTGCTTTGTCTGTCTTTTGTTTAAAGCTGGATGAAAACAGTCCGGAGAAGGTGATCATTTCAGGGGTTCAGGCCTGTAATTAGAGGACATCAGCATCTCCCTCCAGAGACTGCTGTGTGCGCAGATGATTGGTGTCCCTGTGAACTGGCTCCATGTGGGAGCCATTCTCTGCTGTTTCCTGTGCCTGTTGTCATTAGATAGAAAATACCTTTGACTTGGGGGTAGTTTACCACAGCCCCCTCTCTCTCAAAGGGGTGATTAGTCTCCAGCCGGTCTTAACAACAGTGTGGAGTCCAGAGATGAGGCACAGTCAGTTTGGGAAATCCTTCTGAGCTGATAATGGTGTCATAAAGTTGGCTGCAAAAACTTAAACAATGCAATTTAAAGTGCAAAAAACAGAGATTTTCCACAGCAGGAAGACACAATCCTCCCTGCTTTTCTCTTTAGTGCACGTCTTAACAGTCACCTCTCAACCCTGAAAGGCTCTATTATTAGTTGCTCTCTTGTTTTTTCCATCTCTTCCCACTTAGTCCTTTTTCCTCTGTGCGAAAAAATAACACTAACAAACGGTGGCTCTGACATTTAGACACTCTAAAACCCTGATTCCTCCCACATCTTCTTTCTTTATGTCAACATCTCCTTAGTCACTGTCATTTTTACCTGACTGTCTGTTCTACACACCTTTGTGCGCTTAACTGAAGCTGTCACTCTCTCTCATTCCCGACCCTCGCTCTCTTTATTTTACGCTCTCACGTCTTCTGATAAAATTATGATTTCCTTTTCCACATCTCCTGCTTTAGGATCACACGTAGGTCCCTTCCTGGTAAAATTATCCAAATGCAGGGGAATTTTCATCCCCTACTCTGTCTTTTTTTTTACCCAGCTACAGAGCCACACACCCCCTCCTCCGCACCCCGCCCCTTTCCATACGTCTCACTCCGGCCCTGGCAGCAAACCCACACTCCCCTGTCTCCCAGCCTCCGCCTCCCCCCCTTCCTTCATACTCATACCAGCCCGGCACACAGAGGACAGAGAGGAAGAAAGAGAAAAAGAGAGAGCTCCATTTGTCAGTCAGGAGATTACAGACTGCCACTTTGCACTGACCATGCACGCCTGACGCACATAGGACGCCGCTTTCACAAGACACAGACATGGGAACGTCTGGAAGGAGGAGAGAGCTGTGCGATAGATAGAGCAGACGGCAGTTTTGAAATGTGTTTCTCTGTCAGGAGGAACATTTGAGCTGCAATGGGGACCCAGTGAGGGGGACTACTAATGTTTGGAGTACATCGTACAGCATGTGGTGTTTGCAGTGTAATTCAGAGAAGACCCAGTCCCTGCTGGAGCTGGAGCTGAATGGGTGGTAAGAGTAATATGAGGGTGTTAAATGTTTGTTATAGCATGTGTGTGCATGCATCTCATTGGATGAGGTTACACTTGACTGTTCGAGCTTGTAAGGCTTTGTTTACAATAAATAGAGGGGAAGCTTAGATGACATGCAAGATTAAACAGGCTCTTTTTTGACAGACAGGGTGAAGATGAATCTCAAAGATCATGAATTTTAAAAGAAGGGGGGGTCTGCCATTTCAATTTTTGACTCCAGCACAATGGAAAACAGATCACGTCCCCTCTCTGAGTCACTGTGTGCTATCATGAAGTGTTTAGTCTTACTGTACAAAATACATCTGTGTGAGTTGGTCCCCCCCCCCCCACCCCTTCCCTTCTCCCCTGCTCTCCCGTCTCCTGCTCGGGCTGAAGGGCATTCCTGTGGTGAGACTCGGCCCTCCCGCCTGCTGGCCGTGACTGTGAGCTTTTTCGTGGCTGAATCTTCAAGGGCAGGTGCTGGTTGAAGTGTGGTGAAGAAGACGGCTCAATTATTCATCAGGGGGGAGATTATGATCGTGTTTCTGCTGCCGTTGAAGGAGAAGCGGTGCCGTGGATGTGACAGAAAGAGTCAACAGGGGAATGATATTGATTTTTTTAATAGTTGGAGCACGGTAACAAGCATGTGGATGGCATCAACAAAACAACAAACCCCTCATCACTCTCGCAGAAGTGTGGGTTTTACTTTAGCATGTCTGTGCTGCACCTGTAAAGTATCTTGAGTCGAGGCTTTATACAATGAAATCTGTGACTCATTCATCCACATATTATGGCGGCTAGGTTATTTCTTTATGCTATGATTGGAGCTCCCAAGGCAGCTTAAACTTTGCAAGTAAAAAAGTAAAAATTAGGTCAAATGTCTGGTGCTTGGAAGTCAGTAGGCTGCCATCTGCAATAGCGGATATGTTCAAATAAGCCCAAGACAGCTGGTTTGAGGATTTGACACCACATGCTGGTTTTCCTGATTTGCACAGAGACCAGAGTCCTAAAACTGTCAAACTGGAGAATACAACTTACAGTAGTTATCAACCACACGTCTTATCAGGCTCCAGTCGATAATATACCGTCTGCTGCAAATTCTCAAGAGTGACACTGTCAGTCTGCTGGCCCGTGCGGCTCTCCAGCTGTGCCTTACTATAAATCCCTAACCCTTGCTTTTTTGTTGTCTTTTTACGGCGGTTACAAAATCCACCACGAGCGCGGTTGCTGGAGCTAAAAATGACTGATATATCCGAGTGTTTACTGGCAGGTTTACCTTCCAGTGCTGGACTCCATTATCATGTTTCTGTGTGGTCTACCTGAAAAAACCTATTTCCTCACATCTGTGTTTGGATGGCTGCTACATGCATCTTTATTTATGAGTGCTATGAGTTACTATGAAGGGAGGGAAAACATCTGCTGTTGTTGTGACTGGACCACATGATGAATGAGAAGTGTGGGTTTGATTTTCATTTATTTATCTGCGTGAAAAACAGAAAAGCCACTCGAAGGTGTGTAATCTGGTGCTGCGTTTACACGTGTTGCATCAGTGTTACTACATATATGATATGAAAGCGCTCATTAAGTCTGGTAAGCAATCAAATCTCCCTCACCATCTGCCTTTTGTGTACCGACCGGAGCAAAAATAAACCTGAGTGGGATCAGATTTCTTTTGCAGCCGTGTTGGTGTTGTAATGGAATATTACCAATGCAAAATATTATGTGTTGATGCAGCGGCGCTCCTTTCTAACATACATGTTCATGCTCACATTACAAAAATCCCATATTCAGCAAATCTTGTAAAAACTCTGCTTTTTTCTCCGCTTTGATTGTATTTCTTGATTTTAAAATTTGAGACAGCAAAATGAGTTGTAGTTGACATCAATGTTTCTTGGATTATATTGAGACTGTTACCCAATTTGATGAGTAAATGAGTGTGTATTTGGCACATCTCATGAGCGGGGCTGTAACAAAAAGAAAAAGTAGTAAAAAAAACACTATTTATAGAAAAAGAAAAAGGCCTGTCTAAACAGGAGTAATCAGATATAGTTTTGCTTACAAATGCATTGTGTCTGAAAAAGGCCACTGTAAATATTTAGCATAGTTTTCATTTCAATCACTTTTACTTTCACAATTGACTGGGGAGTTTAATTGTACTTTCTCATACCGAGGAGAGCAAACAAACACTTCCTAAAACACTAATAAGAAGTTGATTGAAAAAACGTGGGCGCGCAGAGCACTTTGTGGACTTCTTTGTTGTCTCCGAGACTCGGTTTGGCAGTTTGTTAGTTCCACACTGTGGCTCACTCTTCCTCCGTAGCTCCGGCCTGCACTTCATTAGCCTTCCTCTATTCCCAGAACTCCTGTAGATGTGACTCCTCTTTTCCGGGATGGAGGAATGTTTCTCCCTCAGGTCCGACTGATGGAATGGGTTGAGGCCTGGGTAGGGGTCCGGGCCTGTTTGTTCAGGATGTGTTGAGAGGGAAGGAGGGGAGAAAGAGAAATGGTCGATCCCCCCGACTATCCACTCCCTCCCCACAAATCCCTGTATCCCATAGCTGAAAATCACTGCCAGCTGAGCCGACATGCTTATCCATACCAGCATCAGATCTAACAGGGGGCTCTTGGCGGATAAAGAGCCAGATTCAGCGACAAACGCCATTGAGCGGTTGTTGCTAATGTCATGAGGTGGCCCTCAATGGAGCGTAGGGTCAATAACAGGAAGTGGACTTGAATCTTCATACATTAGAGGTTCAGCACTGTTAAGTTTGAGGGGTTCAGCTTCCATCATATTCTGTACTTGTCTGTTAATTGTTTGCATAGCATGTTAGCTCATTCTTGAGTTAGCATACATTGTCTTCATTGTTGAAAATTAAAAACATGACTCTTCTGGGTGATTCGGGATTAGTTTAGTATGTGTAACTGTTTTTAATGCTCGTACGACATGCTGGCGTAACTTTTCTCAGTCCGTCCTTGCATCACAGAGTCACTTGTGCCTCTTCACCAGAATAACATCAATCAGCTTCCAACTCAGTCCCTTTTTTTTCCCCCTCCAACATCCATTACAGCTTAAAACCTTGGCTCTTAAAGTGCCTCTCTCTCCTCATTTTCCCCCCTTTTTCCCGCCACCATGAGCAGCTGACCTCACTCGGTGGAGAATTCAGTGACCTCAGAGCAGAAAGTACTGCAGCACTTACTCTCTTTCTCTTTCTTCTTACACGCAGCCACACGCAGTCTTTGGCAGGAGAGAAAACGAAAGAGAGAAGATGGTTTTAGCACTCATTGGGGATAGAAGGAGCCAGTACAGTAAAAGCAGTGTTTTCAGTGGGTTTGAGAGCAAACCTCAGAGGAGAAGATCTCTTAAGTTGACTGTGATTTTAGTAGTTTGATGTTGACCTGACTATCATTCCCATAATTATATTCCCTCAAACTGAAAGTCAAATCAATTTTGGAGAGTCTGTATTTTTAGAGACAGATCATAAAGTGAAGGTGATTTATTCCAACAAGAAAGAAAACAGTAAAAGATTTGACACAGCCGCTAAACAAAGGGTCAACCTCCAGCAATGCTAGCAACGAGAGCAGGCTAAAGTTAGCTGTGTTTGACCTGAATGTTTGTGTTAGCATACTAACATGCCAAAAATGACAACGCCACCCTGATGTTCAGTATGTCTAACATGTAGGCCAACACTTCGATGTTGTGTCATCTGTTTTCAAGTTATTGGGTCAGAAATGAAGCTCGAGATAGTGGTGCATTTCATTATGATAATAACTGAACAGAGCAAACGAGGTCTGAATGATGGTTTGGATTTGGCTAATGAACGGTCCAGCTAAAAGCAAAAAGCTGGGATTGCTGAAATGTCTTAACTGATACATAACTTAATAATCGTTAGCATCCAGAATTAGCCAAAAATCCTAAAGACTTTACTATACAATGACAAATAAAACACTTTAATTTTAGTGTCAAACCTGTCCCTTAAGTTCTCTCAAAGTTGAAAAAATTCTCAAAGTGTACTAAACATTTTAAATTAGTCTATTTTAGTCAAAAGCTTTTAAACCATAATATGCCTAATTTTCTGTGTATTGTCACAAACCATATTGGTAGTTTGCTGTTAATGTGGAAACCAAGCGATCGATTACATATAACCACTGTATAATCATGGTGCTTTGACAGAGCACAAGATGGGACTTTCACAGAAGACACGTGTTTCTCTGTGTTGATTAAAACTTCATGTTTAGCCAGCAGGGTCAATACCTCCTTCGCTGACCCCTTTTTTGCGCGCCCTTTTGATTTGAGTTGTGTGTACTTATTACCATGAATTGGCACAGTGGCCTTGGCTGACCCTGAATGGATCTGCTCAACTTTGAGAGACGGGAAGGAAGTCTTTTAACGCAATGCATTAATGAGGACCCTTCTGCTTTTTTGGTTAACGCCATATTTTGAGACGTGACAATGTTTTAAGCGTCAGTATTTTCTCAGTTCTGCTCAAAATGATAGGTAGTAGCTTTGCAGCCACAGAAACCACCATGATTTTATTCAACATGGTAAAAGCAGAAGTGCTTCATGTAGAGCAGGTTATTGTCAATGCGTTTCCTGGACCACTGAAGCATACAAAGCCTTACTGAAATGCAAAGTGCTTGGTTGTATGAGTATCAATATCTTAAATTACTCTTGGAATTTTTGTGTGACTTTCTGTTCTGTTCTGACTTTCCTGTTTTTCTAAGAATCAAGTACAGAAAATGGAAATTTCCATTCCCTGCTGTGGTTCAGTGTGAAAAAGTAATTTGTTTTTACAAAAGACTCAGCAAATACAGCTGGTTTTTGAACTTCTGACCATTTTCAGTTCCACTTTTTCACTCAGCATTTTGCAGCTATTCGCTGTCAAACTGGTGTTGAATGTTGATTTGAGGCTGTCTAATGAAGGAAGTGGATTGTGTACACTGTATGGGTGTGTCCAGTCACAGTTCAAACACATTAGGCTGCCAGAGAACTCTGAAAGCACTCAGTGTGCCATAGAGGGGGAGAAATGATAGTTAGTGAGCAGGTGGGCACCACTGACACCCACATTTGAGTTTTTTTTTTTTTTTTCTAAAGGACCGCTGAAGTTGTGTTTGCTCTGTCATCCTGCTCTGGACTGGACTTTGTAACGTGTATGGAACAGTGTGTCAATGCTCCGGCAAACATGATGTAACTCCTTTTGGTCACTGATTGGCCCTGAAGAAAGCATAAACTTTAGTTTCCTGGTGGAGCCCGTGTACTCTGGACCTCAGTTGACTGAAAGAATGGTGGACAAGATCTGGAGAAAGAGTTGGCAGTTTATAGAAAATAGACGGTCTTTTCGCAATAAGCGGTCCTCTTGTAGTACGACAGAATGTAAGAGTGAGTGAGTAACCTCCTATTTTTTTTTCACACTATTTGTGTAACAGGCAATCGAATGGGTTCATTGAATCAGAGGTGGTGTTTAATTTCTGAAAAATGTTAATGTGACTCTTGTGTTTTCTGAAACACATGAGTGACTCTTCTCTCTGTTGATACATAAAAAGAAAAGTGTTCATATTTGACAGCAAACAGCTGAAAAAATGTGCTCATATCTTAAAGCCGTAGAATCAGCACATTCCTGATACAGCTTCATTCATTTACACGCGCCCTGCAGTTCACTGCTGTAATGCCGTACATGTTAAGTATTCTCTCACAGAGACTAGACGTCTCATTTTAAGATTAATCTAAGAGCCTAATTCCATAAGTCCCTGAAGTTAAGCTACTTTTTTGCTCTGATACTTCACAAGATGGGTCAGAAGAAAAGCTGTAATTAACCTCAGAATACTTTAGTCAGAGTCAGACTCAAAAACCTGAACTCAGGTCTAATTATTTCGGGAGATGAAATCTCTAACCTTCCCTTCGCTCTCTTTTCGCAGTGTGGAAGGAGACGGACGGCCCAATGACAGCGGCCCTTCCCTGGATGGTGGAGCCAGCTATGGCCAAGGCCCGGTGACTCACGGCTCGGCCATCAGCCCTGATCGATTTGAAGGCCCACTCTACAGCCACGGGGTCCAACCTGGGCCTCAGAGACCCCGTCGGCCTAAGCTCCAGCACTCGCAGTCCATCCTCCGGAAGCAGGCTGAGGAGGAGGCCATCAAACGATCCCGCTCGCTCTCGGAGAGCTACGAGCTCTCCGCTGACCTCCAGGACAAACAGGTACTCCAGAGGAAACTGCATGGTTGGCTTCAGAGTTAATCCTTACACTCTGAAGTCCTTAGAGTTATGATGTATGGTGTTCTTCAAGCTCATTTTTGTGACTTTAAATATAACTTAAACTAAACCAATTTGATATTCTGTGCAGTCTTAAAGTAAATTTTCTCCTCTTTCTAGGTGGAGATGCTGGAGCGTAAATATGGCGGACGTTTCATAACTCGGCATGCAGCCCGCACCATCCAGACGGCCTTCCGCCAGTATCAGATGAACAAGAACTTTGAACGCCTCAGGAGCTCTATGTCCGAGAACCGTATGTCCAGACGCATTGTTCTCTCCAACATGAGGATGCAGCTCTCCTTCGAGGGCCCCGAGAAAGTGCACAGCTCCTACTTTGAAGGGAGGCAGGTATCTATGACAGAGGACGGGGCCCCGCTGACTATGGCGCAGTCTGAATGTGGAGATATTGAGGTCCACCAGCAGGCCAACATGGCATCTCACCCAGCCCAACAGGGCGACCTGACAGATGCCATCACGGAGCTGGAGGACGCTTTCTCCAGGCAGGTCAAATCTCTGGCCGAGTCGATAGACGATGCACTGAACTGTCGCAGCCTTCAGGGAGACGAGGGTCCCGACCCGGAGGCCATGGGCTGCTCTCAGGTGGAGAGGGAGGTGCCCTATCAGGTGAAGGCTCACCGCAGGGCAGCTGGACGCATGCATGATGAAACTATGGCATCCTACAGTGATGTGACTTTGTTCATCGATGAGGAGGACATGGGCCTGTCCAGGTCAGGGGATCAGCCCTCCAGCACAGAATCAGACTTGAGGTTGCGGTCGGTCAACTCCTCTCAGGAGTACTGGCCGATTGACCCCAAAGATGAGGGTCGTGACACAGACACGAGCTGCCGCAGCACTCCTTCTCTGGAGTGCCAAGAGCAGCGTCTCAGAATGGACCATCTTCCTTTGTTGACCATAGAACCTCCTAGTGACAGCTCTGCAGAGCTTAGCGACCGCTCGGAGCGCAGTGCTGTCAAACGGCCCCCTGTGTATGAACCACACGGTCACATTGTAACGTCATCCCAGGCGAGCCCCAAACACATATCCCATGGACCTCCGCCGCGGGCACCTTCCCGAGACGATGACGCGCCTCTTCGTCATCGCCACCGTCAGCTGGAGAGCCACTTAGCCATCAACGGTTCGGCCAACAGACAGAGCAAGTCGGAATCGGACTTCTCTGACGGGGACAATGACAGCATCAACAGCACATCCAACTCCAACGACACCATCAACTGCAGCTCCGAGTCGTCCTCCAGGGACAGCCTACGAGAGCAGACGCTGAGCAAGCAGACGTACCACAAAGAGACACGCAACAGCTGGGACTCGCCCATCTTCAGCAACGACGTTATTCGCAAGCGACACTACCGCATTGGCCTGAACCTCTTCAACAAGTAAGTGCTGGGAAATAGAGAACAGAAGCAGCCTCTTTACATCACTTTTTTAATTTGCTGGTACCAATTTTTAATGTTTTCTTTATCAGGAAACCAGAGAAGGGCATCCAGTACCTGACCGAGAGAGGATTCATCCCTGACACACCTGTTGGCGTGGCTCACTTCCTGCTTCAAAGGAAGGGGCTGAGCAGGCAGATGATTGGAGAATTTCTCGGCAATCGGCAGAAACAGTTCAACAGAGATGTTTTGGAGTAAGTCTGATTTCTTCTTATGCCCATCTCCCCTTTAAAACTTAGATTAATGTGGAATCATTGAAATTTGTCCTTGGCTGGGCTGTTGTGATTGATAATCTGAAATTAGAGAGTTCCTTTTTTTAACCGACGTTTCCATCTGTCCCCTGTCCTCCACCAGCTGTGTGGTAGATGAGATGGACTTCCAGGGCATGGAGCTGGACGAGGCTCTCAGGAAATTTCAGAACCACATCCGTGTTCAGGGTGAAGCCCAGAAAGTGGAGCGGCTCATCGAAGCATTCAGGTTAGATCCTTCACCAAACACATCCAACACTTCCATTTTTACTAAAATAAAAACAAATAATTCATACAGATTCATACAAAATCCTTGTGAGAGGAATGAGAAAACCACTTAGATCTAAAGCACTTATTCCCCACATGATGTTTTAATGTTTTAAACTCTAAAAACCTTCAGAGCTTGAAGTTTGAAAGTCCTGTTTTCCGGGTGTCATCACAGCTGTGTTGTTCAGATAGTTATTGGCACACATAGAGAACCTGTTCCTGCATTACTTCTCTTTTCGTCTGAGGACATTTCCTCACCACGAGCGCTTTTCTTTTGTGTGTTTTGTAATCAGAGTTTAGCCGTAAAATGAGATGGCTGATATTCCTCTTCTCTCTCATGTTTCCAGTCAGCGCTACTGCATCTGTAACCCCACGGTGGTGCGGCAGTTCAGGAACCCCGACACCATCTTCATCCTGGCGTTCGCCATCATCCTCCTCAACACTGACATGTACAGCCCCAACGTCAAACCCGAGAGGAAGATGAAGCTGGAGGATTTTATCAAGAATTTAAGAGGCAAGGAGACACGAAATGCTTATGAAACATATTTATTCATGCTATTTTAGGTTCCAATTCATGCATAATAGTCAAACTAAATCAACAAATACTGCATGCAAACTCACAAGTCCCTCTGTCACTCTTCTGTGTTTTCAGGTGTGGATGATGGGGAAGACATTCCCAGGGAGACTCTGGTCGGCATCTACGAGAGGATCCGCAAGCGAGAACTCAAGACTAACGAAGACCATGTCTCACAAGTGCAGAAGGTCGAGAAGCTCATTGTGGGAAAGAAACCAGTGAGTGCTCTTCAACGTCTTAAGAACTAAGTGTGATTAAAGCAATTTTAACAGTTTTATCATTGTCCTTGACGACAATAATCAGCACCAGAAAAAGTAAAAAATGCGTAAAATTTATTTGAACTATTCCTAAATCAACCCACATGTCCCTATTTCTAGCTGTCTGATAATATCGTCCAGCTCACATTATTAATCAGGCTGTCACATCTCTCTTTAGTCATTGGCTATTTAGAGAAATGCACCTTTTTTAATTGGTTTGTAGGTTAGTCATTAAAAAAAAATGATCGATTTAGGAATTTAGAGAATGATATTTCATTTACACCTCGGGGTGTTATGTGAAAAAGGAGTCATGCCTGGACTGAGACCTTCATGCTGATGATTTTAACACACTGAAAGCCCTGTAGAGATGTCATCCGGTGCTGCAGTCTAATGAAAAATGAACCCTCTGCGCCCTTTTAGTTCTGTCTAGAGTGAAATTGTTGACACCGGCATATCATTTACCGGCGCAGGTTGCATTCTGACTGTCAGTTTACACACAATCATTATGCAGTTTATTTCTGTGTATGATTAGCGATCAAGAGCTGTAAAATGATGATTGTATCATGCTGCAGCTGCTTCAGGAGTAGCATGTCTGCTCTGTTCTGCAGGCAGCGATGGCTCTCTCATGTGTGAAGGTTAAAAGTGTGATTAACCTATGCAGCCGCAGGGAGAGGCTTGTCTCGCATGGAGGACTGTGTTTCAGTTGGTTTCCGCTGGGATGGATGGTTCTCTTTCCAAGTGATCATTTAATGTATTGAAAAAAAAAGATCCCTAGTTACCATTTAGCTGCAGAATTAAAAGCCCAGTTGGACAACACTTTAGCATGAAAACCACATTGAAATTCCTCTCCATGATAATCAGGTCCACTGGCGCTGCACAGAGAGGGTTTCTAAGGGAGGATCTGTTTTCATTCCAACATCGTTACAAACTCCCAGGAGTCCAGCAGCAGAGAGAGACCACCACCCTGTACTCAGAGGTGTACGCAGTCTGCAGGGGCAAAAGCTTGTGCGGGCTCATTAATAAGCTGGAGACATTACGGTTTCTTGTTATCAGAGGAAACAGCGCATAAAGCAATAACATAACGGCTGAATATAACACCCTCCCTGTCCTCCTTCTTCAGATTGGATCCCTCCACCACGGCCTGGGATGTGTAAGTATCTAAAAATCCATAAATCCTGCTATATTCAATCACTTTCCTGTTATTAATTCACTCCGTATACACAGCTTCCTGTCTCTTCAAACTGCAGTTAATACGCATCAGGCAGATAGTTTTCGAGTCAGATTACCTAAAGAGGAAGGAACTTTTGCCCCCTAAAGCATCACATCTGTTACTGCGAGATGAACAGTCTTTCCTCTTCCCTGGAACAGAGTCAACAGACATAAATCCTCGGCTGGCATTGAGCTGCAGTGTTTACAGATTCTGCCCTCAGCAGGATGTTCATCACGCAGGTCCCCCCCAGGAACAGAATATATCAAAGTCCCCGGAGTTTTACAGATATTATTAGTTATCATAATATTATGAGAGGACTGTGTGCTGACTCAACATTAGTGATAAATAACATGGTGAAAAAACTATTTTCCGAAACTTTGGAGTTGGCAGCATTTTTATGTTATGGTAGATCGACTTGAAAACGTTGCCATGCTATCGTACATTAAGATTCAATATATGCTTTGTATTAAAAAAAAAATATACAGAATCTAGACCGCTGAAATTAGGTCTAAAATAAAAAAACTAGACGTCTAATAGCTGTATATTGCTCAGTGAGTAGATACAACTAGATCTAGACTTGTTTTTTTAACTGCATGCCATAATTATGTAACTAGAATAAAATTAAATAAATATTTGAAATGTTAAAAAAAAAAAAAAAGATTCAATATATGCTCTACATTACAACAGGATATGCTGCAATACAATATGTGATGTTACAAAACACTATCCTGCAACACAATACTATGCAATGCAATGATATATATTATATGATAACTTCAGCAAGAACATATATATTACCAGACGTATAAGGACGAAATGATTTAAGAGTTTATCTCTTTATGTAGAGAAACACAGAGGCTCAAATCTTTTCTGTAATTAAATGTTCCAAAGACTTTTGAATTCATGGAAATTGCAGCTTTTCTTTGTCTTGTCCAAAAGTTTTTTCTTTGATGAACTGAATAGCATTTTGACGACATTGTCTCGGTCTGTACAACAATTTTAACTTGGCTTTTAACTGTTTTCTGATGATAGATAATCAAAAGAAAAAAGAAATGATGGATGAAATTTGAGTAGCAGTAATGTTAGGAAAGAAAATGTCAACAGAAGATTGATCAGTTTTTACTTATTTTCTGTCTTGTGCTGATTTCTTAAAGTCTCCATTTTGGCTCTCTTTTCCCGCCCTGTAGGTTCTGTCGCTGCCCCATCGTAGACTGGTGTGTTACTGTCGCCTGTTTGAAGTGCCAGACCCCAACAAGCTCCAGAAGCTGGGCCTGCATCAGCGGGAGATCTTCCTGTTCAACGACCTCCTAGTGGTACACCCCCCTTCCTTTTGCTCTCCTCTAATCCTCCTTTTACCCTCCCTCCAGTACGACCTCTTTAAACTCTCTCTCTCTGTGTTATTTCAGGTAACTAAGATTTTCCAGAAGAAGAAGAACTCTGTGACGTACAGCTTCAGACAGTCGTTTTCTCTCTATGGGATGCAAGTTATGTTGTTTGAAAACCAGTGTAAGTTGCATTTCCTTTCTTCTTCATCCCTGTGGCATGATCGCTGACAGTGTTTACGTCCGACTCTTTGATTTAGCGCAGCAAGAATGAAAAGTCCGACCAATAAGCGTCGACACTGTTTATAAGTCCAAACTTCACACAGATTGTTCCCGATGTGTTTCGACTCGGGGTTTGATCAATGGCCCTTGTGTAAATGTCTCTCCCTCTCTGTTTGCCATTTCCCCCAGATTACCCAAATGGAATCCGACTAACATCAGCGATACCAGGTGCCGACATCAAAGTCCTCATCAATTTTAATGCGCCCAACCCCCAGGACCGCAAGAAGTTCACAGATGACCTGCGAGAGTCCATTGCCGAGGTCCAGGAAATGGAGAAATACAGAATAGAGTGTGAGCTGCCTTTTTTTTTTTCTCCCTCCCTTCCCCCTCCTCCTCTGTCAACCTCGGGCTGTGTAAAGTAAAAACAGGGCATGGTCCTCATTACTCAACTGCGACAGTGTGTGAGGGAGAGTTTTTACAGAGTTCACAGGATGGCTTACAGAAAGTCAAGCATTCAAAAGGACGGTTTCTTTATGACAAACAGGAAGTTGGAAATGATGTCGATCAATAGTACATTCATGAGCTCAGACAGCTTAACACGGCTGAAAACAGTCTGCTTTATAAATCACACCCTGGTTAAAGTGAGATGTAAAAACCGCCCGCCACTTACCTCAGTCTTTCCTTGGCTCCTCTCAACACAGCTGAGCTGGAGAAGCAGAAAGGCGTGGTCAGGCCCAGCATGTCGCAGAGCTCCGGTCTGAAGAAGGAGGCGGGCAACGGGAGCATGAACCGCGCCAGTCTGGACGACACCTACGCCATGGGAGAAGGCCTGAAGAGGAGCGCGCTCAGCAGCTCCCTGAGAGACCTCTCGGAAGCAGGTACAGCTGAAAAGAAATCCTTCAGAAACTTCTCAGACGGAGACGGGAACTCCGTCAGCTCTGAGATGATGATATCAAGGGGATAAAAATAGCAAAATGTTGTTTCACAGCACCATATTTTGATTTCTTTAGTCCTCTTTAAATCCACGACTTGAGACACTCATTTAGAGACAGTTTGGTCTGTTTCCTTTGCAGTTTACTTTCTTAAAACATGGCATATTTTGTTTAAGAGGGCTCTTTTACATTGACAAGACTGGAGATGAAGGTTAACTATCTAGAAATGCAGTTTTTCCTGTTGGTGATGAATGAAATTGACGGGTAGTTCTCACCCCTGACCATTTGGGCGACTTTATTTCTCAGCGTTTCCATTCATGATTTTACCGTCACTTCTTTTTTTGATTTATTTCGCACCACGACACTCTTGAGTTGGTTTTATTCAAAGACATTTCATGAAAATCTCTTGTTTTTTTTTTTGTTTTTTTTAATCCAACATTAAATACCATTTCCCCCTCACGTATATTTGTGAACCAAACAAATCAGTGTTGGTTTGTAAAGCAGCAACAAGATGGAGATTAAGTGTTTTGTGTCGACAGTCATCTCACATCCATGACTATCGGTGTTTAACTCAGCCGCTGTGTCTCTGGAGCAAGAACGCATCTCATTCATTACAGATTACAGCGATGTGGAGTTATCGGGTGATTAACTCGATAACAAAATGAAATCCAGTCAGGGGTCTGCCTCACTGTTAGTAATACGACAGGTTCTGATAGGTGAATTAGTAAAGAAATCCCTCCTGTCTCTTGCGTTTTTCGATGCAGGATGCGGCATGTTAGCGGGGCCATTTCTGTTGAGTGTTTTTATTTATTTTTTTCCCCTTTTTTTCCTGCCATACTCCATTTCATGTGTATTTACTGTGTTATTTCCATACACATCAGGTATTTTCCTGTATATGTGTGATTATTGGTCATGTATCATTGGCTGAGTGTGAGCCTAACAACAGCAAGAGTGCTCTCTTCGCCCTCAAACCTGTATATGCCTGTACATCCCATGTGCAACAACCACTGTAATGCTTTTGATGTGTCTCCTCCTTTGTGACTGTCACCGAGACCGGCTTTATGCCACCCTTGACCCCTTTGAAAATCTACATCTTGTGACAACATTAAGAAAAGTTGTCATATTTGAATTACAAAAATATAAGAATTTTATAGTATAGCCTCCCAACTTTCCTCTAGACTCGGTTTGCTCTAGTTTATATTTGTTGAAATTTACCCAACTGAGTCTTCTATTTGATAACTATATAAAAAAAAAAAAACTTTAGCTCCCACGAGTAGAAAGAATTCGCCACAGCATCACCTGTCACTCACCCCACTCCCAGACCTGAACGCGCTCTCTCCCCCTCTCCTCCCTGCCAATATTTGGACCTTACTCACAGTCACAAATCCACTGCACTGCCCCCCTACGGGACTGGTGGGCGGCCTAAACGTCTGTAGTTGACCCAGGAGTTGCTGTCGATCTCTAATCTGTGGTATTGCATGTCTCGGGCAGGCAAGCGGGGGCGTCGCAGCAGTGCAGGATCACTAGACAGCAATATGGAAGTAAGTTGGAAGCAGCTGGTATCCAAGCTACTCTCTATGTGATGATGTGCACTGTGAAAACACACCATTTATTTTTTTGGTCTTACACCTTCTTTGCTTCATAGACTCAGTCCATTTGTTTGGATCATTTATTTTTCCTTCCTGGGATGCCTTATAACCTGCTTGCCTCAGTTAGTGTGCATGCATGGGTTGCCTGCCTCTGATCCTGCCCCTCTGTGGAAGCCAGAGATCTCCTGTTTTTTGGTCATGGTATATGACCAATATATACACTTTTATCTTCAAACAAGCATGACTCTACTAAAACCTCCTTTGACCCCCCTCCCCTTGTCGCCTGTCTCTGTCTTTCATTCAATCACATCACAAGCGGCTTTCATTTGGTTCTTCTTCTCTGTAGGAGGGCGGTAGCTCGGTGAGACTATCGGGAAACTGTGCACCACCTCTCCTTTTTTCCGGGTTTTTCTTGTTTTCCCCCTTTTCCACAACTTCTCTTACATACCTTAAGGTTCAGGGAGGAACGTAGCCTTTATATTCAGAGGTCTACTGATGGGCTTAAAAAGATGTGGATTTCATTCATTCATCTTTCCTCATTTCATGTGTCCATGACTTCATGCGTTGGGACCCTGAAAATTTCATTCTGCTTTCAAATATGTCATACGATCTTTCTACAGTTTAAGATGAAGCATGTGCCAGAGGAGAACTTTTTTTTTTTTTTCCTTTTACTTCAGGAGAGTTTCTACTTCATAGTGGAGTATTGTTGGAGCTAGAAAGAGGGGGGAAGGTGTTCAGGCCTGTTGTGAAGTCTGCACACATGAACTTAGCTCCTCCTGCCTTCTGACTTCTAGTTGAATGCTAAAGTGTGGATGACAAGTTTGCCTGTCACATCCTCTGCATGTGGAAACTTTGCCTCCATTGATGATAACAAGTTGCATGTGTGACTCTTTAGAGGGTTTGGCACATGACTGCAATGAAGATGAAATGTTGTCTCTTTTTTTTACCCCTCTTTATTTCATGATTTATGCTGCAGATGGTATTTATATACTTACTGTTGTTACCAGTTTACTGTTTCAAGCCAGTAAGCTCCCTTTTTAAAAAGGCTCCCTTCATCTTGAAGCTGAAGTTTTCCTAGTGTTGCTGCTGCCTTCCATGAAAAAACATTTTAAGTTTCTCATTTGCATGCCCTAAAACATTTTGCTACTTATTTATCTGAAAGAAAACTGTGAGTTCATCCTGCTGGTGCCTTGTAGCTGTAGTTTGGCAGCTGTTTTGCAGAAGCTCGTGCGCAGAATCTGACAGGCATGCTGTTACCTTTTTTTTTTCCCGCCTGCAGGGGTCCATCATTAGCAGCCCACACACTCGCCGGAGAGCCACCACGCCACGCGAGGGCCAGCCCCGCGGCCACTCCTCCATCCCTAACTCTTCATCAACTTCCATCCTCGGGTCGCTCTTTGGCAGCAAGCGAGGCAAACCGTCATCCCAGAGCCACCCTCCTTTACCTCCACCCGGTCACCCCACTCTAATATCCCACAAGCCCCACCCGACCAACCTGCACCACACAGCACAGGTGACGCACCCGGTCCAACATCACGGCCACCATTCCCAGTACTGCCAAGTCCCACAGAACCCGCCCCCTTACCACCATCACCACCACTACCACCCCCCTCCACACACGCACCACCACCAGCACCCGGCCTACACCACCTCGCACCCACACCAACACAGCCACTCGCAGCACAGCCACTACAGCCAGCATTCCCATCACTCCTCACACTCCCAGCATGCCCCTCACCATCACAGCCAGCAGGTGGGTTCAGCACCTGGCGGACCCAAACCCAAACACAGTGGTATCAGCACTGTAGTGTGATGCTGAGAGGAGCTCGGACTTTTTCTTACACCAAAGGGACTGACAGCATAACTCTATGGCCTGTCCACTGTGTTGAACTGCTGCTGTGATGGAGACGAGTCACACGTAGCCAACTTTTTCACCTCCAGGTCCAACTTATATGCAGGATGGAAATCGGACTCAAATCTTCCACCAGGGGCCTTTACCAGTTTGCCTGATCCTGGGCCAGGCCGCTTTAGGGCTTTCTGGCAGTGGGAACAGGAAGAAGCTCTATGTTTTCCACACACACACACACACACAGCCCTGACCGTGACGGCTGTCTCACTGAGCCGCTCCCCAAATGCTTCACCCCCCCCCCCTTTCCTCAATATCCCGTCTTAACCTTCGCATAATCAGGAGGAAAGGCGACCCGAGATGAGTAACAGAACATGGCTGACTGTTTTCTCCGTCACAACGATGGCGTAATTTCTTGTGCACAGAAGTCAACTCTTTGGTTTGCAGATCCTTCCATCATATGAATGCAATTTGTTGCTGCCTCCCGTAGAGCTCCCGTAGTGACAAAGTTAGGTATAATCATTTCACACTAAATCAAAGGACAGGTAAACAGCTGAGTCTCAGTCATTGTAGTTCTAGTGCTGTATTTACTGTAGATGACAGCTATATGTGTTGTCTCCTAGCTCTCATAAATAAATGTGCCAATTATTAATGCATAATCTATTTAGTCAAGACTTCATGTACAGTATATTGTGCGTAAAAGTAATTTGTAAGATTATACTTACAATTATTATCAGCGAAGATGAATTCTATCAGTATTAAACTGACTTTGTGGTGAAGGGGTGGAGATCTGGAAGGAGTGAACTCCCATTCAGTCCAGCCTTTGAGCTTTTCTGGAACTTTTTGCCTTTTTCATACGGATCAGAAGGAGCCTCTGGATGGCAGCTGTTGCATATGGGCCTCAGGAAAACGCTATGCTATCAAAGCTGAGGCCCCCCCCGAAGTAGACTTATCCTGTCAACTCTTGCAAGGTTGATTATTTTAAAAAACAGTTTACTCATACGGCGGAGGGTTAAACCGTTTCAAAGTAATGAAGACTGAGACGACGTTTGAATAACACTCAAAGGTTACGTTTTATGCACTCACAGAAGGCATTGTGCACGTGAGGTTTTGTTGCCTTTAAAGTATGCGACAGCTGCCTTCTCGGCCCTTCAGAATAAAAGCAGAAACACTTTAGAAATCTTCCTTTGCCTTGTTTAGTTTTTTTTTTATTCACAAACCATGTTAAATGAGTGGATAAAATCAGTTCTTACATTAAAATTATTTTTTTTTTCTTCTTTATTTTTGCATCTTTTTTTTCTATCTTATGTGCAATATCTTTGTACTGATTTTGTACATTCATAACAAGGTTCCCCCTCCCAGTTAAAGCGTTTTGTTTCATGTTGTGTCATTATTTATTTACCTCTGTTTTGGACCCCCCTTGAATTAACGTGTGGCTGTCCTCGTGCTCTAATGAGAGGTACAGGCTTGGAGTTCAGTGGAATGTCTAGTGAGTGATTTTTGCATGTAATGTTATTGATGTGAGGCTATCCTCTGCACATTGTACAACAAATCAGTGTTACCATAGCAAGTTTAAGTGCAATCATGTTCAGAAAGGGCAGACTTGTACTGAGAGTGGAAGTCTGTTCTCTTGTTTTCCAGGACGAGATTCAGGTGAAAAAAACTTTTTTTCCATTTAAGAATATATAAATACTTACACAGTTCACAGAGGGGAGAGGAATGTGTGTATATATTTTAATAAAAGGAATACGCTTATCTTTGAGCTGAACAGAAATATTTTGCTGGATAAGCACATATGGAAGAGAACACTTTCATTTTTTCAGGAAATGCAATTCTAATATACAAAATGCAAACTGAACAAAGGAACTGGTTATATGTAAAGAATAACTTTCTACATTCTACAAATAAGAGTCTATTCTGGTGTGTAAATTAGTGACAGTAAACTGTTTGTTCCAATATTCAGGTTGTAAATGTATTTTAACATTCACAAATAAATGCATTGCCATAAGTCAGGCTTATCCTCACTTCATATCAATTAACAAGGGAAGTTAAAGACAGACATATCACACATGGGACATTAATGATCAGTTGAATGTGTCTTTCCATTGATTTCATATTTTTGCTATGATTCTGAAATCGTGGGATGATGTAAAACCGAAAGAGTTGTGTTTATTTTTTTTATTTTTTTGGTGTGTATTGTGGTGTTTCAAACGTCTCCAGTCATTGTTTGTGAGAAAGTACCCCAACAATGCACTGCATGGATCATCATGTGTCCTCTTCACTGTGAGCTAAAAAAACAAACAAACAAAAAAAAAAAAAGACAACAACAGCATATAAATTTTTGACTATTTTTTTTAATTCAATTTGAATTTCCTGATGTTGTTCTTGTTGTTCCATGTCTGGCTGGTAGATATTGAAAGCTCAGCATGCATTTCATCAACAAAGCCATTGTGTAAAATACAAACATGAAGAACATTGCACTTCTGTTGCTGAGGGCTGTCATGGTGTAAATATAGGATTTTGTTGTGCAAACTGCTCGGAAGAAGGAGGGTTTATCTTTTTAGAAGCTGCAAAAGGGACCAAGACGTTGGGTTTAAAAGGAACTGTACATAATGTGTATATGATCAGTACTCTATTCTGATACCTGCAGTCCAGATCAGGATGTACATACATCACCTCATAGATGGATTCGAGGGGTGACACATGAAACATATCGATCGTCTCGTGGACTGACATTTGCAGTAGAAACACAGACTGTTAGAAAGTTTGCTGCCATTTTACATCCAGCTCTCTTTTCATACATGCAACCCCCATCCTACACAAACACACACACACGCACATTCTGTACACAAATCTACACACATCCTGCTGCAAGCTGTTCAGTCTGGCGTGAGACACGTTGGAAAAAAAATAACATGAAAAGACAAGAATGGCCTCATTTCTATGTGCATTCTGTTTGTACAGTGAGTAGTGAGTCAGTAAGACCCCAGTTATTGTAAAACTTCAACTGTGACAATGTTGAGAACGCAAAATAAACAAATATATGACTTATGGTACGGATCTGTTGTTCTTGCTCCCAAATACGTTTCCATTGAGAGGAAAAAAACTTTATCCTTTTAAGCAGCTTTCACTTTGATTCGCTTGTTTATAATGTATTTCATATGTGACCTTATCCTAACACTCTTTTTTTATCTTCCTCTTCCAGGCTCTAACACTTTCCACTTGTTTTGCAGCATTTCCACTAGAGGGCATGCATCAAAGAGCTATAAAATGAGAAGGAAAATCTGTGCCATGACACCACCTATGGGTGAAATGTGATCCTGCCGCACAGCCCCTGACAGGATCAGTGAAAATTGTTGTTTATGATCTTACCTCCTAACTCTTAATCCCATCATTGACGCAGCCAGAGTGGATTTTTCTAGGATAGCTCAGCCTCGGTGTGCGTCCGCTCTGCTTTGTAGCTCGATTTTCATCACCAAACATTTTCTCTGTGGCCTCCAGCTCAGTCCGCTTTCAAAATATCTCTCGAGTGAACTCAAATTCGCAGAAAGCATCACAGACCCACCGGCATTATTTGGCTGTAAAGTGCTCCCTTTGCCCTCAGCACTACACTGGATGTCAGTAATGAACCATCAGCTTGCCTCCCCTCTCTGTTATTAAAAGATAAACTCTTATCTCTTGTGAGCAGATGGGTTTCCTTCATGATGAACGCACCGTAAGTGTGCTGTGTTACTGACACTGCTGTGTGAGTGAGTGACAAACTGTTACTTAAGCTTGATGTCAGTTACGAAACAGGGAAACCTCGAGTACTGGAGGACTTTTCTAATTCCCTTAAATTCGGATTTAACATTGTTTGGACGAGAACAGACCACAAGTGATGAAATTTTAAGGATGACCTGTGAACCAAGATACATTTTGGAAATTTGTTTGACTCTAAAAGGTTTGTGTTGTTTTTTTTTTAACCAGAAAAATAAGAATTTTACTTTCACTTTTATTACAACTCAGAGATATCTGCACTTGTTTGTAACAAATCAACATTTCAATCACTTTAGTGTTTTGTTTAATGCTAAATTTATATCATTTCAAAGCTGTATGAATAAGGAACTTTACAGAGTCAACACTTGCTGATAGCTGCACTGTAAGCCTCTGTTAAAGGATCCTCACTTGCCCCATTTTAGTGCAAACTGAAGATTAAAAGAATAACCTCTCTGTGATCCTGCAGGATGCTCTCTGCTTTAAGCTCAGCTGTCCTCCTTCTTTTGTCCACATCAAGTGTACTTGCTGCCGGTCAACCCTGCACATGTTTATCCCTCCTGTCGGCCGGCCTGCAAGTCAACTGCAGCTCCTTAAACCTCATGGAGCTGCCTTATCTGCCGGCTGACACCACAGAGGTTCATGTGCGAGACAACCAGCTCACCTTTGTGTCCCCCGGCTGGTTTGACAGACTTGTAAGTCTAAAAAAGGTCTCGCTATCCGGGAACCCTTTTCACTGTGACTGTAGGATACAATACCTGAGGGACTGGCTGTTCAAGAACAAGGATATCATCTCTGAAGAGCCCATCTGTTCCAGTCCGAGCTCTGTGGCTAAGAAACGTATCTCTGACCTCAGTGATGATTACTTCTCTTCCTGTGCCTCAGAAAGCTATACTGGTGGATTTTTTGACACGCTGTTGGGAGTGATGCTCTGCTGTGTCATTGTCCTTCTTCTGTTGAGTTTGAGACTCGCCAAAGCGTCCACCTACACTTTGTTTATTGATGAGAGACACTCTGGATTTGAGGCTGATTCTCTACGCTCACTGAAGCCGAAACACAGACGGAGGCTTCACGCTGATTCTCTAAATTTTGTGATGGAACTAGAAAAACCACGTCTCAATATGGAGCTGCTGCCTCAAGTACTGGACATTTTGCACAAGAAGCACAATATAAAGATAAAAGCAACCTGAGGGACCTCATGAAAAAAACACTGTGTAAGCAATTTTTTCTTTTCTGTTGATGAATTAAAGTCTTTTTAAAAACAAACAATATGTCTCCTGATACTTCCTCTGAAACTCTTGGTTTGTAGAAATGCTCCTGGACTCATGGAACAATCATATGCGGATAAGTCAAATTAGGGTTACAAATCTGGTTAAAAGGTATTTTGATGAAAGACCACAAAATAAGACTAAAAATGAATTTAAGCAAGATGACAACACAATTATGAAAACTTACAGAAACTATGATGGTTCACCTCCACCTGCCGTGTGCTGCCAACACACTGAAAACATGATACAGAGGGGAGAGTGGGGTAAGATGAGCCATTTTTCATATTTTAGATCACTACATCAAGGCAGTTATAGTTTTGTCTCTGACTAGTGTATCTGCATATATTTCAAGATGTTGTGCATCCCTGCTAAACCAAAAGAATGAGTGTTAACAAAACTGTCTTGATCATGCCAAAAAGAAGTGGTTAACTTTGGTCAACTTACCCTGTGCATGGGGTAAGTTGACCATAGGAGCGGGGTAAGTTGAGCCGTCTTTTTGGTCTGAACACAATTCTAATAAAACTTATGACAGACTAAATTCACTTTCAAGAGTGAAAAATATTTTTTCTAACCTTCACAGACTCCATGAATTGATGCCCATCTCCTAAATATTTGGTCACATGATCAATTTCTTTTACCATTTCCAAGCAACAGGGGGTGGCTCAACTTACCCTTTGGCTCAAATTTCCCCACTCTCCCTTATATGTTGCAAAACTTCTTTTGATTGCATCCTTTGCATACGTGTGCAGGAATTTTCATAACTTGAGATGCCATTTAAGCTGCACTTCCGCATCTTTTGCAGATAATGTTTCAAATATTTTCTAAGGCTGCAGGAATTTGTTATTCAAGGACGATGTTGTAGTGTATTTTGTCCATGGTAAGGGACATAGACGGTAAGTGTCACGATATGTTCTGTTTATTGACCCTGTTTCCCTCATGTTCTCAGTGTTTTATTTTCTATTATCGGTTTTCAGTGTTTCCTGTTTTACTTAGTAGTAGTTTATTCCCTGTGTTTCTAGTCTTGCGTTACTTCCTCAGTTTTCCCTCCTTAGTAATTGTCTCACCTGCCTCTCGTTGCTCGTTTCCCTGTGTGTGCATATATAGTCCTTGCCTTCCCCTGCTTCTTTGTCAGTTCATCGTATGTCAATGCCTCTGCGTGTATGCCAGTGTCTCCTCGTGTTTTTTTTCCCACCTGTGCACTTTCTTGGTTTTTGGATTTTTGAGTCGGACATTTTCAAAGTAAGTTTTTGTTGCTTTTCTTTTAGTTCCTTTTAAATCAATCAAATTTCGTTCTGCATTTTGGGTCCTTCCCTTTTTGTTTTACCTGGATCTGTAACATTAAGCTTATAACTGTAGTCTGAAAATTAATCTGCCTGGATTCTTTCTACTTGGAAAAACCACACACAAACAGTTTATAAAAGTTGTGTAACTTCTTATATTTTCTGAAGATATTCACAATGAGAGATCTAATAGCCGACAAATACTCAAATATGGCAACAGGAGGTGCTGAAACCTCTTGACTGGCTTTGCACATGAGTCCTAGACTTGTCTGGTTAGCTTTTTGCTTCTGGAATAAAGTTTTTAAAAATCTCAACATTACAATGACAGATTATGGCAAAGAGATACAGTTACAGTTAACAGGATGAACATCTGACTTGTGCAAATACTGATCAAGGTTCTCACAGCTCGACAAAACATAGACAGTACTATTGGAGGACAATATTGCACGTCAATCTTTTCTTTTTAATACATGTATTACTCTCATGGTCATGCATAGTTTCTCTAGGGTAAAATGGGTAAACAAATCGTCATAATAAAAAGTCGCCTTGAGAACAAAGGTCCACTGTTATTCGTCTTAAAAACACTGATAAATTCTTGTAATAAATATAGGATGGATACAGGATTTGTAGTTATCTAAAATGTGACTATTGTCTAAAAAATACTTAAAAGGGTCAAATAAGGCAATTCTTACACTCTTCCTCATTAAAACCAGGAAATTAAGACTACCACGAAAACAATACAAAAGAGCAGGAGACGATAGAACGATTAGCTTTCTCGCAGGTTCATTTAAAGGAAGAAGGTGACCCTTATTGTTTCAATGCCCTATCAGGTGTTTAAACATTGTCCACAGTGTTAGGCTCTTCCACGTTTAAGCATTCAGTGGTGTACACAGTTTAATGCTGCAACCTCTTGAAGCTCCATGACCCTGTACAAATGGTGGTTGTTGGTGTCACACTTGGGCTGGGGAGCTTAAATTCTGCTGTATAACATGTAACATAAAACTCATTGTTAACTCCTTATTATAAAACAACAACTAATGTGTCCATTCATTCATCTCCTAGCTGGATTTCAAAATAGAAGATAACCCAAGCTAGGTTAATTAAACGCAAACTGTAGATGATATTAAATATAAATGAATGGAATACGATTGTTCAGCTGCTGATCAATCAAGTAGTGATAAAATGAAAAAAATGTTGTAAGTGGTAACAGTGGTAAGACATTGAAGCAGCATCTGAGCTTCCCATCCCGAGTGTGACTAAAACCACACCTAAACACATTGGCTTGTAACTTCTATGTAGGCACAAACTTCTCCTGCTCAAAGATGAGGTCAACAGCTTCTGCCACATCCTTCACGATATACCCCGGCTCTACCAGCGCAGGGTCGAATCTGAAGTCCCGGTGCCCGTGAAACACAGTCTCTTTGATACAGTGGTTTGCATCGGACGGCACTTCTGCTTTGGGGTTGTAGACCCCGGTGCAGACCAGCACAGACTTACACGATGTAGCAGAGGGCAGTGCCAGCTCGCCCTCCCAGAGGTTTTCAGCCTCCTCCTCTTGAGGTACTGCAGTGGTGGAACCTGTAGCGGCGGCCATCTTGGCGATGGCTTTAGGGTTCTGTCTCGCGACTCTCTCCTCCAGGTAGCGGTTGTATAGGTTAGCGCCATAGATGTCAGTCATAAGATTATCCCTAAGAGAGAGAGAGCACATAGAGAAGAGATTACAGCTCAGCTTGCACGTACATAACCATCAGATAATGATGAGTGCAAGAATGTGTTTGTTATCTGTGGCTCACAGAGCAGCTTCAGAAACACAATGACGTCAACAGTGATAAAAAGTTGCTTCTGTTTAAGGGAACATTGTGTATTCTCTCATAATATTTACACAGATTATCAAGTAACCACTCAGGCTTTTATTTTGGCGAGTCAAACTTGACTAAATACGGACACAACATAGCCTTGCATTCTCCTTTTCTTAATTTTTTGCACATATATGACCTTTAAGATGCTCTTAAATGCAATAATATTGGACAAAAGGGAAAAATAGCGCTTTGTGTCTTACCCAATCGCATACAGAGATGTAATGGGAAGTTTCCATTGCCTCTGCATGGCCTGACTTCTGATGAGGTACTCTGCAAAATGATATGTCAGCTCACTGGGTTTCCCCATGAGAGCATCGTACTTCAGGTCCTGACCTGTTATCTTCTTAAAAATGTTCTCTAAACACACAAGAAATGTCCCGTGGCCAAACCTGAGACAAACAGAGAAAGTGAAAGACAGATATATGGTTTCACTTTGAACCTTTCAAGGCTATCCCTGAGTTGCTCATGCAGATAAATTCAAGCTTCTGTGACAGCACGTTTTTTTTGTTTTTCAAAGGTTACCGTGGAGAATGTGCCTCTGCCATCCACATGAGGTCCATGTTGCAGGCCAGCAGGGGGAGGTGAGGCTGTGTCTGGGTTCCGTGAACGCTGCCGAGGTTCCCGTTGGTCAATAAAACATCAATTATCAGCTGCAGGTTAGTCTCCCATCGAATTGGCTCACCAAACAGAATCACAGCTTTATGAGAAATCAAAAGATTAGCTATTATTACAGATGTCAGGGATGAACTGTGAAAAACCTTTGAGATGAAATGAGGGGTTCAAATTCTTACCTTCAACTTTAGGTAGGTTCCCAACAGGATTAGACTTAAATAAAAGAGCAGAAGTTTAATATGTGTGATTTTTTTTACCTAATCAAAGCTAAAAATGTAATTTTTGCACCAGATTTCAGTGTTTTACCGGCAGCTTGGGTCTTCTGTTGTGATCCACCATGTCCAGCAGTGGGAATGACTCCCTCAGCATATCAATACTGACAACTTTTTTGAATCCCAAACTACAAACGAAGGGTTAAGGACAAAGGAAAGAGTAATTGCATTATATCAATTAGAAGAGAGAGGGAGACAAGGAGAGAAAAGAAGAGAAAAACAATACTGCAAAATTTCAGGTTACTTTTTAGCAATTTCCAAGACCGGTCCTTGTCCTGACACCAGCACACACTTGTCATGAAACTTCTTAAACACCCTTAGAGGACTGTGCGACAAGATGACTTGATCTAGTGTGATCTGGAAATAGATGAAGAAGTGTCAGGAAAGGTTAAAAGCAGAGGAGACAGGTGGCACCACATAAATAAACCCAGAAATATGTGTCACGTCTGCTCAGAGGACTCACAGGTACTCCCAGGATGTGAGAGAGCTGGTCCGCTTTTGTTTGTCGGAGGCAATTCCCTGCGTTTGTGACAAAAACAACCGGCACCTTAAATTGTCCCTGAGAGTCGACCAACTTCTCAAACGCCTTTTTCGCAGCAGGGATTGGCAACCTTCCACGGACAAGGACGCCATCTATGTCGAACAGCAGCCCAAACTTTGGCTGTGGCTGCAGGGGGGGAGAAGAGACAGTGATTCATAGTGGTGGAAAGTGTAGGGAAAAAAAAACATCATAGGGGATGGGAGTGATTTTGTGGTTCATTACACATGAAGATGCTTTGTATGGCTAGATCTGAGGACTTGTGACCCTCTCAACCACAGCCTTGTGGATGGTTTCCCACTTTACACTACTCAAATGTCTTTATAGTGTATTTTGATCAGCATACAACTAAGTGGGCTGACTCTCAAGTATGACATCATATAGGCTCTTGTTTATTGGCAACATACGGGGTTTACACACAGGATACAAGGGAGACCTATGGTGACATTGCAGTACATATGGGGTATGTAGTTGGCAGCACATCCCAGATAACCTTGCAGTTGTACAATTTTCATGTAAAATTCCACTCAATGCTTTTTCTCGTTGTTGAAGCTGAAACAATAAAGTAGGAACATGATGTATTTTTCCTCCTGAGGGAAAATAACAGTCAGCAACATCTCTTAATATCCTTCATATCACATCTCGTTTCCGCCAACGCATCACCAGCTGAGAAAGTTGCCTGCAACACCATCAGATATCATCTGAATTATATCGCTTTTTATTGTTTATTAAAAAGAAAAAAGTCTAATAGTATCGCCTTGTAAACAAACGCCCGAGCCGCGCCGAGTCGAACCGTACCTTGCTATTCGACTGAGTTCCGCAAAACCCGCACCGAGAACCGACAATCCCAGTTTTTCGTCTAGCTTGACGGTTACTCAGGCTGTACAGGCCCCGGCAAAACGGCAGGAGTCCCCTCATCTCCTTTGTTTATCGCCGGGTCGAAAAAGAAGTGAAAATGGGAGAAGACAGCCCCGCATGAAGCGTGTCGAGCCGGCTCGCTCCGGCCGCGCTCACCACTGCTCTTACTCGGCTTGGGTTTTTTTTTTTCTCTCCGGGAATTTCTCACCAGTAATTTGACTGGGCGAGACTCAATGACGACATATGAGGAGGAGGAGGGTCTCTTTGCTGCATCTCTGACGGGAGGAGCTGAGAGGCTGCATATGCACTACTGCAACCCCCGCTGCCATTTTAGACTCCGAGGTGGAGCTTTGCTGTTGTCCGCGCGCACAAGCAGCTCCATGGATCTGAGGACGAAGTCACAGATGCGCACGAGCTCGTATCTTTCTTGTATATATATCACAGTTTTCTCTTGATATACAGGTACACGACGGGTTATTTATTCCCCGAAAGCAGAACAACACGCATACCCACAATCACCAAACGTCTCTTCTCCATTTTACTTCACCTTTGGGTTTTTTTTCCCCCCTCACGCCTGTCAGACGCAGCCAACGGGTCCACATGTTTTTGTTTAACCTCAGGGGGGATCTAAATTTGGGAACCAGAGGGAATTTCAAGGAGAAATTTGAGCTTTCTGTCAGGAGACTGCAGAGTCCTGTTTCAACATGTTTTCCATGCATGCTTTGTAAACAACCTCAACCTTTGCAAATAGGAAAAAGAACTGCAGGACTGCGCAAATGTTGGATACTGTTGTCCAAGGGTTGTAGACAGAGGGGTGAGATTGTGTAGCAAAAAACAGATCTAGCTTTTGTGATCCTTGGAGTTGGTTGTTTGTCTTGCAGATGAACTCAAGGACAATGATCATGGAGGCTCATGCAGATCCCAGTATATTTGATGTCTTGAGAATTAAAGTCGGTCGCTCCAGGAAAGAAAAACCCCTGTGATAGAAAGGTATTAACACATATACATCCAAGAAATCAGACAAGAAGGTCCTCCCCGTGCTCCTCCAGCTTTATTGATAGTTTAAAATTACATTTCTATTTTCTAGGACTTCAGTTGCACTTTCCTTCCGACTTAAAAACTGAGTACAAGCAAATGGTATTTATACAGTAGTCTAAGTGATATTGTACAAAAATAACATTTTGATTTCTGTGAAAACATTTTTCATTCCCAAATAACTCCTAATTCTGCTGTTCTGACGACTGTTCTTGATGTTAAATTTGCCAAGGTAAAAAACGAAAAAAACACAAAAAAAAAAGGAAAACAAATTTCCAAAGCCATTTTTAAAAGGAAATGTCTACCTTGGACTACCAAGTGATATTTAAATTGTAAACAGATTTCTATAAAAGAACGTGTTTCTTTTAATACCTCCAAAATTTTTATATCTTAGCAATATAACATGTAGTTTGTTATCGCCCAGCTGCTTGTAGGGCTGAAATGCATCATGTTATGAACTGTTTCCATGTCATACTCTCTTGGCCAACTCAAATCCCACTAAAACAAACCAAAATAACCATACATGGAAGTTCGGTTTCCATTTACTCCCTTCTCTCATTTTACTGAGGCTCACATCCACAAGCTCAGAGGTCCTATAGATTCCCATATGTTTAGTCCCATTTATTCATCTCTGATCACCAGTGGCTTGGAAAGGGGGGTTCTTTAACAAAGCATTATACATAACACCGCTACCAGACTAAAACATTTTTGTATTGAATGCAGAAAAGATATTTTTTTCACCCCTTTCTTTGTATTACATGTCGAGAGGCTCACTGGCCTGGGACTAGCCTCTGTTAGCCAACCTTTGGCCAGTGAAGAGGATTCAGAGAAAATAATACAACCAACCATCAATCTGAAAAAAGGAGGGGCAACAGAGGGCACTGATTATGCGGTGGTGTCGATGGTGCACTCTTTTGCCAGGTGGCCTGCCTTTCCACAGTTGTAGCAGTTAGTCTCGCTGGCTTTACTGCAATGCACGGCAACGTGACCAATTTCACCACACCTGTGGGAAAAAAGAAACAGAACAATGCTTTAGTTAAGATATAAAAAACACAGAAAAACCTGACCAGGAACAAAAGTGGCCCACGTGTTGAAACAAAAATGGAGGAAAAAAAAAGAAATTACACACAGGTTTGTTGATTTGAAACAAACAGGTCTAATTTAACGAGCTCCACAAAACCAGTGTCATATCTAGAATTTAAGTCCCACCTAGATATCATCAGTCAGTTTTGGGAGTTTTTCAAGAACTCTACACAGGTATGTAGCTCCCCCTGGTATCATCTGTTAACGCCACCTTGCAACCTACCTATATGATAGTTGAGCTTCATCTATAGAGGCCTTAATAGTTGTAAGCTAAAGACAGACCCACTACTCTTGACTTAATCACTGGGAAGACTAGCATCATCCCACGATGCTGGTCATTCATCCTAAGATTGAGGAGTCTTTCTATCCAGCTAACACACCGCAAGATTAATCTAAAAAATAGTATTCTTTGCATGCATGGTTATGATACAACAAAGGAGAAAAGCATTAACAAGCGGTGCTCCTATAGTGTTGGGCTTTGCTACATATCCAGAATGCTTTGCACATTGTGGTGGTTGCTTGTTTCTCCAAGTCTCTTCTTCTCAGTAAAATACTTGAGCATAATTTTATAACGGTATGCTGGTTGCAAACCACTCAAAAGAAGACTAAAAGCTGAAAAATGTTTATCTTAAGCCCTAATACTTACAGTAACTGAATTAACACCCACCTGTAACATTTCACCTGAGTGCAAAGCTTCTGGATGTGACCAAACCCACCGCAGGAGTAGCACTTCTGCTCATTAGCATGATCACAGTCCCGGGCCATGTGACCAGCTTTGCCGCAGGTGTAGCAGAGCTGCTCCCTCTCCTTTTTGGGCTCCTTGCAGTCCCGAGAAATGTGCCCACTTCTGTGGCAGTTGTAGCACGCTGCATCGAGAACAAAGCAAACAGAAATGTATAGCTTCTTATATGCATTAAAATATATGTAATTGTAGATCGCAAATGTTAAACATCGTGGATACTTTTGAAGATCGAACTACTTCAAACCAACAAACTGGAATAAGAAATGTAAACAAAAAGAAATGCAATACACACCATCCTCAGTTTGGTCACAGTCCCTGGCCATGTGTCCTTGGTCTCCACACCGATAACAGAAGAGCTCTGTAATGACAAGTCAGTATGCAGAGATGACAAAAGGGACACAGGTTATAAAACTACTACCTTTTCTCACAGATTACATATCTTCCATGACCTTTTTTCGCTTATCATGCTGAGAACTACTTTTACTTTCACTTCTAACTGACAAGTCTAACATATCAAGACATCTGTTATTCATCTTTCACCGGGGACCAAGAAATTTTGCAAATTACCCTTGCCACGTCCCCGACCCCTGCCGCGTCCACGTGAACCACTGGCATTAGGGCAATGCTTGATCCAGTGCCCGGAGCGGCCGCATCCGAAGCACTCGCTGTTGCTGTTCATCTCCATGACCTAAAGAAATCATAAACAGACATCAGAAATCAGTATTGGTCCAAAATGAAATCTTGACATTCAATTCTAAACATAATTCATGCTAGGAGGATTTAACAACAACAACCCACAATGGAAACTAACAATACAATTGAGAGGAATGGAAAAGGAGTGCGTTTATTTTATTTGACCTGGTGCTTTGTTCTCACTAACAATCTTGCAAATTAAAAAGTTTGATTTTAACATTGAAGCACATTCGTTGGCACTATTATATTGCCAGGAGAAGCCTAAATTTTTGATACTAGAAGCAACATTGCACCGAGGCTCTCGCTCTCCAGCGCATATTATTTTTCAAGAGAGGCTTGAAACTCTATTGATCTGTAAATCACTCATCAACATATGCTGCTCTTTAAAACACTGCAGACAGATATGAACAGCTGTTGCTGATGTTTTCACTGCAGTGTGTGCACATGGCCTCATGAACAGAAAGTAACCACACTTGTAGGTCTAAAAAAAAAAATTAGACAGGCACAGGATTTCAATGCATTCAATACACAACCCTAATAAACTTAAAGTGATTTCAACAGACTTTGTATCTGAGCCAAATGACAGTGCACATTTCACAGGAGTCAGTTGAAGGTGATTTATGACTACCAGGGGATCTAATCTAGGATTTAAAAAAAGGGGGGTATATTTGCCAGCAACTTGGTCATCACACTTAAACTAACTACACAGCTAACTTACACGATTTGGTCAATGGAAACATGTTGTGAGCGCCATAGGCCAAACTTCTGTTTGCTGACAGTGCTAAAGACATCAAGCCAGGAAGAATGGGAGTTAATGAGTAATCAGCTTCCAGTGATATGTCCCCAAAAGACGACATCAAGCCACAAAACAAGGCTTAAGTGGATTTTTACAACTTCTGCACCACATCAAATTAAAACTTGTAGCCTTTATTTAGTCTATATATGCACATGGGCCCACAACTTATATCTTACATAACAGTGGTTTGGAGAATAATTGTAGAAATGTTTTCAATTTGAGAATAAGTGGTGAACCTTTAATAACAAGAAGAGAAGTTTAATTTGAGTTCAGTTTGTAAGGGAATTAAAGCGCAACACGCATGAGATGAGTGTAAAAGCGGCCATCACACCAACCATGCAGTGGGATGAGTGCTAACTTTGAGCTAGCTTCAGGGGGCAGTCACATCCCATTCTGTTATGGTAAATTTCTGCTACAAAGCGATCGCGAGTCCTAACAAAGGTGGAGGTAGCGGAGGAAACTCCGCGTGAACGTTTCTTCGGTTCATCCATATACAGTAATGGGAATATAAAGCGAGACTTGTAGTTGTTGTAGCGTTTAAAAACATCATCAAATGCCAAAGGTTGAAGCCACGCTAACGCTGGCCTAGTCACGTTGATTTTCCTGCGCACTCGCGAGACACTTGTGCTGCTGGCTAACACATGCTAGCAGACCACCTCACGATCACGACCAAGAAGCACGGTTCAATCGACGATCGGGCTTTTTCCCCCGATTGGAAAGTCACAATCCGAGTCTTACGCTGCTGCTCGTTAACCACAAACTACTTCTGAAGGTTATCTAACTGGATATACCGTAAAAACAAAATTTCCCGCGCAGGGCGCAGACACCAAAGTCGTTGTGACGAGCTAGCGTTAGCAGGCCGGACTGACAGCCTGATGCTCCGTTAGAAGAAGCAGACCACGATACCTCAGCGTTTTTACCAAATAAACCCGCATAAGTTCATTCAGCAGCAGCTTTTAATAGTCAAAGTTTCTAGGTTTACAAACCTTCAATAAGTCCCGGTCAAATAAATCTCAGTGTTGTTTTATTGCTTACCTCGTTGGCTACCTAGCTATGTCAGTGTTTACGCCTCCTTCTTTGCGCTGCATGCGGTGTGAACAGGAGTTCCTGAATTGTCATTCACAGTATCCAGTAGAAAGCTGCGCAGTCATTGGCCACATACTCTGCCAGCAGCCAATCAGACGCGACGATACGTGGACACCGCCTCTATGAATCAGCCAATCGTGAGCAGAGAAAGCTCCCCTCTCCATAAATCGACTGGCCTATTTTGTCTCCTTCACAAACATCAGTGGGATAGAAATGTAATGAACTTTTAATTGGGAAAAAAAACAAGATATAGTTGGAAGTATATTTATTTTCCTAATTGTCTTTGACTGATGCTTTGTCTAAAATTATGAGTGACACGCTTCAGATGCTTTATTTAACTTGTTTATTTTTCAAAAATGTTATTAATTTTTTTAATCTATTTATTTTTTATCTGAGAGCCACAAGGTAGAATAAGACAATATAAAGGGAATTTATCCTAAAAAAAGAACATTCAAAAAATTTATTCAATTCAGAATATTTGAATAGTACTGTTAAAAAAAAAAAAAAATTAAAGGACCCCTAAGGTTTATGTCATTGGGTTAGCTTTACTATCATGGCCTTTCTAATTTCTTGAACTTTTTTTTAAAGTTATTTTATTTTTGTGGCAGAATAAATATTCAAATCTCTCAAAATTTCTTCGTCAAATAACTTTATTTGAAATCTACAATTTTATTTATTGAAAAATGCACATGAAATTGTGTTTTTGCGGATGCCCGCGATTATAATTATTTTTTTAATAAACTTTTGCTTTTTTAAACCATCTGGGTATGTAAAGATGCTAATACTCATTTTCAGTCAGAGTTAAGTTTTAGAGGCACACTTAAGTTCACAATTTTCACCAAGAAAACATTAATTTATTTTAATTATTATCATTATTTTTATCTATGAGAGCCACAAGGTAGAATAAAAGATAATATGAAGGGAATTTATTCTTAAATAAAAACATTCAAAAATATATTTAATCCAAAGTATTTGACTAGTTCTGTTAAAAAATTAAAAAATATATATTTAAAACAAATTAAAAAGAGGACCCCTAAGGTTTTTGTTATTGGGTTAGCTTTACCCTCAAGACCTTTCTGATTTCTTTAACTTTTTTTTTAAGTTATTTTGTATTTTGTGGCGCAATTGATATTCAAATCTCTTAAAATTTCTTCTTCGACTTACTTTCTTTGACATCCACAATTTTATTTAATCAAAAAAATGCACATGGAATTATGTTTTTCCAATCAGTGCAATTATTTTTGTGGATGTCCGTGATTGTTAGTATTATTTTTTTAATCAACTTTTGCTTTTTTAAACCATCAGGGTATGTAAAGATGCTTATACTTGTTTTTAGTCAAATTTAAAGTTCATACTTCACACTCAGAACACATTAAAGATCAACATCTCTGAGGGTGTGACCAGTCTACTGATGAGTAGGAAATGATCAATAAGAATTATAATCTAAATTCTTGACTGAAAACAAATACTGCACTCAGAAAAAGATGGCACTTTTACTACCTTAAATAATTTGTGTGTATAATGAGAACTTTACATGGCTTAGATATTATTTTCTTGCTGAAAAAGTCCTCCTAATTGCATCATGTTTTGAATACAAGAGAACTGATAGTCAACAATCCACTGGAGCTGCAAGCATCTTAGCAAACTGGCCTGTAAGTGCTCAGTCGGATCAATAACTGGGAAAGATGCGTTCATGTCAGTCTTAAGGTGGCTCTGGTATGTTTTTATTTTCCACCATTTTCAGACTTAAGATGGTGACCTAAAATACAAAACAGGGGGGATATATCATACACTATAATGTAATATGTTTTATGGAAAAGGAGATATTTCTAAATAGCTCTCAGTGACTGAAAGACAATAATACTGTTGCATGTGAGGTGGGGCACCTTAAAACGCTCCACAATGACAAAGCCCTGCCCTCATCCTCAGAGAAACCAGTATTTGGCATTTCTGTTATTTGTTCGAGGGAACAACCTAAACAAAATCCCTTTTGACGTAAAACTAGACCTGAAAGTCAAGTTATATAAGTGGAATTCAAGGAAAAGTTGTTGCAAAAAAAAGGAGAACACCATAGTTTCCTGGCTGAAAGTGTCTGCTGGTCCTCTCTGGAAACATTGTATGCTGATCCCATTAAGACATATTGTCCGGGGATGGTGATGAAGCTGGTTTATTCTCAGACCGTGTCAGGTCCAGCCTGCTGAAAGGACCCCATAAGCCATCTGTGAGGATCAGGGCACCTCAGGGAACCCAAAGCATGATTCTACAGAAATGGTGAACACATGGTGAGTGTGGAGGGAGGGTATGGTTACACAATTGTTGTTTCAGATCCAGTTTGGAGAAGAGTGAACCAAAACCTTAATCCTTAAGGGATCAGGAATAATGCAAGTCAGTCATTTTAAAAACACAAAATTGGACTCCTTTTTTCCCAACTGTATCCTACATCTTTAAATGTAAAAAGTAACAACACATGCATGATTTACAGACATGTTTAACAATAATTTCAAATATGCATTTTCCCCAAATCTCCAGATGATGGTGCACTTGGAGTTAGAGTCAGACTGCTCCTTGCTGCAAACCGGTAGTTGGTTTAATGTGTTGCTTTTCAAACGTTAATAGTGCAACACTTTTTATGATCAATATATGTTTTAACCTCTACTTCCTCAGATTTCATTCACTATGTTGCCACTTTGTGCTCAAAATGTAATATTTAACTCTTTGCAAATGATAAAACCTAGTCTGACAATAAGAGCCCAACATTTGAAATATATTCCTTCGATTTCTTAAAAGTAAAAGCACAGCCTCACCATTGTGGGAGGGCTCATAGTAGCTCCGTGCTGGTGATGCTTGCAACTCTTGTTATGACTGCAAGGTCCTGTTTCAATCACTGGCGTCAGACGGACGCACGACACCAACTCAAACCTTTTCACCTTCGCCTCATCAACGTAAATATTGATTGAAAGGAGAGGGCATTACCGAGCAACTTTCTGGGTGTTTTACTTTGAAAGAGCTTCACGGGATTTTAAAGAATATCCTTCGTCGTGTCACTTTGAGGTTCCGACGGATTTTTTTTTTTTCGCTTTTACTTACCGACACTTGGAGATATAACTTATCCTCTATTATGTTAGAGTGGCTCGTCAAATAGACCCGCCTCTGACCTTCACTACGCACATTATTGTTGCATTTAGCGGATATATAAGCCATTTGCTTCACTTTAAGAGGCCCTTTCCAACTTTTTCCTTTTTCTTTGAATGCGTTGCAAATATGATGATGTCACCGACGCCACTTTTTCCTGAAGTTATGGCGGAGCACAACTTTTCTAACTTCTCTTGGTAAGCATACACAGGCTACTGCCTCCTAGCATTGCTACACTTTGATTTGCGCTTTATATGCTAACCACAGCAGTCAAACAGATATCTCTTACGGCGCATTACCGACACATGCAGCGTTTTAAACGAGTTACATTTGAATGGGCTGTGAATTTAGAGCTGTGCAGTGAAGTTAAACGAGAAAGCTAGTTCGCCTCTGAGGGCCTGCGGGTGATTTTACCGCAATAACTGGATCTACGAGGCCCTTTAAAAACTCACGTAGCAACCAGTGGCTTCTTTTAGTTGTACAAAGTGTGCACGCATTTAAGAAGTAGGTTGAATTCACTCTGTTGGGTTTAATTGGAGCTTTATTGAAAGCCTGAAAAAGCATTTGTGCCTCAACTCCTAAATTATGCTACCTTGCTGCTGCTTGACATTGATCTCATTTAGATTAATGAGGATTTCAGCCAAGTCAGAGAAAGTGGACGAAGCATTTGCAGGTCTAAAGTCTGGCTTTTCTGGGCTCTCGTTCCCCTCTGTTGATACCCTTTTGTGGATGCATCATAGCACTTGTTTTGAACACAGTTTCTGCACCATGGTGGAAGGGCTGGATTCCCACAAACTTCTCAGTTCCTGCTTTTCTGTGTCACTGACATACCCAGTTATGAGTGCTGTGACTGACAGCTAACCACTAACTGCGGTAAATCATCTCTTCAGTGTTAACAGGACATTGGAGGAGGCATGCCAGAGATAATAATGAGTTCAGCTGGGTGAAAGTATACACTGAAAAGTAAAAAGAGTGGCTCTTGGTAGCAAATACAAAAAGGTTTGATAACAGCATTGATGGTTGAAAATGTTTTATCCTGAGACACAGATGTTTAATCGAGTTATTCAGAGGTTGTTTCTACGAGGGCCCGAGCGATTTATCGGCGAGCCGATTAAATTGGACAATTTTGGCCCCGTTTGAGGCTAATCGGAAATCGGCCAAAACTCGCCGATTTTCGCCGATATTTTCAGAAATAAAATGCGAAGAATTAGATTCGGGTTCACTTCGAAAATGTTCCGCCATTTGAAAAGTTCCCCGACTCATCCTGTAGATGGCGCAGCGACCTCATGACAGTCTTTACCCACTAACTTTTCGCTTTTCTGAAAACGCTTTTCTCATCCGAGTTTGATCAGTCAGTCTTCCTGTCGGCGTGAAGAGCAGTAGCCTACAGTATATCTACAAAATATAGTATACTGTAGATATCTACAGTATATATATATATATATTTTTATAACTTCATAAGAATTGTAAAAAATCGGACGATTAATCCATAATCGGAAAAATCCATATCGGTCAGGCCCTAGTTTCTACATGTATGTGATCAGTCGCTGCTTGTTTCAAGATGTTTAGTTTTAGTGATCTGTCGCCTCTCTATGCCGAAGACAGAACTCTGAAAGCTCACACTGTAAATAACACAAGTGACCTTTGTGGTGGCCCGAGATTCCCCTGGTCTTAGTAGATTAGTTTGTCTACATTGCTCCGCTGCTCCCTCTCAAATTGAAAGAAGATGACACATTTCTCCGTCAAACAAGTCACATGACTGTCTTAAAAAACCTTTTTTTTTTTAATCATAGTTCATAGATTGCTAAGAGTATTGGAATAATAAAAGGTCAGCATATTTAGTTTGTCATCACTTTTCCTGTCACACTGCTAAGAGGTTCCCACTGGCTGTTCCGACATAACCTCAAAATGGTCTTAATCACCCCAGAGAGTTGGTTTCACTCTGTGAGATTTTGTTTGGAGATTACATCAGCTAAGTCTATGATGCATTCACTCAAATCAGTGTTTGTTTTGCTTCTTTTAGTCCTTGTTGTCAAGACTTTGTTTTGATTGACTTGGATTAAGATTTTTGATCATGACTCAAAGCTTAAACACATGTACTCTCCAAAGGATTGCTTGTTTGTTGGACACAGCCAATACCCCTACGTAACAGAGAGAGAATATTATGATGAGTTGACAAAGAAGGCAGTATTTGTGAATTGGTTTGTGTATTTGCTTGGCGCAGACTATTGCGAGTACTTGGCTTATCTAATGGAGCACCTCCAGGGAGCGTGGAAGACCCTGAGCAACGGCTTCGGTATGAAAGACTCTGCGTTTGAGGGCCCGTGCCTTTCCCCAACCATGGTCCAGGGCTTTCCCTGCCAGCGTCGCGCTTCAGATGACAGCAAGATGCCAGACTCGAAGACTAGCAGCACTATACGGGTCTACCTCCCGAACCAGCAGCGCACGGTGGTAAGTATCTTTCTCCTGCAGTACTGGTCGCACTTACACTGTTCATAGTTGTGGATAGACCTGAAATATAAAGCTGCTGATACTCCTACAGCAAGGCAAAGCATTAATATATATTTCTCTCCCTTAGGTGAATGTGCGACCAGGTATGACTCTGTACAGCTGCCTGATTAAAGCATTAAAAGTGCGAGGTCTGCAGCCTCAGTGCTGTGCTGTCTTCAGGCTGCATCCAGGACAAAGGAGGTGAGCTCAGGTCACTGTAGGAATGAAACCTAAGACAGAAGATCAGAGAGTGTGCAGACTGCCTCCTAATTATCTGTTTTCACTTCTTTTCCTCTCTGTCATATTCTTTAATGAACATTTTCCTCTTAAATGTCCCAAACAGTAAAAAATTCCGCATGGATTGGAACACTGACTCCACCTCGCTCATTGGTGAAGAGCTGCTAGTGGAGGTTTTAGATCACGTTCCCTTGACAACACATAATTTTGTGAGTACTTGAAGCCGTATCTTAACATCCTACCGCAAACCTTTTGGCAATTTTTACTCTCATATAGAAACAATTTTCTTCTGTCTTCTCAGGTCCGGAAAACATACCTTAAACTAGCTTTCTGCGATATCTGCCAGAAGTTTCTTTTGAATGGTTTCCGTTGCCAAACATGCGGCTACAAGTTCCACGAGCATTGTAGCACCAAAGTGCCCACTATGTGTGTGGACTGGAGCAATATTCGGCAGCTTTTGTAAGCGTCTCATACAGTTGTTTGTTATCTAAAGAAGCACTCGAAACTTCCACACTCAATGCGAGAGTTTCAATCTTTGTCACTCCCTGTGTCAGGTTGTGTCCAACACCTGGTGAAAGCGCCCCGTCACTGCCCCCGCCGACATCCAGGCGAATGAGAGAATCCCTAACACGGTTTCCAAGGTGAGCAGGCCACTCTTTCATACTAAATCAACGATGAGCAGATCTGTCTTGTGCGAGCTTAACATTCATGTAGGGCAGCATTTCCAGGATGTAAGGTGAGTTATTGCAAATTCAAGAGGAGGTAAATGAATGCCTTGAAGGACCCTGTAGAGTTTTCTCATACATCATCATAACATTTGTTGTTATTCTTAGTATGGATCCCCAGTCTTTAATAAATGTGTTGCATTTTTTAATATGTTTTCCTGTGATTTATAATATATGTCCCAAAGATGATGTGGAGAAATGAGTGTATACCCAAACAGGGTTTTTTCAACTTTGTGTTTCTTGTGACTCTGTTGCTTCAGGCACAACAGGGGGCACTTCTTTTTCATTTCAGCCACAATGTCCTCCATGTTCTACTGCGGGCACAGTCGTAGTAATACTCTGATTTGTTGAGAACTTAAATTAAATCCCATTTTTAATGACGTCCTCAGCTTTAATGGGGGCTTACAAGTCCAAGTGTTGATGTAATGAGAGGCGTGAAAAGAGCCTGTTGTTTCAGGGGCACTTAAAATGGTTAAATATCACTTATAGCTGCCAAATTAGCACCGGCCAAGCATTAAGTTGTTCCATGCGGAGCGATCTCAAACGCTCTTTTGAAACACAGTTTTGTTTAGCCAGAAGAGGAATTGTTCTCGAGGACTGCGCTCCATTGGCGTAAGTGTGAACGAACACAATCTCTGTTTATATACGTCACTCAGCTGGAGTTTCACTGTCCCTGTTTTAACCAGCAGATACGTAACAGGAGCTATATCATGATCTTTACTGCAGTTAGACGCAGAATTTATATGATTCATGTCAATTTTTTGCTCACTGAAAGTCACATTAAAGGTTGTCCACATGAATATTAACTCAGAAATACCAGTGTAGTGTTTTTGTGGTTGTCTGTGTTTGTTTCTAACACAAAACATGCTTCACGCTCAGTCTGCATGAGCTGTTAGCAGTTTGTTGATGCAACAACAACAACACCGTGCAGTTCTCAGGGGAGGAAAGTGCGAGAAATAACACCAAAAACTACAACCAGCCAGCACAACCACACCACACCCATCAGTCTCATTTAAGAGAAGTCAGAGCAGGGAACCCGGCGTTTGCTTCCCTTTCGGCTGTCATGCTGTCAAGCTGTTCTGTTTTTAATATCTAGTCCTTCTGCACCTTCACAGCTCTGCCCACCGCTACTCCACTCCTCATGCCTTCAACTACACCACGCCCTACCCACCCACAGGCGGCGGTCTCTCCCAGAGGCAGCGCTCCACCTCCACGCCCAACGTCCACATGGTTAGCACCACCCTGCCTGTAGACAGCAGCATGATCGAGGTAACTACACACCATGTGGGCCCCCTTGGGTATACTCCTGTAGGTTCCAGCTACTCCTAAAATATCCCCTCACTGACAGTGATCTAGCCCTCCTACGTACCTCTTAGGCATTTCAACCATCTTCATCTTGCTTTTTTTTCTGCCTCTTATCTCCATGTGTGAAGTAATCTACCTGGGCAGGGTTGAGCCTGTTTGGTGTAATTCCCCTGATGGCATCTTATTTTAGCACGTATAAAATGTGCAACTTGACTTCCCTCTGTTCAGTTCGAGTTTCTGCTTTTTCACTGCCAGTGCTCTTGCGTAATCGGCTCACTGGTTTTGCATGCTCTTTTGTAGCACTTTTTTTTTCCTGTTCTCTGTCCAGGTACAAACCTTGGCATCACTTGTTTTCTGTTCCTTCCTCACTTCTCTTACTGTGTCCTTTTCCCCCTCCTCTGTTCCTCACTGGCCTGTTGTAATGTCGGGGGGAGTAGCTAGACTGCCTCAATACCTTCCCCAGCTCGTGGTGTCATAGATTCTGGCTGAAGAGGAAAGTAGGTATTGTGCACTTCCCCCAGTCTTTTGTTGAGGCCTCACCTGAGAGTCCAGAAAAGGTTAGACGGCAGTGTATCTGTGTGCTGCATGCATTGCAAACAGGTTATCTGCATTCACATCTTCGCATTTGAGTCAAACCATAAGTGACAGCGCAGCATGTGGTTTACTGTTTCAGCACGGTGACAGAGCTCTGTTTCTGTTTTTTTCTGTCTCTTTAGGATGCAATGCGTGATCATGACTCGGGTAAGTGCTCACTCTGTTTCGTGTTGGCACATAGTTGTGTATTTTTGTGCTTTTTCATGGGCACTTACCTCACAAATCTCCCTCTTTGACTATGAAGACATCACTGTAGTCAGAGTCGACCTTCCTTTGTGAATTGTCTCTAAATTTCCCGTCACAGTTGGCGAGTTTGGATTCAACTCTTAGATTGCTTTATCCATATTCATTCAGTCAGTTATAGATATTATAGCTTTTATTGGGAGTTACGAATAAAAGAGGGTTAAGAGTAAAGGGGTCATCTTTTAATTTTTCTTTTTGAATCTCTAAAGCCGGAAGTTCCCCAAACCAGAGCCCCACTGGCTGGTCCCAGTCCCATTCGAAAGCCCCTGCACCTGCCCAGCGAGAGAGGGCCACATCCTTCAACACTCAGGAGAAAAATAAAATTGTAAGATTCGAACAACATTTTCTCTCTTTTGCTGCATGATGCGCTCAGATCTCGTATGACTTGTCATTCATGAGTTGCACTTTTTTGCTGTCTGTTCATCCAGAGGCCTCGGGACAAGAGGGACTCCAGCTACTACTGGGAGATCGAGGCCAGCGAGGTGTATCTGCACTCCCGCATCGGTTCAGGCTCCTTTGGAACTGTGTACAAAGGGAAATGGCATGGTAGGAATGTGTCTCTGAGCGGGCAGGGCACTTTCACTTACATTCATGTTCCAGTCACCTGACATGCATAATGGTGAGAAAATTACCTGCACGCATGTAGTATTGCAGAGTTTTTTTTCTCTTCCAGGTGATGTAGCGGTGAAGATTTTAAAGGTCACCGACCCCACACCAGAGCAGCTACAGGCATTCAGGAATGAGGTGGCAGTCCTGAGGTAAGAGACGGTGCAGTTACAGTGGGTTTTTTCAGCTGACAGCTGGTGTTTTCACGTGTTTCGAGTGTTGCAAAATACCGCATTGTTGGTGAATCATCTTCATTGCAAATTATTATCTTATCTGCGTTTGGTAATTTCCTCTTCCTCCCGCCTCTGGTCACAGGAAAACACGACACGTCAACATCCTGTTGTTCATGGGCTACATGACAAAAGACAACCTGGCTATAGTGACCCAGTGGTGTGAGGGCAGCAGCCTCTACAAACACATCCATGTCCTCGAGACGAACTTCAAGATCATCCAGCTCATTGACATCGCCAGGCAGACCGCTCAGGGCATGGAGTAAGTTCGGAGGACTAGAGCTCAGTGCTGAGAAACCACATTTGAAAGATCAGGAGTCATCTCATTTCTCTTCTCACTTTTTCAGCTATCTGCACGCAAAGAACATCATCCATCGTGACATGAAGTCCAACAGTATCCTTTTTATAATCGTGGTTTCGCCGTCAACTCTTCATGGAAGGTGGTCTGTAACTGTCCTCTCATCGCAGGTTTGTTTTTTCCTCTTTGTTTGACACCTTGACAGCACCTCAGACATCTTCTTGCATGAAGGGCTAACAGTGAAAATCGGGGACTTTGGTCTCGCTACGGTGAAGGCCAGATGGAGCGGCTCTCATCAGGTGGAGCAGCCATCTGGATCCATTCTCTGGATGGTCAGTGTCGCGCGTCTTATTACTCTAAAGCAATAAAGAATGTAAACAAAGCACACGCTTAATCTCACCGCTCTTATGTGTCCTCAGGCTCCTGAGGTTATCCGGATGCAGGATAACAATCCCTACAGCTTCCAGTCCGATGTCTATTCCTATGGAATTGTTCTTTTTGAGCTCTTGACGGGAGAGCTCCCATACTCCCACACAGCGAACAGAGATCAGGTAATGTCTCATTGTTCACTCATGCTTCACTGTATGTTAGGTGCAGACTGTGCATCAAAGCAAAACTGAGAAGATTCTTTCCTGCCTTTACATAAATCGAGCCGAGCATAACATTCGGACATCTAGTCCTTGTTTAGTGTCACCATGCAGGACCCTGACCAGTGGAAAGACACTGAGGTTGCTGTCTTAAGAGGGTTGTGGGCCTGGCCTTAGGCCCAGCATGGGACAGAAGCGGGCACCCTGGAGCCGCTATCCTAAATTTAGACCCCGTAACACAACTCCATCGTGTATGAGAAAAGGGGTGCATGAGTACGCATAAAAGCGTGTCTGTGGTTTTTCATCCTCTCACAGGCTTCAAACCTGGTCTCGATCGTGCCTGGCTGCCTGTTTAGTGCATGCATTCTGATTTGGATGGAGCTGCTGTACGGCTTGTCCCCTTAAGTGTTATCCACTATTGTTCCCAGACTGTTCCTGATACTATAGAGTGACTTTGTACTCAGCTGACCCGACAGCACATAGAGTACTCCTGTCATCATTTCTCTCTCATACCGTCACAGTCGTCCCGGTGTTTCAGACCTGTGTCACCTTCAACTCACTTGCCACTTTTGATTCTTCAGACGTGATCAATCTGAGACTGACTCGCTTAGTTCTGCTTCATCCTTGCAGATTATCTTCATGGTGGGAAGAGGCTATCTGTCACCGGACCTCAGTAAGCTCTACAAGAACTGCCCCAAAGCCATGAAAAGGTTGGTGGCCGACTGCATCAAGAAGTCGAAGGATGAGAGGCCACTTTTCCCGCAGGTGAACCTAAACTCCTGATAATCAACATCTCGAAGTTTAGCGCGGAGTTTTCTCGAGCTAATCCTTCTTTCTCTCGTTTTCATTCTTAGATCTTGTCCTCCATCGAACTCCTCCAGCATGCCCTCCCTAAGATAAACCGCAGTGCCTCAGAACCGTCCCTGCACAGAGCCTCGCACACTGAGGATATCAATGCCTGCACTCTGACCTCCACTAGACTGCCTGTTTTCTAGAAACTCAGACAGTACTGCCCCCCACCTTTCCCTGAAATACTCAAAAACGCTTGAATTCTCCACCTACAGATGCCAATATAGACCTAAAATGTACATGCAATCATACATAAACCCATGCTAATCAATGAAATATGGAAGGGCGTGAGCGATGACGGATCGCTTCGGGCTGCACTTATCGAGAATTTTGCTGAGGCTCCACAGCGCCGATGCATTAAGTAATGTAAGATGCATTTGGTTTTGTAAATACATGCACGCACACCTACCTAAGATGACAATAAGTGGACACTGAAGGAAGCTCTTGACTCTAGTTCTGCGATGTGAAGCACATCCTTCTATGTGGCCGTCCTGGTTTCTGATGAAGAGGACCTTTGAAGCTTAAACGCCTTAAGAGGAAACAAAGCCCGGACTTCGATCCTGCACAATTCATCTCCTCTTCTCGTCACAAACAAAGCCGTTGGATGTAGTCCATTTAGTTGCACAGTAGTAGTTTATTTTTGCATTGTCTTAAATGATAATGGAGTAGATATGGGAAATTATTGTCTTTTTTTTTTTTTTTTTTTTTTTTGTTATTGTTGACTTCTTTTTATCGTCTTTCTTCTTTGGGTCATTCTGAAGGATTTAAAGCCTGTCAGACACCGAGCACGAGTGCTGATGGAAAAACTCAATTTGCACATTTTAGCAAAAGCGTTGTTCCAACAGTTTCTCGCTGAGTAAACCGCTCTGTAGATCGCCACACATTCTTATCTGTCCTCACTTTGGGGAGGTTACCAGGAGCTGGACATTTGACAGTTGTCTTAAATATTTAAAATGATTTGGAAACTAATTTGTATTTGTTTATCATGTCTCTTTCAGGAGGTTAAACGTTTTATTGTGAACTTGGTGAGAGAGTTGTCTATTCAATATTTTAATAAAATTAAGTTAAATTTCTTTGCCAAAGAAAGATTTCTTTTTATTGTCAACAAACCTTGCTTCGCTCTGGGATTTATTTTAAGCACAGAAGTGGAAGCAGGTGAAGAAGTGAACAGTTGATACCAGATAAAACTGCTTTCTTCTTGTTCGTAAACACGGTTAAATCCCACACACGTGTAAGACTTTGTGGCAGAGTGCAATGTTTGCTGTAGCAGTGGCAACGTGGTGTAACCTCACAGGAGACCCAGTCCAGACACGCCATCAGGGGATTCCAGCATTGGCTGATGCCACTGGCAATATCAGTGGAACAACAGTCATTCAGCAAGGGAGGGACATGTGGTGGAAAGAGAGGGCTGTGATATTTTGTTTGAGTGTAAACATAAAACACGCAGTACCTGCTGAACAGGCCTGTTTGACTTTCTCGAGTCCTCAGTGTGGATTTATAGTAAATATCAAATCTTAGTTGTGATTTGAATATAAGATGTGGATATTTTAAACGTCCATCAAGCTATCTGGAGCTAAAAAAAAAAATTTAGATGGCTTTGTGTCCTCCATTTCTAATTACATGTCTTGGAAAGGCCTAATCTAAGGGAAAATGTCAACACAAAAGGAGCAACACAATAAGAGCTAAACCACCGGTTGACCGCCAGACGGTTATTTTTGCGACAGTTTTGCTATATGTGGTTACATGTTCTATTTCAGCTGTCTGACACTTCACGCAGTCTGGTTAGAGTGAAACCAACAGAGCCAAACACCTTTCACCTCCAACCTGCAACAGCTCCATCTAGTGGGCAACCCATACATGAGTGTCAGCAACTATGATACATGATATCCTTTGATTGATGATGATTAAAAAAAGAGGAAAAATAGATTCACAGTTTATAAAATTATAGTTGTAGCAGATAGTTGAGGGACCACAAGCAAAAAATATAAATTTAAAAGGGCCACAGCAAAATTAACTGAAGTACTGCACAGGTTTTCTTATATTTGTTTTGTTTTACATCACCTTTTGTTGTAATAAAAAGTTACCTTAACTTTTAGACTTTTTTTTGTACTAGTTTAAAGTTGGACTGAATGGAAAAACTGAAGTGCAGCACAGGTAACTGAAAATTGGACCGCAGTTGCATATTTTGGTGAGTATAAATGCTTAACAAGTAAAAGTTGTTTTATTCCAAAGTTTGCTGAACATGAGAGATTTCTGCTCTTCATTCAAACATCTTGCTGAACTGGACTCGACAGCAAGAAACCGCTGGGAGAGAAGAACAAATGTGACCCAGACACAACCCCCGCACATTGTACACTAATACCAGGATTGGTCATCACAGAGACAGCAGATTTTCCCTTCCTGGTATGGCTTCAATTTGGCTGTAATAATAATAATAATAAAAAACAAAACAATGATTTCACATTCGTATGAGTGGCATTTTCCTATGAGCCTACAAAATCACATCTGTATCCAATGTTCTTGGGCACTTTAAATTCTGCAAACAATGTAATTTGTGTTGTTTTTTAGGGGTTGTATGAAAAGTGAAGGCGTTGCTCATACAATACAGTGCGTGTCACTAATTATGAGCAGAATCACATGATCTCTGTACATGTATGATGGTCTACTTTGTCTCTTTTCCACCACTAGATGGCAAAAGGTCCAGTGTTAAAAGTGCTGCTAAGGTTTTGCCTCCCATCAGACTGATAGTGGTGGGTATTTGTGCGAATCTAGATTCAGTTGCATTATTTCAAAGATCATACATGTGGATTAATGATTAGACTCAGAATCTTGCATTTCCTTTAATTTTGCAGTGCAACATATGGGGCGCAAGTGGTTCAGGTTATGCAGCAGCTTGGTAGACAGCTGGGGTGGATCGAGGAACTTCTCAGCTGGAGCTTCAGGGCCCACAGCGTCACTTCCCCTACATTTTTCAGTGGATTTTACTTTCATCAGGCCAGGTCAGTCTGCTTCCTCTGAGGGGAAAAACATCAGCACCATCTGGAAGCCAAACAAGTACACAACTGTGTGTATTTTTAATCTGACAGAGATGTTTGCTGATATTGTTCACGGATCAGCTGTTGTGAGACTTAGAATTTATGTAAAGCAAGCATGACCTGTCTGATAATACATCCAAGATGAAGGTGAGAAAGAGAAAGACAAAGAAAGAGCAAGGACATAAAGTATGGAGATTATTTCAACAATTCATCATGGTACATTAAGCAAACAGTTTGAGGAAAGCATTTTATTGTGGCATCATGTGGAAAGTCCCTGTTCAGGATTTGAACCCTGATTCAAAGGCTGCAGTGCAAGCCACTACAATAAAGCACAGTAAAGTAGAGGACACTATTTTTTGGTCTATTGATTTTCAAGTACACTCTGGGGGCTCCAAACCTTTGTTCACTGTCCGGTGGTAGAAAAACCATGATGTTCCTCCTCCACACAGACTCAGGCCTTCAGGTAGTTTTATGGAGCCTTTTGTTTGGTTTAAATTTTTATTAGTGCAACAACCATCATGGCATTCAACATCTGGTAAACAGCAGTGGGTTTTAAAATGACCACAACAATTACTACTTGTCTTTTTCACACAGCGTTTACTAACAGTCACACTATAGCAGTAATTACAGTGATTATGATTGATTGATTGTCTCCACCATGGATAGTTTTACAGCAATAACAGAAAACAACTGCAATAATCCACTTCACATACACCAAAGTCAAACACACACAGGGCTTGAGAATCATCAAACTTGATGATTCTGCCCTTTAAAAACAGGATCTCTTGGTTAAGATTGTTTGAATTGTTGATGGTCTCAGTGGTCTCCGTGTCTTCAGTGGTCGTGCCGGTCAGACCAAAAGCACTGATCACTGTCTGGAAGACGCTGCAAGACAAAAGATTGGTGACTTTGTGTGTAAAGCCAATATAACATATACGTCTTATGTACTTCTGGCATTCATACATATGATAATAATGTTCAAAATACGTACTAGAAAGATGCTATAGAGCTGATGTAAGTATGCTCAGTATGTCAGTTCCTACCTTTGCTGATCAGACTCATCTTAACATATGTTGATCAAGCCCTTTGGGAGCAGATATCTGTTTTGTTTTTGTTTTTTCTTTGCATCCTTTACAGAGTGTTGACATATAAAACCTTTGTGAATTCAGTCTTTGGGGTTCCACTGGGCCGACCTATTTAGAGACCTAGCGTTTCTAACTTTTAGGTGTCTAAGATTGGAGACCAGGATGGTAAAAAGTATTGCTGGAAATGTCTTATTTCTATTTATTAGCATACACGGTATTGCATGTTCTGGTAACAGTTAGCACATGTTTAATCATCATTTATAAATAGCATATAGACCATTGATAAATCATAAATTTTACAATTTTAAAAACCTAACCCCAACCTTAACTTTACAATAACCATCTAAGTAATGTCTATAGGTGGTTTAAAAACCAAATATTAACCATTTATAAAGTGCTACTGACACTATTTAAAGCCTATATAAAGCCTATATTAACCTTTAATAAATAGTCCATATTTAATTAAATAATTAATGAAAATAAAAAGTCATAATTTCCTTGCTTGTTTATGGTAGAGTAACTATTTACTTCCATTAATAAAGTATCTATTTGCCACTTATAATTAGTCTATATGCTGTTTTAAAATGATGATTAAACATTGATAGACTATCTGTTTACCATTTATAAATTATGGTTATTGTAAAGTGTTACCCATGTTCTTAAATCACAAATCTTAAACCATGTTAGACAGACACTTCAGGTTTGCCACAAAAAAACAGAGGGAGTACATTATCACAAAGCAAAAAGCCCTCACACAATACAGAGAAAGCTTCATGCATTGGAAGCCATGGAGTGTGTGCAGGAAGAATGTGAGTTGTGTGCTTGAAGCGTATCAATGCCCTGAAGAGAAACCTTTGGTATGGCCTTCTTTCTTTTTAGACATGTGACTGTATTATGCACATGTGTTTGGTTTCAAGGGAATAGCAGTTCTCACAGCATACACATATGACGACACACAGACCGAACATATATTGCAAAGGAAGCTTTATTGCCGGTGACAGAAGGGAAATATCCAGAATGGAATTTTTTCCACATTGTATTGTATATTGATCTTAATTTAAACAGTCCAACACCAGTTTTAAAGTACATATATTCAGCAAGTTACTATGGCCCTCATGGGTTACAGTCCTGCAGGTCAGAAGATATCATTTATATAATTTACACTTTAACACAGTGGCCAAAAGAACACAGTAATTTATCAAAGGATTAGTCACCATCACTAAACCAAACCATGCAGATTTTTCAGATTGGGGTTCCTCTGCATGTTCCTCCCTTTGGAAAAGAAAATAAGCCTTGGCAAATTTCCTACGAAATAGAACAACACATCCATATAGCCTCAGGCATGGCTTTTACAAAGATACACTCACAGATACAATGGCACTCTACACCAGATGGGAAAAAATATTACTCACAAAGCTCGCTGAAAATATTCTATACTAGTTTTAGGATATCACGAGGAATGGCCTTCACAAAAGCCGCTGGACGACGACAAGGTGACAATGACGTTAATGTAAAAACATTTAAAGACGACTTTATGTGCGGGTGACTATAGCTTTTTGAATTCTTTTGATGGAAGATCTGATTTCATAATCAAACACATTATTATGTTAAAAACAAAGATTCATATTGCACTTTCCATCAGCTCATTGGAAGAGTGTGATTAGGCTAAACGTGATTACTCTTTGAACGGCAGTAAAACGGTCCACACTAAAGCGCAGAGCACTCCTGTTGTTGTCATAGCAACACCACCACCATAGCTGATATCCAGTATGAGGGCAGCAGAGAGGAGGGCTTTTATCTGGTATTTCATAGCAGATGATACACCTTTCACCACCTAAGCTAATGCCTGCTTTTCAAACAACCAAACATAAATAGACAGTAAGAGTTTGAATCCAGCATCGTTCCTCTGGTGTGTAATTTAAAGGAGGCGGTCTGAAAACATAAGTATTGTCTTGGAGCGTGTTCTCTGATGAAATCACACACTTACTGCAGGATTTACAGTTCCCTTGTTGATATTTACAGTGTGGGTTCCTGGAGTGCAAAGGATGATTCAAAGTAATCATTTAGTCTTTGGTTAAAATTTATACATATATATTTCAGTGGTGTGCGCACACCTGCACTATATCCTCTATGATAAAATCTGATAAATCTCCACTTTATTATTCTGCATCTATCTATTAGTTTTCTTAAATAATCTCTTTTGATGACACTGTGACGTTACAGATGAAAAAATAACTTTAAGAAAGGCCACATACTGATGTCTGTAGTGTGTGTGTGTTAATGCAGTAGTGTGCGCTGTGATTATAAGTGTTTGCGAATAAGCACATGTAACCTGTCCAACCTATATGATATGCATTTCTTATGACACATTCACAATGCATGGATCACGGGGAACACAGCTCGGGGTATAACATCGATGTTACGTGAACATCCCTCTTAATCGGACATTAATAACTGACTTGCACCTGCTTTTGTTTCAACCATGCAAACAAAAATAAATATCTATTTAGTATAAGTATGAAAATAACCACCACTATAGCCATACACACTCACGTACTGTTTACATATTGAGATATACACAAACTTCAAACTGCACCATGGTCCACAGTTTGAACGATATCTAAAGGTACACACCAAAAATAGAAAACAAAGAGGGAGTGAGGGGCGAACGAAGGGATCATAGCTGCGTCAAACAGGTAGCACAGAGCAGCACTGGACTCAGTGTAGGCACAATCTGCTTTTTACATCGTCAACAACAGCCCCAAAGGAAAAGAAAGAGAAAGAAAAGAACAACACAGCTACTACTGAAACATAGGTGACCTATACAAGCACACAAATCAACAGGTCAACAAGTAGACAGTACATTTTGACACTGCATAGAGTTAAAAACACAGTCCAGGCCAGCACTCAGCTGTACCAAGCTCACATCACCAAGATCTGGTTCTAGCTGTTGGCATCCACACACGTCTGCGCTTGTGTACAGCAAAGGTACGCCTTTGTTATCTTGACTCTGAGACCTCCCCCCTTTTCTTCTGGGTGACTCAGTTGGCCTGGACTGGTTTTGGACCCACTGCAACGCCATTACAGTCGAGAATGTACTGCAAACAACCTTGAGGCGGGCGCCCGGCACCGTTCTTAGTAGGTTCACCTACGATCTCTCCCTTCTGGCCAGTTCCCTATGAGGACGAAGAAATAACGCCATCAAGAACAACGCTAAATATTCAATCACAGGGACTCTGGACTAACCAAAGCCTTGTGTGTGTTATCTCACCTGGGATGGTTGTATGGTGGTGGGTCTCTGGGGAGCATTGGCTTCCTTCTCTGCTAATTGGTTCATTTCTGCCAGCACCATGTCAGCGATGAGCTGCCTGTCCTCAGCCTGGTGCTCCCCCACCAAGGGCATGGCAGAGCCCACCACCTACGTCACGGAAAAACAGCGGCGAGGACAAGATAGAGAAGGGGGGAGACATGGGGACATCAATGCGCCTGAAGTTAACATTGTTTTTATATAATAAATGTCAGGTTAAATTTGGATAACACAGCTTCCTCTAGCAGCATTTGTCCTTGTTGTGTTCCTACCCTTTAGTGGGTTCCAGAAACATCATAATAAGCGAAACAATCTGATAATTCTCAGTTCCTACCTCTGTGATGTAATCTTTGCCATCTTTCCCATGGATAGCTTTAACTGCACAAATGTGCAGACCTCCAAAAATTTCTGAGCAGGTGTCAACCCACACCTTGTACCTAAACAAAAAAAACAACAGAGACTCAGCAAAAAGAGGCTCCACTCTCTGATGAATCACCGGCTGTGTTATGGGAGCTCATCGTTCATATCTGATAATCCAGAATATACAACATTTGAGGTGAACACAAACCTTTCAGTCATGGCCACTTGTTCAAGCATAGCTGAGCCAGTATTGGTCTTCCAATTACCAGATATAGATGTCCTCCTGATGTGTGGAAAAAAACACATACATTTATTTATATAAATGTCATTATTTTTCCGTCATTCTTTTGTAATGTGTATTCACACTTACATGTAGGCCTTGTAGTCTGTACCAATCTTCTGGATTCTGATGTCGTATTTGGAGTCGATGAGAGGCTCTGTGGTGGTGTACGTCTGGGTTAGGGCCACGACACTGGCTATATCCTGAAACTTACTGTGATTGTCAACTTTCACCTGTGCAAAACATCAGATATATGAGACACCAGGGATTTAAAATAGAATCTGGCTCTCACTCCTCTGACTCATGCAGCAACAACAAGATGAAGACGAATGTTTGATGTTATTTAAAAGACAATCTAATTGTGTTGGCATGCCTGCAGCACAATCGTTAATGAGATGTTACAAAAAACTCTTTCTTTACCTTTCCAATACCAGAGTGAGCGTGTCCGATCTTCACAACAACAGGGAAGGATGGCATACTTACCTGAAATGAGAGGGAACAGAGTGATTGTCTTGATTTCTGCTCCTTCGGTCCCTGAAATGGTGTTCGACTGCACGACAAAGACAACTCACCATCTCCTTGTAGTTTGGATAAAAAGTCTGCTCAATCAGAGGGAACTTCTCAGAGCCCAGCTTCCTGTGGGTGTTGATAAGTTGGGCAAACTGGACACACAAAAAAGGTGAATAAATCCGTTGCTGTTTCTGAGTCACTTTTCAGAACTAAACACAGAGACTGGCTCGTTATTATCGTCTGTTTCTCCTCCTTCAGGGCTTTACAGCTCTGCTTGGCAGCTGAATGCTTACCGCCCACGGCTTATCACACAGGTTGTAGATGGACTCTAGGGAGTTGATGCTCGGGACACCTCCATACTGCAGACCAATGATCAGATTGCGAAAATCCTCATTCTGGGTCATACTGAAGGCGTGTTGGCGAATGAGGACAAAGTCTGGCTTAAAGGACCTGGAAGATGGTATTAGAACAGAAATCTGTGAATCATCTTCACTGAAAATTATGAATAATTATTGATATGAAAGTATATATCAGGAACATCTCACCTCATAACTTTGGTGCCATTTCTGAGAACCTGCATGTTAACGTTGCAGGTGCCATTGGCTTGAGCCACGACGTTGATCTCGTTGAACTCAGCCTGAGGTGTTGAATAAAGAGTCATATGAGGACAGAGCTGTTACATAAACACACAAAATGAGTATAAAAGCCTCGGTGAGATGTACCTGCTCCACTTTGATGTCATAATCCCCGAGTATCTTCTTTCCCCTGAATAATTTCGCCCTGATGGAACAGAAATGAATAAACTGTATTCATAAATCACATATAAATTAGAGGTTGCATATAAATGACGAGTCTCAGTGTTGCATATGATGTTAAATTACACCCTCGACTAGTTTTTATAGTTTATTCCCTTCCATAGGGAGTGTATTTGCAGCTAAAAGCAGACAAAAGTTTCCTTTCAGGCTTTCATAATTGCCAAACTTGGCCTCTCAACACTTCCATCTACCTGCAAAAAAAAGTGACAACACATAAAAACACTTTTTCACGCTGTTTCTTTTCAAGCCAAGCCAAGTAATTTCATATTTTCTTCAACCTTGTCCAACGGGAGGTGAAGCTGAAAGGTACCACAATATACTGTTAGTTCAAACCCCCGATTCGACGTTTTTTTTACACCTGAAATTCAGCGTTTTTGAGACACTTTGCTTGCTTCGCTGGCTGAAATAAATAAAAAACCTGCTCCTGCTGGTCGGGGGACCACAGTAGCATCATAGATTATATAATGGACTGAGCCGGTCTATATGTTCTGACAGCACACAGGCATGGAAACGGCAGCAGCCGCACAGTGATGGTTGTTGGTGTTGATTAAGTGTTCAATCCTCCCTAAACGGATGTGCAGAGGTCTGGACTTGACAGCATAAGCTTTAGCGGTAGAAAGTACAGGAGAAATCTACAGTAAATCAATACTAATGTGGGCCCAGAATAGAGCCCTTTCCTTCTTTCTCCTAAAGAGTTGTTTTCACTCTAAAACAACCATGTGCTGAAAGAAATAGAGAAATAAAGTCGCGGGTGTACAAATAGGATTTTGTATTTCAATTGGCCTGTTGTTTTTCTGAAACTTTCTCATCTACTTTGTTTATGTCACCCCGATGCCACATACTCCTCACTCCTTGCATATCTAGTGAGGAGATAAAGCTGAATAATTCATCCCCAAGCTAATTAGAGCAGGGGGCTCTATTTGGCTGTGAAGGAAAACAAGCGATTAAAAAAAATGAATCACTGCTCATGTATCCTAGAAAATGAAAAGCCTCCTCTGTGCTGTGATTAATGCTCTTTGCCAATACATACTGTAGACTGGAAGTGTTGCCAAAACACCGCCCAGACGCACAAAAACAGAGACGAGGCGTGAAGAAGACAAGCCTGTGATTTTTCATTTTGTGCTTAAGATTTTTGATCGTTGTCAGGATCAGAAATGGCTGCGTGGAGCGGGCGTACCGTTCGGTGCTTTATGTGTGTGACAATCCCTGAGCGAATAAGCCACAGGATGAAAGAGGACTCTGATGCAGCACATTTAACATTATCTTTTATCAAAGCATTGAAACGCATTTTCACCTCAAGGCTTTTAAGGCAAGCACTCGTACATTTAATCTGAACTCACTATCCAACAGGAATTACATTTTAGATATTCATAGATAGAATTTGGACGTGATATTGCTTCTCCTGGGGAAAGGGTGTATTCTCATCAGAAAGAATTATGATATAAGATATGCATAATAACATTCTCACAGGTAGAAACTGCATTACAGGATACCAGAAGTGTTATTTCTCGTGATCAAGGTTAGATTTAATGGATATTCTTATACTTCAAGCCCCTGTGAGAGATTTTTTGCTGGTTATGACACAGACTGAAGTCAATACTTGTTTCTTTGTGGCACACAGAAGCAAACGAGACGATCAAGATGGTAACGAGTTCTTTTTTCTTATTATTGTTAATACCTGAAATCACTGTTATGGGACAGCTGTAAAACAAGACAATTTACATCAAACTGCAGAGAGACTTTTTTCATTTTTCAAAGCAAAGCAAAGATCAAAATATGAGATGCATTATTACTTTTCAGGCAAACTGAAAGCTGTTGTCTTCTTTTTGAGAGAGAACTGTTTTTTCAAGCCAAAATTCGCTTCTCAGTTATCAACCATATCAACAACCACCGACCAAGTTTTTTCCAACCCCTCTCCATGTCTCTACGTTTGCTGAAGTTTAAAGCTGATCATCTTTAATCAACAGTCTTCTTATTTGCCGTAAATAAACATGGCTGCATTTATCATGCCTCCTTCTTCAGCCAGCTTTCTTCCTGATTGGCCATCATTTCCTTCTACTTGACAATCCAAAGGGTTGATTCTTGGCTGTCCTTTCACACACAACTTGTTTAATATTTCCAATTAGAGCAGCCAATCTCACTTTCAAAGGATAGAATCACTGTCAACATACTCCACATCAGGAAAGTGACATGATATGTTCTGGTATTTAGTTTTCCCCTGGTTTTGGTTATACGAGTGTATTTTCTTTGTGATTTTCCCCATTGTTCCTGTCCCCCTGTAGTCCTGTCTTGTAAGTTTTAAGTTTGTGTCTATTCTCTATCAGTTTTTAGTGTTTCCTGTTTTATTTTGTAGTAGCTTATTCCCCGTGTTTCTCGTCTTGTTTTACTTCCTCAGTTTTCCCTCCTCTGTGATTATCTGCACCTGTGTTTCAGTGTCACACCTGCCTCTCGTTGCTCGTTTCCCTGTGTATATATAGTCCTTTTCTTCCCCTGTTTCTTGGTCGGTTCATTGTGTGTGACTGTATGTCAATGCCTCTGTGTGTCTCCGGTGTCTTCTGTTGGTTTTTGCCCTTTTGGTTTTTTAGTTCTTTTAGATTTTGCCTTTTGCGTTTTTTTACCTCTGGGAATATTTCTGTTGGACATTCAAAGTGAGACTGACAAGATAATTTGTAGATCTGTAAAAAAAAATCTCTGACTCTTGTTGGAATCGAGCAGTGGTTCTCAAGTCCAGTCCTTGAGGCCCACTATCCTGCATGTTTTGGATGTTTCCCTGCTCCAACACACCTGATTCAAATGATTAGCTTGTTATGAAGCCATTACAGAGCTTGATAACGAGCTGATGATTTGAATCAGGTGTGTTGGAGCAGAGGAACATCCAAAACATGCAGGACAGTGGGCCTCGAGGACTGGACTTGAGAACCACTGGAATAGAGGGTCCAAAATCAGTTCAGCTATCTTGTTGTGTATACACAAGAATCAGCAAAAGTGCTTTAAAGAGTGAACCTGACTCGCTCTCTTTCTCTCTCTCTTGGGGAGCAGCTACAGGCTGGTATTTAAATCAAGGACAATTAAATATAGCTTAGATTTGCCATGTACAGCAATAAAACAGGACAAAGTGACATTGTGAATATTAGTAGTAATTTTCCTTTTAGGTCTCTGAAATCCAAATTACAACTTGAGTTGGCGATATCTGGTGATAATGTAGGTCTAGCCCTGTTATTTCATATTAAAACTGCTCTGTCTGTTCTTGTCTTAAAGGTTGTTTTGCCCATATACTTATTTTAGACATACCTATTCAGTTGCCCTTGACTTACATCCTGGCCATAAAATTGGCACGGAGCCTGCAGCAGCTAACCGGGAGAGAGAGCCAGGATCATGACACCAGATGTTTCCTTCTGATCATTCATTTGTAAAAATCAATATAGGAATGCTAGGGCTGAATAAAAGATGAGGTTAAAAAAATATAGGACTGAATGATATCATTCCCAAAACAGAGTCAGACTATGCAGACAGATAGGATTTAAACCTCGCCATTAAACTTTTGCCAGATTACATATTGCTGTGAAACAATCCCTCATCCTGATGATTCACCCCCAGGCATTGGTAAGTGGGAGCCCCACCGTTGAATTTTAATGTCTCATCACCTAGCCTGTTTAGTATTCTCTCTTACTTCAGGGTAATATTTGATCAAGGTTAAACACACAGTAGAAAATACTCCTGCCCTGGTTCCTGTTGAAACAGCCTCTTATGTATTTTTGTAATTTTGAACAATAGGAGCTCGATTTCAAAAAGACTCTGAGCCTCTGTTTTTGAAACGGAGACAGAGAGAATAAGGAAGCAGAGCATGCCGGCCATTAGTCTGATAAGTAAGACTGTGGAACATCTGCTCCTCCTGTCACAGGCGTAATTTATGGCACGGTGTTCCTGGAACAAAACAAAACCTCTGCAGATGACCGGCAGCTTCATCTAATAGGAATAAACAGTGGGAGTATGACAGAGAGCTACTGTCTGGATGTGCACTGTTAGCCTAATATTCACTGTGAGTTTGTCATCACACATTTTTTATCCTGTACGGTGATTTATTCTGCTTGAAACAACTTGTTGCTCAACAGAAGCCTGAGTCACAAATTTCTGTTATCCCATTTGTTCCTCTTTAATCAGCTTAATACTGATATTTTCACAGATTTTTAACTTCCACAATAGACCGCCGATCTTTTGATTAGTCTTAGCTTGAGGGCACCTGGATATTCTAAAGCAGGAGGATTACGAGAACAAGATTGAGGTTTATTTACCCTGTGAATACACATCTTGATTTCTTTGCAGCTGATTCATTGTCGGTGCCATTTTCTGCTTTCTACTGGCTGTTTTTTTTCTTCTATGATAAGATTGAATGCTGCTGTCTTGAGCAGAACTCTCTTGATTTGGAGTTTGTTATTCAGTTTATAAAACAGAGATTCAATTAGAGAAAAGAATTAAAATGGAGGACTAAATCCAAACTGTCTTTGTCTGATTGTTTTTATGTCCCTTTATTTGATTTTTATGCCACTTTTAGCCAAATTCATGTACTTACTTACCCTTATACTCATCTATGTGTCTATGCTGTGTCTTGGCCACTGGACGTGACAATTTCCCACACAGGGATTAATTAAGTAGGGGAGACCAGGGATGGTTGTAACAGGGGTCAATTGTAACACTTCCAATTTCTCCAATCAGGAACGAGTTACAAATCACCTGACTCACTCTGCACAGGCTTAGTTTAGTCCTTGTTCCACATGTAGGATCCTGTGGTGGACTCAGTCAATTTTAAGAGAAAAAAAAGACTAATATTGAGGTAAGAAAGTAGTTTTTTTATTCTGATATTTTATGATAGCATTGCCTGCTTTGTAGTTGAACTCATCAAACTTAAATCACAGTTTTTATGTGTCTATGAAGATATTTTTCTTGCAAGTTGTCCATGCCAAAGTTATAGCTTCTAGTTGTAAAGTAAGCTAGTTCCTGGTGACAAGGGTCTGGGTTAGTTGTAACAACAAGAGTCAATTGGAGTGAATTGTAACATTTCACTCCTTGTGTTTGAGACTAAATTATACGTTGTCTGTTTGTGTTGCAGGGGTCACTGCTACAGCCTTTAATAGCAGACACATATACCTAGTTTGAATGCATTGGTCTGAAAGAGCTCTAAGACACAAACAGAAATGTCAAAAATGTAACAACCATCCCCGGTCTCCCCTACCTATCTGTCTATGTCTGCCTCTTCTCTCTGAACAACTCCTTGAATGTGTTTGAATATCTAAGAAATACATACTTTTCTTGATGAATTCATGAATCTTTGTACTGATAAAAGCTCAATCAATGGAACCAACGTTTAAAAATGCACAGGAATGTAAGTTTAGTTCTCATCTTGAAAATATGTTTCCACAGACACACACTCATAATAGATGTCAATGGTTGAAGCTTCTGCCAGATGCAATTAGTCTGGAGGACTCTTTCCAGACTTCATTCTGAGTGTCTTGGGGCCACCGGGTCTGCTTCTACTGACAGTGCAGCGTGCAGTAAAAAAGTCTTGAAACACCCGCTGCACAATGATATACAGCACACAAACAAGCCCTCAAACTCAAGGTGTGCCAACATTATAGAGAATATTAGGCGCCTGGCAAAACCTGCATGAAGATAAAGACACTTTTCATCTCTGAGCTTGCCAACAGCTGTTTTTGCTCTTTCTCTGAATGTGGGAACTGAATACTAAACATCAAGACTAGCTTACACCTCACTGCTTTTGAGGAGCATTCCCCTCTGAATCCCCCTCAGTATGTTATGTTTCCCTTTGTATTATAGTTCATATTCCAAACAGTACTAGTCCATACACAATCCCCTCATTAACACCTCCAGTTATAGTTGCAGGACGTCGAATAATAAAGATGAAGACCCACAAACCTTCTAAGCAAAACCCAGAGGAGTTGCTGCTGCCATAGTGATGAACCATGAGTAAAAGATCTCATTAAAATGACCATTAGACGCCAAAAAGCTGGTCAACAAACACAAGCAACTCTCCACTCAGAGGTATTGAGCAGTCATGAAAAATAGATGCAAAGAGGTATTTCAGCTCCCAAGTGATTGAAGACGTCTCCCAGATCCATGTGTGTTACATGTTTAAAGCAATAAGCCTTTGCAGACTGAGGAGTTCGTTAAAACAGTGAATGAATATAATGCTGAATAAAAGATATAACAGATAAAGTACCATAGAGTAGCATCTCATCTGACCATTTTAAAACCAAATTCAACAATTACACATTATATCTCATTAAATGTTAATGGTAAAAACAGTCAAGTGTCGACGTTGTCTTACTCCCACCCCTACATATCCAATATTCTTGCCCCGACTGACCTTTGGATCAATGTCTGGGTTTTAGTTTAATGTTTTAAATCAGCTTCCTCTGCCAAAGCTGCAGAGCTTTGTCGGTGTATTGGTACATCAGACTGCCATTTTTATTCCTCAACAAGCTGCTCCCTTTCCACTCATAATAAATGTGGAACGAGTGAATGCATCAGGCTGGCATCCATCCCTCTGACAGAGGTCTGATCTTATTAACATTGATCAAGGTTTCAGTTATATTAATGGCCAGTCCTGCACACAAACAAAGCATCACAGGGGGCGATGTGAGGCAACCTGAATAAGGCAAACTGAGGTCACAATATGTGGAGGATTTGGTTTGTTTTAAAGGCTGTTTTCTCAGACGGTAAATTCAACTCTGCCCTATATATCTTTACATTTAAATCCCATCACGGTGGCCATCTTATTTCTCTTTACATAATGTTCAGTACAGGCTGTATTCCAACCTTGACTTGGCACGCATGTACACAACATAACACCCTGCAGAGAGGCATCCTACATGTGACGGTTTGCAGCCAGTTAAGAATTTACAGAATCAGTTTATGATGATTGAAAAGGTTATTTCATTTAGCCAAGATCAGATCCATCCAAGTGCTTAACCTGTCTTGGATCAAGCGGAGGAGTTGTTGTACGGACTCCATTTCCTAGATCTGAAATCTAGAATGTCATCAGCTGATCATATGTGAATTTAGTCTGTTCCTGCTGTACAAAAATCCGAGTTACTGTATGATTCTATCGACCAATAATTTACATAGCCCTGTAAATCATGGCCAAATTAAAACCCTGTGTGTCGTCCTGTCAAGCTGCCCAGCTCTAGAGTGCACATTGCTGGAAAACAGTCAGCTGTGTAAACAGTTGCTGATCGTGTGAAGATGGATTCAATCTATTCTTCACTTGTCTGACGTGCTTTCAGCTTTAATATAAAGTAGGTGGATTTGAAATCCTGTGCATACGGATTTAATGCAAAATACTTCCTTTCAAGAGCAGACTGACTAAGATTCTTGTTATACCTCTGAGTAAGATCCCCTGGGATACTGACTGTCAGTGTCAGAGCTCATAGACGTTTCAGCGTAAGACGGCTCTTAACATTCATGACACAATGGTGCTTTCCCCCAGCATGGTAAGAAAAGCATTAGTGGAAGATGATATCATTTATTTTGTTCCACTCTGGGTTTTTACTTACTTATCCACATCACCGCTAATGATGCTCTTTGCAACATGTGCTGCAGCTGGCAACATGAATTATTCTCTATGTTAGCGCAGGACGTGTCATGTGATGTGTGAGCAGGGGGGAACCCCATTGATGAAAGAAAAGCACTGCAGTATTCAGATTACATCCATGTGCATTACCCAAATTTGGACAACCAATGTCACGAATTTGGGGGAAACTTAAATGCCTTTATGAATTTACCATTTTGCAGGTGGATCTTATGAATTACTCCTTCTGAAAGCTCAAACAATAAAAAAAACACCATTTCTTATAACAAGACAAAGGACAATAAAACCCTAATTTTTTTGCATAAGGGCATTACTGCTGGGAATCAATGGAGCGTATTTCTCTAAGTACTGGCCACCAGTATGCATTATTGTAAATTGGCATGCTGTACCATCAAACCACAGCAGCAGCTCTCATTCACACCTGCTGGGTGCTTGATACAGATGTAGTGACACTGGTTCGTTACCCTTAACTAATACAATCAAAGGAAATCATGGGGAGTAGGCAAAAGCACAGAAGGTGAGCAAAATAATCAAATAGAAACATACAGTCTATGAATTATTTAATGTTAATTATAAAACTAAGAAGAGCAACAATTTGTCTTACCACTCCTGCTGTGGTTCATCAATAACGAGGAGAATCTTGAACTTCTTAGGTGTCGTGACTTGGGTCTGCTCCACCAGCCCTGCTGAGGCAGCTGTCTGCTTCACAACGTTGGTGATGGAGCTGAAGAAGCCCGCTCCAGTGGATTGTGCCGGCTGAGGTTTCTTCTCCGGAGCAGGAGATGTGGCTGGAGGTGAGGGCCCAGTTGTAGGAGACTTGGCAGGGGTGGTGGTGGTGGCGGTGGCAGGTGGAGGAGGCTGAGCTTGGTCTGGCCTCTGAAGGTCTGACATGTAGCCATTGGGCAGGTTGGAAATAAAAGTGCTGTCCGAGAGACGCCGGCGCAAATAATTCATGGCTGCAGGGAGAGCAGAGGAGTCAACAAGCACTGGGTGTGGAAAATGATTCTGCAGAGGAGCTCCTGTTCAAGCTGATAATGGCTGAGATCTGAATGCAAACTCCCTCCCAGTTCAGCGGAGCATCCTCAGAGCTCCCCCTCTCTTGCCATGACGCTACACTCCCTCTCAGCCAATCACCTCCCTGTGTGCTCTCCTCAACCATTGCAATGATGCTCTGCCTGTGCCTCTCCTTCCTCCTCTTGTCCTCTCCTCCCTCCACTCTCTCACTGGTGTGTCTGTCTTCCCTACCCCTCCCCCATTTTCTCCTTCCTTGCAGGCGTCATGCTTTTTGAACCACGGCGTTTAAAATAGAGGGGTTTCCAGTCGAAGTGTAAGAGGGGATGCTGATCGGCACATCATGAGTGCCTGACTCCCGCTCCCTCTGTTTTGGTGATTTCTCTGACTGAGCAGAGCAATGCTGTGTATGTAAAATGCAGCCATGAAATCTAAAATGGCTGTTAGGACTAGTGGGCAATGTTGGATGGAAAGGAAGGCGACAGCAGAAGCCCCTTGAGAATGCATGCAATAAACAGCCTCATCTTAATTACTAATTAATCTCTATAGCTACTTATTCTATTTATCATACTTACCTAAAATGAGAGATTATCAGACAGGTTTTTTCCCTGGCTTAATTTACCTGAATGTACAATTGCATTTTATACAATCACTCATTTATGCACACATTAAATCTCCACACTCATTAAAATACATAAATAAATAATAATACATACATAAAAATACAGCTCATGTTTTCTTGCAATAAAAGATTGATTTAAATTGAAGTAACAGTCATTATATCCACTGATATTAAGAGCATTTCTATGACTTAGAAAAAGTAGAAAGCTTGTTCCTCTGTATTGTTATGTTAAATCATTTCACAGTTGTGTGTACCATATTCAAAAAGGTGGCTGTGTGACGACAAGATAGCAGACCACCGCATCCATGGGAGTGATAAGTAGATATTTCTGAAATGAGTCAGGAAACAAATCAATAAATCAATTCCTTGAAATACCCAGAGGTCGAAACAAATCTGACAAATGAGCTGCACGGTGCATATCTTATTTACAGAGTCAATTAAATCTTCATTCCTCATCTGAACATTTTACATTAGATCAACCTTAAAATTTCAACTGCTTGATGTCCGCTGCTGTTGGACTATTTATATCTGCTTGACTGGTTTAAGGCTGACCTCTGAGAACACTCCCTCTGCCATCAAAAGATTTAAACTGCACTGACAGGCCAAGAGAGGCACTTTCCAGTACTGCTCTGGGTGATAAGATACAGTACTTTTACTAACATTACTATATTCCAATACAAAGGTACTTTTTGGTATTTGAAGAAGTGGTTTAACATTTTTCTGTCTAATAGTATGCAAAGATATAAATGCATGAAAATGAAAAAGACGGTAAATTACTTTATGTGTTTACATGTGGAGCAGTTTGGGTCCATGTTATGTCCATTATCACACTTATTCCAACCTTTTAGATGTAAGGCAAGTATACACAACTTTAATATGTACCACTGTATTATATTTAGTCATGCTGTTATAAGGTAAATCAACTGTCAGTCTGCCGGATTTTGTCCAGTAAAAAAGCTCTTTCTTCATTAAGCGATGGAGCATTTTGTTGGTGTAACAGTGTTAGAGTTTCTCTAAAGCAAATTTTGTATTTGTGATATTTTTTCATAAATTAATCTGCATGATGGACATAATATAGCATACAAGACAAATTAAAGACAAGATTAGGGCTTCCTCATTTAAATTTCTATGGAAATGAACTCAAGTGACCCATTGTTTTGTTGATGTTACTCAAAAGGGATTGAAATAACAGAATACTTGATTTTGGGTTGCAGAAATTGCTCCTTGCGACAGTATCTTTTACATCAGTGCGAGGGTGACATCAGCTGGTGGTAGTGGTGTATTGAACACCAAAACAAATCTCCACCTAACTAAAATGAGTTGTCAAATATTTTGTAGATAAGTGGGTCCAACTGAAGAGGTAGTAAATAGAGTAAATAACGATAATGACAGCAAATGAGAAATAAATCACAAGTCATAAAGTAGGCATTATGATTCCTACAGGAGGAACTGTGAGGTACTGTGACAAATAAACCAACTAAAAAATTTTAAATTAATCAATTAATAAGTGAATAAATGAAGAAAATGTGATCAAAGACAGTACAGTAGAGGTTTAAACTATGACTTGCAGACAGATTTCTTAAACAAAAGCCTTAAAATACAAGTTTTTAAATAAAAAAAATCAATTAGTTAAATTAAAAAGTAGCTTAAGATGAATTCAAATTAAAAAAAGTTTGTAAAGTGAGTTTTCAGAAGTGATTGAAAAGATGTTACTGATTCTGCATATATTTATAGTTAAAATCGATATGATTAGATACGGTTTTAATTTGCAGAACAAATCAAAAGTGCTGATTCATCAAAATCAGCTAAAATGCCAAAAAACTGTGGACCAGAAGAAACTATTGGAGGACCTAATATTCTCAGTGAGATACTGGCTTGTTATTTTAGAGTAAAAAGTAAATCAATACATCATTGATCGTCTGGCACAGCTGTCCAAAACAGGGTTTCAACCACTATTTGGTTGTAAGCCAGTTTCTATTGAGTAATGAACTGGCAGTATTGGATGTCCAACAATTAAGTAAATTAACTTTCCCGGTTGAAATAAATTTATGTTTTTTTTTTCCCTGCTGTGTTTGTAATGATCTTAGAGGCTGTGTAAAGAGTGTTAAACAAAAGTGGTGTTGAATAAATACATGTTGTCTCACTGTTGCGTTCATATTTCAATGTGCTCTTTAATATTGGTTTGGAAATATAATTTGTTGATTTGAGGATGTTTGGTGTAGTTCTTCTAAATCTGGGTCCAAGAGAGAAAGTCTAAATTTTGCATGTGGTACTTTTAACAAAAGTTTGGACCAGCTGATTAGGAGGACAGCTATCAATATGTCCAGGCAGAGCCGGCCTTAGGCATAAGTGAACTAAGCGCATGCTTAGGGCACCATGGCCAGTAGGGGACCCCTAAAAGCAATAAAAAAAAATAAATAAAAAAAAATTACATTTTTTTTTTTTTTTTTTCATTTTTTGCATGTATGAGTAAAGATTCCTGTATGATCAAAGATATATAATTGTAAAAATAATTAAAGTAAAAACATTCTGGTACTGCTGCTGATGTAGGCCTATGAATTTTACTACCAATGACGATTTTACAGTAAACACAATGCTTTATCACTTGGAATGTGGTAAAAATCAACCCCAAGCCGTCCTTGTAGCTAAATGTGTTACATTTTGAGACTGAAAACCATATGTGGCACCCTGAACATAATTTATCAGTTAGTTAGTTAGTAACCTTTATTTAACCAGGAAATAAACCCATTGAGATTCAGAATCTCTTTTACAAGTCATTCATTGGTATTATTTGTATGGTTGCATTGGTGTTATTTATGTTATTACCTAGGCCACCCCCTTAAATGTGTAAAGACATGTCAGGCGCATTACATTTATACTGTAGTAGGTCTGTGAATGATCAACAATCAATATATTGGCAGAAATAGAGGGCCCCAAAATAAAGTTTTGCTCAGGGCCCCATTGAGGCTTGGGCCGGCTCTGTGTCCAGGAGCCTGACTTGACCACATTTAGTGCAGTGTGAATGTTACTGGTTGTACCGTTTTTAAGAAATTACTTACAAATTGGTTCGAGCTAATTATTTGTGTGGAATTAAATCACTTTGTAATTGATAGACAAAGTAATTTGGTGGATACAGAAGCATAAATTGAATAAATGTGGCCCCTTTAGGCTGGCTTCCGCTCGGGTCCCTCAGCTCTCTATTGTTTGAAGACGGTGGGAAAGTGCGTGAAGGCAAGCTGGGCTCGCCGTGGTGTTGTCGTAGCTCTAAAGCTAATATTTAAAGGATCTAGTGAGTTATATACAGTCTTAATCTCGATTTGAACGGTTTTGATTTAAAGTAAACTTGTTAAACCTCTTATTTTTGTAGTTGAAAGTTGTTTGTTGAGTTTACTGGATCGGGAAACTTGTAACGAACTGGCTAACAACAAAGTTGGGGACCAGCTAGGTGCATGCTAAAGGCTAACGTTAGTTCGCACCGTTGGTGGTTTTTACTGTTTATCGTGAAACTAATGTTTTACTTTAGAAACAACTTTTTGTTAACTTGTGCCGAGGTTAAAGCTGTCTGGTTCAAGTAAGCTTAACTTTTAAATTTGGCCCAGCTAGCGCCCGTGTTTGGCTAGCTGCAATGCTAACCATGGAGTCGTTAACGCCAGCGTCGGTGTTAGCAGCTAACATTGTCGTTTTTATCAAGGTGCTTTAAACGCGGACCAGGATTTGTCTTGTGAGTTCTTTTTATCTAAATATCACTTTTCTTCTTTAGGATTAAAGTTTTTGTTGTCCCTGCTGAGATACCTTGCTAACATCGATGTTAGCAACAAGCCTGTGAGTGTAAATGCGTTTCACTAGAATGGACCTGTTGAACTCTCAGTTCCTGGACAAGATGAACAATAACATCGGGAGAATGCACTACGAAGGTAATCTTTACGCCATATAGTGTTCGCCTATGCTCTTAATTTGACTTTTCTATAAGGCAGGTCGACATTTGCCTACATGTCTCCAATTTTTCTACCAAACTGTTGAAGCTTAAAGTTTGCGATCCCGACAAAAATAATATCGCGATATTTGGGGGGGGATGATAGTTTGCATCTTTTACGTTAAAAAATATATATATTTACAAAACTCTTGCACTGTGTAAGTCTGCTATTGTTAATAGTATACTGGTTGTCAAATGGGCGAGTTAACGCAACACGTTTTTATGCATATGAAACGCTAAAATCATTTTTATCTCTTGATTTGTTTAATGGCTCCGTCAAAGTCTGCCATATGTGTTTGTATTGCTAGTCCGTTGTGTTTGACTACTGGCTCCTTAACCTATGATATACTTAATGTCTTGGTTCCTGGTCAACTTGCAGATATCGAAACAAGTTAAATGTCGAGCTGTCTTTCCAACTAAGTCCCCAGATTGGGGAGTTCATGTCCAATATTGTGCTGTTATGTTATCTACCTCCTAAACTAAGTCATTCCAGATGTGTCATCTTATCTATTATTGCTAATTGCTTTTCCACAGATGAGTCCAGGACACCCTCCCATCCAACTGCTATGTCCAACATAACAGGACCATCTCCACACTGCTCAAGCAAACGAAAGTACGGGGAAGAGCAAATGGATGATAGAATCAACTGTGACGAAGATCACATGACCAAAATGAGTAGATTGTTTGCCACTCAGCTGTAAGTAAATATTTTTTATAATGAAGTAAATTTGACATATATCTACATTTTCTGACAGTCATGGCATTTACAAAGTATTTGCCGTATGACAGGTGCTTTAAAATATCTGTAAATGTTAAACAGTCTTAACATGTTCTCAGTTATGAACTGCGGTGTAAATGGTGTATGTTTAATATTTTCCCTCTTTCTAAAGGGCTCGTCCCTCTGCTGGAGAGAACCGCAACGAGCACTGGAGTATCAGTCACACTCCTATGGAGCACATCAGTTCCTCCTCCAATGGTCTTCATGGGAACCACCTGTATGCATCTGTCTCTGGCTATGCTGTTGATCGGCCACTGGCTTTGACCAAAAGCATCCACGACATTGGAGCTGGGAGCAGAGAGAGGTCTGTCATGAGCGGGACTGTAGAGCGGCAGCAGGTATGTCAAGTTGTTACGCTTATGGAGGGCACATGAAATGTTCGCAGTGACAAGAAAAATATGTCCAAAAACATTTGAACATAATTTTCTTGCATAACGTACTTCAATAAACTGTGAAAGAAACGGAAGATTGTGTTTGCATCTTTTAGCTGAAGGTAAAAAAGCTTCTTGCACAGAGGCCACAGTCCTCGATACACTCATTGAAGCCTTGACCCCTTGTTCCATCATACTTTGGTGCATGTCATCCCCGAACTTTTTCTGCCAATGTTTCTTCTCTTTCTTAAAATGCCCTCATAAATTAAAGCAAAAAAGCCCCATAGAATAATGATGTATGTATTTTCCACCTCTAGAATCGTCCCTCTGTTATTACCTGTGCTCCTGCAAGCAACAGAAATTGTAACCTATCACACTGCCATATGAATGGCTGCACACCCAGCCCTGCTACTGATCAGAGGAAGACCAATGGTAAGTATTTTAAAATGCGAAAGCTATACATGATCTGAAAGCTTGTACCAGTAAATTACTTATGCGTGAATGACCTGTGTGTCATTCTGACTTTGTTGAGATGAGTTTCAAATACACATTTTGGTTCTGTATGGTCAGGGGGATTTTTACCCTAAAAAGTGTTGATCATAAAACAGTAATTTAAAAATATAGAGGTGTAGTTCTTCTGGATTTTTTCCAAAGTACAAACTTGCAACACCTTTCATGTTTAGCATAACTGCATATAAACTATGGGCTATTTGCATGATACCCTTCTTGAAGTTCCTAGGCTTATTAATATCTCGGCTTTGGTTACCACTACTAATAATAGTGCATTTATTTTAGCTAACACTGTAAGTGATCCTGTGATTGAGGAGCACTTCCGTCGCAGCCTTGGAAAAAACTACAAAGAGGCAGAGCCTGTGTCCAACTCGGTGTCCATCACAGGTTCGGTGGATGACCACTTTGCCAAGGCACTGGGAGATGCCTGGCTTCAACTCAAGACCAAGGGTGGGGGTCGTCAAACCCCAGAGGAAGACCAGTGAGGCAGAGTGGGGGTAAACGTTACAATCACTTCTTAGTGTTTGCATATGAGAGTGACGATTGATCACTGTCGACTCTTTCTGAGCATCAACTTTCCGCAGCCATGAACAATTAAAGACACGCGGTGCTCACGAAGGCTGCTCCTTTTTTGACCTCGAGGTCGGTCTTTAAATTGTACACAGATTTGTACTCTGAAATTCTCTTGGAGGGTAGAACAAAAACTTCTGACGTTAGGTTGACAATGTTACTTATGGAAACTGTACAATCATAGATTTTTATTTTGTATTAATGAGATTCAAAAAATGGTTGTTTGGATCACTTGTTTTGTTTTGCCTTGATAGCCAAAGACAAACCCTCCCTTTCTAATGCACAGAAAAGCCATAAATCTGGTCTCTATTGTTGTTAAATCACACTTCTTTTTTTTACTTGAAGAAGACAGCCAGGTCTCACTCTCACTCTTTAGTTTCTGACTCTTCAGGGTTGCAGGTTACCTGTCTCAGTTGGAACAAATGTTTATGGATAAGCATCTCTGATTTATGAGATAAATTAAGCAATTGCAGCCCCTATACCATTTCCTTCAGACTCTAACCTAACCTATCTTCTTCAAAACCTGAACTGGACTTGTCCACTGTTAACAGAGAACTTTAGGTGTCTTGTTTATATGCTCACTGAGGCTGATTTCTTAGTACACTAATATCCATTATAGTAGATTTGTCTAACTAGAGAGCATGTTTCAAATAGCTGGGTTCTATTACAAACCTTATTCTATACTATATATTTACTCAGAATTTATTTTTTATCTGTAACATTTTAGAAATACTCACTGCTGGTACAGTTGTACTCAATATATTTTTTGTATCTGGTTTTCATTACCGTATGTAGGTGTGTATTTTAGCATCCGTCTACAAATCACAGCCTCTGGCAAGGTTGTGTTAAAGCAGTTGAAAAAGGCTGCAATGCTTTGTTACTCTGTGGAGCTGGCTGCTACCGCTTTAAACATGACTGAAACAAACTGAATCTGACCCTCTGTAGCACAGTCTTTTAGCAGCAGCTTTATTTATTCTGAACAAGTTAGTAGTTTGTTGCCTTTAAGCAAAACGATTTTTACTTGATTATTTTTTCCAATAAGATCAACAGAGGGTATATAATAATGACAACAAAGCAGGGGGGGTTTCCATAAACTAAGATTTAACTAGCATCTAAAATCCGTGTCAACAATTCACATTCCACAATGACTGTCTGACACGTCGCAGTCACTCAGTCGCTGTTTGGTGAATAAATCTGATAAATTTCTTGAAAATTGAGGCGATCTCCCGGTGTGACCTGACAGAATCTCTCCTACTGGAAAAAAAAGTATCAGCAAATCACAATTAATTCTGTCTATTAGAGTTTTTGTTAAATTAATCTCACCCTTTTTGAAAGTCTGTGCTTACAGTAGAAGTAGTTAATGTTTTGTTAACACTGATTAAGACACAGTATTGTAAGATAATTTCTTTAGTTTGTCACTTAACGGTATGTGAAAGCATATACATTTTTATCAATAATCTGCATTTCTTCAATCGTTGAATACACTATCCTGTCTTTATATTTTATTTTACTTCTGAGACCATCATTGCGCCGCGCGGAATGATCATAGATATTTTGTTTCCGTACAGAGACGTGTATCCATATGCAGCATGGGTGTTCTTTACCTTCTAGCCATGCTTTCTAAAGATGAACGATCTTCCCTCATATGCCAGCTGATTATAAAGTGCAGGAACACAACAGTCTTTTGATCAAAGACTTTATTGGTGCAGTGAAAGACTTTTGTATTAAAACTTTAAAGAGTTTGTTAACTTTCTGTTTGTATCGTAGTTAAATTTGGGGGTTCGTCACGAAATCTGCTTGTTTGACACAAGCGGATCTCTCAGTCATATGTTTTGGGTGTTAGTCTGTTATTTAATTTTGATATTTAGACTACCTGTATCTCAAAGACTGTTTGTGGAAAGGTCATCCAGGTGTTCACTCACATAGAAAAAGCAAACATGTTCACTTTTGTCTTCATTTCTCTGGAAGAAAATGCCACTGTTGTTTTGTATTCAAATTTCTTCTAAATAAACTTACAGATGTGCACATTTGCATATATTTTTGTCCCCTTTTTTATTGTATGAAATTCAACCTCATGCATGACAAAATATTTCCAATGTCTTTGCATTTCTGCCGTCCATCTTCTGTAGTCATTTTATCGCAACATCTTCAATCTGTCTCTCCTCATGTAAAAAAAAAAAAAAGGTGTTTGGTTTGCCTTTTCATGCTCGACGCTTGGAGGCAAAATCACAGTTGGTTAAAGTGAAAATAGTGAGTGTGGCAGAGTCCCGTGAATTTCACTCTCAATATGTGCCACTATTTTTATAATGCATTCAAAAGTTTAACAAAAAGAAGTTATTTCTGCAATTTGTAGAAAGACACTTCTGCCTATCACTGTATAGTGTGCTAATTGCTTGACTGGCAAACTTTAAAATTGTGCTACAGCTGAAGTGTTGAACTCAAACCAAAAATAATACATTCATTGCAACGTTCTTTTTGAACACCACGTTCATAAATAAGAGCTCACACACTATTTTGATTAAGCATCGCAGTACCGGTACTGTGTACTGACATGATTTATTAAAAAGTAGCTGGAGATCTTTGTCCTGGATGGACCAGAATTAGACCAACAAGGTGTTCTTGCAGGTGCAGGTCTTTGTAGGTCAGGAATGGCTTTACTGTACCAATGAATAATTGCCTCAATGTTGTTTATGCTGTTAAATGCATGATATCATGCATCTGCTTTGCTGGATGGTCTTTTTGAAGCAGTGTTTCCTATATTTTTGTGTTACCAGTTGTTTTAATGCTGCAGGAGCTCTTGTTTTGGAGCACCAGCTTCTCTTAAGTGGTGTAATAATGCTGTTGTGGTTCGCTCTCTCGTCCCAGTATCTTATTTTTCCTCTTTTTCGCACTGGGGAGCAGTTGTTCTGAGGCTTTGAAATTTTTTCCCAAGATGCCTGTTTACGTTGTTCATAGGTTTCAAAACATATCTATATTTAGTTTAATTCCATTTCCAATTTATTGCTTGTGTATTTTCATAATATAGCCATGCTTTTATCAACCCCCACCAAACACAGCAGTGAGAACCTCTGTGGACCCAGCTGGCTGTAGAGGTTGTTTGGTTGATTTGGTGTCATGGTAACCAAAGACGGGATAATAGCCCAAAGCACTGACCTAGAAAGTGTGAAGTCTCCTCGTGTTATTGTGATAACAGGAGAATATCAATGATGATTCTTGTGAAACAGGGCTGTTGACGGTTCAAGAGATTAGCTGACATCTCTTTTACAACCAGCAGATGGCGGTCTAAAACCACTTTTGCAGGAGATCCTAAATTCTTTTAATCCCTGGAGATCAAACAAAGACATTAGCATCACAAATCTGGAAGATTGATAAGAATATAGCTTTTTGAAAATTAACTTTAATGTTAAAAATCTGTCATACTGAGGGCAGTGTGGACAGGAGATGCTGTCCAACATGGCTTCAAATCCCTGACTTACGCTTTAAGGGACCTGTTTTGGGAATTTCTTCCAAGATGTGCTTGTTTATTGAAAACACTGTGTTGAATGAGCATGTATAAAGTTAATTTCAAGGCTTTGAGTGAAAATAATTGAAAGTTGAATAGAAATGAAAAGAGTCTACCTTCATTTTAGTTCATTTTTTATTTGTTGAGCACCATTCATAATTTAATTCTTTCAACTGGCAAAGAGTTTTTTTTTCCCCCTCTTTTTGGTGGCTGTTGCTGTCACCCCTCGGGCCCAAATCTGCTCAAAGAGCCCCTCCAACAGACCACTGCCTCCACGAGATTAGACCCAGCCATTCACCAACCACAATGCCCCTGCTTCTGCTGCGCCATGCCTTCCAAGGAAGCCCGCTCTTGTGGGATTATGGAGAGAAGATCCACATTTCTTTGCATTGGCAAAAAAAAACAAAAACCCAATCGCAGAACTGCGTGTTGCCGCAAACATGCACGCACTGTGATATCATAAACTAGTGTCTAAATCAAGATGACACATCAGGGTCACGCCAAATTCGGCTTGGCCCCTTCAATGTGTGAAGGCCACGAGGAGCATGACATCTGTGGCTTCGATGGAGGACGGGTCTCACAGCCGCTGCCTCTTGTTATTGCTGTAACAGGATGGACTCTGCTGCCTTTGGACACGGTCAAGACACACATATGTTGAACACACTCCTCTCCATTTTAAGGAAGGGAGCAATACAAACAGTAATAGTGCCTCCTGAACGTACAGGGAGTTGAAATAAATTCGTAATTTTGCTACACAGGTTTTGTTGAGTGGCCCTTGCAGTGTCACACACATTTGCTCGTATTTTGCCTACATTTAAACCTTGGTAGATACAGATCTCCTCCTTTTGGTTTGCATAATTCCAAATTTGTTGTGCCTGAACAGGATGCATGGCTGCACCCCTATCTACAGCATCCCAGAGTGCACAATGTCTGGGGAATTTGCATGATTGCCTGTAGATTATTTGAACATTATCTATTCCCCCCTCCTCTTTTTCTTCTTTCTGTGGCTCTCTGCTGTGAGGATGCACACACATCCCGGGGCAAAAGAATCTAAAATAGATCATACAAGCAACTGGAGTAGATGCACAGGCACAGGAAGCAGCTCACGGGCAGACTTGAGTCATGCTGGCAAGATCATGCACCCTGAGCTGACAGCCCAACACACCCGATTACCAAGCACGTCATTTCTAAAATGCAGCCACAGCCACACTATAGGTCGCAAAGAAGGGGAATATATCCGGATCAAGCGCCGATTTACCCGTTAATGACGCTTGAACGTGGCGCGGATCGAATGCAGGGTTGTTGCACTTCAAGACTGACCTGATGAGCATCTCCCGGCTCCAACGATTGTGGCTCATTCATTCTGTCATGTGGACTGCTGGCAATGGCATAACCTTTGTGGAGGGAAGGGAAGACAACACGGTCACTCTGGATAACAGTCTTGCAATGAACAGAAACAGACCCTGTCAGGCCGTCTCAGCGTCAGTTTTCAGCTGCACACAACCACCAACACACTCTACCGATCCCTCTTTGCCTATCTTTCACTTCTTCACCATCGGTTCTGTCAGCACCTTCTTGATGAGGCCCTCATGTGTGGCGTCCATATTGCTCTGATTTGGCAGGATCCTATTAATAAACCCATCCTTTGCATCCCCCTTTATGTTGCGCACTTTCTCGGCTGATTCCTTGACCTCTTTTGTCTCTTGCTTTTGGCCTGTTTGTACCGCCGTATGGTGCTTGACACGGCCAGTGATTTCCCACTGATACAGTTGGCTTCAATCTCATGCATTTATATATTATAGATTGTTTTGTAAATGATTGATTTGAAGGGCCATCTGCTGTACAATACCATGACTGTGCAGCCTTTTTGTTTCTCCTTCAAGACAATGAATCGCTTCCAATCGGGACGCTCAAGCACAAGCTGATATCTCTTGAGCGCTCTGAGATCAAAACCCAGGATACTCCATCTAAATTCCCTCTCTACAACAGACCAAAAAGAGTATGAAGCCAGTGAGTTGGGGCACTGAGCAGCAGATAAATGTTGTAACCATTACTAAAGGGCATTTTGATGTCTCATTATGAGGTTTGTTAGGGCCGACATTACAGCTGCTTGACTGAGCAGCCTTAATAAGGAAAATGACCCAACACCAATATGAGCAGCTATGTGTCTCCTCTCACATAGATCTACTTCGCTCTTCCATGGCCCTATCTCTTTCCTCATGACTGTCTGACTCTCCCCCACTTTGCCACATAACCCCCCCACCTCCCACCCCCAAACCCCAGCACCACCATCACCACCACCGCCACTACCACTCCCCCCCCTACCCTGTGTGTTTGGCAGTCACACAGTCGGCCATGTGTGTGCTGAAGATGTTACATAATGCCCTCCTTTCACTGCACTCCAGATCAAAGAGAACAATCCAGCACAGAAAAAATGCTCCTTGCTGATTTTTTTTCCCTCTCTTCCACCATCACATTGTTTTATCAGACCTCAACTACCCGCAGACTGTACAGTGTGACTGCGTTATCCGCCGCGGCGTTCCTCTTCATGTTGGAAATCACACAGAGCAAATGGGAAATGATCAATGCGAGAGAAAGGAAGCCAGCGAGGAGAGAGAGCGGACGGGCAACATGCAATAAAGAGGCTCTCAGGGCTTAAACTTACATGTTTTTTTTGCATACAAGCAATTTTCTACACAGATAGCTTTAACACAGTCAGAATAGAAATCAAGGAGGAAGCAGATTGATTTTTAAAGAGGCAAATTGAGTCACCTCATGGGAAGGGTACAAAAATATTTAATTCAGTGTAGCTCCAGTGTTTAATCCCTGTGGGCCTGCCTCATTTAAATTAGGAAAAACATCCTGAAAACACTGATGCAATTATGATGAAATCATTATTGTGGAAGGGTCTCCACTCAGTAATTTGCAAAATTCTGTTGCGTGTGAACAGAATAAATGACTATCACTGTCACAAGACATTTAAATGTTTCACTACACAAAGACTTGATGCAATGTAATTTCTTGAACATATATCTATATATATATATAAAAAGCTCCTCTTAGTATCAAGCCAGAAAAAAATGGTGACACAGAGAAAGAGAGAGAGAGAGCAAAAGAGCATCAAACGCTGTCAGAGAGGCCGGGCCTGTCCGCAGCCTTGTGAGGATTGAAATAATGAGTGTGTGCTGGGGCAATATTTACCTTCCACGCCAAATGTAGACGGCACATTTTTGGACCAAGAGGCACAAATGACAAAATACAGCAGAGAAAAATGTGAGCCTTGAGTGTGCAGTTTTTAGAGAATAGATCTCTGGCAATAGTGGCAATAATTCAGTCAGTTATATTGTTGTACGAAGTTTATGTGTTCAGTTTGCATTATTGTCTCTGACACTCTATGTGCTATCCCAAAGAGAACATCAGCTGAGTATTTGATTCCCTCCACAGAGCCGGGATCAGCAGCAGTCCTTATCTCAGTAAACCCCCCAGTGATGAAGAGTGGTTCACTGGTCTGAGGGAGCAGAGCAGCGGGGTTATC